TTTTTATTTATTTATTGAGTCTAAGTAAGATTAAGGAGGCATGTCTCTAGTCACATGAGGTAACCTACAGTGCCGCATCACCACACAGCGGGCAAAACGAACGCGAACATCTTGTGCTTTGACGGTGGTTGTACTGACACACAAGCTCGTGTTTTGGAATACCTGGTGATGACGGCGCCGGTACAATATGGCAGTACAATCCTCCATACCTGGAGGCAATGCCATTCAAATGGTGAGGGAGGGGGCTCATTTAAGGAAGCTCACCATCACCAAACAGCGGGCGAAGCAAATGGCATGGTGTTGACACCGGGAGATATACCTTAGCGCTTACAAAGTACGTGGCACGGTCTAACTGTCAACAGACTTCAAATGGACGTATTTTGACTTGTTTACTCAACAGTACAAATTAGTGATAATGGGGGGGTGTAAGCATAAGCAACGATAAGCATAAACGTGAGCGTTCAACTTTGAGCTCCCCTAGTATTGTGCTGGATGGCTGTACATGTTGAATTGTTGCTGACGTCCGCAACCAGGATACGTCAGTTATGAAAAAAGAAGGGGACAGCTGAAGCAAGAGGCATGCGACCCGTTAGTTCCAGAAGGACCCCGGCTGCTCCCTATACTGTATGTCCGCAAATTTTCAAAATTTTCCTTGTGGGGCGCACCACTTTTGAGGCTTGTGGGGCGCACTTCGGACATGCTTGGTTCCCAAAACATACCAAAAAAGGAAATTTTCCGCAAAACATTGCGTGCTACTGGATTCTAGCTATGTACGCCCACGGTTCTGCTTCTTGCGAGGCCGTACGGTGAACTGCGATGCAATAATATCGCGCACTGTCACCATACCAGCTGTTTCCCATCTACAGAGAAAGATAAATATATGTTTTACAGCATTTTGTAGAATAAAAACTTGCCGTTCAAAAGCCCACGGTTTCAGAGCGTGATATCGGCCATCTGAGACGCTCCGCGTGGATGTTCCGAGATTGTAGATGAGTTCTTTGATACTGGCAAGTGTTCATAAATGCCCTGAGCTCCTCCCAGTGGTCTGCGGAATGCTGAAGTGTCAGGTGCTTAACTCCGAGGATACTCTCAGATGCTGGTCCTTGATTACTGATTGTCAGAGCAACTTTTTTCAGCTCGTCTAGGATGTTTTGCCAGGTCATAGCACCACCTGTACCTGTAGTGTTGAAGCTTAAAAGTGTCAGATTAGACACAAGCCTTGATGCAAAAATGACTCTAAACTAGAGAGAGTGAAGCATCAAGTCAGAGACACTGCCTACCCTGCTAATCCCTTCCACCATGAAGCATCAAGCTGGAGTATTTTGGTATGTTTTATTCCGCAATTTTGACTTCCAAATGTGGTAATTCACAAAACATATCCTATTTTGGCCCTTCCTCATGTCTCACTTAAAAATAGATTGCTCCTGCCTTCCCACATCATTCCCACACCCCGCATTTTTGCACCTACTGTGGGAATTACCCCACAACACCAAAAACATCGCCCATTTTGGGAATCTCCACAATATCAATTATTCCCACACCCTTCCCACCTCATTACAGCTTCACCACTACACTACAATAGATCCCCTCTTGTATCTAAGTAGTAGTTTGGTATATATGTGTATAATATTATATAATAAACCACTTTTTTTATTTATTTGTGTGATAGGTTCCCCTCTAGAGTCCTTTCAAAATGATGTAGGATATAAAACATTTTCGCACTTTTGCTCCTTTGATAGGGAAGTGTTCTAGGGCATTCAGAACATGTCTAGGAGTGTATATGAAGAGATTCCCCTACCTTTTTGAGCCCCTGAAGCGCCCTACATCAATAGATATTGCATATGTGCAGGAAAACACACAATATGGTCCCATTTGTTTATTTCTAGGTGGGTAAACTTGGAAACATGATCCCCAGCATCTATTTAACAATAGGAAAAATGTATCAGGAGATCAGGACCATAGGACAAGACCTTATTGCATAGTGTACTCCCCCTCTCCTAGTGGTTTTCCCCTTGTGAAAATTTTTCTTGCAGGACCAGATCTCAAGGAGGGTAGGGGGACTATTTCTATGTATATCCTCAGTAGATACATCATATAACTAGCCCATGACACCTACAGGATCCTTCTACAGGAACAAAAACTTGACAATTCACATTTTTCACAAGTTTCATGTTTCTGACTATTCTATTCTTGCATAAATTCTCCAATCTGTTCATATATCATTAGTATAGGATATATAATTGCTTTTGATACCAGGATCAGCTCAAAATATGCCATGGTTCTGAGATAGTGTATATACTTGCTATGTATACTGATAAGGAGCCCATACCTTCATATCATCATCATTTAATGATCAGACCCCTGGACTACATTTTACATATATTCAGTATTGTAGACCCAAAGCCACAGCAAGATCCACCCAGAATTGAGAGCTAGGCAAGTGAAATAGATAAGAAATTGAGTGTGGGAAAATTCAAATGCCCAAAACATCGAAAATGGTCAGTAAGTGTATACATGGCTATATGCTACCAATTCAAACATTTCTATACCACATCCCTCCCAGCCGATGCTGTTGTATAGATATATCCTAACTGGACTATAACCCAAAAAGTCCGATACATCTTCTGGTATTGTCATCCACTATCCAACTAGATGTATCCCATGTGAGAATCCTCCTACGCTTACAAATTGTCGTTCTACGGGGGTTGAATGCCCTAGATGGACATTTGCCAGCTCACCCCCCATTTGCGTCCAGTGATCGCCAGCCGGCCCCTTCTCCCTTCTTCTTCCAGGTGGACATGATCTCAACAGGTGATCTTCTTAGACTTGTGCCTGTGCGCTTATCTCCGTGTCGGGGCACCTAGGCACTCGCGACTCCATACTACTACCATCAAACAGATGAGGCTCAAAAGTGATCTGTTGACTTCCGAAGTTCCGTTAAGTGTATGACAGTGTAAGCACCCTTATTTATGGTTTGATACTGACTTCAATGAGCATCCTGTAGACGTACAACACCATTTTTTTGATGTCCACCCACCAGAATGTTCTCGCGGACGTGAGTGGTGCATGCAGGAGCCAAATTCCTTTATCATGATGCAGCGAGTTTGTACATCAAAAGCACAAGTTCACACCTACAGGTGAGTAGTGTAGTCATAATACTTCGCGTGGAATAACACTCATTGTTATCATTTTGGCTCTGTGATAGGATCGGCTTCCTTGTTCGTTTTGATCAACTCGAGCCTATGTTTCAGTCTTGGTTCACGCTCATGGGCACTCTCGGCGGTGCACGCAAACCTCACGAGTCACAATATGAAAACCACAATTATTCAGTGTGTGTGAGTTCACTAAGTTGTCATCTCATGTTTGTCTACAGCGCAATTTTTCCTCACAGGTGGACATATAAATCACCACGACAAACCACTCTGTTATTTTTTCGGCTGCCTTCGGAACAATTCAGATGGCCCTTGAGCAACTTGCATGCTCATCCACAATTTCCTTGCAGTTGGTGCTCTCGTGGATCGTGTCTACATACACCAGAGGCGACAATTGAAACAGAAGGTGTATAGATAAGTAGTAGTGATTTGCTATTTCTCTACCCGAGCTAGATAATCCCACTTGCCCGTGCTTGTTCTCTACTATCAGAATGGGTTTGCACATCATCTAAATGTTATTTATTGGTGCCGGTGACTGTTAGCTTGAGACGACGCACATTTTCAAGGGCGAAGTAAGTCAGTAACACAATGACTTAAGGGCTATGTACATGATAATACAGTACATCAAGTTTATAGAAATCAATGAATTTTGCATAATGGCGCATAGGCTCTCATCCACGACATCCAAGTCAGAGAGTTGTGACGAGCTTGCAGTATCAATCATTTGTGATCATAACCCTAAAGCATTTTTGAATGAACTTTTGTGGGACTTTTATAGGACCGAAACTACTGCACCAAACACGGCACTTTGAAGCTTTGATTCATTGAAAGCATGTTCAACTTGGCCTAGGGAAACCTCACTAGTCTTTTTCTCCACACCATTAATTTGTTTTGCTTGCCCACTCTTAAACTTTGATGGTAGTGCACTTTTCTTTTATAATTAACGGCATCCCGGTCTAAAAACTCGAATTCTAGGCTGAACATCGACTGCTCATGCATCATAGGCCGTCGCTGACTACCATCCACTGGCAACCACACAATCCTTTCCAGTTTCCAACATCTTGATGTGCCAGTGCTCGTTGCTGGAATCCTGTTTTTCACCTCCACCCTCTCTCCCTCGGCCTGGCCTTCTCCAAACCTTCCTCCCCGAACCAACCTAGCTGCTACTAGTACCTCCCTCCTACAAGCGCCACCTCTCACCACATGCTGCTGCAGAGTCTCAGGTACTATGGCATAAGTCCAACTATTTGTGCCACGTCTTCAGTGTTCGAATGCCAAACCGAACGCGAACTGAACGCCCTGAACGCGTTCGAACACATCCAGTCCAACATTCACTAAAATCGCTGAACCGAACGTGACGTCCAGTTCAGCGTTCACCGATTTTGCTGGTGAACCGGACTGAACCGGACTTTTCCATCACTACTCGGAGTCAGTCGGACAGACCACACCCAGCAGCCTTTCATGTTTTTCTCCACCCATGTATGTTACCCTTTCTCACCTTTCCTCGCTCACTCTCACTCTTGACCACCTTCGCTGACCTTTCCTCGTGCTATATCCCTGTGCCACCTGCCGCTGCTTCATACCATCTATCACGACATTCGTTTGTCGCCCACTATCTATCACGCTGCATCCGCCTTACAACCACAGGCCTTCCTATACCCACCCAACAGCCACTTGCCTTCTTCCATGCCGGGCCATCACCTCCTCCGCCTTCCCGCAGCTAAATGGGAGGGAATGCAGTGCCGAAACCAAGCCATATCAAATAGTAGTATTTAATGACTAGTATACACACATCTGTGCCTGTAGTACTGATTGGAATCATATTCAACATGTATTCATAATACTACTATGAAGGTCCCCTTTTCTTTGGTGGTCCCAGAACAGATGCTCGAGCTCGCTGTGCGTGACAGCGAGCTCGAAGGTTCGGGCGATGGCCGTGTGCCGGCAGCATTCAAATGCATGTCACCAATACTGGTAGGCTGACTACCTTTTTTTCCATGCGGCTTCGAAACACTAACACCTAAGGCACGTCGCCGAGATCTAGATGCCCACTCCGGCGAGATATCCCTAGATAGTCATTGTCCTACAGTGGTTGAATGATGTATTACTATACAGAACAGATGTATCCTGTACAGTGGATAACTACAATATAGGATGTATCGGACTTTTAGGATCATGAGCCATAAGGATGTATCCTTCTACCTGTATCCTGTGTCCCTCCACCAACAGTCTACCATCAGGGAAGTATGTACTATAGGTTCCTTAGGTAGTCTACTATATATCCTACACATTTTTAATAAAATCTTCGACCTATGTGATATACAAATGTGACTTTGTGTGAAAAGATGTCAATTGTGACATTTCACACATATGTTATTTTGCTTGTCAATCAGTCAATCCTGGATGGATCATTCTAAAACTTTAGGGCTGTTATAAGGGGTATATAGGTGAGGTATCCCAGGTGTCCGATCACTGATGACACTCTGTATTACTATATGAGCTTCTTATCAGTAGAAAGACCCCCTTTACCTCAGATCCCAAGTTTATGCCATAGATCTTACTGATCCTTAGCATAATAAACATATATACATTGGAAAATGATTGTCTCTGAGCAGCTTAGATGATTTGTGTAAGAGTAGGATGGTAAACCACATCAGAAATGTCATAATTGTAATGTGTCAAGTTGTTGTTCCTATAGAAGGATCCTGTAGGTGTCATGGGCTAGTTATATGATGTATCTACTGAGGATATACATAGAAATAGTCCCCCTACCCTCTTTGAGATCTGGTCCTACAAGAAAAATTTTCACAAGGGGAAAACCACTCGGAGAGGGGGAGTACACTATGCAATAAGGTCTTGTCCTATGGTCCTGATCTCCTGATACATTTTTCCTATTGTTAAATAGATGCTGGGGATCATGTTTCCAAGTTTACCCACCTAGAAATAAACAAATGGGACCATATTGTGTGTTTTCCTGCACATATGCAATATCTATTGATGTAGGGCGCTTCAGGGGCTCAAAAAGGTAGGGGAATCTCTTCATATACACTCCTAGACATGTTCTGAATGCCCTAGAACACTTCCCTATCAAAGGAGCAAAAGTGCGAAAATGTTTTATATCCTACATCATTTTGAAAGGACTCTAGAGGGGAACCTATCACACAAATAAATAAAAAAAGTGGTTTATTATATAATATTATACACATATATACCAAACTACTACTTAGATACAAGAGGGGATCTATTGTAGTGTAGTGGTGAAGCTGTAATGAGGTGGGAAGGGTGTGGGAATAATTGATATTGTGGAGATTCCCAAAATGGGCGATGTTTTTGGTGTTGTGGGGTAATTCCCACAGTAGGTGCAAAAATGCGGGGTGTGGGAATAATCAATAGGTCCTGGAGAAGCCAGGAATTTAGAAGCTGTAGAAGAAGTATGGAAGCATATACTAGAAAAGGTAGTAGCCAGTGAATCCTTGGTGGATCCCAGCTCAAACATATTATGCATCGTGAGAAACCTTGAAGCATCAACCTACACATGTCAGAGAACTAGACATTTTTTGCATCAAGGCCTGTGTCTAATTGTACACTTTTATGCTTCAATCTGACAGTATAGCCTGTCGTGTCCGGTTCAAGTGACACGACGATCCAGGTGTGGGAGATGGCAACTGGCGAGGCAGTGGGTGCCCCTTTCCGAGGGCACACTGATTCTGTTTTTTCTGTTGCAATCTCGCCCGATGGCAAACACATAGTGTCTGGGTCATCCGACAACACCATCCGGGTATGGGATATAGAATTTCTCAACCGGAACCACCCTTCCACACCTGCAATGTGTTTTTCACCTAACTCAACCCACGCTCTTCATTCCGCCTCCTCCTTTCTCGAAGAAACACTATCCCCTTATGGTCCGAACGAGGAGGGATGGGTTGTAGGTCCCGAAGGACGGCTTCTTCTCTGGATTCCACTCAATTTCCATCCGGTGATGTATGCCCCAGGCAACACGCTGGTGATACCCAACAACGCCTTGCAGTTGGACTTAAGTTGCCTTGCACACGGCACGTCTTGGCATGAGTGTCGGACACAGGACGTAGCGTCATCTTCGTGATAAAGATCTGTCAGTCACTCCATGGGCATGTGCTTTGTTAATTGACTGATGTTCGTGATTCTACACAGATTTCGTACAACACATGTTTGCCTTGTTGTGGTACCGTTCGTTACGACGTTGTTCTGCTTCATTTGCTACTTACTCCACGACCATGTACTGTAGAACGCTCGCAAAGTCCGAATTGATTACACTTCCATACTCTTCTCCCCATGGTCACTATATCTCTAGGCTCGCTCTCCCGTTTAGTATCTCCTAGATCAACGATAAAATTACAAATTGACTTGAAATTTAACAATGTCTCTCGAGGATGGTCATTTTGTAATCAGTATCATTCTCACCATTTCTACCCTCGTCTGAACAAATTGCTCACCAACTTCTTTAACGCACTCCCAACAGTCATAGATGTCACCTATACGACGCTGGATAGATATTACTCTCGAGTAGCTTAGGGCAAGTGCGGCCGTCTGCTGGTCCGCAATCAGCCTCTCCCATGATTATTGTTGAACAACTCGCTCACGATGTGCGCACACCTCAAGCAGGGTGGGAGGGAGAGCTAGACGGTGGGGGTCGGGGAGGAAGTGAAGCGCACAGGAGACTGTTTCTGAGCAGAAGGCGACGACAAAAATGTGTCAAGTAGGATGGTGTACTTTGGGCGTCGACCAGCGCTTAGATTTCATTCCTGTAAGAAAATAGTGGTTGTAATAAGATACGTTAAGACAGAGTGCAGAGCTGCGAGATGAGACCAATCACCGTCACACATATCTTTGAAACACACAGGCTCTCCGTCATGATGTTTAGTCATGCCCACTTCAAAGGTTAGTGGTGTAGCAACGTGTCATGACCAAGTGAGCTTTCGATCCCGATAACGGGGGCAGTGGCATAGCAGGGTAGCTGACGTATTCGATTGGTGTGAGGGCACGCTACGACAGATCTACATCACGTCTAGACAGTAAAAACTTTGGGAAGGGAAATTGCGACGGGATTGGCTCGTCCTCGTACCTATAATGTGAATGATACTTATCCCTGCAAGCATAGCATTAGCCCCCGTACACTACAACTAGAAGCAGCAGTGAAAGACGACCTACTTACATCAGTGGTATGTGGTCCTGCTGCAAAACAACATGGGTTACACGGAGGAGGTAAGCCATTCACTAGGGCATGCGTTCCCAGAATTCTCGAGTCCATCCTCAATCGGCTGAGAATGTTGCCTGTGGATGGAAAGGTGAGGTAAACGAGCTATTGTTGGCAGATGGTGAACTGCGGGCCTGCGAGGCAGGACATCAGTAAACCGGTGAGACTTAGATATTACTTGATATTGTCAGATTTTGTAAGCCCAATGCTTCTTACCTGTATATTACGATACAAAGTAATATAAAGCAATCTAAAGCAATGTAATCGCCCCAATTCAGGATCAGTTCGGACCCATATATTGCTTTACATCACTTTACATTACTTTATATTACTTTGTATCACAATATACAGGTAAGAACCACCTCGGCTGGGAATATCTGAGTCTCACCAGTTTACTGATGGAATAGCCCGCATTTCTAGATGTGCTACAGATGGAAGGGATCAGTAATTTGGTCCTGATTAGAAGCTAGAGACAGCAGCGTCAGAATCAAATAATCAGGCCAAACACAAACGCACCTTCACGAAGCGGTCAAACAGGACTTGACAATCATCAGTAAATTCGCACAATTCTTGTGCTCGCTTGTTTCAAAAATTGAGACTTAATTTCACTTGTTCACTTGTGCCAAGTTACCAAGGAGGCGGATGTTGCACAAAAGCCGAAAAGTATTATAAAAGCACAAGTCGAACACACAAACATGAAAAGTAACTGATGAACGACAAAGTCGGCAAGTATAAAATTGTGTAGTCAATGATACCGTGCTACGAAGTAGTAGGCTGCGCAGCGGTCATGATGCTATCTCGAAGGCGTGGTGATCGGCGTATTTGTTAACGTAGAACGAGCGGAAAGCATCATAGGAGTGATAATACTTGAGGGAATTGGGAATGAAATCAGAACCATAGACAGGGATTAGATGTGCTGCGCGGTAGACTGTGTCAATATAAATCACGGCGAGGTTTGGGGAGTCGTCGTCATGAACACTGGGACGCACTATCCACATGCCAGTGTCCTCGTCAGCGCAGTCGCCGACCTTGTCAAACCACTGAACGAGAGCGCAGGGATATAATTCCCAGTCATGTTTGAATGAAAAGAAGGACTTGATTCTTGCAACTTCAAGTCCTCGCATCCCTTCAGCGCCTGGATCGGTGTTAATGAATACACAGTCGTTATGGGCGTAGACATTCCGCCAGAGTGGACACGCGCGAATCTGTTCACGTCGCATGCCGCCAACACCGCTCGGATCACTGGGGGCATAGAACGTTGCAGCAGCAGAATTGAAGACGTGGAGTTTGCCCTCATGTCGAGGGCAGCTAGCGGCAGGTACATCTTCGGGGTCTTGGGGATCATTAGGCAAGAGTTGAGAGAATAAGAAGTATCGGATGAGGCATTGGAGGTGTGGTACATCAACCTCCACTGCTAATTCTGCTACCGTCCGTGCCCGTTTACGTTCTGTGAAAATCGTGGTGAGTATTGAGAACAATTATATCGCAATATCACTCACGGGGGGTCTTTGCAAGCTGCACATCAGCAAGTACAGTCGGACCATCAACAGCTTCACCGTCGTCAATGCCGTCTTCTGTTGGCAGTACAACAGGAGGAGCACCTGCCAGCGCCGGTGGTTGATCTTCATGCCCTACAACTGTAAATAAGTATGCGAGAAGACAAGTAGATATGGAAGCACTTACCAAGAGCGGCCACAGCTCGTGATAACACTGAGCCAACGAGCATCCCTCGTGTCGCGAAGTCTACACGAGACGCTGCGAGCTTGTCGAGGCGTTGGTTGGTCAAAAGCATTTGACCGAGGGCGTTGTTCCTGCTGGACCACCGCCAGGGATTTTTCACAGCTTTGATATGCTTGGATTCCGTGATCGACGAACATAATCCGTTCGGGGCGCCATAGAGTCGGATCATGTCTGCATAATGGCACATTGAGTGCTGGCGAGGGAGCGAGAAGTGAGGGACTGTGCCCGTGGTTTCGAATATCTGGCAGTAGTGGTGAAACCGAACCAACGAATCTTGAATTTGAAGCATGGTACCTTCAGTGACGACGTTGCGCCGAACGAGATAGCAAAATTCTAATAGTGCGCGAAATGCACGCACCATATCTCGAGGTACGTGGCCTTCGATAGCCGGAAGGAATACCTTCATGAGTGATTTTGAGTCGTCACCCGTCCACTGTTTGAAGTCGCGGCCTTCAGGGAATCGCTGGAGGCCAGCAAACGATGCTACAGCAGCAATTCTGACTTTTCATTAGACAATATCATTAAATTAATTAGATGTCACGTACCTGCGATCTATGTCGCTCATGATCTCGTCTCCTCGTTTGGTCCTGTGTGTGATTCTAAGGTACTTTACTACCCAGTCCACGAGATGGTCCTTGAAAGCGCCTTTGATCAGTTGGTGGAGGAGATCAAAGGACAGCAATTTATAAATATCGGCCCGGGGGAAGTCGTTTGTGAATGGCTGCATAAAATAGATTAGTATGTAATTAGAGAGCAGGTGGTTCCACTCACGACGACAACGCTAATGATACCATACTCGTGCCATAACGTGTCTGAATGGACGTTCTCGTGTATCATGAGGTCGGTGTGTTCCCGACAGCGATGCATACCGCCGCCATCAAGGTTTGTTCGAATCGTGAGACATCTACAATAATAGTCAGTAAAAGTTGATAGTGAGTGCGGGTGATTGCAAGTTCAAATACTCACTTCGGGCACCAATTTTTGACGGTGCAGGATAGCACCAGTTGCTCCTCGTAGTCTGCTATGTAGGGTCCCAGACCGTATATGGCGCGTCGAAAATGACCGTCTGGACAGCGCACGACCTCGTAATCGGTCATCGCAGGCTTGAGACTGGCGAGAATTAGGGAGAGCGAGCGGTGGAACAACTGGCGATGAAAGGTACGAAAGTGTCGTCATGAGTATATTTCCTATTAGCTGTAGAATAGATTAGATGAAGAAGCAATGAGAATTCAAATGATGACACTTACTTTTGGGTATAGAGAGGAAGCCAATGATAACGAGAGCATCGCGGTGTGCGCGCCGCACATTGTTATGTACATTACCGATTGATGCATACAATGGATAGTACGCGTTGTTGCCTGTACCCACAGAGACGGTGGTCTTGTCGCTACCGAGAACGATGGGAACGAACATCGAGCCATGCGTGTTGTGATCGTTCGATATGTCGTCCTGACAAGACGTTAGTTAAGCCCAAGATATAACAACAGATCAAATACTCACAGCCTGCTGCCATGCCCAGTCTCCAGACATGAAATCTTTCCATCGGCGCGTGTTATCCGACGTGTCGTACTCTCGAAACGGCGCATAGTCAATCTCACCCTTGTAGGTAGGGTTTGCTAGCATATTATGCGCCATTGAGCGGGGGTCCCTATACCAAACTTCGTACTCTCTGTCCATCCATGGTGGGACATTGTCCTCAGGGCGTTCCCCCGCGTATTGAACTGAGAGACATTGCCAGGGGACATCGCCAAGTTCTGTGGCATCAATGACCTTGTGCAGATCCTTGTGATCTGCGAACGGAGGGGAGTCGTCGTGTTTTGCCAGCGTCACGGCCATTAAATCGAACAGGAAATCCGAAGCCGCATGAGACATATGACACTGCTTGAACATGAATTCCGTCGTCGCAAATTCTATGTCGTTGCGATACGGGCTCCAATCGTGAGGAGACTTTGGTGGTGGAAGAGTTGGTGGCACGCCGGGTGGCAGAAACACACCGTCGGCTGTGCATGGTCGTCCTGAGATCATACTTAAGTTGGAAGGAACAAAACAACAGACTGGAACGTACCATTGAGGAGCGAGTGGTACGTGCGATAGTATCGCCCACTTGCATCTGTGAACTCTGCCTCTGGGGGGTTTGGATCCTCGTCACCAGCCATTGGAACAGGCTGTGGCGGCGGTGAGAGAGGTGGCGGCGAGAAGTCTGGAGGTGGCGGCGAGAAGTCTGGAGGTGGTGGTGAGAAGTCTGGTGGGGGAGGCGAGAAGTCTGGTGGGGGAGGTGAAACGTTAGGAGGTGGAGATGGTAACTGGTGCGGTAGGGGAAGATCCTCATGGGGCGGTCCTAAAGCAGGCGCAACATTGTGATTTGGGCGGACTGCACCCATATGTTGAGTGCGGCCTGAACGGTTTTGAAACCAGCGTGTACAGCCGGCAAATTGACATTCAAGCTGAAAGATGTTGTGAGTAGGGCGGATACTAGGCATAGTATTGGGTAGTACCGTGAATCCAGGCTGGACTGTTGGGATGTAAGATACCTAAGAATTTCGAAGGCCAACAAATTAAATATTTGGCGCCCACCACTAAGATTAAATCTAGACTCACCTATAATTACATATGCCCAACCAGCGCCGTTGTGAAGGAAATGCGTGCCGCATAAGAAAGGTATGAATAGCCACTGGAATGGAAAGGTTTTGGTGAATATTGATCCCCACATTGGACCGGAAAAGTGTTGGTAAATATTGATACTACTCACTTGGACCGGAAAAGTCTTAGTAAACATTGATGTATCTGCGTTGGAAAAGTTTTAGTAAACATTGATGTATCTGCGTTGGAAAGGTTCTGGTAAATATTGATACTACTCACTGGACCGGAAAAGTCTTGGTAAACATTGATGTCTCTTCGTTGGAAAAGTCTTGGTAAACATTTGATGTCTCTGCGTTGGAAAGGTTTTGGTGAATATTGATCCCCACATTGGACCGGAAAAGCTTTGGTAAATATTGATGATACTCACTGGACCGGAAAAGCGCTGGTGAATATTGGTGTCTCCTCGTTGGAAAAGTGTTGGTAAATATTGATATCACCGCACCAGCAAGGCTTTGGTGAATGCGGGGGGTGGATGATGTTGCGCCGAGAAATTGCCGGTGATATTGATGCCCCAAGACTAGTACATTACATTTACTAGTAGGGTCAATGTATTATTCAGAGTCAGCTTTGGCTACAAATTTTGAAGACATGACAAAACTCACCTTTGTCTCGTACTCGTAACCCACCGCCTTTGACTTTCTTCAGCCTCCCAAGCCCTTCATCAGCATAATGTCCCAGTCTACCACAGTTCCAAACCGTATGGCGACTCGTGCTAAAAATGCTACTCAACATCCCGGACACATTGTGACTGCGGGTCGTGTAAAAAGACGTACCGTTGCTCAGAAAGCTGCTGATGACCAGCGTGAAAAAGAGGAAATGGAGGCAAGTGAAGCCGCTGTTCAGGAAGGTTATCAGCGTATTGCTACTTTGCAGGCAGATGAAGATGCTGCACGTGTTGATGCACCTAAGCCCAAGCGTCCCCGCGCTGTCTTCTTACTTGAGGGTCTTATGTGAAATCAGTGTAAAATGTAGTGACAATCACAACTACACTTAGATAAGACTAGAAGTTGCCAGCTCCTCAAGTTCATGGTCAACGGATTTTCTACTTCTCGGTTGATAACGTGTTGTTTGTGGGTGGTCAAAGAGTAAACAAGTTACCTTTTTGTCTGAAGAAACTATATGGACTGATTTCTGTGATTTTGTTGTGTATGAAAAATGATAGGTATGTTTCACCCTAATAGGTCATGTCTCAACCTATGAAAGTATGTCTCAACTTTGTCGTGTTCTCCTGTCTCGTATTTCTCTTCCTGTAAAAGAGAGATGTCCTTGATAAATATATGTAGAGCTTGGCTCAGTAGAGTAGTGATGAGTAACTTGGTTATTCTGGATAGCCTCCCTGTGGGCTCTTTAACCTAAAATTACTTTGTTGAAAATGATAGTACTTGCACCCTTACTATGTCTTGCCTTGATCTCACTCTCAGTTAGTGGGATAGGTTTAGAGTATAAGTTTTGTCTTAGTCTTACTTCAAGGCACTTGGTTTGCCTGCACTTTGACCATGTCTTGCCTGAATCTCACTCTCAGATTAGTGAATTAGGTTTAAAGTGGGAAGTTATCAATGTCTTCAAGGCACCAATGGCCTGCACTTATGTGTAAAGTGGGAAGCTATATTTTGCATGGGTGTAAAATGGGCTCCTTTTATACCTTTTTGGAGGCCAGATTACTAAGCATGATTCATCACATGGATTGGTAAGAATGTGCTTACAAATCCTACCATTTGGTGTGCTGAGTCAGCCTTTTTACTAAGTACATTATAAATACACTGTTATCTTACAAAGCATGATGAATCAAAGGTATGAGTCATCTCATGGATTGGTAAGGTGTGCTTACAAACCAAGCCTTTTGGTGAGCTGAGTCATCCTATTTACTAAGAAGATTATAAATACACTGTTATCTTACAAACCATGATAAATCAGTGACAAAACATGATGAGTCAGGCTTGAATCCTTACAAATCACCTCATTTCCCAGTCACATGACCTGATTACAAACATGATCAGTCAGCTAGTGAGAAAGTCTGATGAATAAGCCAAGGAAAATGGAAAGAAAGAGAAGGTTACAGAATAAAATAGAAATTCATAGAAATCCCCGTGTATGATACGAGAAATGAAACACGAGACATGAGACTTCAGAAACAGACTGATGAATCAATGAAAAATGATAGAATCACTTGGTGATATGGTAGGGTAAACCTTCCTTATCTTTTGTATAACACACATGTCATGGTATGGACTGCATACCATGCATGACAGCGCACGAGCTGCAAAAAGGGTGCAAAGGCCACAGAGACCTCAACATTAACCACAGATCTCGGGAAGCCTGGGGCAGGCGCAGAAATCGCTGCTGATAAGGTTGTTGCCACCAAAGGCAAGGCTGGTGGTGGGTGTGGAGGTAGAAAGGTAGCAGCCAGTGCTAATGTGGAACACCCTGCGAGTGGTGAAGAGTTGAACATGCCAGTGCCAGGGGCAACCAGGGGGAAAAAAAAATTCAAGCAGGTAGTGAGGGATGCGATTCAAGCAGTTGTAGACGCTGGTATCAGTATCAATGGATCAACGATAACAAAGGCACGTGATGGAGATAACACGTCTGATATGTGAGTGTCTTACCTTAACAGTCACAATGAAGCTCCTTCTGACTGAAACCGCACTTTTTTTCTTCAATCTTTCAATACTCAATGATGATGCTAAAAGCCCCAAAAAATTTGCACTCGCTGGACGTATCCCAGGTTGGAGGTCAACTATTCCGGCCACCATATCTGGGCCAGCCTCCAAGGCAAATCCATCTACTGGCATGTCTTCCATCCAGCGGTCCAACATATCCAGCTCCGCTCCCCTTTCTAAACTCACAAAGGGGAGCACTATGAGTAGCAACAGCGCACCCCCACTCACACCCATCAGTACTCCTGATGCCGAAGGCCACACAGGGTCTACTTACTCAAGTCTGTTTGCAGATGACGAGTTTGATGACGACGAGCCCTCAACAGCTTTTACGAACCAAGGATTTACGGTGAGTCTAATCCCATTTATATTCTAATTCAATGCAATTTTAACCCCACCACAGGGTATTCAAATTAGTTCCAAGGCCTTTGAGAAGGTGGTGCCTCTGAATGTTGCACATCACGACGCAATCCCGGTACCTGATCAGTTCGATGCCATCGAAAATTTCAACAATGACTTCCTCATGCATTCAGATATCGACAACGACTTCCTCACTGGCATGCATTCAGATATCGACGACAACTTTGGGGCAGATCCCATCGCGGCCGATTTTACACTGCCTACCTCCCTAGTAGACTACAATTCCGATTCCGACTCTGAGCTACATTCTTCAGCCCGTGAATCTGACCTCGAGCCCCCACCCCTCGCACAGAAACCCAACTCTCGTCGCCCTGTTTTAGCGGACTTCGGCTTGCAGCCAGCAAGTCAAAAGTGGAAACTGGCATATCTTGATGCAGACGACGACTTAATGACACCATCATCTGAAGTTGAATTTGTGGAGAGGCCCGATGCCATTATCCGAGTCAAGACCGAACCTACTGAACCAGTATCTCTGCACCGGCTGACGTCTGCGGTAGGCTTCTCATTCCTCATTAGTATGCTAACATTTTACTGACTATGATATGTAAGACTGGCGTCACTGCCACACTCAAAGCCCCTGCAGCAAAGCGGCTGAAGTCCTCCATTCCAGACACTCAGACCGCTACCCCTTGTACCAGCGCTGCGTCATCCAAGGCAACAAAGCCACCAGTGGAGGTCCTCCGTCGTTCTCTCTACAGGACGCGCCACCTTCCTGATGGATATTCGACGGGAAACAAGTGGAAGAGAGAGTTCGTCCCGACTGTCCTTCGCTGTGTTGGCGATCTCGAAGAAGTATGGACCATTACTGACATAGATTTATGCCATGTCCTGCAGTCAGTCTGGAATGGCGTCTACAAGGGTAAAATTCAACACACGGTCACTGTTGATGGGCCCGTTATCTCTGTGGTAGGTGCTTTTTTGGATGCTACTGAAATCTGATTGATTTTTTTTATTAGAGTCTCCAGCGGTTGTCGGATTGGCACAACGCCCTCTCCCAGTCTGCCCTCATTGTATACGCACTCTTCCTGATCTATCAGGACGATCTCACTACTGATGAGGACCGCCAAGACTTTTCACGCACCCTCATTAAGGACTATGCCTTCTTGTATGGGGAAATAACAGACGACGGAGAGAGGTTGTACCCATTCAAGTCTGATCTTATCTTGCAGGTCCTTGTGCACCACATGACTTCTTCGCTTAATGCCATCGACTTGACGCTGGATACTAATTCAGGCCTGGGGAAAGGCATTCTTTCTCTTGTCACGGCAGCAGTGTGTTTTTTTTATCTGCTCATATAGCTGGCTCATTCTCCGCGTTTCAGGTCGAACACGCTGTCAAGCTTTTGGCCGAGGGACGCATGATCTTGAGCGACATTGACACCACCCGCAGAGGCAGAGGCAAAGCTCCCCAGGCACATAACAAATCCACAGGCAAGGACAGCACTATTCCACTGGCGTTTTCAGATGCCAATTATGGCCAGATCACCCGGTCTTACTTAGCCGCTATCGAACATCAGCCAGAGTCGGTCCTTCTCGAGATCTCGGAGCTCGCACTGAGCATTGCCATGAAGAGGTCTGGCATGCCAACGGACATGAACGGCGAGGAATCTCAGGATGAGCGCGCTCTCATCTGCTAGATGCAAGTGGTGCGCTGTCCTTCATTTTATAGTCTAGCTCGCGGCTGACTATTATTTGTTATCAGTACTACTACTACTCTACTACTATGCACCCTCATTCTTCATGTGCTGTCTTGTCATCACCACCGCTACTGATATTAATATTGTCGTCATGCATCCCCTTCGTCACGCCGCATCTCAATTTCTCATTTTTCGCTCCATATTATGACCTTGCACTTAATCATACTTGGCAGTACTTGTTTTATACTTGCTTGCCCTTTTTTGCCTGTATCTTACTTTTCTGTGTACCGTTTAATTAGCTTGTCTGCTTGTCTAGCTTTAAATGCATTGTTTTCGTCATGTTTTCTCAAACCGAGTGTGAATTCAAGTACACGCAATTTTAATAAGGAGAAATAAGGTCACATGCTTGTGTCTACTTGCTACTACTTGCGCCGCAGTCCATTCTCTTGAGCAAGGGTGGAAAAAGGTAAAATAAGTACAAAAAAAGGTGAAACAAGAGGAAGGGGTCTACTTTCCGAGCTTGTGCAGCTTGTGACAAGTGGACATTACCTGTCCTTGTGCGCAGCTTGTCCGTCCTTCCGTGGGAAAATAAGTGGGACAAGTGACGGAAAAGGCAATCAAGCAATGTGAGAATTTACTGATGATGGTATTGGGTTGGATGGCTGTTGAATTGTTGCTGACGTCCGAAACCACATTTTGTTGGGATGGAGGATGTCGATGATATCGATGGGAGACGAGGACACGTCAGTTATGAAAAAGGAAGATAAATGATACCTACACGTTTGGACGGCACATTGAAGAATGCGAAAGACGGGGATAGCTGAAGATGACTAGAATGAAATTTGTCATCGACAGATATGATTCTATTATTATCCTGAGCTATACTTACTAGATGACGTTCACCAAGCGGGGGGCAGACATCAACGAGGGAGCGTAGTGGAAGGGGTTTCGGTGACAAGCAACGGCTGTACAGGTGAGCTGCGTCATATGGCTAGATTTTTATCTTAGATGTTTTGGTACCGTGCCACTACCCGCATCTCCTTTCTTGCCAGTTTTCCTCGCGATCCCAGACATTTATATCCAGCCATATAGTACTGTCATATGTATCAATTGATTGCGCGTGAATCGCCCCATTCACGCGTTCATGTGCATCTCTCAAATGTGGGAGGTGCCAACACGTACACTGATTATACCCTGAACTCTCGCACTGTACAGCCACGCGGACTGCACGTTGCTTGTCGAAGAAAAAAACAAATATGAGGAGCTTTCACACAGAATTCAACTGCGGGCCCGCAAGGTAAGAATTGCAGACGCAAGCCTGCATTTCCCAAATACATTAATGATTCAATCAAATCTTCCTCGGGGCATAAGGTATAAGTGATTTGGTCCGACTGCACGTTAATGGGTCAGAAACAATCAAACGAATATGGGACGCGATCACGCCTGCAAGAAGCGGCGCAATGGACCATAAACGGTATCACTTTGGTACCAGTTAAGATCGTTTTTGAATTGAGAATCCACGTCTTTAGACTTTGAGGCTGAACGACGGAAGACGACGGGAATGACGACAACCATCACATGTAGAAATAAACATGTGCTTCGTACATGCAACGTTCGGGTTTTACTAGCGAATGAATGAGGGAAGACCTGTGCTTTACGATCAAGTGCCAAGACACGTCAGATTTGAATGCGAAAACGATTGGACGGCGCGTTCAAGATGTGTGAATACATGAGAACGAAAGAAACCAAAGATCAGAAAGCCAAATATGAGTTACCCAACCTCCTTGATGATGGGGGGCAATATAATCCCTTCGACATGATGGGCATCAAGAACCTAGAAATCGAGCCATGCAAGTACCATGAGTGAATCAAGAATGCTAGTCGTCTTCTCCGCGCTCTAAAAATGTGACGGAGGAAGGGTGATCACTAACTGATTGTGAACCTACGGCGGCGCCTGCTGACGTCGTTCAGCAATGAGACTAGTTTTGGGTCAGCGAAATGAACTTGAAGAGGGACATGCAGACTTACGAATGTGGGAAGGATAGAGTGCAGATGGCGAGCGAGCATCGGGAATGAGGGTCAAGGGGAAACAGGATCTGTATAGCTGGTCAGTACGATTCTGCATACCGATGAGCCGGACCAAAAAGCTCATCATCGTAATGAATGCTAAGGGAAAGGAGGAGGGGCTCAAACTTACAAAGGCGTGAAGAGGATTGTGCTGCTCTTCTGCGATATCGGGAGGTGTTGCAGTTGGTATGCGGAGAAGAGAAGGGACAAAGAGAGAACGTAGGATATTGAACTATTGTTAGTAGATGCAATGAATGAGTGGAATATAGTAGAACGTACACGAGCCTGAGAAAGCCATGCAGGAAGTGTAGTAGACAATCACATCGAGACACTCTGCACGCGACCGCATTCAAATTGTTCACAGGAGCGTTGGTCTTCTGCGACTCGGGAGGTCATCGCATAGGGAGAAGTAGTAAAATTACACAGAATTAAACGTACATGACTAAGACACACACAAGACGCGTTGCACGTGACCGCGTTCACGTCAAGTTCAAATCAACTCTTCCTCAGATCCTGGTATTCATAAATTTTCTCAGAGTCTGCGCAGTGCGGCGTATGTTGCTACAACAACTTCGACTCTACTAGGATAATATCAAGGACCTTGTCGATCGTCTCCAGCTTCGCAGTCAGTCACAACAACTACGTTCCGGGGAAGACCATTTACGCCGCTCAATCGATGTCACATAGTTTTTATGGCAGTTCTTTTCCTTTCATATGTCAAGACCCATTCATACGCCACCAGTGGTTGAAGTCGTAGTCCTTACGCGAGTTTACTGTAACGTGGATCATCTCATCTCTCGTTCTTGGTTTGATAATCTGAGACTTACAACGTCTTGCTGCTCCAAATTACCAGAATACAGGAAAGACGACGACACTCGACGTCCGCCTATAGAGTAGCCTGCCATATCGCAGGACACAGCCTAAACAGCACATGGTTCGAATTAGTTGACATTGGTTCGTTCTCAGACGTACTGCATTCGTGCAAAGTGTACTTTTGCTCCTACTCATGCTGGTCTTATGGCAGGCTGAGGATACCTTTGCCGCGGCGAAGACGCTTGGAGCGTATTGAACAACTCCACCTGGAACGCGCAACCAGTAACGTTCATGATGGCGGGGCTCACATTTGTAGTCAGCTCAATGTACACTCATCTACCTGCAAACAATGATTTATAACTTCTGTACAGACTACGTCTGACATTACCAGAATATGCTGACTCTGTGCTCATGCATGTAGCCGACTGAATGGAGAAGTGTCCATGAGCCTGCTGGTAAGTGACCGTTGAACACCAATGGGATCGAGCTTCTATTCCCTGCCTTCCTTCCGAGCAATGAGAGAAGATACTGAGACGATGACGGTTATCAATCTACCAGTGAGTCATCACGCACTACGCGGGTGGTACATATTCATGATAGGATATCCCCAAAGATGAGTTCCTGAACACACGGACTTCGTGGCATTTGCTGGTGATACGGCAGGATTTGGCCGCTGTTCCACCACAAACCATCTGCACAGGTCGTGCGGTACTGCACCATGACACCAGAATGGGAAAAGTATCACAGCAAGGTAGTGCGTGCATAGAAAGTTCTGGAAGAACGTGTCATCTGCAAAAAACGGTTCTGTGATATGGACTCATCGATTTCGGTTGTGTGCACTACCCTCATTGTTGGCATCTTCAGGTTGAACTCATGCCAAAAAGTGGAGTAGACTGGTGCAAGCGCATAAACTCTTCCTCTCATTCGCACCAACTCGTCGTGTGCGGCTTCCGCTGTAACGCTGATCAAGCGTCCGTTCAGCATGTCTCAGGATCGCGTTCAATGCTATCTGTGAGTAAACATGTTCTAGGTACCTGTGATTAATGCAGCGGTCACGATCAAGCTGGCAAGGTTCTGCTCCCCATCACTCACACCAGTCAATACCCTGGCTCTGGCCCATCCTCAGCCACACGTCACATTCGACGATGCTCATCTGCTACCCACATAACCAAACACATTCCAGAAGCAAGCGTGTCAAGTGACTGGCAACAGTGACCTTCACGTTCGATAATGAAACTAGGGAGGTAGTGATCAGATTGAATGTGGTGCGAAAGACGACTTGTAAGCATTGAAAGCACGATGATAGTTCTTGTATAAACAGGCTCGCCAGTAACTACATGAAGCTTTCACTCACGCTTCGTGGTGCTGGAATTCTGTCCCTTGATTCTGCCCCTTGTTAGAAGCTGGAGGTAGAAATGTCAGAATCAAATAACTGAGCTCAACACAAACATGCCTACACGAAGCGGTAGTCTCAAATGGAAACAGGACTTGACAATGATATTGGGCTGGGAATTGTTGTGTTGACTTTCGATGCGACCAACATGTTGTCCACGATTAACATTGTCGCTATTTATACTGTGCATGTGGATGTTTCCCTCTCAAGGTCGTATGTGACTGACTATGATGCGTAGGCCCAGCCTATACAAATATTGAGCATTGAGCATCCCGATTCCTGCGTCCAAGGTATGCCTGTCCATATGATACCTTGATGACAGGCGATCAGCGTTGAGGCAGACTGCGGGTCTAGGACACGCACTGGCGAGTTGTTCTCTCTGAGCGTAGGGACTGCTGTTCACTCTGTCGTAATGTTGCCAGATAGAAAAGCTCGTGCGCTATTCGGGTGTTGAATCTGTAGTTTGTCAATTACTAAACAAATTAATTTATTGTCGATATCCAGCACGACTCGCAACACCTCTATTCTCTTTGAGGTTTGTTGTGCATGGCACGCCGTGGCGCACGGCTGGAGTTGGATTTATCTCGCAAGTCACATCTTGGGTGGATAAACAGCATAATCAATAGTTAGATTGAAAGCTGCATGTATTGAACCTATAAAATACGTGCAATACGTGATGGTGGCATTAAATATGCCCACTCCTTGGTAGATGTCGTTGGGCAGAGACTTTGTGTGGTGGAATCGTGTCTTGAGAATGCTGATTGGAAAGATAAACGGTCCAATACAGAGCACAGGAGAAGTTCCTACCGTGGCTGGAGAGTTTGTCGAAAGGCGGAAGGTAGTACTTCATGGAGAGTGATAAGCGTTGCAAGTGTGGGTTGAGGAGATGGAGGGCAAGTTCAGAGTGGTAGGCGGGACGCACCATGTTCAGGAGTGTTAGGTTGGACCCTGATGGGGATTTCGGTGCGGGAGAGGGGAGGGGTGAGGTCGTTGATTGGGACTTATTTGACTGGGGGTTGTGTTAATATGTCTGTGTACGGAATGAATTGGAAGAGGGGAACGTACCTGCAGAACAATAGAGGACTGTGGGCTCCATGAAATTGAGAGTTTAGACTCGAGATGATCAACGGAGGAAATGGTGATCAAAGATGTTCTCTCCGTCATCTCCACGAGCGACTAAGTTCGACGGCTGAGAAGAAGAATGAAAAGATATTATTGGTATACAGACCGTGGCAGGGTACAGGTCCGGAAGAGAGAACTGGATCTGAAGTCTGTAGCGCAAAGAGACTAATAATGAGCATCGACTCACCATGATCCATGTATTCGCCAGCCGAATTTTCATCATCTAAGTTATCACAGTGTAGTCTCAGTTGGGATGGCCGCTGCACTCCCCGCTGGCATCCGTCTTCTCGCATACTGCCTTATGCTTCTCAATCTACGCCGTGACCATCAGCAAGGAACTGGGAGAACACGTGGAAGTGTTTGTTTGGCGGCTGCACGAAGGGAATGAAGGGGCTTGATAAGGATGAGCACATGAATAAGATGGGGCTGGTATTCGGTGATAGAATCGGGAGGTGGTCGAATGTGATAATGAGAGGAAACGAATAGAGAGAACGGGATGATCGACTACGGGGGAGTGAAGTATACGCGGGGAAGTCAATAGGAAGGGAAGGGAATTGCGTTGAACGAAGACGGGGTATGTAACCCCGTGAAAGAATTGATTCCAAGGATGATGCGAAGAAGCCTTTATCGGTAGATGGGAGTCGACACGAGGCACCTAGGTCCATAATTCGAGGAGATTTGTTGGTGAGTGACGAAGTTTGTTAAAGTTCATACGCGTTTTCTCAAGATCTCGAGACGAGCTGCACGTGACCACGTTCATGTTCACGTCAAGCCGTTTGTTAGTACTTGCTATAGTCTATACTACTAGTATAGTACCTGCAGCTGGTGAATGACCGGGACCTTTGTCCTTGCCATACTGCGCAGCATGAGTACCACTCCACCGGCGCTTTGCACCCAACAACGGTCAGGTTTCTCGATGCCGTCCTTTTGTCCGATCAACCCACCTCAGCCATCGATAACATTCCATGCATATCGACGATATATCAGTCCAGCCAATCGATAGTGGGCGCTTCCGAACGCGTGTTCGTCGTTTGTATAAATATCCTCTGCGCGAACATGCGACAGCCGCCTGTTCACCCTGCGTGCTATCCACCACCTTCCTCGTTCCCTTTTGCACCAAAAAATCTCATATTCAACCTCGTCCTTCCAACCTATGACTGAAAATAATCCTCCTTGGAAGAAACGCTTGAGTCGGTTGAAACTATGTCGTTCAGACTCTGATTTGTCAGGGGGGAGAGGCAGGAGGATAACCAGTGATGTATGGACTTTCGTCTTTATAACCACATTTTGTTTCTAATTAATACAGCCGTCCTCTCTCCCGTCTTCGAGGACTGCATCTCGCTGCCGGATTTCCAAGTTCATCGGCAAGTTCACCAACCGTTCTGCTTCCAGCGCTCGACGTTCTCCCAACCCTGAAACCACGGCTGCAATTTCCACTCCACAGGATATCCAGCCCCTCGAGTCAATCAAGGTGTGTGAAATCTTAACTCCGTGCACGCCCGTGTGCGATGATTGCTGCTAATTATTGCTGCAGGATCCTTCACCACCCATTGCTCGCACTCTCGAACCAAATCACGACCAGTCTTTAAATCTAGGCATTACCAAGGTGAGTTTGAGCAGCCTTGTCTCCCTCTTTCGATAATATAATAATGCCTGTAACCAGGCAGAATCGCCGCCTGATGTGAAACTTGTGATAGAAACGCTCGCGCATGCCCAAACAGGTGTCGCAGGCATTGGCCATGTCACAACAATTGCCCAACATACATCTTCAGCGGCCAACAACTTACAGTCTGTTTCCGATACGGTCGACTCATTCTCCGCGTTGCTTGGACCCTTGAAGGTGTTCAACTCCATTGCTAATGGCATTGCCGACGTACGGGCATCTATCTCTGTGTTGTACGCAACTAATACTCATATGTAGGTCCATCCCTACGCGAAGGTGGCATTGAGCATCTTCACTTGCGCGTCCAAGGTGAATTTCTTTTAATATTATTACCTTGAGAAGTTCACGCAGTCATTCATCACAGATGATTCTCGATCAGGCAGACCGCGATGACGCCGTCTCCCGTCTGCTCTCAAAGCTCTCTGAAGTCTACACCTTCATCACGGAAGAGGAGGAATTGCCCAAGTTGAAATCCATGCTGGCGGTATATGGGAAGATAGCCCAGCAAACACTGGAATGTGCTGATTTTATCAGCCATTACTCTGAGACGAAGAGCGCCTGTGAGTCGATCCCGCCGCTTCTTCTCCTGACACTCAATGTCTCTTGCACAGGGATAAGGCTCGGAAAGAACATTTTCGACGAAACGGATACCACGATCAAGAGCTACAACAATGTTTTCGACAGCCTCATGCAGCAATTCCGGGATCGAGCCGTTCGAGACACCGTTGTCACGGTCCACCGCATGGGTAAGTGTTGATTTTCAGGTCTCGTTGAGCATGATTTGACATTTGATGATTCGTAGCCGAGAGTCTGGACCTCATCGGCATGGAGTGCGCAGCGGGTACCGGAGTCGACATGTCTAAATGTTGTCTGCCAGATACTCGACAAGACCTTTTGACTGATATCAAGGATTGGATCGGCAGCACCGAAGAGGGCGTACCAAGCGTCTTATGGCTGTCTGGCCCTGCAGGCAAGGGCAAATCAGCCGTTGCCCACACGATCGCCAACTGGCATACTGAGCGTGGCGGTCTCGGGTCGTGTTTCTGCTTCGATCGCACGCAGGAAGCAGATCGCCGCCAGGACAAGATATTCAGGACCATCGCAAACGACTTGGCAGATTGCAACCCTATCGTGCGGCGAGCCTTGGCGCAAGCCGTTCATGATAAGAACGGACTCAAACGCACCCCAGACCTCACAAGGCAATGGCGGGAATTAGTTGTAGGACCAACAAGCACAGCGTCAGAAGCCATGGCTGCACCCGTCCTGATGGTGATCGATGCGTTAGATGAGAGCGGCCCAGCAAAGTCCCGGGAACAAATTCTTCGTCTGCTTGCTGGGGAGCCAAACGCCTTTCCTTCCCAGCTATCCAACATCCCAGCACACTTCCGTATTATCATCACTTCCCGTCCACTGGAGGATATTCGCGAAGCCCTGGGCACTGCATCACATGTTCGTCGTGTTTCCATGGATGACATCTCGCCTGTGTCCGCAGAACGTGATATCCAGCTCTACATCTCCACCAAACTAGCAGGCCCGGACAGTCCGTTCGATGATGGGCACTTCAAGACACTTGCTCAGAAATCCGACGGCTTGTTTGAATGGGCTCGTCTGGCCTGCGAGTATATTAAGAGCACCAACATCGTGAGCCGGGGCCCGATGCCCCTTTTCCGCGCTATTTCTGAAACGTCCGCCAAAGGAGTATATCTATTGGATGAGATGTACCAACTCATCTTGGGAGATATCATGCCAAAGCTCAGGCACCAGGATTCGATCCCTATCTTTCAGTCTGTCATGGGTCAAATTCTTGCATCATCGGAACCACTTCCCATCACTGTGTTGAACGCAATGCGGCAGTATTTCCCATGCAAAGATGACCGGTACGACGTGAACTTGCTGATGGGGAAGCTCGGCTCCCTTGTCTCTGGCACCTCGGATTCTCATACTCCCATACGTCCCCTTCACACGTCATTCTACGACTTCCTCACAGACAAATCGCGGAGCCAAGACTTCTTCGTTGATACGTCATCGGTACAGAGCGACCTTGCCTTCGCCTCCCTTCGGGTCATGGACTCGAAGCGCGGACTTCGCTTCAATATCTGCGCCTTGGAAAATTCGTACTTGCCTAATTCCGCTGTCCCTGACTTGGAGAAACGAGTAAAAAAGTCCATTTCGGCCGAGCTATCATACTCGTGTCGATTCTGGGGGACTCACGTGGCAGCGGCATCCTTCGAAGCAACACTCGCCAAGGAAATCGAAGCTTTCTTCGATGGAGAGCGCCTCTTGTGGTGGTTGGAAACACTGTCTCTGATGAAAAGCCTCGGCGGCTCTGTAGACGCACTCTTGTCTATCGTAGGATGGGTTGCAGTGCGTGTCTCAAGTTTATTCTTCGTGTAATAGATTCTTATGAGTGGTGGGGTGATCATAGGGTGATGCCGAGTACACGCATATCGGCGACGCTGCCAGGGATACGCTGCGCTTCGTTCGAACCTTCGCGTCCACCATTCTACGCAGCACTCCCCATTTATACCTTTCCGCCCTGCCTTTCGCTCCAACTCAGTCGAGAATATTTCGCCGGTTCGCCGCAAATTTTCCTTGCACCCCGCGCGTTGTTGCTGGCCATGTCGTAAATTGGCCTCAGATGGAAAAGATACTCCACGCGAATCACCGGGTTTGCTCAGTTGCAATGTCGCCAGACGGAAAACGCATCGCGTGTGGTTTAGAGGACGGAACGATCCAGGTGTGGGATACGGAGACTGGCGAGGCATTGTGTGCCCCTCTCCAAGGCCATGCTTTCGTGGTTACATCTGTGACATTCTCGCGGGATGGCCATCGCATCGTGTCAGGTTCATGGGACAAGACAATCCGGGTGTGGGATGCGGAAACTGGCAAGGCATTGGTTGCTCCCCTCCGAGGGCACACCAACTGGGTCACGTCTGTCGCCATCTCGCCGAATGGAAATCACATCGTATCTGGTTCTCAGGACAAAACAATCCGGGTGTGGGATATAGGAACTGGCGTGGTATTAGGATCCCCTCTCAAAGGGCATACTAGCCCTGTTACATCTGTCGCAATCTCACCGAACGGAAATCATATTGTGTCCGGCTCAGGGGACGTGACCATCAGGGTGTGGGATCTGAAAACTGGCAAGGCATTAGGGGTTCCTCTCCGAGGGCACACTCACTGGGTTCAGTCTGTTGCAATTTCACCAGATGGGAAACACATTGTGTCCGGTTCAGATGACAAGACGATCCGGGTGTGGGATATGAAGACTCGCGAGGCATTTGGTGCCCCTCTTCGAGGTCACACTGCCTCTGTTGAATCTGTCACAATCTCGTCGGATGGACAGCGCATCGTGTCCGGTTCAAAAGACCAGACGATCCGAGTGTGGGATATGAAGACTGGCGAAGCATTAGGATCCCCTCTCCAAAGCTCTAGCTTTGTTCAGTCTGTTGCCATCTCGCAGGATGGAAAACGCATAGTGTCTGGTTCGGCTGACGAGACGATCCGGGTGTGGGATGCCGACGTGATTACGGACAAGGCATTGGTTGCTGCCCTCCAAAGCCACACTGACTCCGTCAACTCTGTCGCAATCTCGCCGGATGGGAAGCGCATAGTGTCCGGTTCAAGTGACAAGACAGTCCGGATGTGGGATATGGGGACTGGCAAGGCCTTGACCGCCCCTCTCAAAGGACACTCTAGGGAGGTTCTGTCCGTCGCAATCTCGGGAGATGGACATCGTATTGTTTCCGGTTCAGATGACAAGACCGTCCGGATGTGGGATATGGGGACTGGCGAGGCATTGAGTGCGCCTCTCCTAGGACACACTAAGGCCATTACCTCTGTTGCAATCTCGCTGGATGGACGCCGGATCGTGTCTGGTTCAGATGACCAGACGGTTCGGGTGTGGGATGTGGAGGCTGGCGAGGTATCGGGTCACCCTCTCGAATCGCACTCTAACCGGGTTTGGTCCGTTGCAATTTCATCAGACGGAAATTCCATAGTGTCTGGTTCAGGTGACGAAATTCAGGTGTGGGATATGGGGACTGGCAAGGCCTCGAGTGCCCGTATACAAGGCTACCCTGCTTCTGTCCTCTCTGTCGCAATCTCGCCGGATAGCCGTCGCATCGTGTCTGGCTTAGGCGACACCATCCGGGTGTGGGATATGGGGACTGTCGAGCCATTGGGTGCTCTCCAAGGCCACACTGCCTTCGTTAGATCTGTTGCAATCTCATCAGATGGAAATCACATCGTGTCCGGTTCAAATGACAGGACGATCCAGGTGTGGGATATGGCAACTGGCGAGGCAGTGGGTGCCCCTTTCCGAGGGCACACTAACTCCGTTAAGTCAGTTGCAATCTCGCCCGATGGCAAACACATCGTGTCTGGGTCAGACGACAAAACCATCCGGGTATGGGATATAGAATTTCTCAACCAGAACCACCCTTCCGCGCCTGCAATATGTCTTTCACCTAACAAAACCCACGCTCTTCATTCTGCCTCCTCCTTTCTCCAAGACTCTTCCACCCCAGCCTCTGTCACCGCGAACGAGGACGGATGGGTTGTCGGTCCCGAAGGACAGCTTCTCCTCTGGATCCCGCTTAATTTTCACCCGCTCATGTATTACCCCGGCAACACACTGGTGATCCCCAATCACGCCTCGCAATTCGATTTGAGTTGTCTCGCGCATGGCACGTCGTGGCACGAGTGTCGGACGCAGGAGGCAGTGTCATCTTCGTGATAAAGATCTGTCGGTCACGCCATGGGCATGTTCTTTGTTATTTGACTGAAGATTATGATTCTACACAGATTTCATATGACACATATTTGCCTTGTTGCTGGACTTCGTTATGACTTCGTTTTGCTTCATTGGCTACTAACACCATAATCATGTCCTGCAGAACATTTGCAAAGTTCGAATTGACTATATTTCCATACTCTTCTCTCCTCGTTACTCTATCTCTAGACTTGCTTTCCCGTTTATTATCTGCTGGATCAGCCGTAAAATTACAAATTGACTTGAGCTTGAACCACGTCTCTCGAGAACGGTCATGTTGCCCGAATCAGAACCATTCTCACCATTTCTACTCTCGCCTGAATATGTCACTCACTAACCTCCTTCATCCCTTGAACGCACTCCCAACAGCCATAGATATGACCCATACGACACTGGACAAAGACTACTCGCGAGCAGCTTAGGGCAAACGAGGCCGTCTGCTGGTCCGCAATCAGCCTCTCCCATGATTATTGTTGAACAACTCACTGACGATGTGCGCACATGTCAAGCAGGGTGGGAGGGAGAGCTAGACGGTGGGGATCGGGGAGGAAGTGAAGCGCACAGGAGGCCATCTGTGAGCAGGAGAAGGCGAAGACAAAAAGGTGTCAAGTAGGATGGTGTGCTTTGGGCGTCGACCAGCGCTTGGAGGTTCGTTCCTGTAAGAAAATAATGGTTGTTATATGATACGTCAAGACGGGGTGCAGAGCTGCGAGATGAGACCAATTGCCGTCACACATATTTCTGAAGCACAGGCTCTCCATCATGGTGTTTAGCCACGCCTACTTCAAAGGTTAGTGGTGTAGCAACGTGTGGTGATCAAGTCAGCTTTCGATCTCGATAAGGAGCACAGTGGCATAGCAGGGTGGCTGCCGTGTTCGATTGGTGCGAGGGCACGCTACGACAGATCTAGATCACGTCTGGACAGTAAATTTGTTGGAAAGGGCAATCACGATGGTATCGGCTCGTTCTCGTCCCTATAATGTGAACGATACTTATCCCTGCAAGCATATCATTAGCCTCCGTACACTACAACTAGAAGCAACAGTGAAAGACGACCTACTTACATCAGTGGTATGTGGTCCTGCTGCAAAACGGCACTTTGAGAACATGGGTTACACGGAGGAGGACCTTAAGCCGTTCACTAGGGCACGCGTTCCCAGAATTCTCGAGTCCATCCTCAATCGGCTGAGAATGTTGCCTGTGGGATGGAAAGGCGAGGGAAACGAGCTCTTGTTGGCAGATGGTGAATCGCAAGCCCGCGAGGCAGGAATAGCCCGTATTTCTAGATGTGCTATAGATGGAAGGGATCAGTAATTTGGTCCTGATTAGAAGCTAGCGACCGCAGCGTCTGAAAAAGAAGGGGAAGGTAGAATGAAATTTGTCATCGAAAACTATGAATCTATTATTATCCTGGGCTATACTTAGACGACGTTCAACAGCGTTCAGCTCAAACATCGATCCAAGTCATTCAACCCAAGCGGGCGGCAGAGCATCAACGAGGGAGCGTAGTGGAGGGGGTTTCGGTGACAAGCCACGGCTGTCACGCACTAGGTGAGCTGTATCATATGGCTGCTATATTTTCATCTACATCCTACGATCTATCACTGAAATCTAGATGTTTTTGATACTGTGCGTGACGTACGGCCACCACCCACTGATCTCGTTTCTTGCTGGCACGCGCAATCAAGTTATAAATATGACAGTATGTCATCCAGCCCTGCAATGTACACACGTAGTTCTGTTCAACTCAATGCTTTGACCTCGCTTTGAACTCCCGAACCCCTTTATCTTAAACTACTATGCTTTTGGTGGATCTCTGGTCAGAGTGACCAAACGCATTCCGTGGTTACATATGATGGACTATCGGGGTGTGGAGTGTATGTGGGGAAGCCAATAGGAAGGGAAGGTAATTGTGCTGGACGAAGACGGCAGATGTAACCCCGCGAAAGACGCCATTCGAAGGTTGATGAGAAGAGACCCTTATATGTTGTTGGTAGGGATTTTGACACGCGGGGTGCAGGTCCAGAATATTCGAAGAGATCTAGAGGGTCAAGTTTATACTGAAGATGAACTTGAAGCACTTTCCAAATCAATAATACCGATCATCGACCTCCTCAAGTCACTGGGCTGCAGATCTTGTGTCGCATGCAGAGGAGCTTTAGAAAGAGACCACAGTAAGTCTTGCTAATCCCGTTATCGTATCCAAGCACTTACTCTAGACAGAGATGCCAGTGGCTTAGCGCGAGTCGTTACGCTCTCGAGACCACTCATGTCTTCAACCGCCAAGGCAAAGACCACCAAGCTCAGTGAGTGTCCCTCTGTTCTCGACCTGTCATATATTCTCAATGTTTACTGTGTAGTCCGCACGCTTCTTAACCACTTCGACTCCATCCCTAAACTCAATTTGATGTCCTAACCGACAATATTGAGTGGTCAAAGCGCGAAAGCGCATATTCTTTAGCACAGCTTAGAAATTCGTCTTTTTCCCTGTAAGAACCACTCCCTCTTCTTATGACGATGCTTATTATTGGTACAGGCAACTTCAAGCACTGCAGTACAAGCTAGCCTTAGCGCGGATCGACGCACTCTTGACAGAGTTAAAAAGGCTTGATGATAAGATGATTCTCCGAAGTACACCTGCTCGAGAGCCGCGTCTACCGTGGCATTAGAAACCTCTCGAAGGCCAAGGTTATTCCTTCAGTCGTTGTCCCAGTTTATCCATTTTGTGCTCTTACGTCCGTCGAATGTATATGCTGCCATCACTTCCTCCAGGACTGCTAACTCGATATACTGTCCTCATCTTCACCCAGCGTTAGACCTCCAGTCCGGCATGCCGAGGACAAGGATTACACTACCACATACTCATACTCATACTTTTATGAAACTTTCGAGAACATATCATCGCAGGATGACCCAGCAGCGCTGAACACCCTCAAGTACATACTTTTGTGCAAGGTCATGTTTGAATATGGTGCGTTGTCACTGATATTCATTTGTTAGTCGTTCTTAATGTGCGTTCCAGCCCGAAGATGTAACATCACTCCTCTCCATCAAGCTCGCGGGATCGAGAATATGCATGCCATAGCGCTTGCACATCAGAACCGGAACCTGGCGGATTTCGAGAATGTCCTTCGGGACTTCAAACACGGTATGTTAGGCTCAGCTCACACAACACATTACTGACTTCTTATCGCTTCATAGAACTCTTGTCAAACCCTACCATTCGCTTGCATCTTGCAGCGCTTTATGACACCCTTCTCTAGCAGAGCCTCCTGCCCATTGTTGAGCCAAACAGGTCGGGCAAGGACGGCAGGACGTTGAGGCCAAGTGCGTGTTATACCTTTTCTCTGAAATAACAATAGCTGATGTCGTATTCCAGGCTATCGCAGATGATCTTGGACAAGGTGTTCCACGGCGTGCTAGATCAGGGAGGAGGGTGCCTAATCGTATTCGATGATCTAGAAGCAGATGTGGGTTTTTTCTGCCACTCATCTTTCAGAACACGTAGTATGGAGCAGCAATCGGGACTCTGGAGCAGGTTAGCAAGGTTGTGGATTCGTTGTATGCCAAAGTCCATCCATTCATTGTTTTTGGCCGCTGTTTTGTGCTCATGAATCTCATTCAGACTGTTAAGATTGCATAGACGTAGTTGTTTATGTGACATCCTTTCTATAGGTGAAACTCGATATAATGCATATAACTAAGAGGACGAAACGGCCTCACTGTCAAGGATAGATTCCGTGTCTGCGCTCACACTCACTAACCACGTCGTCACGCTGATATGAACAATATGTAAGTGGATATCACGGCCTGAGCTCGTGTCATTCTCGTATACATAAATATAGTCCAGAGGTATTGTTAGAAGAGATCATCATGTATTTGAATACCTGCCGCGATGGGATAACCACCGGTGCTGGGGATCAAGGTGAATATCACATGCAGGCCCACTTCGTGGATCGCCAATAGATCCATGTTCGTGTGCGCATTATCAAGAGCAGCCAGCTATACTTGCAGTTCCACGTCTCGGAGTATTTTCGGTGGACGACTCTGCTACTTGGGTGGACGACCAGGGAGCGAGGCGTCTGCTTCAGAAACAGGCAGATGACGTGGAAGGAATGTGGCTGATATACAGCGTCAAGGAAGAGCCGCAGCAGCTGCGAAGACGAAGACAAAAGCTAAACCTAGACTTGGTGCAACGTAGAAGTTAGATTCCTCATGTTTACTCATGCCTTGTTCAAGGACTGGAATGGTGTCCTCGAGACTCGGAATTGCTTGTAGAAATGTGCGTACATGTCGTCAAACACGTTGTTCTCTTTCGATGGATGTCTCTACTACTTGGGTGGAGGACCAGGAAGCGAGCGTCTGCTTCAGAAGCGGGCAGATGATGTGGAAGGAATTTAGCTTGTATACGGCGTTAAGGAGGAGTCGCGGCGGCGAAGACGGAGACGGAGGCTTAACCTAGACTTGAACTATCAAAGGAGGGCGGCATCGCGGATGACGATAAGCAGAAAAAAAATTAAATCTGCATTCAGCCGCCTTCTGTATTAGTGGTGAAGATGTCCTAAAGAATGATTGGACCAAGGTATTGGATAGTTTCAAGCACAAGAAAGGCGGTCATGGAAGGAGTTGAATGTAGCTTGAAAGCAAGCTGCCCATGCCGGCATGATGTGGAGAAACGATACCTGTACTTTGTCGATTGAAGCCTTGATAGTGAGCACTTGTTAATGGATCCCCTTTGGTGTAGGACACATTGCACGTGGAGGTGGTTTATTTGCAGTTGAGGGTGGTCACCTGCGCTGTGCGGAACTACGCTCGATGCCTCGTTGACTAATATTTGCCCTTCCACGCACACGACAAGACGTCTTCCGGAAAGGCAAAGATATCCTGATCAGCGTAAGGAAGGGAGCGATCAGATTTCTTGGGAAGAGAAGTTGAATGCGGTGCAAATGATGCGTATCAGCTATGTGGAATTTTCACTCGGTGACCCTTATTGTCCCTTGCTGCATGCTGTCAAACACGCACAAATAAAGGCGGGCAAGCGCTCAAGGCTGTCGGCGGACCATTCAGCTATTACTGACTAGTCGGTTTGTGGTGGTGAATGATCTCAAGTTGTCCTCCTGGTATCTGTGCACACTCGTGATTATCGCTCGCAGGCACAATACTTGCAAAGCACGATGGTCAGGTTTCCAGTCGATGCGACCTTTTGTCCCATTAACCCAACTCGGGCGCATCAATAACGTTCTGATATTAATAGTCTGATGGCGGCCAATCGATGATGGGCGCTAACTAGCGCGTGTTTTGCTGTTCATCATCTTCCTCCCTTTTGAGACTCATACTCAGTCTCCTCCCAACTTACTCGATGAGTGAAAACAATCCTCCTGGGAAGAAGCGCTGGGAGTGGCTGAAGCTGAAGCCAAGTCGTTCAGACCCTCATTTACTAAAGGAGAGGCCAACCAGTGATGTATGGACTGTCAACTTTACAAGTTCGCCACGTTTCTAATGTTTATAGACATCCTCTCTCCCGCCTTTGAGCAATGGATCTCGCGAACGATCCCCAGGGTTAGCTCGCAAAGTCTTTGGCAAGGTGACCAAACCCTTCTCTCCAAGCGCTCCACAGTCTTCCAACCCCACGGGTGCGAGTTCCAGCGCGAATATCCAACCTGTACCGGTACAGTCAATCGAGGTATGTGAACCCTCGGCTCTGAGTATGCCCATGTGCCAGGATTGCTACTAATTTGCCCTACAGGATCCTTCACCACTCATCGTTGCCACTTCCGAACCGAATATTGAGCAATCATCCAATCCAGGCATTGCAAAGGTAACTTTGAGCGACCTTGTCTCCCTCTTTCGATCAAGCACTAACATCTCTAATAAGGCCGAACAACCTGACCAGAAGCTTGTGAATGAAAGAATCACCGATGCCACCAACGTTTTTGCAGGCATCGGCCATGTCCCAGCAATCGCCCAAAATACCACATCAGCGGCCAACAACTTACAGTCTGTTTCCGATACGGTCGACACATTCTCCGCATTGCTTGGACCATTGAAGGTGTTCAATTCCATTGCTAGTGGCATTGCCGATGTATGGGGATCTGTCTCTGCTTTGTACTTAATTAACATCTTTATGTAGGTCCATCCCTACGCGAAGGTAGCGTTAAGCATCTTCACTTGCGCGTCCAAGGTAGATTTCTTTCAATATCATTACCTTCAGAAGTTGATGGAGTCATTCGTCGCAGATGATTCTCGATCAGGCAGACCGCGATGACGCTATCTCCCGTCTGCTCTCAAAAATCTCTGAAGTCTACACCTTCATCACAGAAGAGGAGGAATTGCCCAAGTTGCAATCCATGCTCGCGGTATATGGGAAGATAGCCCAGCAAACACTGGAGTGCGCTGATTTTATCACACATTACTCTGAGACGAAGAGCGTCTGTGAGTCGATCCCGCCGCTTCTTCTCCTGACACTCAATGTTTTTTGCACAGGGATAAGGCTTGGAAAGAACATCTTCGACGAAACGGATACCACGATCAAGAGCTACAACAATGTTTTCGACAGCCTCATGCAGCAATTTCGAGACCAAGCCGTTCGAGACACCGTTGTCACAGTCCACCGCATGGGTAAGAGTCGAGTTCAAAGTCTCGTTGAGCATGATTTGACATTTGATGATTCGTAGCCGAGAGTCTGGACCTCAGCGGTATGGAGTGCGCAGCGGGTGCAGGAGTCAACATGTCTAAATGTTGTCTGCCAGACACACGACAAGACCTTTTGACTGATATCAAGGATTGGATCGGCAGCACCGAAGAGGGCGTACCAAGCGTCTTATGGCTGTCTGGCCCTGCAGGCAAGGGCAAATCAGCCGTTGCCCACACGATTGCCAACTGGCATGATGAGCGTGGCGGTCTAGGTTCCTGTTTCTGCTTCGATCGCACGCAGGAAGCAGATCGCCGCCAGGACAAAATATTCACGACTATCGCAAACGACTTGGCAGATTGCAACCCTATCGTGCGGCGAGCCTTGGCGCAAGCCGTTCATGATAAGAACAAACTTAAACGCACCCCAGACCTCACAAGGCAATGGCAGGAATTAGTTGTAGGACCAACAAGCACAGCGTCAGAAGCCATGGTTGCACCCGTCCTGATGGTCATCGATGCGTTAGATGAGAGCGGCTCAGCAAAGTCCCGGGAACAAATTCTTCGTCTGCTTTCTGGGGAGCCAAACACCTCTCCTTCCCACCTATCCAACATCCCAGCACACTTCCGTATTCTTATCACTTCCCGTCCACTGGAGGATATTTGCGATGCCCTGGGCACCGCATCACATGTTCGTCGCATCTCCATGGATGACATCTCGCCTGTGTCCGCAGAACGTGATATCCAGCTCTACATCTCCACCAAGCTAGCAGGCCCGCGCAGTCCGTTTGATGATGGGCACTTCAAGACCCTTGCTCAGAAATCTGATGGCTTGTTTGAGTGGGCTCGTCTGGCCTGCGAGTATATCAAGAGCACGAACATTGTGAGCCGGGGCCCGATGCCTCGTTTTCGCGCTATTTCTGAAACGTCCGCCAAAGGAGTTTATCTGTTAGATGAGATGTACCAACACATCTTGGCAGATGTCATGCCAAAGTACACGCACGAGGAATCGATCCCCATCTTTCAATCTGTCATGGGTCAGATTCTTGCATCGTTGGAACCACTTCCCCTGAATGCGTTGAACGAGATGCGGGAGCATTTCCCATGTGATGATGACCGGTACGACGTGAACTTGCTGATGTGGAAGCTCGGCTCGCTTGTCTCTGGTACCTCGGATTCTTTTACTCCTATACGTCCCCTTCACGCGTCATTCTACGACTTCCTCACAGACAAATCGCGGAGCGAAGACTTCTTCGTTGATACGTCATCAGTACAGAGTGACCTTGCCTTTGCTTCCCTTCGGATCTTGGATTCGGAGCGCGGGCTTCGCTTCAACATCTGCTCTTTGGAGAATTCGTACTTGCCTAATTCCGCTGTCCCTGACTTAAAGAAACGGATTACAGAGTCCATTTCGGCCGAGCTATCATACTCGTGTCGATTCTGGGGGACTCACGTGGCAGCTACGTCCTTCGAAGCAACACTCGCCAAGGAAGTTGAAGCTTTCTTCGATGGAGAGCGCCTCCTTTGGTGGTTGGAAGCACTGGCCCTGATGAAAAGCCTCGGCGGCTCGGTTGACTCACTCTTGTCTATCGTAGGTTGGGTTGCGGTGCGTGTCTCAAGTTTGTTCTTCCCGCAATAGATTCTTACGAGTAGTCGGGTGATCATAGGGTGATGCCGAGTACACGCATATCAGTGACGCTGCCAGGGATACGCTGCGCTTCGTTCGAACCTTCGCTGCCACCATTCTACGCAGCACTCCCCATTTATACCTTTCCGCCCTGCCTTTCGCTCCAACTCAGTCGAGAGTATTTCATCAGTTCACCGCAAAGTTTCCTTGCACCCCCCGCATTATTGCTGGCCATGTCGTAAATTGGCCTCAGATGGAAAAGATACTCTACGTGAATGCCGATGCTTCGTCGGTTGCAATGTCGCCAGACGGGAAACGCATCGCGTGTGGTTTAGACAATGGAACGATCCAGGTGTGGGATACGGAGACTGGCGAGGCATCGTGTGCCCCTCTCCAAGGCCACACTAACTATGTTGCGTCTGTGGTATTCTCACCAGATGGCCATCGCATCGTGTCAGGTTCATGGGACGCGACAGTCCGGGTGTGGGATGCGGCGACTGGCAAGGCAATGGGTGCTCCCCTCCGAGGGCACACCAACTGGGTCACGTCTGTCGCCATCTCGCCGAATGGAAGTCACATTGTCTCTGGTTCTAGGGACACAACAATCCAGGTGTGGGATATAAGAACTGGTGAGGCATTAGGACCCGCTCTCGAAGGACACATTGACCATATTGCATCTGTCGCAATCTCACCGAACGGAAATCATATTGTGTCCGGCTCATATGACACGACCATCCGGGTGTGGGACATGCAAACTGGCAAGGCATTGGGGCTTCCTCTCCGAGGGCACACTAGCGGTGTTCAGTCTGTTGCAATTTCACCGGATGGGAAACACATTGTATCCGGTTCAGAAGACAAGACGATCCGGGTGTGGGATATAGAGACTCGCAAGGCATTTGGTGCCCCTCTCCAAGGTCACACTGCCTCTGTTCAATCTGTCACAATCTCGTCGGATGGACACCGCATTGTGTCCGGTTCATATGACCAGACGATCCGAGTGTGGGATATGAAGACTGGTGAAGCATTTGGATCCCCTCTCCAAGGCCACACTAGCGGTGTTCTATCTGTCGCCATTTCGCCGGATGGAAACCGCATAGTGTCTGGTTCATACGACAAAACGATTCGGGTGTGGGATGCAGACATTATCACGGGCAAGGCATCGGTTGCTGCCCTCCAAAGCCACACTGACTACGTCAACTCTGTCGCAATCTCGCCAGATGGGAAGCGCATAGTGTCCGGTTCAAGTGACGAGACAGTCCGGGTGTGGGATATGGGGACTGGGAAGGCCTTGACTTCCCCTCTTGAAGGACACTCTGCACCTGTTTGGTCTGTCGCAATCTCAGGAGATGGACATCGTATTTTTTCTGGTTCAGATGACAAGACCGTCCGGATGTGGGATCTGGGGACTGGCAAGGCGTTGAGTGCGCCTCTCCTAGGACACACTAAGGACATTCGCTCTGTTGCAATCTCGCCGGATGGACGCCGGATCGTGTCTGGTTCAGGTGACCAGACGGTTCGGGTATGGGATGCAGAGGCTGGCGAGGCATCGGGTCACCCCCTCGAAGGGCACTCTGACTGGGTTCAGTCCGTTGCAATTTCATCGGGTGGAAATTCCATAATGTCTGGTTCAGATGACAAGACAATTCAGGTGTGGGATATGGAGACTGGCAAGGCCTCGTGCGCCCGTCTCCGGGGCCACACTGGCTATGTCCTCTCTGTCGCAATCTCGCTGGATGGACGTCGCATCGTGTCTGGCTCAGACGACAAGACCATCCGGGTGTGGGATATGGGGACTGGCGACTCGGAGCCATTGGGCGCCGCTCTCCAAGGCCACGCCGACTCCGTTAACACTGTTGCAATCTCATCAGATGGAAATCACATTGTGTCCGGTTCAAGTGACAGGACGATCCAGGTGTGGGATATGGCAACTGGCGAGGCAGTGGGTGCCCCTTTCCGAGGGCACACTGACTCCGTTAAGTCAGTCGCAATCTCGCCCGATGGCAAACACATCGTGTCTGGGTCAGACGACAAAACCATCCGGGTATGGGATATAGAATTTCTCAACCGGAACCACCCTTCCACGCCTGCAATATGTTTTTCACCTAACCCAACCCACGCTCTTCATTCTGCCTCCTCCTTTCTCCAAGACTCTTCCACCCCAGCCTCTTTCATTGCAAACGAGGAAGGATGGGTTGTCGGTCCCGAAGGACGGCTTCTTCTCTGGATCCCACTCAATTTCCATCCGGTGATGTATGCCCCAGGCAATACTCTGGTGATAGCCAACAATCCCCTGCAACTGAACTTGAGTTGTGTCGCGCATGGCACGTCTTGGCACAAGTGTCGGGAATAGGAGGTTATCCTGTCTTCGTGATTATATATCTTGTATGTCGCACCTTTGCCAATGTGCTTGTTTGATTAATTGACGACGGCGATCTACAGGATTTTTACAATACACGTTTGCCTTGGTCAAGTTTTATTCCTGTCTTTTCGTCGTGTACAAGTTTCGCTGATACACAATGTTTTCATGATGCCCCGAGTCGTACTAGCTGTGCATTATGATTTCTACACGTACTACCGCTTCCTACGTTACGTTGCGAATCACATCTTTTTTCCTGTAGTCGTCGGAATAGTGGGCAGTGGCTTAGGCGAGAATCTGCTGGACAAGCCAGTATTACCATTACTTGTCCCTGTCATGTGTTGAGTGAACGCGAATGATAGTGAGTACCTAGATGATGCATGTTCGGTTCGATGACTCGCATCCACGCAAAATCCTACTGTCATTCAACGTGTTCTGCACCCAAAAATATGTTGATCCAGGGTATACGTGCGTTGCTAATGTACTACATCATTAATTGTACATCTCCTATGCTACACCGTGGGCGCAAAACCAGCTTGAGAAGCAGCGCAACCGGCAACTCTACTCATCAGTAACTGAGCGTCTCCATTATCCCATCCAAAATCCTAACCGCATCCGGCATGTTGAATTTCTCGAACTGCAGCGCAGCTGGAACGCTATATAAAAATGAATTCTGTCAGAATACGGTCAAGAGAGAGAGGGGGGAGGAACAGAGAAACAGGGGACGAGAAAAATAAAAACAAAAACACTTACTCCCACCCCGTAATCCTCCTCACAGGCGCCTCCAGCCTCAAAAAAGCTCTCTTCCCGATCTCAGCAGCAATCTCACCTCCAACACCGCCCGTCATGCCTGCTTCATGCACAATAACAAGCCTCTTCGTCCTGCGCACGCTCTCTACGACTGTTTCTACGTCCCACGGCAATATCGTTCGGAGATCGATGAGTTCAACTTTGGCGCTACGAAGGGATGGAGGGACGAGTGGTGCGAGGGAGGGTGGTGGGGAGTTGAGGAGACGGAGGGCAGATTCGCAGTGGTAGACGGGGGTGCCCCATGTTAAGAGTGTTAGGTCGGATCCTGGGATGAGAATTTCGGCGCGGGAGAGGGGGAGGGTGAAATCATCTATTGGGACTTGTTCGACTGCGGGTAGAATTAATATATGTATACAGGGAAGTAGGGAAAGGAAAGTACCTGCAGAACGATAGAGGACTTTGGGCTCCATGAATATCACTGGGTTGGGGTCGCGGATGGCTGAAAGGAGGAGCCCTTTGCATTGGATTGGAGAGCGGGGGATGACAACCTAGTGGTGCATGAATGCAATTAGAGTTCTCGTCGTCTAAATAGCAGTGCAATGGGACAGGACATGCCTTGAGACCAGATGCGCCCATGAAGAACCCTTCAGGGCTCTGTGAGTGGTATAGCCCACCATGGCCCACAGCCATAGTTGGAGTGCGCACAGTTAGCCCGCCAATAGAGAATTTTCCACCTGAACGGTAGCGGAACTTTGCGGCTTCGTTCACAAGCTACGTAGAAAATTCGCGGGGTTAATTTCAAATTTGAAAAGAAGCAGATTGAACACAGCGAACCTGGTCAAATGCGGGGAATATATAATCCGCAAACTGGATCTCTGCAATAGCTGTATGTCCCATGGACGCGAGGCCGATTCCGAAGCCTGCAATGCCTTGCTCTGTCAATGGGGTATTGAAGACGCGTTCACGACCTGCAGCACGATCGGTTATTTATATGACGTGGTATTATGGTTCAAGCACACCGAATTCTTCTGCAAGACCCTGTGCAATGCGTGAGTACCAATTGCGTATAAAGTCATGGTAACACATACCATTGTACACCTGAACACCCCGCCAAATGCTATATCCTCGCCAAATATGACGGCAGTATCATCCTTCGCAAGTGCAATACTGATGTCGTCAGCACACCTTCTGAGCGAAAAAAAAAATCGGGTTACCTGAGGGCATCCCGCACTGCCTGGTAGAGATTCATCTTGCGCGTCTCGCGACCGCCAACGATATTGCGATCAGACTCCTCATCTTGCCATGATATTCCTGGGGATCTGAGAGCGGATTCTCGTGTCATTCGAAGGAGCTGCGAAGATGCGACTGATGAGGGGTGACCGCCCGCAGATGGAGGGTCGACGGCAGTCGTGCTCGCTGTCGTCTGCCAGCGACGGGACTTGTTTTGGATGAGTGACACGATTCCGGAGGTTGGGATAGAGACTTACGAGTGCAGGAAATGTAGAGCGCAGACGACGGGCGAGCATTGAGAATGAGGGTCAGGGATAAAACAAGATCCGTGCCAGTTGGTATAGCAGGTCAGGACATTCTGTAGCCGGTGGGGACTCCCGAACTTAGTCTAATATTGATCGCGGATTGAATGTAAGGACATTCCAAATGGGGTCAAAGTCCGTCGGGTGCCGCTTAATGCTTACCTCAGCCTCATGAGCTTGCTTGAACACCGACCTAAGGGTCAAACCGGTCGGTACTCATTGTGATGCACTTTCAACCGGTATCAACAAGTTATCAGCCTTAGGATCATCATTCAAATATAAACCAAGAGATCGGGCGAATCGAAGCGCTTAGGTTGGAACTGCAATGACATTGGGTCCTAGCCCATTGGAGGCTCCGAGGCTTGACACTTTTGAAGCCAGCGAGGTCGCGCCCGGGTAGTACCCAGGTTGGCAGGGCTGTATATCTCATGCACACACGAGTGTACGGTATACCACACAGGCGTAACAGTTTGGAAGCGCCCACATGATCAGGCTCAACATTCATAGTCGCGGCTAGACCGCCCGAATCCGTCCGATAGTGCACGATTGTAGTAGTTATACAAACGGGATGGAATCATGATGGTGTTCTAATGATACTTGGTAGCCATGTTGATCAAGGAGTGAGGCGATGCCAGGGATGCGGAAAGACGCGTAAGAATTTCTCAAGGCCATACCCAATGTAGACTTGGTGGAAGACCCTCTCAGATCAAGATTTCGTTAAGAAGGTGTTTAGGATGGAGAGCGACAGCGCATTCGTTGCTCCTGAAGGCGTCTACTCCGTCACTGAAGAACACAAACCTCTCCCTGTCCCTACTCACTCTTCTACAGCGGCACATCCCATCTACCAAACTCGTCTTTCATCCATCACAGTCCGGTTTCCACCAAAGCATCCAACTTCCCCAGGGCTCGCTCAGTTTCTTGGCGCAAATCTCACAAAGGATCTTAAGAAGGAAAAGGACAAGGAGAGGGAGAAGGAGGCGGTGGTAAAGGAGCGCCCGTTGCTGGAGGAGCGGAGCATGTCATCCAGCGATACCCCAGAAGACAGCTTCACATCTCCAGATGTAGCCACCCCAGACCTCAACACCTCAACACCAGCCGAACCCCAGCACAAGCTCTTCTCCCACCCTACCATCTCAGGTGGTAAAAAGAAATCAAATGTATCACGACCGAAACACAACATGCGCACCACATCTTCAACATTCATTACCCGTCTCCAAAGCGTTGAAGGTCTCAACAAGACCCTCGCAGCCAAGCAGGGTGAGATCACGTTCTTGTTCTATAACACTGGCAAGGCCTTCTTGTGGATCGAGGTGGGGGCTAAAGCCAAGGTGCGTCATCTAGTCCTTGGCTGCGCAGAGGCTGCATGATTCTGCCAGGAACCGCTAACGAGGATTAGCTTCTCTGCATACCCGACCTGTCACGACGTAAACCCCTCCACCGCATCCTCAGAACGACTAGACGTCATCATAGGATTCAACACGGGAGACCTCATATGGTTCGGTATGCATCCCATCTCACGCTTGTTCCTTTGCTCACAGTAATTAATTAGATCCAATATCAAGCCGCTACTGCCGCCTTAACAAACAGGTAATCAACCAACCTCTCAATTTTATAAGCACATCTAACTCCCCGAATTCCAGGGCACTATTTCCTCCTCCATATGCACAGCCGTCCGTTGGGTCCCCTCTTCACCAACCCTCTTTCTCGTCTCCCATGCAGACGGAACCATAATCGTCTACGACAAAGAACGTGAAGACGGCTTGTTCACGGCTAGTGTTCCAAACGGACTGACTGCCCCGCACATAAACGTCAGCGCGAACGCACATCCTGTATCTCCCGTAAGTGATGGATGGGATCCCCTATCAACGATGTTTGTCACACCTCCCCCGTGGCATCCAGAAGCGGCAGGGCGGGGAGAGAAGGGCGTAGCAGCGAAGAACCCTGTAAGCCATTGGCGCCTGTGTCGGCGTGGTGTCGTCGGTGAGTGCCGCATTTTAACTCATCGCTCGGTTGGAAGCTGATGGTGTCTAGACTTTGTGTTCTCTCCTGATGTCAAATATGTAGCAGCCATTTCAGAGGATGGGTGTTTGAGGGTAATTGATCCACTTGCAGAGCAGTATGTCGTCTCCCCCTTTGATTGCTGAACAGAACTTAATATTAACTTGTCCAGGCTGGTTGATTGCTATGCATCCTATTTCGGTTCTCTGACCAGTGTTGCGTGGTCTCCTGATGGGCGCTTCATTCTCGTGCGTTTCTCCACATGCTCATAACTCAAAGAACGCCTTTGATTGTCCATTCTCAACCAGACTGGCGGCCAAGATGACCTCCTCACCATTTTCTCCCCTTGGGAACAACGTGTCGTCGCACGGTGTCAAGGACACTCCTCCTTCGTCTCAGCCGTCGCTTTCGACGAGCTCCGCTGCGATGGACGGACATACCGCTTCGGCAGCGTAGGAGAAGATAACAAGCTCATTCTCGTGCGTTCATTCTCAACAGCCATGAACGACCGATCATTGAACTAAATCTAACCAACAGTGGGACTTTTCCTCTGGCGCTCTTCATCGCCCCAAACACCTCGGAGCACACCACCCACGCATATCAATGTCGTCTAGCATTTCCCTCGCTTACCGCCGTGGTACGGGGTCGACGATCCAACTCTCTGCGACGCGGTATCATCCTGCGCCTTCGAGGAATGAAGTGTCGACTGTTCAACCTGTATTGGTGGGTCTTCCTCGTTGTCTTCTGATCCCCTTTGCTCTGTGATTTCCCCCTTGTGAATGCACGTGACTGACTTATAACGCACAACAGGTAAAACAACTCGATGCCGACCTCCTCACCTCCCTCGCCTTTCTCCCCCGTGCGCTCATAACAGCGTCGAAAGCGGGCCACGTTCGTCTATGGGTGCGGCCATTCGTCATGACTAATGCTAGCCCTACTAGGAGAAGGCATACGCGCGGGATGTTGTCTGTGACAGATTTTCAGGGGGTAGTTGCTTGAATAGGATTCGTAGTGGTGGTCAGAACTCGAGGTGGTTGGATGTCGTTGGGAAGTGGTGATGAGCGACAAGGATCTAACTTATTTGTGGATTATGTATATCTGTCAAAGTAGATCTCGGATGTGCACGTACCAAGATTTAACGATACCACCTACAATTCTATCGTTTTGCTCTGCCCTGCCCTGCCCTGACTCGATGTGCATAATGTATCAGATATCGCTCGACCTCTCCTCCAAGTCATCCGTCATATCATTCGCATCCTCCGCTTCACTCGCAGTCCCCGTCTCACCCTCCTCATCCATATCTTCCATGCTTGCGTCCAGATCAGGTCCTGAGTCATCGTTCTCCTCGCCATCCTCGTTGATCGAGGGGCCACCGCCCGATTGGCCAGTATCTGAGCCATCGGAGTCGTCTTCTGCCTACAAACACATCGACAAAAGTTCAAGCACATCGGCGATAATTTGAAAACAACAAATCAAATGAACAAATAAAGAGAACCCAATCCAAAGCTACGCACCTCGTTCTTCTCCTCCAACTGAGTCGTATGCCGCCCAATAGGAATGAGCCACTGAAACCCACGATTCCTTATCGCCAAGTTCTATTTTGCGGTATTTCACGCGTCGTCACGGAAATGCATGTCATGTGTGTGGTATGCGCCCGGTCAGTTCATCGCCGTGACCGTGCAGATTCTGGGTGAAATGAAGAAAAGAGCACGTACAGCGTCTTCGAGTTCGTTTTCCTCATCTGAGAGATCGTCGATTTCGCGTTGGAGATCGCGTTTGTCCATGCGTCCTGGGAAGCGATCGTGTTTTGGGAGTGGGGTTGGGTTTACTTGAGGGGCGCGCGGAAGGACAAGGGGGATGATTGGAGGACGGGGAACGAGTGTTGGGGATGTGATGGGCATTGTGGTGGTGGTCGTAGGCTAGAAGAATCAATGAATAATATATTTGGCCATCTAAGCTCATGTAAGCTCAGGTACCTCGATGACCCAAGTAGGAGCAACTTCAAGTTGAATATCTCGATAAGTCCATGATTTTTCACTATGTTTGCTAGAAACGCGCTATGTAGGTCACCGGCGGCTCGACAAGCCCACCGCGACTGGCAGCACTCTCATACCCCATCTCATTCGCGGAGTTGAATCGCAATTCATATTATCGCCCTGGGGCGCACGCGCACATTTACGACCGCGGATTATGCGTTTTTGCTGGTGTGCAAAAGCGTAAGAAGTTCGAGGATTCAAAAGACCCTCCGCTTCCTAAATCGTCCGGTTTCAAGACTCAGTGAACTGCACCATGCCTCCCAACTCCCAAGCACCCAGTACCACCGTCATCATACGCGATTCACTGACCCAACACGCGTGTACCCGTGACCCATACGCGCACTATCATATATAGCGCTCACTGCAGTCGCAGAGTGACCCCAAGAATATATAGGCGCCCGCATGCTATAAGCAAAGCAACCCCGGACTGCACGGTTTGCTTGCCTAATGATTTTAGTTCATTAATGTGTAATGGGGTATGACTCGGACAGGATATGACCGGCGACCGTCGGAAGCATTGAGTCTTCCGGTCTTCGTGGTTTCAGGGCTTCGAAGTTCCAGGCACTTGATGGAGGAGTTGGCGTGGGTAGTTGAAATAACTAGAAATGCACTTTCAATGAAGTTCGTCCTATCTCTTTCCGCACCTCCAATCAGTCATGTTACAGCTCCCTGACCTGCGCATTTCTGATAACACGCAGCTCGTCCTCGGTGCTGCGGCTTGTGCTGGAGTAGTAGGAGTGACTGTCCGGGCTTACCTTCGTAAATCGGCTAGCGGCCTGCCTCTCCCACCTTCTCCTTCCACTTGGAGACTGCGAGGGCACTTCCTACCCTATCAGAAGTAAAGTGTAACATTGACCTCTTCGTTTCTGTAATTTAATCGTACCTCATTCTTGATCAGCGCATTTCTTACTATAGCGCAGTGGATTGACGAGTATGGTCCTCTGATTACTATCCGCTCAGGAACCCAGAATGTCGTCATTATCGGCAGGCACAAAGTGAGTCCCCTGACGCTGAGCTGTCATCTCCATACTCAACATTCCGTGGTAGGCCGCAGTGGATATTATGGAGAAGCAGGGTGGACTCGTAGCTGATCGACCTCGCCTTGCTGCTGGAGAAATCCTCAATCGTGGACTGGGTATCGGTTTGTCACCCGCTGGGGATAGGTTCCGTCGGAAGCGTAGGTTAGTTGCCGCGATACTGCAAAGGTTCAAACAGCCCCCATCTTACTTTCAATGTGATACAGAGCACTTCATTCACATCTCCAGCCCAAAGCAGCTGAGGCGTATCAGCCTCTGCAGATGTCGTACGCGAAGAGCGTAGTCCTCAACATTCTTGACGATCCAGACAACTTCCAGAACCATGCGGTAACGTAAGCGCCTGCCTGCGTGCGAGGTATGATAGTATACTTACAGGCACTTTGAAGTTATGCTTCGGCGACGATCATGAAAGTTGCATATGGGAAGACTACACCTACGTCCGCAACCGACCCCGAAATCAGAGAGATACGCCAGCTCTTTAAGAGATTTCGTTTCATCCTGCGCCCTGGTTTTTACTTGGTGGACTCGATACCGTTGCTGAGGTACCTCCCTGGGTATGCTCCAGAATTAAAGGATGAGCGCGAGAGGACTACGCGACTGTACACTGACCAGCTGAATCGCGTGAAACAGCAAATGGTATACATTACCTTACTTGCCTCTCTATGATGTCTGAGTTGTTCCACAGCAGAGCGATGTGGATATCGGCCCTTCGTTTGCGAAATATATGCTAGAAAACGAGAGTGTCTATGGATTGTCAGAGATCGAGATGGCGTATCTCGCTGGTGCCTTCTTTGGAGCTGGCGCGGCGACGGTGAGAGGTCTCTCTTTCCTCCCGAATACATAGACTGAGATGAGGTGTCAGACCGCTATAGCAATATGCACGGTGCTAATGGCGGCCGCGCGTTTCCCCGAAGAGCAAGCTAAAGTCCAGGACGAGCTTGATGCGGTTATTGGAAGGGAGCGAGGTAGCCCAATTTCACATTGCAATTTTTTCAATTGAATGATTTCTCTGCCAAAGCGCCAACCTTTGCCGACAAACAATCCCTTCCTCGTCTAGAGGCCTTCATCTCTGAGGCTTTGAGATGGAGACCGTTGGCTCCTGAAGGTTGGTCTTTTAATCGTGGGTACTATACTTGAAGTTTATACGGTTTACCCTGCAGGATTTCCTCACCGAACGACTCAAGATGTGATTTGGGTACGTCCTCTCTGAGGGGTTTGTCGTCTGGACGATAATCCGACGTCCGCCTACAGGAAAACTATTGCATTCCCGCCGGTACGACGGTCACTGGCAACCATTGGTAAGCCACTTTGCTTCAATATACGAAGTATTTCACTGTCATCACCCCAGGGCCATCTCTCGAGATCCAGAAGTCTACCCTGAGCCTGATGCGTTCAAGCCTCAGCGCTGGATCAATGACCAAGGTCGCTTGAGAAGTGATCTCTCATTCTTTGTATTTGGGTTTGGTCGCCGGTAAGCACCGTCTCTTACGATATACTTTCTTTGACTGTCCTTCCTTCCAGCGTATGCCCAGGTCAACACCTTGCGAACAGGTTACAATTCCTTTCCACGCGTATTGTTATCCGATCTCATTCCAAGTTTTCCAGATCGGTGTTCATAAATGCGCTTCTTATTCTTTGGGCCTTCCAGCTCAGTCTGGATCCTACGAAGCCGCAGGATGACATGGGGTTCACCAATGCGTCAATACCAAATGTCCCGTGCGCTATTGAATTTAAGACGAGGGTTCCTGAAGTGGAACTCAGGGCCATGATGCAGGATCATTCTGAGGCTGAGTAAGAAGCCTTGACGTCTCTGTCGGATCGCCCCTAGGGGGCGGGGATGAATTGTCAATTCGATCATCCCTGTAGGACTCTCATCACGATTTTAACTGTTTCTGACTCGTGTAATATAGTCAACTATGCATCTTCGCTTCTTCCTTAACGTCCGGCTCACTTTGAGTACTTGTGTGATATAGTCTTTCGAAGTCCTGGCCCGTCTGTTACATTCTGCATCGTACAATTATGTATAAGAATGGGCTGTGACAATATGTGGGGAAGGTGCAAGCTGAGCTTTCGGGTAATACCAATAGGGAGACTTTGAACAGCCGTTTATACTGGAAGAGAGGAAACGCCCAGCATTGCCTCAAGGCAGATCCATTGATGGCTATTCTGATACTGTATCAGATTTCTTGCTGCAGGACAAATCCCACACTCTGCGCTTGTGGATAGAACGAGGCGCTAAAGGTGTTCACGGGCGCATAATATTAGACAAATGTAGACGGCCATGAGGAAGAACCTTCACTAGTAGGCGCGAGAATTCTGCATGCCAAATGCTTGCAATGACTGTATTAAAGCTGACACAAGTTTCCAGCAGGTGAATGTCTATTATTTAAGCATTGAACTTCACCTCGTTCGTAAGCTGCATAGACATTTAAAGTTGTACAACGGTAACGAAACTCGGAAGTTAACGGATACCATATACTCATTGTGTCACGCTGACTCATATTATTAGTACAAATAAAACTGATGTTAGATGGACACCTACTCTTTGATTTGATGGATTTCCGCAGCGCTTCCATCGGTTCAGCCCTGCATTATCTGATAGACGCCTTCAGACACTGATTGTGACATCAAACCTGGGCGCTTGAACCGCGGTGATCGGACATCCATGAAGTCGGCCATTCCGCGCGTGAAAACCTCCTTTTCACCGTGTCACAATCTCTGGATCTGATGTTCTGACATGGGCGCTCAGATTTTTGATTTACGTTTCATGTGAACAGGAGCGCAGCAAATACAGTGAAAGATGACTCACATAGCTGTAGAGTCATTGCAGAGGTCATGTACGTAGCTGTCGCCAGTCGTGGTAAGAGTTGACGATGAAGTAGCGGCTCATGCGTTGCCGTTCGTGCTGGTTAACGAAGAGGAGGCTGAGGCAGGCCATGTCAGGGATGTGGAGCTGGGTGAGGGGTTGTGGAGGAAGGCGGTTGCATTAGTGCACGTCAGGGTGCCAGGGAAACAATACCTGATGGATAGTTAGTACTTATTGCGGGAGGTTGACTGAACAAAAAGATGGTGAGTATGCACTTGTTAAGACGTCCCTGAAAATTTCCTCCAACTTCCATGCATGAAGGTGGTGAATCTGACAGAGGTAGTAGCAGATGGACCTAATGAAGTACTAGTGCAGTGGAGACGACATGTTCAATGTCGTCGCGTCGCATGGATGAACCAAACAGGCAAAAATGAAGGCGGGCACATAGTACCAGCATCTCCCTCGATGATTGTACTTCCAGTGGCACATCATCAAAATTTCCTCCCTTCTAATGCTACGCTCCCTCGTTGTAATGTGTCGGCCGCCTAAATTGAGGATCTGCAGGGGAAAATCTTCCACGACAAGATCGAAGCAACTAAAATGAGGGCAGCATCCGTAGAGGAGCAAGCGAGGTTGCAAGCTAAACAAGAGTCTACTGAGGCCACACTGGCGAAAGAAACGGCCGAAAAGGAAGAGGAGGCAGCCAAGAAGACATCAGAAGATGGTCGGCTGGAAAAGAAGCAGGCGGATGATCAGGCGAATGCACATAGGGACCACAAAGCTGGAGCTGACGATCAGGCAAAGGTAGTCTGTAACTGCCTGCATGCAAATGGGTCAGATCAATAATAATATCAAGAACCAACATCCTAGCTGTACGGCTGCTCGAGTCCCTATGAGGAGCTGTTGAATCATCCCTCCAAAAGAAAGATATATGCCACATCGCGCAGCTCCTGCGACCTACATACTGTTCCTTCTCCTTCAGAATAATCTCGAAGAGAAGTCAGGCAAAACACAGAATACGAGCTGTGTTGCTTGTATGAGAACAGGAAGAAGGGCACTTCGTTTGAAGCGTTGGTGCGGGTTGAGACATTGCGGACCAACACCTGAATGTTGGCCTCTGAACCACATACAGTGAAGTTTTCATCCAACGAGATTACGACAGACTGGAGATGGTCTGCGCTTGGACAGGGCACCAAACGCCGTACCAGCCTTCCTGAGTCACCTGCCATCAAGATCTCGCCATCAACCGAGGATCTGAAAGCGCACATGCTACACGGAAATGTCAGATAATCAGTGTGCCATTCTCGTAAAGATGGATCTGCATTCGCACGAAGGTCAGTCACATACAAAGAGAGATAAATGCCTGTACTATCCGCAATCCGGTCAGCAAAGACATATGACGTGGGGTATTACGGACTGTGGAAAGTATGCTAAATGCATTGAATGAATCCGATGTTTCTGGGTCTTGAAGCCTGCAACACCATTGATGGCATCTGCCACTATTTATTTGTAAACCGTTATAACACGTTGAATGCTTCGTCTAGCCAGCAAAAAAATACACATGCTTACCGTAACGCGATATGTAGACCGAATCCGATAATGGAAGAAGCTCCACCTCAACCACAGCTCTAACTTAACAACCAACACCAACGCACGAATTTGAGGGAGCCTCATGAGGAAGCCGTCGCAGATGAATCTGAATCGTCTTCTTGCACGACATCATTCAAATCCTGAGTGACTCGTTCCAAGTGAATATGCGATAAAGGAGACTTTAAATGTCGGGGAACCACAAGCGAGCGAGGGCGGGAACATAAACACATTCGATGGAATGGAAAGACGAAATGACAAAAGCAAATTGAGAAATGATCGGCACATCTAAGAATAGCCTGGAGTGAGTCTAATAATAGACTCGCTCTCAAATTTCGTTGACATCTATTATCGATCACGTCGTCCTTCTCGATATCAGCGCTCAGCAGCTGCAGAGGCCTCCCAAGCACTTGTACTATGCTTGCAACACTCGAAGCCGCAACTTCAACCAAACATATCTTCGGTGGTAGTACTTGATGGAAGGTCACGGTTGGTGGGCATGAGCGAATTGATCCTACCGTGACATTCATAATATGCACGCACACAGCCAGACGATGATGGTATCATGGTCTCCTGGTATACATCACCACCAAGCACTTTTGCCAAATGAGTACCGTAGTCCTCTCTTCTCTCATTCGTTCTACTCACAACTGACTGCCTTCGGGTCATATTAGCACTCACGGCCTTTAATCGCTCTCTCACATGCAATTTCAAAACATGCTGCTGCACCCCTTCCTCGATTATGTTGACGTTTAGATTTAGCTCAATGCTGCGCACCATCCAAACTGTTTCCTACTTCTGTTTTCGTAACTGACGTCACAGGTGGGATCCTCGACATGCACGAAGTCTTCCTCCCATCTGATCACCACTCACATGATCATTGTCCCCATCCTCCTCCGGGGCTCGTCCTCAATCCTCAAAAATGTGGATTTGTACGTCAGCGACAAGTCCTGTTTGCATTCAAATGCTACTGATTCGTGTAAGTGTGTTTGTGTTTACACCAGGACTAAAATACTGATCCCCGCCCTCTGCAACGCATCTAGAAATGCGGGCTATTCTTGCTTTGCGGGCTCACTGTTCACCAACTGCCAGCATGTGCTCATTTCCCTCGCCTTGCCATCCGCAGGTGGCGTTCTCAGTCAAGTGGGTATGGACTCGAGAATTCTGGGAATGAGTGATCTGGTGAACGGCTTGGCATGTTGTCGTGCAGCAGGATGATTACCACGGATGTGGTAGGTCGTCTTTTAATACTACGGCTAGTTGTAGTGCATGGAGGCTGATGATATGCTTTCAGGGATAAGTACCGTTCGCATTATAGGGACGAGTCGCTCCCTTCCCAATTTTTTTAACTGTCTAGACGTGATTTAAATCTATAGCAGCGTGCCCTCGCAAAAAACGAATATATCATCCACCGTGCCATGCCATTATGCCCCCAATATCAAGATCAAAAGCTAATTTGTAAACCAAAATCTGAAGTAGGTGCAGCTAAATATGAGGACGGAGAGCCGTGTGTTTCGGAAATATGTGCGACGGCGATTGGTCTCGTCCCGCAGCTCTACACCCCATCTCAACATATCATATTAAAACTACTATTCTCTTACAGAAACGAACCTCCAAGCGCTGGTCGATGCCGCTGCTCACGAGTGGTTTTCGTCCAGCGTCGTGTGGGAGATATCCATACTGTTGAGTAGTGTGTTCAAGGAGTGAAGGAAGTTGGCGAGTGACTTATTCAAACAAGTAGGATTGGTGAGGATGATGCTGAATACAAATTGACCGTTGTCGAGTTGATCTGGGGGAGGATTAACGGGAGGGTTAGTCTAGAGATAGTGTGACGATAGGTGAAGGGTATGAAATCGTGGTCTATTCGACTTTGCAATCATTCTGCAGTACACGATCATGGAATAAGTAATGAATGAAGCAGAACAAAGTCGCAACGAAGTACTGCAACAAGGCAAATATGTGTTGTACAACATCTGTACCTGTACATCCGCAAGCCCATTAGCGACGGAATTGAACACCTTTAGAGGTCCAAGAATCGCGGAAAACCTATCTATGGTATTGAGAACGGATTGTATGTTATCGGACGCTGAAGCAGTATTTTCGACCATTCCTGAGACATGTTTGACACCTTCGAACTCAGTTTTGGCATTCACGAGAGGGAGAGAGAGCGTTGCTTTCACAAACTTTGGGTCGGGTTGTTCGGCCTGATGAAGGAACTTAACAGATGACTGATGAAAACATTGCGAACTGCGATAGTCGAACTCACCTTTGCAATGAGTAAATCAGAAGACCGGTCAGGCTTTGGTTCGGGATTGGTGGTGGTGAGTAGTGAAAGAACCTGCGGCAGTTAGATCACACGCAGAAGGTACCAAGAATTGCATAGACCTGGCTTGTCTGAGGATGTAGGAGGACTGTCGAACGCTTGAAGCAGAACGGTTGCCAGTGGTGACCTTGCCGATGAACTTGGAAGCCACCAGCGAGAATCGTCTGCGAGATGCATTCTTCGAAGTGGCCGGGGGAGAGTGTATGACTAGTCACAGCATATCGGAAGTTCATTCACCTCAACAGACTACATAGTTTGATTGCAGAACTCCACGAGTTTCAGAATCACAAGTCCTGAGATCGACCGGTCAGGTTTAGGTTTGGATTTTTTCACGAGTTATACGGGCTCCGGCAAGGCTCCGGGTAATTTATTGCCGGACCACTGCCGGCGGCAACAAGTTCAAGTTGCCGCACCCTCAGGGCTACTAATGTTGCCTATAGCATCGCATCACTTTCATCCAGATAGCCTTTACTTCATTCACCGAGACGAATCCCAATTCATATTATCGTCTGGAGCGCGCACCCGTGCACACATCGACGACCGTGGATATGCAGCGTTTTTGCTGGTGTACAAAGTGTAGTTCGATGACTCAAAAGACCTTCGCTGCGTAAAGTTTCAATACTCAGTGAACTGCGCCATGCTTCCCGACTCCAACTGAGCGCCCAGCACCACAGTCGTCACACGTGATTCACATACCCCACACGCGCATACCCGTGACCATAGTACCCGCGCTGTGTCCCATACCCGTGCTATCCCCTATATACTAATAACGTTCACCGCAGTCGCGGAATGACCCTAGATGGATAGGATTAATGCTTTCCCGTGCCCCATGTGTTTCCACCCACCTACTGTATCAGCAAAGCAACCCCGAATCGCACGGCTTCCTTCCTAGATGATTCAATTTCAGTCATGTGTAATGGGGCATGACAAGGTATGACCGGTTGACCGGTGACCCTCGGAGACGCCGAGTTTTCCTGTATTCATTTCAGGGCTTCGAAGTTCCAGGCACTTGATGGAGGAGTTGCAAGCGTGGGTAGTTAAAATAACTAGAAATGCACTTTCAATGAAGTTCGTCCTATCTCTTTCCGCACCTCCAATCAGTTATGCTACAGCTCCCTGACCTGCGCATTTCTGATAACACGCAGCTCGTCCTCAGTGCTGCGGCTTGTGTTGGAGTAATAGGAGTGATTGTCCGGGCTTACCTTCGTAAATCGGCTAGCGGCCTGCCTCTCCCACCATCTCCTCCCACTTGGAGGCTTCGAGGACACTTCCTACCCCCTCGCAAGTAAAGTGTCATATTAGCCTTTTCTTTTTTTTGCATTCTGATCATACCCATTTCTATTAGCGCATCACTCGCTATAGCGGGGTGGATTGACGAGTATGGCCCTCTTATTACAATCCGCTCAGGAACCCAGAATGTCGTCATTATCGGCAGGCACAAAGTGAGTCCACTGACGCTGAGCTGTCATCTCCTGACTCAACATTCCGTGGCAGGCCGCGGTAGATATTATGGAGAAGCAGGGTGGACTGCTAGCTGATCGACCTCGCCTTGCTGCTGGAGAAATCCTCACCCGCGGACTGGCCATCGGTTTGTCACACGCTGGGGACAGGTTCCGTCGGAAGCGTAGGTTGGTTGCCGCGACTCCGTAAATGTTCAAACAGCCCTCATCTTACTTTCAATATGATGCAGAGCACTTCATTCACATCTCCAGCCCAAAGCAGCTGAGGCGTATCAGCCTCTGCAGATGTCACACGCAAAGGGCGTAGTCCTCAACATTCTTGACGATCCAGACAACTTCCAGTACCATGCGGCAACGTAAGCGCTTTCTTACATGCGAGGTATGATAGTATACTTACGGGCACTTTGAAGTTATGCTTCGGCGACGATCATGAAAGTTGCATATGGGAAGACTACACCTACGTCCGCAACCGACCCCGAAATCAAAGAGATACGCCATCTCTTTAAGAGATTTCGTTTTATCTTGCGCCCTGGTTCTTACTTAGTGGATTCGATACCCTTGCTCAAGTACCTTCCTGGATATGCTCCAGAATTACAGGATGAGCGCAAGAGGACCAGACGACTCTACACCGACCATTTGAACCGTGTGAAACAGCAAATGGTACGCATTACCTTGCTTACCTTCCCGTAATGTCTGAGTTGTTCCACAGCAGAGCGATGTGGATATCGGCCCTTCGTTTGCGAAATATATGCTGGAAAACGAGAGCGTCTACGGCTTGACAGAGATCGAGATGGCGTATCTTGCTGGTGCCTTCTTTGCAGCTGGCACTGAGACGGTGAGATGTCTTTCTTTCCTCCCGAATACATACACTGAGATGAGGTGTCAGACCGCTGTGGCAATATGCACGGTGCTAATGGCGGCCGCGCAATTCCCTGAAGAGCAAGCTAAAGTCCAGGAGGAGCTTGATGCAGTTATTGGAAGGGAGCGAGGTAACTCAATTTTGCATTGCAGTTCTATCAATTTAATGATTTCTCTGCCAAAGCACCAACCTTTGCCGACAAACAATCCCTTCCTCGCCTAGAGGCCTTCATCTCTGAGGCTTTGAGATGGAGACCGTTGGCTCCCGAAGGTTGGTTTTTCAATTGTGGTTACTGAACCTGAAGTTTACACAGTTCACCCCACAGGATTGCCTCACCGAACGACTCAAGATGTGATTTGGGTACGTCCTCTCTGAGGGATTTGTCGTCCTCAGAATAATCTGACATCCGCCTGCAGGAAAACTATTGCATTCCTGCCGGTACGACGGTCACCGGCAACCACTGGTAAGCCCACGTGCTTCAAGATACGAAGTATTTCACTGTCACCTGCTCAGGGCCATCTCTCGAGATCCAGAAGTCTACCCTGAGCCTGATGCGTTCAAGCCTCAGCGCTGGATCAATGACCAAGGTCGCTTGAGAAGTGATCTCTCATTCTTTGTATTTGGGTTTGGTCGCCGGTAAGTACCCGTCTCTCTCTCAAGATACACTTTATTTGACTGTCCTTCCTTCCAGCGTATGCCCAGGTCAACACCTTGCGAACAGGTTACAATTCCCTTCCACGCATATTACTATCCGATCTCATTTGAAATTTTCCAGATCGGTGTTCATAAATTCGCTTCTTATTCTTTGGGCCTTCAAGCTCAGTCTAGATCCTACGAAGCCGCAGGATGATATGGGGTTCATGAATGCGACAATACCAAATGTCCCGTGCGCTATTGAATTTAAGACGAGGGTTCCTGAAGTGGAGCTCAGGGGCATGATGCAGAATTATCCTGAGGCCGAGTGAGATGCCTTGACGTCTGGGTCTCGTCACTAGGGGACGGGGGAGTAAATCGTCAATTCGTTCAGCCTTCTAGGACTCTCATCACATTTTTAACCTGGCTCTGAGTCTGAATCGTGTAATATAAACTATGCTTCTTCGCGCATTTTGTTCCTTGACGTCTGGCTCACTTCGAGTACATGTGTAGTGTAGTCTTTCGAGGTCCTGGCCCATTTATAGTTCCGTGGATCTGTTATATTCTATATACTACAGTCGTGTATACTGAGTTGCATAACTGTACTTGAATATCATACCTCGCAGTTTCATAGAAACATTTTGAACAGCAGTCTCAGCGGGAACGAGAAATATCAGGGCCTGTTGGTCGTGATCGTGAGAGACACGAGAAGCACCTGGCAAGGCTCGCCAAGCAGCTGACCTCCGCAACACGTTCAGTGCCTAGCAGGGCAGGGGCTCCGCTAGTCACAGTATGAGCAGCTGTACTTGTGGTCTGCAAGGTCGCAGGGTCAGAAGCGTGGGCTTGCTGGCGAGGAGGACGTGGTCGCTGCACCAGATGCCTTTTCCCGCTGATGGCATTAGCGGTGCGCTACAGGGCCTTGTCATCGACGAGGTGCGTGCAGAAGTGTAATCAAACTTACATATTTACCTCGTGTTGCGGAGATATCCACGGTGGGGGTACTGCGGCGGCGGGGAGTATGAGTATGATCCTGAGGAGTAGAAGAGCCCAACTTGAACAGGATACGGTTCATGATATTCTTGATGCGGGAGCCTGTGACGTGATGCTGTGAAGCGGTGCGGGTATTGTGTTGAGCGGGGGAGCGCGTATCATACTAGAACATGGTCAGAAGGGTGTGTGTACTGTAACGGAGGACTCACTCACATCATCGAAGAACCCATTCGGTAGTTCAGAATCTTGTAGTCCTGAATAAAAGCGTGGCATATTGTCCTGCAGGGAGCGAATGCAAAGGTCAGGAACCATGTAAAACACGGCTGTGGAAGCGTACCTGAAGCACTTTGTGTGCGGACTGTAGTACATCTAAGCATGAAGCACTGAATGATCGTGATAGAATTGACTCGCCTTCTCTGACTCGCTCTGAGGAACTGTCCATGTGCGAACGACTGTATCCCCGCAGCCAGTCACGATGAGCTTGCTGTCCTTGGAAAAGGCCACACTTGAGACCCAGTCAGGGTGCTCGAGGGGTTCGCCGACGGGTTCGAAAGTGGTCAGGTCAAAGAACCGCGTAGTCTGGTCAAATGAGGTGGTGGCGAATTTGGTACCATTGGGAGCAATGGCGAGTGAGAGAAAAGGTTTGGTGTGCGCGTCAAAGCGTTTGATGATGTTTCCGGTGCTAGCATCTGATATTTGGATGTCATTCATGTTTCCACTGACCAGACGGAGACCATCTGGAGTGAATGCGACTCCCCATGCACGCTGTTGTATCTTTAACAGTTCTTTTCCGTTTACTATACTCCAAACGATGATGTGTGAGTCCGTGCCTGCTGCTAGTTTGTTACCATCTGAGGAGTACGACACCGAGTTTGCTGGGCTCTCCACTTGGAATGGTCCAAGGATTATTTCGCCCGTCTCCCTCTTCCATACGCAGACCGTCTCGTCCCATGACGCGCTCGCGAACGTCTTGCTATCTGGTGCAAATATGACGCCATGAACCATCTTTTCATGACTTTCGAATGCGCGCACGCTTTTGTTTGTTGCAACTTCCCAGGCTAGGATGCTTCCGTTCGATGCTCCACTCACAATCCACCGCCCGTCGGGGGACGCTGCAACTGTCCTGACTTCACCATCATGACCTGATAAGGGCTCCCCCACTTGTTTCCCCGTGTCCATATCCCACACCCGAAGACTTTTGTCGTGGGAGCAAGTGACAAGGAGGCGGGTACTGGGGATGAAAGCCACCCCTCTCACCCAGCGTTGATGACCCTTGAGCGTCATTTTGGCCTGAGATGTTTCTCTTTGAGCGGGCTGGGTGGGCGTTTTGGAGGATGTGTCATCTTCGTGGGTGGTGGGCGCCATTGAATTTTGTGCTGTTTTTCGTTCGGCAGGAGCGTTATGGGGGAGCAGGCACTTACATGCGCTGTGATGAACGATGGCCAAGGTGCATCTCTGCTAGCTTGCGGTTGAATCCGCATGCGTGCCTTGCTGTTGACATGTACGTGGTTCTCCTCAAACTTTCTTGCTCACAAATTCGGTCCGTGCTACCGTTGTTGACGCACTCCAGTGAATGAGATTGTTTCTGTGATGCGCAGATGCCAATTCAAGTCGCCCTCTTGCAAGTTTCGGATACTTTGAAATAAGTCTGAATCAGCATTGCAGCAAGTGTTTTGCTCACATCCTAGTGTTCGGAAACACTATATGTTGGCTGGTGCTCGAGGTGCGTCGACCCTTCTCAGCATTCTCTTCCGGTCTGGGGAGCGCATCTTTGTTACAGGCACGGTGCCTGCTTTTTGCTGTGCTTAATGGCGGGATCCCTGACTTCAATTGATATGGCCAAGAGATATACATAGTGACCGTCATGAGCAGTTGGTGTCGTATGAGTTTTGATGTGGTGTTTGCACCTCAACGAGATTCGTCAAGTCAGAAAGTGCGATATGATTTGGCTGGTCTATGTAGACTGGACGCAGATTTCGTGACCACTGACAGCATCTGTCTCAGGGCTGTTGGTGGCTGAACTCCGCCGGACATTGCCGAAATTGCTTCAAAGTACACTCTCTACCCAGTGACATTCGCAAGGGCCCTCCGGGCATACCTGTACCCTTTGTTTGTTGTGTCGTCTGTCGTCTAACGACTCTAACTCCCAAGCACGTCGGAGAGGTGAGCGAAAAAGAAGGTAATCTCTACCTCGTTATCGTCACTATCTCAATTGTTTTCTACTGGGATTGACTCAAGCCCTCCTTTTCACAATGTCGGACTGCAATGGAAACGTTTCTTTATATTGAACGTATACGTGTTAGAAATACATATAGTTTAGCTTGACATACATGTACACGAAGCAGATCACAAACACAATCCTTTCGATCGGATGAAGACACATAAATGAGATGTGCGCTCGCGATCTCTGCATATTACTCTTGATTAAGCATCGGAAAATTGTCCACAACCATCCTAAGATGCGGTGCCACCACAGGCAACAACACACCGGCAGGATATTGACTACACATAGGCAAACGCTCGCGAGAGACCTCGAAAAACGTAAAGAACCTGCGCAAGACACACGACGACACAACAGACGTCCCATCGTCTGGAAGCTCGCTATCGGAAAGTATGAGGGCCCGTATTGGACAAAATTCCAGAGTTTGGCTTTGAGCTTCTCAAACTTGATTTCGCCTTTGATCTTACCGAATAAGGAAGGTGTGTCCTTGCGACAGCGACATCGACCTTGACTTTGACTTCTGCTTCTGCTTCGTCGTAACCATAACTCAACTCTATGTGATTAATACAGCTTATGTTGAATTACAGCCAATTCCCCTCGAGACCGTGACTGTTAAGCCCAAGGATGTGGGCGCTAATATTGGTAAAATCGTATTTCGTCGCTGTTTCCCACGCTTGCTCGCTGCGTGCCACTAGTGGCACACGATGACGACGACGACGACGCAAGCACACTACGAAGCACGACATAAGACAACTTAAAAAGTTGCACAGATCATTCATATTACAGCTTGCCCATGTCCTCATATACCTGGTAAATCTATCCATAGACCAATTCTGTTGCGTCACAAAAAAAATCAGAAGAGGACGAAATATGTTAGCATTTGATCACTCGCCAACTGAGGAGTAGGACAAGGACACGCCACGCCGTCCAAGCGGCATTGTCAATAAGAACGCCACGGGCGTGATCCGTTAATATACCATCTGATGCACGGAAGTAAGTTTCATCACTATTGAAGCCAGCTTCGAGCATAGCAACATAATTAGGAGAAGAGGATGTAAATGCGAGTTGCAAAGCTAGCGAGAGACCCGCTCGAGGTAGCAGAAGGGCGACAGCCGACAACGCGATGAGCACTGACGTGAGGATAATGGAGTACCATCGAGGCTGCTTGACGGCACAGTTCTGACACCATCCCGAGGGCGAGGACGTCTGTGAGATCGAGATGAAGAGCGATCTCTTGCCAAAGCTCGAGAGAGTTCTCCTTGTCCATCGTTGACCCGGGCCAACGGCAAACCTCCATGGCACGCACAAAGAGTGCAGGTTCGATGCGATGACCAAGACGGGTAAGAGCAGTGATGCCCGGCGTAGAACGAGAGTCTGAAGAGAAGGCCCGTAAAAATTGGAGAGCCACCATATGACTGAAAGTTGTCGTGTCTCTATCTTTCACAACTTTCACGAGTGCACAATGGTAAATGGAGAATGCGACTCCAAAGTAATCACCAGGAACGTCCTTGTGCTCCAGGATTGTAGTGATCAGGCGCGAGATGGAGGCTGCAGGCATTGCTCGTCATCTAGATGTGACGCGATGTAAACGACAGTGTCTTCGCAGACCCATGTGAACTCCTTTCTACTCAGCGAACGGTGAACGATCCCGGATGAGAATAGCTGAGGAACAAATGCAAAGTTGGCCATGGAGCATGCGCCCAAGCATTCTTCGTCCGTGATTAGATTGTGATTGGATAAGAGCTCGAAGTCGTAGAGCACAAAAACCATGGTAATCCAAGCCAACCGGCAAGCTATGTACGCTGCAGCACCGAGTGCCCAATTCTAGCCCGAACCTGGCACGCCTGGTGCGCAAGGATTGGAAAACCTGGTGATCCTGCAGAATAATAAAATCAGACAGCACTTAATAATTCTTAAAGAGATGGAAACATACTGCAAGATTATAGATATAGATACAGCATTGAAGTCGTAGAATGTTTGTTCAAGAATGTGGTAGAAGGCCATGAGCGGATTAGCGCTAGCCTGGGCAGAATGCCTCGGGTGAGGGGGGCTCGAACACTCCTACAGAGGATGCCGGTGCAGGCGGCCTCTTTGAGAGCCAGGAGGGATAACCTTCTAATATTCTCGGATGAGCAGAAGAATGGGAGCTGCGTAGAGACCAGAGTCGATGAAAGTGGGTTCGAGGGCCTTGGTAGCACCCGCCCTGGCAAGGGCGACTACAGCATCAGCTGCACCGATTTTTTGTCGGCAAGATCCTCGCCCTCGCCTCAATCATCCTATCCCGCTGCTCCTCAACTCTCCTCTGTGCCTCCCATGCCCAGCCCTACCTCTCCTTGCGCTTCCGATTCTCCTCATCCATATTCTGTGTAAAGCTAGCGTTGTCTTCCGAGGTATACCGCGCCTGGAAGTCGTCTAGACTTGAGTCGATATCATACCGCGGGCGTTTCGTCACTGGCTCCCCGCGTGGCGTGCGTAGCGGTGTCTCGGATGGACCAGCACCATAGGGCGTGGCGGATGGCGTCTGCCACGGTCGTCCTCGGTAGGTGGCGGGGGTATTGTCAACTTCTTGCAATCTGCGCACGGAAGCGCTCGTGACGTTTATCGGAAGCGGGAAGCCCGGGTCTGCCCAGGTGGATACAAGTCCTGTGCGTCAAAGTCTGGTGAGTCAAGCTCAACACATCAAAATCAAAAATCAAAACATCACCATAGTAACGCGGAAGCTCAAGTCAAGTTTCGCAAAGTCAAAAGCGAAAAACAATTTGTCCAGTACGGTCCCTTATAGGAAATCACGAATGACACATGCGGAAGAAGTGACACAGCTTGATTGACGCCAGAGACAGAACTGGAAGCCATAAGTTACAACGAAGAATACAGGAGACGACGAAGAACAAATTCTGGAAGGTTCGATCAATGCTGACAAATATTCTGAATCAGGATGAGAAACGGACCGCCTTGATGCTTTGGCGGGCCGGTATGATCGTGCGGACAGAGAAAATTTACCCCATACCTGTACCCTCTTCTAGGGTACAGGAAAAGACGTTGCGGGGAATTCAAAGATTCATGTGTAGACATCTATTCTAGCGTTAACGTTAGCCGAATGCAATGATTTCTCGCGAATTCCGTATACTGGTATGGGTGTTATGCGTTCACCTAGCTGGCATCTACCTATTTACAAAGGGCTTCCTCCTCACCCGACTCGCACTGCCCGACAAAGGAACATGTAGCTCAGACGCCTGCTCTTCGCTTGCTACCCACAAAAGAGCAATCTTGCTCGTTATAGACGCGCTCCGATTCGATTTCATCGCAGAACACCCGCCAGAACCCACCTCCCCTTTCCACCACAACATCCTGACCCTGCCACGCGAATTGACTGCCGCTCGTCCTGGATCATCATTTATATTTAACGCGTACTCAGATCCACCGACGACGACTCTTCAGCGACTCAAAGGCCTTACCACAGGCTCCCTACCCACCTTTGTAGATGCTGGGGAAAACTTTGGAGGCTCTTCCATTCACGAAGATTCTATAATACATCAGCTAAGCGCTGCGGGCAGAAAGGTATGTACTTGCTTCTTCTTCCCACCCCATTTCACTGATACATTCCCAAGGAAAGATTGCTCTCGCCGGGGATGACACATGGCTCACACTTTTTCCAGATGCCTTTCAACCAAACATGACATTTGCCTTTGACTCCTTCAATGTCGAAGACCTTCACACCGTGGACGAGGGCGTCATCGATAATTTATTACCCTTGATGCGACATCATAAAAACTCGTGGGATTTTGCCATCGGTCATGGTTTAGGCGTCGACCACGCTGGTCACAGAGTCGGGCCAGACCATCCCATCCTCAGAGAAAAACTGGAGCAGATGAATGATTTTTTGCGCGATGTCGTTGCAGCCATGGACGATGATACGCTCCTAATAATGCTCGGCGATCACGGAATGGATCGGATGGGTAACCACGGTGGTGACAGCGTCCTAGAGACAATGTCAGCTCTCTGGATATACAGCAAGATCCCTCTTTCGCTTCCCGAATACCCAATTCAAGAGGCCATTCTACCGATGATCACATTCCCAGAAGCCTCAGTTCCGCATCGCCATGTCCAGCAGATAGACCTGGTGCCAACTATCTCCTTACTCCTAGGTCTTCCCATCCCATTCAATAACCTTGGGAGCATCATCCCAGAACTTTTCAATCGAGGCGATTCATCTTTGCAGAATGCCATGGAACTAAACGCAGCTCAGATTAGGCGCTTTCTCGACGCTTATCGATCTAGTTTGTCTGGACAGGAGCTTGACGCTGCCTGGCATGATTTCTCCGTCGCCTGGGCTGGCACACATGCGATAGACGGGAATAACCATCTCGTTGCATTAAATAACTTCACTCGTTTGGCACTATCCGCTTGCCGTGTTCTCTGGGCTCAGTTCAACCTTTTTCTGATGGGCGCTGGATTGGCGGTCATTGGTTTGAGCATTGTCGCTTGCTGGGCATTGTACTCCAAACTCCGAGATGTTGGGGATGACGAGTGGGAAAAGTGGGTGGACGACAAAATCTTTTGGTCGTTCAGCGCCTCCGCTGGAGGATCTGCCCTAGGGTTCCTAACGCACCTTATGTTGCATGAATATTTGGATGGTGTCGCCATGCACCAAACCATGCTCTTCGCTGCAGCCATTTCATCATCGTTCATCATGGTAGTTGCAACTCGCCCCACGGTCACCTTGAAAGCTATCACGGCACTCCCCATCTTCCTCGTTCTCCACACCTTGTGTCTCGCATCAAACTCATTCACAGTATGGGAGGATCGCATCGTGCCCTTCTTTCTCATCTCATCCATCGTTCCCTCAGTCATCACAGGTTTCACCGCTCCAACCTCCCAGCTGCGCTACCGTATACTGGGCTTTTCTGCTCTCTTTGCAGTATGCGCCCGACTCATGGCTATGAGCACCGTCTGCAGGGAGGAACAACACCCCTACTGCACCGTCACTTTTTACGCGTCCGAGTCATCATCAGCCCCACCAACCACATCACTCCTCCTCGCCTTCCCTATTGCAATCGCAGTTCCCCGCGTCGTCAGTCGCGTACTCAAAATCTCCAAATCGGACTCGGGTCTCGCTGCAACATTTATTCCTCTGTTTCTCGCACCATCTTTGATCGCTGGCACGATGTTCTGGATGCTCGAATGGGCAGACTCTGCGCAAATCCTGGGGTATATGGGTGATAGCTTAAGGGTGACGAGGACGGTCTTGGCGAGGACTAGTGCTGTTGTAATGTTGATCGGGGGTGTTTCGGCGTGGTGGACGTCGCCTGTCTGCCTTGCTATTTCGACAAGCCAAAGCCCGTCGAGTTCTGCATCTACTGCACAAGAAAAGACTGAAGTAACCGTGCTAGGCTTCGCCAACGCCTTCGGTTCTCCATACCTCATTTTCTGGCTCATCTTTTTAAGTATCGTCTGGTTGATGACCCAGCTCTCAGGACAGATCATCATCGGGCTCTCCTCCATTGCGCTACTATCCTACCTAGAGATTATTGACAGCGTTCGGGACGTCCACAGCTTAAACGCAGCCTTCACCACCCCACCACCTCCCCCAAACCTAGCCAACAATAACATAAACCGCGAGCTCCTATTCTCCGACATCGTACCCCTAGCGCTCCTAGCGACGCACACATATTACAGCACAGGCCACCAATCGACCTTTTCGTCCTTGCAGTGGAAAAGCGCGTTCGTGTTTGGAAAGACGCTTTCTTTCCCTCTTTCGCATGTTTCTGTGGCTGTTAATACGTTTGGGTCGTTTTTGCTTTTAGCGCTTGCGGTGCCTTTGGTCGTATTGTGGAACCTCCCTCCTGTCCCGCATCCCCGCCCCACAATAGGAGCATCAGCGCTTAGAGCTGCACTAGCGATGTCCTTGTATTTCGCGGTGTTGGCGTTCGGGGCAGCGGTGTGTGGGGCGGTGTTGAGGAGGCATTTGATGGTGTGGAAGATATTTGCGCCTAGGTATTTGGGTGCTGTTTTTGAGCTTTGCGTGGTTGATTTTGGGGTGTTGGTTGGGGTGGGTGTTGGTGTTGGGAGGGTTGAGAAGGAGATTAGGAGGGTTTTTGGGAGGGTTGGGTGAGGTCGTGTCTGTGGATTATGCGTGCTAGGTGCAACAAGTCAGCAATCTCATTCACGATAGCCATTTGTATTGATCAGGGAGCACACGCATACACATTCACGACCCGGAATATGTTTTTCTGACGTACAAAGTGTACGAAGTTCCTTCATGCTGAAGGAGACTGCTCGTCTCCATATTCTCGGGCAACACGGTGGTCAGTGCAGTCAGGAATTCCAAGGCTGCCAGGCTTGCATTTCCCAACTGCATTAGCCACTTTTACAGGGCTATCGAGGAAACATCGTCACTAATGTCGACTAACGGGTTTCTTGTAGTTGATGCACAATTTATCTGCCATTGCAAAACCTTACTTTTGCCACGTTCTGTCAGCTCTGCCCACACCGGGGCCGTAGGCGCGGGAGTACAACCAGTGACCAGTCGGATGCACTGCGTTTTTCCTGTCTTCGCTCCGGGGCTTGATTTGGTCGCTGGTAAGCACCGTCTCTCCTTTCATTCCTTGATAGGTTGTTCCTCGACTGACCCTGAAGCAGAATGTATGATCCCTCTGGTGCCTGGCTGTAAGCAGGTTGTTCTTGTCGGTTATCACCAGCAGCTTGGTCCGGTAATCATGAACAAGAAAGCGGCACTCTGACACAATCACTTTTCGAACGTCTGGTTGTACTTGGCAACAGACCCATTCGTTCGCAAGTCCAGTACCGTATGCACCCTTGCCTGTCTGAATTCCCCTCGAATTCCCCTCGAATATGTTCTATGAGGGCACACTGCAGAACGGCGTCACTGCTCCCTAGCGTCTTCACAAGAACGTCGATTTCCCATGGCCCGCCCCAGACACCCCAACGATCTTCTACCAGAACCTTGGTCAGGAGGAGATATCATCCAGTGGAACTTCGTTCCTTAGCAGCCTGTCGGTATCTTCAGGTTATTCCTTTTCTTCACAGCAAACCAGCGGTTGTCGTGCGACAATCTCGTCGTCGCGTGCGCGAATGCTACGGCACACCCGTCTGTTTGCATTGTGGTCTGCGTGCTGCTCTCCGCGTACGCGGTGTTTGACTTTTGAGTACTTTATGCTTATGCTGGGGATGTGAAATTAGGACATGCGATGCACCAGTCTATAGATGGCTTGTCAATATACTAGGTTGACCATCCGAGCGACGTGACACCATGGGGACGAAGTAAGGTATAGTGGCATCATTTCACAAAGTCGTTGAGAAAGTCATGACTAGTGTCTGAACATCAATGAATGCTACGTATGGTGACAGGCGTCTATTGGAAGCAACATAAGTATCTTCAATACATGCAGTAGTTGGTATTCTATTCCGACGAAAAAGTTGTGAAGGGAATGACCGCTTAATGGGTGCGGGAGGCAGTCAACTGCGTGAAAGACACGGGAAGCACCTTATGAGAAGTGAAAAGCAGCTAACGTCTGGAACATATTCAATGTCCATCGGAGAAGGGGGTCTGTTGGTTGCAGCAGAAGCACTGGTACTTCCAGTCTGCAAGGTTGTTGAGGTAGTTCCATCTGTCACACTGGATGTGCCCACTTGGGGTGCGCTGCTGCTTGAGGCACCAGCATTCGATACACCAGCGTTAGGAGCGTGAGCTTGTTGGGGAGGGGGACGTGGTCGCTGCACCACATGCCGTTTCCCGCTGATGGCATTAGCGGTGCGCTGCGGGATTGTCATGAAACGGGATCACGGATTGCCACAGCTCGGGAAACTTACGTATTTGCCTCGAGTTGCAAATATATCCACAGTGGGGATCCTGCTGGGGAGGGGAGTATCACCCTGAGGAGTGGAGGAGCGAGAAAAGAGACGGTTCATCATGATTTTTATTCGTGAGCCTTCGGCATGGCGCGTGGTTGTAGTAGTGCCATTGTTGCACCCAGGCGGGGAACGCGTATCAAACTACAAACGGATGGTGAGATGTGCATTGAGACTATCGTACCGTATGAACTTACATCATTGAAGAATCTAGGCGGGATTCTACTGTGTTGTGGGCGAGGCTTTTGGCCTGGGATGGTCTTCTGCAAGACTGAAGTTAGGGATGGCACATGACGAGGAGAAAGGGAGCGTACTTTAAGAATTTTCTGTTCAGACTATATGACAAGTCAGCATGAAACAGGACATGAGATAATTTGCTCGCCTGCTCTGATTCACTCTGAGGAGCTGTCCATGTGCGAACGAGCTTGTCGTAACAGCCAGTAGCGATGAGCTGGCTGTCTTCGGAAAAGGCCACACAACGGACGGCATCAGGGTGCTCGAGTGGCTCGCCGATGGGTTCGAATGTGGTCAGGTCAAAGAACCGCGTTGTTTTGTCTGGGGATGTGGTGGCGAATTTGATGCCATTGGGAGCAATGGCTAGTGAGGTAAAGGTATCGGCGTGCGCGTCAAACTGTTTGATGATGTCTCCAGTGGCAGCGTCTGAGATTCGGATGTCGTTGATATTTCCACTGACGAGACGGAGACCATCTGGAGTGAATGCGACTCGCCAAGCCCGCTGTTCTATTTTGAGTAGTTCTTCTCCATTTTCTGGATTCCAAACGATGATGTGTTCTTCCGTGCCTGCTGCTAGTTTGCTTCCATCGGGGGAGTATGCCACCGAGTTTGCCTCACTGCCCACTCGGAGTGGTCCGAGGACTATTTTGCCCGTCTTCCTCTTCCACACGCATACTGTTTCGTCTTGTGACGCACTTGCAAATGTCTCGTTGTCCGGTGCAAATTCGATCTCCCAAACAAAACTCTCATGTCCCTTGAACGGGACTGGCACTCTCTTGTTTGTCTCGACTTCCCAGACCAGGATGCTTCCGTTGATTGCTCCACTCACAATCCAACGCCCATCAGAGGATGCTGCAACCGTCAGGACTCTATCATCGTGAACCAACAAGGGCTCCCCCACTTGTTTCCCTGTGTTCAAATCCCACACTCGAAGACTTTTGTCGTAGGAGCAAGTGACGAGGAGACGTGTACCAGGGATGAAAGCTACGCCGCTCACATATCCTTCATGACCCTTGAGCGTCATTTTGACGCAAGGTAGTTCCTTTCGAGTCGACGATGCTCCATGAGTAGTTGTTGCCATTGAGTCTTGTTCAGCGACTCGGTCAGCGAGAGGATTGAGGAGATAGCAGTCACTTACATGTTCTATGGTGAGTGGTTGCTAAATTACATCTTCTACAGGATACTTACTATCGCTGAATCCACATGTCAGCATTGCTGTAGACACGTGGTGTCCCGCATATAGGTTCCACGTTTAGCGCTTCTTTCTGCCGTTTTCTGCTAGTAGGCGCTCACTGTGCTTCAAGTTGTCGTGGTTGATACAACCTCTCTGCCACATCAGTCGACAAGAGATGTTTCATCGCATTGATCTTGTAGTGATGGCTGACCAAGTAAATCGGTTTTGGTTGGCTGCGGTACTATCATCACCTGAGGGAGAACCAGCGTTTCGGTCCTGTAGGCATCATTTGGTCTTTCAAAGGCTGGAAATCACCTTCTCAGTATGCTTGGTTATATTGCTTCTCCTCACTACTATAACTTGGTTCCGCCTACAGATTTTCACGCACAAGTTTGACCACCATGCGGACGCATAGCTCCACGTGTTGGCTGGCCCATATACACGCGAGATTCAGCACATCCTTAATCGATATGGTACGACATCTAATCAAGCGATGACGGGCACTACTCTTGGACGCATTCTCATCGAGCCCACTGATATCAGATGCTTCCCACATAACGCGATACTTGCAGCTGTGCTAGGCTCCACGAATTGTGACGAAGATATGATTCCCTCGAATCGTGAGCCTTCGGCGTGGCGCGTAATTGTTGCGGTGTGGTTGTTGCGTCCAGGTGGGGAACGCGTGTCAAGCAGGAGACGGATGGTGAGACACGCATTGACACTACCATACCATATAGACTTACATCATCGAAGAACCTAGGTGGGATGCCAGCGCGTTGTGGGCGAGGATTTGAGCCTGGGATGGTCTTCTGCAAGATTGAAGTTAGGGACAGTACAACACGACAAGCATGTATGCGTACTGCAAGAATCTTCTGTTCGGACTATATGACAAGTCAGCATGAAGCAGGACATGACAAAAGATTTTGCTCGCCTGCTGGGCCTCCTGCTCTGGTTCACTCTGAGGGACTGTCCATGTGCGAACGAGCTTGTCCGAACAGCCAGTTGCGATGAGCTGGTCGTCCTCGGAAAAGGCTACACCCCAGACGGTGCTCGAGTGGCTCGCCGATGGGTTCGAATGTGGTCAGGTCAAAGAACCGCGACGTTTTGTCGTTGGGAAATTTGGAACTATTAGGAGCAATGGCTAATGAGAGAAAGGCTTCGACATGCGCGTCAAACTGTTTGATGATGAGTCTCTACGAGGGTGCTCGTGTATGTGGTCGGTAGAAGAACTTGCCAGCATTACGTGGTATCATGACGTTGACAACCCGAAAATAGACTACTTGGACTTAGTTTGCAGAATGAGACCTTTCCCGGACAGTCGTCACGGTGCCAAGACATGTCCTCATTCAATTGACTGACATTGGGCCCGAACTTGTTAACATAATTTACGGTAATTGCTGCTCGATCGCTTCTTCGGTTCGCCTCAATTGTTCGCGAGAGTGCTTAAAATTTGAACGCGCATGAGTAGATGAGGTCCGTCCTATCCCTTTCCGCTCCTCTGATCAGCCATGCTTCAGCTCCCTGACATGCGCATTCCCGATAACCGTGACACGCAGCTCGTCCTCGGGGCTGCGGCTTGTGTTGGGGTAATAGGAGTGATGGTCCGGGCTTACCTTCGTAAATCAGACAGTGGTCTTCCTCTCCCTCCTTCTCCTCCCACTTGGGGACTTCGAGGACACTTGCTACCGGCTCACAAGTAAAGTTTTGTATCGGTCTCTTTGTGTTTGTAATCTAATTGCAATTTGTACCCCATTTCTGATCAGCACATCTCTCACTGTCGCGCGGTGGATTGACGAGTATGGCCCTCTCGTTACTATTCGCTCAGGCACCCAGAACATTGTTATTATCGGCCGGTACAAAGTCAGTCCCTGTATGCTGAGACGTCATTTACAGGCTCAACATCTTGTGACAGGCCGCGGTGGACATTATGGAGAAGCAGGGTGCACTGCTAGCTGATCGACCTCGTCTTGCTGCTGCAGAAATCGTCACCCATGGACTGGCCATCAGTTTATCACCCGCTGGGGATAGGCTTCGTCGGAAGCGCAGGTTCGTAGCTGCGACGCTCAAATGTCCCTCATCTTACTTGGCAACATGATGCAGAGCACTTCATACGCATCTCCAGTCTAAAGCAGCTGAGGCGTACGAGCCTCTGCAGATCTCACACGCAAAGGACATGGTCCTTAATATTCTCGATAATCCAGACAGCTTCCAGGACCATGTGGCAACGTTAGTGCTTTCCTATGTCGGGGACATGACGGTATTTACGGATATTTTGAAGTTGTGCTGCGGCGACGATCTTGAAAGTTGCATATGGGAAGACTACGCCGACGTCCGCAAGTGATCCTGAAATCATAGAGGCTCGCCAGCTCGTCAAAAGAATTCGTGTGGTCCTTCGCCCCGGCGCTTACTGGGTGGAGGCGATACCGTGGCTCAAATACCTTCCTTGGTATGCGCTAGATTTAAAGGACGAGTTCGAGAGGACCAAGCGGCTCTTCACCGGCCAACTGAACCGCGTGAGACAGCAAATGGTTCGCATTGCCTTGCCTTGAGTATCTCGCATGATATCTGAATTATCCACAGCAAAGCAAAGCAGATATCGGCCCATCGTTTGCAAAATATATGCTAGAAAATGAAGATGTCTATGGCTTGACAGAGACTGAGATGGCGTATGTTGCTGGCGCCTTATTTGGAGCTGGAACCGAAACGGTGAGTGGTCTTCTTTTTTTCAAGTACATACACTGAGATGAGTATCAGACATCTGTGGCGATATGCACGGTGCTAATGGCAGCCGCACATTTCCCTGAAGAGCAAGCTAAAGTCCAGGAGGAGCTTGACGAAGTCATCGGAAGGCAGCGAGGTAACTCGATTTCTCATTGCAGTTCTGTCACTTCAATGATTTCTCTGCCAAAGCACCGACCTTTGCTGACAAACAATCCCTTCCTCGCCTGGAGGCCTTCATCTCCGAGGCTTTGAGGTGGAGACCGTTGGATGGTGGGCAACTAATTATCAGTCCCGTGCCTGAAGTTTAAACAGTTCGCATTGCAGGGCTGCCTCACCGAGCGACTGAAGACGTGATATATGTAAGTGCTCTCAAGGATTTGCCGTCCACATGATAATCTGACATCCTCCTGCAGGAAAACTATTGCATTCCCGCCGGAACAACGGTCACCGGCAACCTCTGGTGACTCACTGTCTTGCAAGATACGAATTATCTCATTGTGACCCTTTAGGGCTATCTCTCGAGATCCAGAAGTCTTCCCTGAGCCCGACGCGTTCAAGCCTCGGCGCTGGATTGACGACGAAGGTCTTGTGAGAGACGATCTCACATACTTTTTATATGGGTTTGGTCGGCGGTTAGTACCATCCCTCAGCATACCATACTTTGTCTGATTGTTCCTCCCAGCGTATGCCCGGGTCTACAAGTTGCGAACAGGTTACAATTCCTTTCCACACATAATTTTCCAATCTCATTTCAAGTGTTACAGATCAATATTCGCAAATTTACTTCTTGTGCTTTGGGCCTTCCAGCTCAGTCTGGATCCTACGAAGCCGCAAGATGACATGGGGTTCACGAACGCGGCGATGCCAAACGTCCCGTGCGCCATTGAATTCAAGACGAGGGTTCCGGAAGTGGAGCTTAGGCGTATGATGCAGAATTGTCTTGGGGACTGATGAGAAGATTTGACAAGTCTGGGTCGGATCGCCACTAGGGAGGGAACAAAGAACCAATTGGGAACAAATCATCAATTAGTTCATCTCTCTCGGACACTCGTCACAATTTCAGCTTGACTCCGCGTCCGCCTCGTTTCAGTTTAGTTGGTTATGCATCGTTGCGTATTTCTTTCTTGTGTTCGGAGTTCCTGTTTGACCGCGCATTGATAATTGTGTTCTGTTGATATGCGCTCCGTAATGTCGGGACTCGTTATCTCCTCCACCGAGAATCATGAAATTGGCCCACTTGGAAGTCAATGGTAGAACAGTGAGGTATGAAAGGCTGAGTGCAAGATGGGCTGCGGCAAGACGTGGGGAAAGCCAGGTGCAAGCTGCTAAGCTGTCGTGCACTGAATGATAAATACATCTGCGAAAAATCGTTCCGGGCCTTCTTGATCATTGGCTGCAGGTATACCTTATCGGGCCTCCACACGCAGATCCTCAATGTCAAATTTAAAGTCACGTGTAGTCAGAACCTTGAAGTTCCGTCTCGTCCGCTAAAATACGAAGTTCCAAATGTCGTCCTGATAGTTACACATATGCCGCCGACATGCAAATCCTCCACGAACGACGGACATACACTCTGTTCCAACATCGCGTCAGGTATGCATACCTCACGTCACCCATGATTTTAAGTTGTAAGCTGGCCGCTATCATCTCCTCTGAGTCGATATACATGACGATGCTGTTGACCGGGTCAGGGAAAACGGACGAGATCAAGTCAGCACCTGTGCTATGCACATCCGATATAATCCCGCAAGTGCACCTGTCAGAAGGAGTACTAGTGTCATTCTCGTGTGATCCGGTTATGATTTTGATTGTCAACTGCCCCATAAACGCATTGGAGGAAGAGCCAAACTACTGTAAGTCTGAGATCTATACATAAGTACCGGTCCACACTCGTTAAGTACCACCTCAATTTATGGGTATCACGTAGTGCCTTGACACACTAACGGTGACTAACCGGATAATGCATCTGCCGCTCGCTTCCTCAGTTCGCCTCAATACACTAGCGTGGGGTTGGCGCGAGGTGCATAAAAATTTGAACGCACCTTCGATGAGCTCCGGCCAATCCCTTTCCGCTCCTCTGATCAGCCATGCTTCAGCTTCCTGACATGCGCATTCCCGATAACCGTGACACGCAGCTCGTCCTCGGGGCTGCGGCTTGTGTTGGGGTAATAGGAGTGATGGTCCGGGCCTACCTTCGTAAATCAGACAGTGGTCTTCCTCTCCCACCTTCTCCTCCCACTTGGAGACTTCGAGGACACTTGCTACCCGCTTACAAGTAAAGTTTAACATCGGCCTTTTCGTTTTTGTAATCTGATTGCAATTTGTACTCCGTTTTTTTTATCAGCACATCTCTCACTGTCGCACGGTGGATTGACGAGTATGGCCCTGTGATTACTATTCGTTCAGGAACCCAGAATATCGTGATTATCGGCCGCCACAAAGTCAGTCCTTGTATGCTGAGTTATCATCCCCAGCCTCAACGTTTTGTGACAGGCCGCGGTGGATATTATGGAGAAGCAGGGAGGGCTGCTAGCTGATCGACCTCGCCGTGCTGCTGCAGAAATCCTTACCCACGGACTGGTCGTCGGTTTGTCATCCGCTGGGGACAGACTCCGTCGGAAGCGCAGGTTCGTCGCCGCGATGTTATAACGGCTCAAACAGCCCTCATCTTACTTGGCAACATAATGCAGAGCACTTCATACGCATCTCCAGTCCAAAGCAGCTGAGGCGTATGAGCCTCTGCAGATGTCACATGCGAAGAACCTTGTTCTCAACATTCTTGACGATCCATGCAACTTCCAGAACCATGCGGCAACGTAAGTGCTTTCCTTAGTGCGGGATATGATGGTGCTTAGGGGTAATTTGAAGTTGTTCTGCGGCGACGATCATGAAGGTTGCTTATGGGAAGACTACGTCCACGTCCGCAAGTGATCCCGAGATCAGAGAGGCTCGCCAGCTCATCAAGAGAATTCGTTTTGTCATGCACCCTGGTGCTTACTTGGTGGACTTGATACCGTGGCTCAAATACCTTCCTTGGTATGCGCCAGAATTAAAAGACGAGTTCGAGAGGACCAAGCGACTCTACACCGACCAACTGAACCGTGTGAGACAGCAAATGGTACGCCTTGCCTTGCCTTGCCTATCTTCACATGGTGTCTGAGTTATCAACAGCAAGGCAATGTGGACATCGGTCCTTCGTTTGCAAAACATATGCTAGAAAAAGAACAACTCTATGGCTTGACAGAGACTGAGATGGCGTATGTTGCTGGCGCCTTATTTGGAGCTGGAACCGAAATGGTGAGGTATCTTTCTTTTTTTCCGGATGCATACACTGAGATGATGTGTCAGACCGCTATGGCAATATGCACGGTGCTAATGGCAGCTGCGCATTTCCCTGAAGAGCAAGCTAAAGTCCAGGAGGAGCTTGATGTAGTCATCGGAAGGAAACGAGGTACTAAGCTCTATTTTTCATCGCAGTTGTGTCAATTGAATGATTTCCCTGCCGAAGCACCGACCTTTGCCGACAAACAATCCCTTCCTCATCTGGAGGCCTTCATAATTGAGGCTTTGAGGTGGAGACCGTTGGATGGTGGATAACTAATTGTCAGTCTTGTACCTGAAGTTCACACATTTCGCCCCGCAGGATTGCCTCACCGAACGACCGCAGATGTGATTTGGGCGAGTGCTCTCTGAAGTCGTTTGGTGGGTAATCTAACATCCTCCTGCAGGAAAACTATTGCATTCCCGTCGGAACTACGGTAATCGGCAACATCTGGTGAGTCACTGTCCTGCGAGATACGAAGCATCTCATTGTCACCACCTAGGGCCATCTCTCGTGATCCAGAAGTCTTCCCTGAGCCTAATGCATTCAAGCCTCAGCGCTGGATTAACGAGCAAGGTCGCGTAAGAGACGATCTAACATTCTTTGTGTATGGGTTTGGTCGGCGGTAAGCAATGTCTCTTGGGATGTACTTTCTTTCATTGTCCTTTTTTCCAGCGTATGCCCAGGCCTACATCTTGCGAACAGGTTACACTTCCTTTCCACACATCATTTTCCGATCTCATTCCAAACGTTACAGATCGCTGTTCATAAATTTGCTTCTCATGCTTTGGGCCTTCCAGATCAGTCTAGATCCTACGAAGCCGCAGGATGACATGGGTTTTATGAACGAGGCGATGCCAAATGTTCCATGTGCTCTCGAATTTAAGACAAGGGTTCCAGAAGTCGAGCTCAGATATATGATGGAGGATTGACCTGAGGCTGGGTGAGAAGCCTTGACGTTGAATCGGATCGCCACTTAGGAGGGAACGAAGAACCAATTGGGAATCTCTAGGACATTCATCACCAGCTGATTCCGAGTCGCAATATAGTCAACTACGTTGCGTATCTCTTGCTTGTATTCGGAGATCCAGTTTTACTGCGCACTGATGACAATTAGTATTCTGTCGATGTTATTTTTTGAAGGAATGCACTCCCTGACGTCCGGTCATTGAGTACTTGGATAATGTTCATGTATATATATTGTTTCATTTCCCTCGAAGGTCCTCGCCACGGTGATTTACGTGCACTGCCTACAGATAAATCGATGCGGTATAATAGCAACAGGACGTCTGAAAATGTACTCTTATTCTGAGGAGACATAGCGGGAACGAGAAACAACTGGGCCCGTTTATCGAGTTGCAGTATGATCAATGATCTATACTTGTGGCCTGCAAGGTCGCGGATGGTTTCGGATGTCGCCCTGACACCAGTGTCAGAAATGTGGGCCTGTTGGCGAGGAACATATGATCATGGACGAGGTGTCATTCCACTAGGTTCCCATGTAAACGACCACCATTTAACAGACATTTAGCAGCTATCCATCTATACGCATAAGAGTCAAGGTGGTATGAACGCGGCTATGACTAGGGTATAACCAGCCGTCGGTGATAATGATATACTACAAACATGCTTTATGTTTCTATCGATACCATCACACAATCGGACTCGCATCCCTGCTAGGCTCTGCATCCCACATTTTGGACATCGCCCCTCCAAAAGCCTTCCCGAGAGCTAGAGCCAATGGTGTAGGTACCGCATTACCGATCTGTCTGAATTGCTGTGGAACGCGTCGGTTATGGGACGTCACCACCTGAAGCAAGGACTCACATCATCGATAGCCTTTGCCATCGCCTTCCCCTTGTTCACTGAGACGAATTCGTAGCTATCCGGGAACCCTTGCGCACGAGCACATTCACGGACCGTAAGGATGCGTTTTTGCTGGCATATAAAGCGTTAAAGAGTAAGGCTCCAAACGGCGATAACTGGTATACATACCGAAGGATGCAATACTTGACCGCTTTTATTATTCGGCAGCACCGTGGTCAGTGCAGTCGAGAAGTACATGTCCGCATCCAGCCGCTGGTAGACAGCTGTCGGAGGATCAGCCAATGTGTTTGAATACGTACATATTGCGTCTTGCCTTTGTATTTTGTCCTAGCGTTCTCGTGCTTCGAGAGTCCGGTGTGCAGCTCCATGGGCAGGTCTATGGAATTCGCAGTAAATTCCAAACCGCCAACAATCCTGTAGCTCGACTTACCGAAATGATTAGCTCCCACTCTCAGAGGCACATTTAAAGTTCTGTGTTCGAGTTTCAGTGCAGAAACCAATCCAGGATAGACACCAAAAACTTACCTTTCAATGACGATATCCCCGAAGCGTTTGGTATAATGATACTGAAGCTTTTTGCTTCCCTGTCGCATGAGCTTCTGGTAGCGGGATAGTGGCCCACTAGGATATTGACATGGCTTCGAGTAACCAGCGTACGGGTCTGCTGGAGTTCTTGCAGAATGCAGCGCGGAAAAAGACGGGATCCCAAGCTCGTCTTTGCGCTTGCGCTCCACCGCTCTATCAGCAGCAGTTTTCGAGATGGTGGTGTGTGGGTTTACCCTAAATGCAAGTTCGAATAAGCTAGGGTCCCCAGATTTGGGAAAGGTGCATACCAGTCGAACGGAGGCTGCAAAATAAGTGGGAGTGAATAAGTCATCAAAAAGGCGATTTCTGGACCATACCAAATCACCAATGGCTTCATGGATCGTCACGAAATGCAGCGGAGCGGAGAGGTCAGCTTTGTTGTCGCCGTACTTCAAGCGCGTAACAGGTCCTAAGTATGCACCAGTAGGTAACTTGACGCGCTGTACTTTTGTGTGAGGAAAGAAGTGTGTCGGGATTGGGAACTCCGGAAGGGCGACTCCTTGCCTGGCCGCCACGAACAGAACCCGCCTGCGTGCTTGGGGCGCGCCATAGTTTCCTGCGTGAAGAACATTATATTCGATCTGGTAGCTGCCAAAAATAAGCATCAAACAGCGCAAATGTATCAAATCGTACTTTAAGGCAAGGAGGGCGGCGAGAATGAATTTCACAACGCCCGAAGCCACAGTTTTTCCCTTCAATGCATGTTCCAGGATTCCGCCAACGTTCTCCAAGAGGAAGTACATCGGTCGGTAGAACTCTACGTATGCAATCATGTTGCAGACGAGCGTGGACCTATAATACATCGTTAACACAGATACACACCAACCCTACGTCGTGTTCACCGTATGTCATCATCTCTCTAGGAAACAGATTGTCACTATCGTAAATGGAAAAAAAAGTCTGATCTTTACCTTCGCGTGATTCAGCTTTGAAAAGGACTGGCATGGCGGACCTAGCAAACAGTAAACACGATCAACATCACCTCTGATGACATGAATCCTACGCACCACCATAGATGAAATCAACTTCGCCCGGCTTAGGCATCGAGGGTAGGCGCTTCTGATCTCCCAGAGAGAAGAGGGGGTCGGGATTATTCCCATCAGCGACATCAATGGCGTGCTGGAGGCATATGTTTGTGCATTGATTGTATACCGTCACATCAGGGTGATTTTGCCTGAGATAACATCAACACAAGCGCATTGAGCATGAAGCGAAGCGTAATTGACTTGTAAGTTTTCGCTGCTCCTGGAGAAAACTCAACCGCGTATCTTGTCTCCACGAAGCCAGACATATCCAATCCAGTTCCGAGGCCACCCGCACCTTCAAGTACACGTTGGGATCAGTCACAGAGCAACAAAAAATAAAAGCAAACCAGCAAACAGTTCCAGCCCTCGAAGCGGGCCGAATCTCTTCAACTGTTGAGCCCGGCGTGTTAGATGAGCTTGGTGCTCTTCGTGGCATTCAACGCAATGCCAAAAATGATTTCCTGACCACGGTTGTAGGTCATCGAGCGAATGTATGTCGAGGGAATCAGCGCATTCGTTCACGTAGAAGTGATCGTCGTGAGTGACCCAAGCATCTATAGCAGTGTTGTCCGTTTCATGAATGACGAAACATTGTCCTCTGACATTGTCGGGTCTTGTTTTCTCCCGGCTCTGTGAACGAAACAAGCGCCGCTACGAAATATGAGTTAGAGAGAACGTAGGATGCAGGTGGTGCCCTTGCCTCATCAGAAGAGGCTCCTTTTGGCTTATCAATGCCATGTCCGACTTTCCGGGCAATGTCATCGTAGCGCCCAAAGAGTCGAATGATGACCTCGGTGCACTTGCCCCTTTTTATTTTGAAATCCTCCACTTGGCCAATTTGATAGACACTGTTATGGCCCGTTGAGATATACGCAAAGTCTCCCTTATGGTAGTTTACATCGTTATGAGAGAACCCATCTCGAAGGGCTCGTGAATCAGTGAAATTCGACGCGCGTTCCTTGTAACCGCAAGCGAGGCACTGCTTATGGTCATCGCAGAAACTGAGGAGTGTTTGAGTTTCTAAGTCTGAGAGGCGAACGAAACTGGACTCGAGGCTGTTGAACATAAGTCTGCGGGTCCGTTCTCAGTGTTACATGAAGCACTGCTGTAAGAGTCTGCATACCCAGAGTGAAAATCGTTGTCGTCGTCAAGAGTTGACTCGTCTGGTTGGAAACTGTCCATTGGAAGTTCACGAACATTACATTTTTGCGAGATGGCGTCAATTTCAACGTCGCTGCAGTCGGAGAGCATCAGATAAAGCGCATGTGAATGTCCCGCTTCTTGGAGCAATGTCTTCGAGCTGTGAGTGAACCACTGCGCATGGAACTTCTTGACGCCCTCATCGTCCTCGAAAAAGTACCGAATCATGCAAAACCTTTCGAGGTAAGCCTATCACAAAAGACAAAGCAGGCGCACGAGGTCACGACCCACCAATAATCGTTTGCAAGTTTGTTCGTCGACTGGGAGGGCTGGTACTTGTAGGATTTTGCACGAGCAGTATCCTCGTCTTCTCCAGGTACGACAATGACAGCATCTCCGACCTGACCCGAATAAGATACATTTTTGTCGAGAAACAAAAAGAACTTACTGAGTACTTTACGCCGTCCACGCGAACAGAATTATAGAAGTCGGTATAGCCATCCACGGCATCCAGCCACTCCACAGAGTTCGGGTTAGCGGCATGTATTTTAGAAGGATGTCGTGGCGTGTCGTCCGATATATCCTTGCCCTCGTCCACGAGTTGTCCAGCAATCTTGATATTTTCGAATAATCGTTGTGCGACCCTTCCGACGACGGGTGTTGTGACGGTTTTGTTCCTGTGCTTGAGAACTTCTTTCTCGATGTTGTTAGAACTCGACGAACGACTCTGGGGCGGCCGCTGGGTACGCGAGCGGGAGGCGGGAGCAGTTTCCTCCATCAACTGATAAGACATTTCTTGTCCGAGGATGTCCTTCACCACCGGAGTGCGCCCAACACGGATTTTGTCATCGCGAAGCTCGTCGAGTGTTACAAAAAGATAAGTTTTCTGTCCGAATGTCAGAGAGTGATGCGAAATACAAACCTAGATATACATACAATGTCATCACACTGTATGTCATTCTCATCGAGCTCACGCCCGATGATGGTTAATGCAACAGAAACTTCTTCAGGCGAGTCAGGAGTTATGTGAAGGGCAGAAACAAAATCTTTATAAGTCAACCGTGGGTTGGCCAGGGCCATAGACACAAGAAGATGGGCAACTCGATGCTTCAGCCACAAATCACGGAAGAAGGGGACGTATTGTTCCGAAGGACGATCGAGAATATACCAAGCATGGTTCGTTAGGATATACAACTTGCTGAATATTGTCAAATGAGTTATAAACTAAGCTGCTATCATGGATAAATACTTACTCGTCAAGTTCTCTAGTGCGCTGTCGTATGTCGTGAATCGTGAACTTCCGTATCTCTGTCAAACGAATCCGTTGGAGGCAATCCTCGTCGTTAGACATACCATTTCCGTCATCGTCGTCGTCGCAGTCATCGTCGCAGTATTCATCCTCATCCATATGGGATTTTACGTAACCGGACGCTCGGTACATATTGTTGTTCACCGCATGGTTGACGTTAATTAGCTCACCGATTGGCACTAGCTGTTGTGTCGTGCACTCGTATATGGCGAAATCTGTTAATATGCGTACAGGTACATGCGCAGAATTGCCAGAGTCGGAGAGTTCAGCGGGGTCGGTTTCGCCTATAACCTGAAAATTCTCATCTTCGTCGTATTCGTCGTCGGGGGGTGCATAGATCAGCGTTTCTAAAGCGAATGTCAAGGAGTCGAGTCGAGACATTCAGATGGATGTACCTTTAGGCAATGTGAGCTCTTTTGGCTCAGAAGGCTGTGGCTGTGCCGCGACGTTGGGCACGGACGAGTCGTGTACGGTTGATTCCTCTGACGCGTCTGAATCCATCTGTTTGCAATCACATTTCGATATCAGCTTGGAATAACCGAGTGGCTGACTTACTACGCGTGAAAGTAACCTCTTCCTTCTTTTCTTTCCGCCGCGCGAGGACTCGTGCTCAGGTTCAGGCTCTGCAACCCTCTTTAAGGGCGTTTTCGAGGATGATGCATGGGCGGACATAGGTCCAAAGTGCCGTTTCTTCGACATAAATTATGTTTGGTGGGTCACCGTATGAAGATAAAGGCTCAGGAGTAACAATACCAACAAGGGATACTAAGGGGATCTATACTTAACCAATGTTTTAAAGTTTAGGAACAAAACAGGATGATTTGGGGGGTCGACTGTGGTCGATGATCTTTCCATTCGACCACGTGGCACGAGTACTAGTATTGTCGTAGTCGCGCCTGGTCCCTACCTTTGTCAACAACTGACATGCGACTACCCCTCGCCCTCCTTCTTGCTTTTTTAGTTCAACAATGCGTCCACGCTTCACCGCCAGCCAAGCGTTCTTATGCAACACACGATTATTATGTCCTCGAGCATAACCCTTCCGCAGGCGCAACTCTAAATGAATGCACGGGAGAGCTTGGAGTGGAGCTTGTCGAGCAGGTCGGGGAACTGCGGAATATATGGCTAGTGCGCTCCGCAAAGACCATATCCAACTTTGCTCCGAGGGCAGCATCAGATAGAGTCCTCGGCAGGTTCGAGGATTTGGTCACTCTTTCAGCACATTCAACTAGTTTATACCCACGAGCGGGTCGTCAAGCCCGTGCACACCGCATATTATCGTCCATAAAATATTTATCACCTCAGGTACCTCGCCAACGGACAAAGCGAGACAGCTCATTTCTAGAACGTGCACCGCCTCCCGTTAACCCTGGCGACCCTCAACCGAAAGCATCTGAAATCATAGCAGAACGCCTTGGATTTGTGGACCCCCTATTTACTCAGCAATGGCACATCGTTAACGACCAGTACCCCGAGCATATGATGAACGTGACGGGTGTGTGGGAAATGGGTATCACAGGAGAAGGTGTCATTACTACACTGGTGGATGATGGATTGGACTACCGGAGTCGGGACTTGGCCGAAAACTTCGTACGCTATACGTTGTGTGATTCATTTTGATGCTGACTTTCTCAAAGGATGCTGAAAATTCATATGATTTTAACGACCACACCGATTTGCCCACCCCCGTTCTTTCAGATGATCACCACGGCACGCGCTGTGCTGGTCAGATCGCCGCAGTCAAGAATGACGTCTGTGGCGTCGGACTCGCTTACAAGTCAAAAGTCGCTGGCGTACGCATATTATCCGGACCTATAACTGATGTGGACGAGGCAGCTGCCTTGAACTACGGCTTTCACAACGTGTCCATCTTTAGTTGCAGTTGGGGACCACCTGATGACGGCAGGTCGATGGAAGCGCCAGGATATATCATTGAAAAGGCTGTCGTAAACGGCATACAGAATGGTAGGGAAGGGAAAGGATCGATATTTGTCTTTGCCAGCGGAAACGGGGCCGCACAGGGAGACCAGTGCAATTTCGATGGGTACACCAACAGCATATACTCCGTCACCGTCTCGGCTGTAGACTTTAAAGGCCTACACCCATATTATTCTGAACCCTGCTCTGCGAATATGGTTGTAGCATACAGTTCAGGGAGCGGTCAACATATCGTAAGCATGCGACTCCGCACGCCGCAGCCAACTGAGGTTATTTGAAGGTCACTACCGACCTTGACAATAAATGTTCCAGCGGCCACGGTGGTACCTCCGCCGCCGCCCCTAATGCAGCTGGTGTATTTGCTTTGGTACTTCAAGTTCGGTGAGACTTGCGTCCCTTCACAGAATTCACACTGATCAAATTTTCATGACAGGCCTGACCTGACGTGGCGAGACATACAACACCTCTGCGTGAAAACCGCTCAGATGATAAACTCCGAGGATCCCGACTGGGAACCCATGGCTTCGGGACAAATGTACTCGTATAAATACGGCTTCGGGCAGCTTAATGCCTACGCCTATATCCAAGCAGCGCAAGATTGGCAGCTTGTCAAGCCACAGGCGCGGTTCCACCCTCCTGCCATGCAAATCAACAACGGCACTTTACTCACGGAGAATGGGGACATGGAGGGCGGGCAGTCGATTATCCCCGGGGGTGTTATGAGTTCGTTCACGGTGACGCAGGACATGCTTGACACGCACAACTTCGAGGAGTTGGAGCATGTGACAGTCAGAGTGTGGATCTCGCACACCAAGCGCGGGGATGTCGAAGTTGAGCTCACGAGTCCTGGTGGGATACGCAGCGTTCTTGCAGCTAAGCGTGATCACGACCGTTCTGAGACTGGTTTTAGAGGGTGGAGATTTATGTCTATCAAGCACTGGTATGATCATTGTTGTTCCCAAGACTCCTTCAAATTGCTAAGTGTTTTGTAGGGGTGAAAATGCGATTGGCACTTGGACACTCAAGGTTTCTGACCAATCATCCGAAGGGCATAGCGGAACTTTCCATGGCTGGCGTCTCATGTTCTGGGGCTCCACTGTTGATCCCACTGTCTCAACAACCTACGTTCTCCCACTTTCAGAGTACCAGCTTCCTTCCACAGATAACGATGACGCAATCAACATCCCCACATCGACATCTAGCAAATCCCACCCCAAGCCCACTTCTGGTCTTCCGGACGACCACGGGACTGCCGAGGGCGAAGCCAGCAAGCCTGCGTTCCCATCCCCAACTCTGCCTCCGGCTGCAACAATGACGCCGACACCAGACGAAGGCTGGTTCTCAGACATGTCCAACCTCGTGTCTAGCCAGAAATGGTTCTTCGGGGCTATCGGCGCAGTAGTGCTCTTCGGTGTGGGTGCAGGGGTGTTCTTCTGGAGACGCCGTGTGAAGCATCGAGCGTACGCTGCGCTCAGCGCGGGTGATGAACTGCAAATGAGTTCGGTCTCAAGGCAAGGCAGGCCCCGTGCCAAAGAGCTGTACGATGCATTTGGGGAGGTGTCGGATGACGAGGATGCGGATGAAGAGACCCGGTTGCATGGCTTAGGGTTCCACTCTGGGTTCTTGGACGACGAAGACCCGTCGTCTGCTGGCCCTGCCCCCGTGTACAGAGACGAGCCCAGGAGGGGGCATGATGCTAGCCCTGGTGTTAGATCTGCAAGCCCAGAGAGCGGCAGTGGCAGTGGCAGTGGCAGTGGTAGTGGAGATGGGAGCTGGGAGCATGCTTCCCAGACACATTGATCTGTTTCGATATATATACGTACTTTTTCATTTGTTAGTATTTCTTTTATGTGCATTGAGGATTATTGGGCGCATCTCGTATCTCTTTAACACATATATTACATACCACTGGAACATTATGGAGACAAGTCGCAGGACGTATTCTGCCAACAGGACAGCCTTCGTATAACAAAATCTAGAACAAGAACATAATGAAACAAGTTAGGGCACATCCCGGTAGCAAAGTGCCTACGTGGAACCATTTCCACGACGCGTCATAAAACATGCAGGGATGATGATGTGCAATCGTGACATCAGATTTGGTATCCACACATTTGAGATTTCAATATTTTGCATCTTGCAAGATTTCAATTAAAAGCGGATCTAGACCTGGCTAGAGCACTCTAGATTACCTCCCGAATGGTGAAAAAAGGCGGTGAGATGCCAGTTTTCCCCGCTGTGCCATATGCATAGAAGTTTGAGATCAAAGCAGTTGTTCGCAATGCAGACGGACACAGGGGGTGATCAAGGAATGTAAGCGAATGCACAATCTAACTGTGAGTGTCAGCGTCACCACCACTATTCTGGTGTGACGATTGGTCGGACTCCAAGTCCCATCGCGGAGACATCCTCAGGCTGCCATAAGACCAACACGAGAGACGGTAGTGCACGTTCGGGATTGAATCAGCGTAAGACATATGGTGAGTCACTGCGCATCATTTCGTGCGACACGGCAGGCTCCTCTCTGGGCGGATTGTCGTTGACTTTCTTGTAATGGGGTACGGAACCAGTAACGACGCGCTGTAGAGCACCTGTCAGCAAAGAGGGGCAGAAACGCCAGAAGATTCATGCTACCTCGGTGCCACGTCCAGCCGCGACCTCCACGACTGGCTAAATCTCGACCAACGGAAGGAGTAATGTTGCCACAGGAACTACGTGACGCCTTGAGAGCGGCGTCGAGGTTCCTCCTGGGACCGTGCTCGCTCTGATTGCCTGCGAAATGGTAGCGATTTACTAGATCCTTGATGCGAGAGTGCTAGTGGGAGTTCGTATGGGATGCGGTAGGAGTGGTGGGGCAGAAAACTTATGTATCTTCTCTTGCTGTATTCCAAACGATGATGTGTGTCTGGGCGCCTGCTAGTTTGCTACTGCATCCGGAGAGCACGATACCGACGTGTCTACTTGGAGTGGTCCAAGGACTATATCGTCTGCAGAAAGCCTCTTCCCCACGCACACCGCCCCGTTAGCTGATGTACTTGCAAACGTCCCGCAGTCCAGTGCAAATTTAATTATCTCGACGTGTTTGTTGTTCGTTTGTTTACCAATAGCCTTAGATCCAAACAAACCACAACAATTTCAACACTACCAGCAAATTCTTGAAGGGGGCGCCGCGTCGATGACAATGACCATAGAGCCACCCTTGGATACACCAGACAATGTTTCTCAGAAAATCGGACAAGTTCCCCTGCGAACAGGTCCTCCGACAAGGGAAGAGCTGCTCGCGTATTATCCAGCCAAGTTCACATGGGACCAGCTCAAGACCTTCGTGAATTCCGGGTACTTATACTTTATCGTCAATACGAACAAGGCCGACGACGCTGACTCTGGGACGTCGCTTAAGGGATCTCGGGCTGGTTAAACGTGACAGGGCACAACACAAGAGATATAAAGCATGGTCCTTAGGGATTGTGAAAGAACACGGTTCAATGGGTGGGTAATGTAGAGTCAGGATATAGAGATCGCTCAACGGCCTGAAGTGAACTACCTTATCAACCACCGTCTCCAATGGGGAAAGCCAGATACCCTTTCACTATTACCCTCAGCACTCAATAACGATACCAGATTCAAGGACGTACCCATCTCACCATCTAAATCCGATCGGCCACTCCCGGCGCTTCCCCCAGACGCACCTGAATATTTTAAAGCTGATATGCCGTTCGACTCAGAGTTGATCAGCATCATTCAGAATGACTGGCCTTACCCCGTCCCTATCGAGATTGAACACACGCTCATCTGGTCGCGAGTGCCTATACTCCATCCGGATCTCATCCCAGCGGAAATCCATGCACGGATACAACAGGATGGGCTGTGTGGGTTTACGGGCAACGACGAACCTCCACCCTCACCGTCCACCCTGCCGCAATGTCTGCCTTCGCTGGCGGAGTGGGGAATTACAATGGAGAATCTAATTCGCAGCCCAAAAAGCAATCCAGAAATCGAAGAGTTGGTGAGGAATGCTGGAAGGGAAATAAATGGTTTTGTGAAACGAAGATGGGTGGAGAGCGAGTGGGAAACCGCATGGTTTGTCAATCCCCCAGTGAGTGAACCAGCCCGTGGTTTTACTGCGCTAGATGCTGAGCGTTTTGCAGAGGAAACAAAGTGTTCGCGATCTAGCGCATATTCACGTATTTGCGAAGAAGAAACAAATTTGAAATAGACCAATATTAGACATACTCGTACAACTTTATCGTTTGTGGTCTTTGGGAATAACTTTCATTTTGTCTAACACAAAGATTGAGGAGCCTGACATTGATGTTTGGTCTGGTGTGTGCTTAACCTTTTGGTTTTTGTTCCTGTGCGTAGATGTCAAACACACCGAATAACGGTGTCGAACTGTCTGGTGCGAATGTAATTTGAGTTCGGCGATGTACCAGCCTTTACCAGGAGCTTCTGATCGTGGGCCGTAGCTACATGTTTTTAGCTCCCGTGTGCCAACGGATTCTAGTGATGGGGCTACCGAGCTCATCAGAATGAATTTGATGAAGGGTAGGTGTTTTTACCTGCATGTGGGGGCCACCACATCGGTCCGGCGGCATCAGAACCCACCTAAACAAGTTGACAATGTTCCAAACGTTCACTAGTTCTCGTGGAAGACGGGAGACGGTGGTCTAATGTCATACTTGAGCATGTTTCGCAAGACTATCAGTCAAGTGATGTGTTCTTCAAGGTATGAACCGTTGAAAATGATGAACTAGTATCAGATTTATCAACCATACTGTGTTCCGGACAACCTTCTTTTTTCGTCAGAGGTGCGTCGTCTTGTCTGGTTTTCGATGAAGCAAACTCGGCCGTGCCACGTCTGTTCTGGATTTCTGCCGTTTGAAAAATCTTGATAGACTATTGGGGCAGTGACAAACGGGTCGGTGTGTGAGTCGAACCATTTTATGAAGTCTCCATTATCTCCAAGGTCTCGCTGCCTGTTGTGAATTATCTGCCACCCGGTAGGCAGACCCAATGAGTGTACCTTCTCTTAGTAGTACGTGTAAACAAACATGCTCTTTATGTGTGAACGTTCCTTGGCACTTCCCAAGGTCATCGAACTCGGTTTCAGTATGATATTAGACGCATTCGCTCCAGAAATGCGCTTTGCTCGACCTTCACGTAAACGCATATCTGGGGCCCCAGTACGTATAGCGTGTAAGCGTGGCCAAGAACGGTGTTACGCTCGCTAAGACATATAAAAGACTACTATAGCTAATTTAGCCCCTAGCTACAGTAGTCACTACCTATTCCTTTTTCTTCCCTCTTTATCCCTACTCTTCCCGATCCCCTTAGTATAAAAGCCGGTTCTGTTCACTTAGATAGAGTAGTTGATCCTTCCTACCCAAGTAACAAGGGCATAGTTCAGACAGTTCTCTCTGTTGCTATTCCTAAGTCTACCTCAAGAAGTCAGCTTCCCGTGTGAACGTTCCTCGAACGCCACATATTTTGAACTTCGAATACTACCGCTCCTCTCTACTCCTCTCTACGGTCGTTGCACTAGGGGACTGATCACCCTCTAAATCTTCGACCCTTCTACCCCCTACCCCAAAAACCCATCTCTATCGATAGAAAACCATGTCTGCCAGCGCAACAGACAATCCTACCCCTCTTAGCTCGGCTCCTGCGAGTTTGAAGAGTGTAGACGCAGGCACCCTCGAACTTGGAGTTGAGAGTGCCTGGACCCGTGACAATACCTTCGTCACGGGGGAGACTGGGAGTGAAAGCGTTCGCGCCGAGCCTCCGACAAATGGGCACAGCACCCTGCTGGACATAGACCAGTTGCCTAGTGGCACGATCCCCGGAGCATTTGACGTCCCGCCCGTAAATAGACCCTTATCAGTAGCTGATAAAGACAAATTAGAAAAACACTCGCCTAGCATCCGTGGAGGAGCTAGTTCCGTCGCAATGAGCTTGAGCCCGCCGCTAGGGCAACCAGACGTAGCGTACCCAAAAATTGGACTATTGGATAGTTTGCAATATCAGCGAGCCCGCGTTGCTAACCCAGAAATAAGAGCACATACCCCTAGACTGACAGAAGTGTTCGACTGGGCTGACAGCCCTAACGACGAGGAACTGGGCGAGGTCCCAGAATTCCCAACACAGGCACCCAACCGAGACCAACGCAATGCTGTCTCGGCTACCTCGACGCCTCGTATAGCAACTGAGCTAAAAGGAAAAGAGGTTGACCCACTGGAAAAGAATAAGGGAACCAACACAAACCCGCCTAAAGATTGGCTGGCCCAGTGGTCAGAATTTGATGAAGGGATGGCTGAAGCCAACTGCCCAGGACCAGATGATTCTGACGAGTCCCTGAAGAACCTCTGGGACGACGAAAATAGACGAGGGTCGATCCAGATCCAGAACTTGGCTCTACGCCGGTTCCGCAAAATCGCCCGTGATGAATTGAACGACCAGGCAAACGTTGTCGACGAGCTGCGTGAGAGGGTACGCGAGCTTGAAATCCTGGTCATCCAAAGTCAGACTCGTGAAGACGAGGCCAGGAAGCAAGTGTCGGAAGCCCACAGGGCACCCACAATTAGTATCCAACAGATGACTGATGAGAAAAGGGGTCCCCCTGCACCTGAAATGAATAGCCAGCGTACAGGTAAACACCCTGTTAACCTGGGAGGTAAGCCTCCAGCTGAATCACTCCATCGATTCCAGCGAGCGTCTTCCGTTTTGCCAGCGGGGAGTTCAGTGAAGCGGGCCATGACAGGTCCACTTCACGACGCCAATGACCCCGGACCCGACGACTCGCAGTCCTCCTCAGATTCATCTAGTGATGATGACGAGGAGTCGTCGACTGAGTCGGATGAAGTTAGTAAACCGCCCAAAGGAAAACGGCAACGAGAACGCTCACCAAGGACAAAGGCCCTCACCCCGGAATTTGGGGTTGATTTCTTGGCCATGGAGCCAGAGTCCGAACATGATAGCGACTCCGCTGACACTAAGAGACTTAAGCGCCGTGCCAGGAGAGAGTATCGGGCCAAACTCAACCTACTGAAGTATCAGCAAGGATTCATCAAAAATGAGCCCCCGTTCATCTATAACGGTGAAGCCAATGCAACCACGTTTAAGAAGTGGGTACGGGAGGTCCGTGAGTGGAAAGACCGAGCGCAACTCACCACTGGCCAATCTCTGAGAATGCTGGGTAAGTACCTAAGTGGTCAGGCCTACAGATTCTTTGAGCGTGATATACTTGACCTGCGAAAGGGTTACTCACTCACGGAGTTCTTCGAGCAGCTGTTCGATTATGTATTCCCGCCCGACTTCCGGATGCAGCAGCGCCAACGGTTCCTTGATTGCCGACAAGACGGAAAGCAGTCAGTTCGCGACTACCTACGCCGTCTCCGGGACTTGGCGGATATGGCAGGCGATGTGGATGACCGGGAGATAGTCCGTCAGTTCTGGACGAACTGCAAGCCCTACCTTAAAGCCTCACTAGTAGATAAGGGCTATGAGCCAAATACCGTTAGTTTAGAGGTCATTGAGAAGAAAACTTTACGCACCGAAAGGGCGTTCATAGAGAACTCTCGCGACCCCAGTATCCTTCTCGCCCTGAACCCCACTGCTGCCGCCAGTGTCATAAACCAACCATCCGGATACGAGCGAAGGGCTGGAAGAGATCGTGATCAGCCCCATCGACGACGTGATCGACGAGAACGCACCTCATCCCTGTCAGCAAATGCGATCTCGAATAGTAGGCCTCACCAACCTAAACCTCGATCATCTAACCCATCCCACCCTGTCCACGACCGACCTAAGAAAAGCGCTGACGAGATCAGGCGACTTAGGGAGCGTGACCTTTGCTTTGAGTGTGAGCAGAAGGGCCATATGGCCAAAGACTGTCCCAGGCGTCATAAGCTCCCCTACCGACCGGGAACTAAGCTTGACTCACTACGATCTAGCGCCGTTGGAGTTACCAGCGCTGATATCCGAACCGCTGCGATAGAGGAAGGCGTGGTGAGAGGACTATATGGAATGGCAATTCAAGTGTCAACTAACCCCGAGCTAGATGATGCACGTCACTCACTGGTAGTCGAACGATCCCTCGCTCTACTTCGTCTGGCCGTACCCCTCCCTACCGATGAACTTGTCGACCCAATATACGACCCGTTCGCGTTGGATCGCTTTACTCTTGACCACTGGGGGGGACCGGATACATATCTCCTGTCAGATAAGCATAATTATGACTCTTACATAGTATATTATGATCAGCTCAGCTGACACCGAATTTGACGTAGTGAGCTGGTTGACTGACCTGAAACTCGTCAACTATCCTGACCTCATAACGACTAAATCCTCGTTTCGCCCATCAGTGGAATGGGAGCGTGGTAGACCAACCGGACCCCAGCTCCAACCCAGCCTACCAGCCCTCCAATGTCTCTGGCAACCCTTGTCAGTACGGACAATGAATCGTGTCCCGAGCTACTCACCTGCGAGTCTTCGTCAGAGAGTGACCTAGACGAAGGACAGGAAGTACAGACAGACGAGGTCCCCGACCCAGGTGATGATGATTCGTCTCATGATGAGAATGAGAATAGTCAGTCGCTATACTGCGGCGGGACTAAGCCAGACTTACCTGATGTTCGTTGCCTGTCCCGCAACGCGTCCAGACCCAAGTCCTCCAGTCGAATCCTCCCGCGAGCCCTGATCGTGGTCATCCAAGTCAATGGCCACCCTTGCAGGGCCTTACTTGACTCTGGGTCTCTGACGGACTTTCTGTCAACAACAGTCGTTGACCAACTTAAGCTCCCATACGACTTACTTAATAAGCCAATCCCTCTTCAGCTGGCTGTCTCTGGCTCGCGCAGTGTAGTGAAGGCGAGTGCGACTGTGGAATTCGCGTACCAGGACGTGTTGGGACCACGAACGTTCGACATCGCTAATCTTGAGTCGTATGACGCGATACTGGGAATGCCGTTCCTATTCCAACATCAAGCACTGTTAGGATTCAACCCCCCTGAGATTAAGCTAAGAAGCAACTTACCTTTGCCGATCAGGGGTGCTCAAACCCAAGTCCTCGAACTGCAAGGTTCGAGTCCTGACGTCGATCGCGTCGAGTGTCTTCGCACCGAGCTGTTAGCATATGCAAAGGATATCTGTAAACAAGCAGTCGAAACCCCCTTGCCCCCTCTGAGGGCAATAAATCATGTCATACCTCTCATCAACGACAACCAGGTTTATGCCTGGCGGCAATCCAAATGTCCTGAGGCCCTGCGTCCCATCTGGCGTGCCAAGCGGGACGATTACGTACGGACGGGGAGATGGGAGTTTTTCAGTGGTACGAACGCGGTGCCTATGATTATGATGAGGAAACCTACCAAGGATGGATCACTGAAGCTACGTACCGTGCTCGACACCCGTCAGCGTAACAAGAATACGCGTAAGCTAGCATCCCCGCTGCCAGACATCGACACGATCCTCAGGAACGTGTCGAGTCATCCGTTCCACTCCCTGCTGGACGGGAAAGACGCCTACGAGCAGATACACGTAGTACCGGAGGATGTGCCGAAAATGCTGTTCGCCACTCCTGATGGTACCATGATAAGTCACGTTATGCAAATTGGAGACTGTAACGCAGGCGCGACGTACCAATCGATTATGAACCATATCTTTGGTCCTTACATAGGCGCCTTTATGGATGTATATCTTGATGATATTGTGATATATTCTGACTCTGCTGAGGAACACACCAAGCACGTAAGGATTGTGATTGATACACTGAGGGAAAATCACTTCTACCTTGGTGAAGACAAGATTCAGCTCTTTAAACCCGAGCTGACCATTCTCGGGCACGTCATTGACGACGAAGGAATCCGACTCGACCCCCACAAGGTCGACAAAATCTCCAACTGGAAGACACCGACGTCGAAGGAACTGCTGATGCAGTTCATAGGGTCAGTAGGGTACCTGGCAGCAGGCTGTCAAGGGGTTAGGGTAGACATGCAGCACTTGTCGAAAATCGCCGCACTCACCACTAAGTGGTCGTGGTCTCCGACAGACCAATGTGCGTTCGATCTCGTGAAGGCCTGCGTGGAAGCGCATCGTGACATCAGTCGCAAAGCCCTGGACTTACCTTCCGCCATTAACGGGTCCCTACCCGTCAACCTGACCACTGATGCCTCTCTGACTGGAGCCAGTGGGATATTGTCCCAGGGAGCTGACCACCGGACCGCGAACGTAGTAGCATTCTGGTCAGGAAAATTTAATTCCGCCCAGCAGAATTACCCTGTCCACGAGCAAGAATTGTTAGCAATCGTTGAGTCATTAAAACGATTCAGGCACTTACTGATTGGCTACCGTTTTCGCGTCTATACCGATCACAAGGGGTTGGAGTGGCTAGCCACACAAAGCCGGCTCTCCCCTCGTCAAGCACGATGGCTAGAAGCACTCAGCGAATTTGATTTCGAGTTAGTATACGTACCTGGGATAGAGAACACCTTTGCGGATGCCCTCTCCAGAATATATAGCCACGAACCTAAGGGAACTGTGAGATCAGCCAGCGAATATGTCAGCGTGGAAGAAGAGGACATACCTCGTAATCTATTACTGAATTTCGTCACGTCTCCCGTGTACACAGGAACACCGCTGTTCCTAGGTGCTACTGAAGCACGGAGATCAGCCAGGATTGCGTCCCAACGGACTGAAGTAGCGCGGCCCGACACGCCGAAACGAGAGCTGAGCAGGCAGACAGACGGCACAGGTGTTGTCCCCCGGTCTAAGGCGCCAAGGGCGGTAAACACTACCATTGGGAGCACTGACCACAGGAATCCACTACAGGTCAGGCCCTCAGGGAGCATAGCGAGCACTGACGCACCTACTGGAGACTCTGCACCATCCGCGAGAAAAACCCTGCCAATATGGCCAGGTACCACTGCAACTGGCCAATATGGGCGGAGGTCCCCCAGCGCTGGGCCTACACCCCCTGCTAAGACTAGGAAAGTAATCCTGAGGGTTAGCGACCCTAAACGATCACTAGAGGGCGGGAGCAGTGAGAGCATGACCCAGTATGCACCAAAATCCACCAAAGACGCACCCGCTAGAGGACCAACGGTCAGCACTCAGGAAAGGGAACCAGTCACTACAACTGGTCAACCTGACCAGAGGACTGGTGTCCTACCACGGTGGAAGACCTGGGATGAAGACAAGGCCTTTAATAACAATGTCAACTCAATACACAAGGACCGACACGTACCCTGTGACGACGGTTCAATTGTCGAAGTTCGACCAACCATTGCTTCCGGAGAAGTCCGATCATCAACTGATGGCGAAGTCCGATCAGCAATACAGAAGGACCCACAAATCCACGTACCTGATGACGACAAATCAAACGGTAAAGTCCGTGACGACAACCCAATCGGTAAAGCCCGATCATTGGCACACAAGGACCAACAAACACACGTGACGCGTGACGTCACCCCTGACGAACCTCTCCCAGGCAAGGAACCGAGCAGAGGAAATGAGGCCGACAATATCCTAGAGGCCCCACTTCTCACCGAGGTTATCTCACTGGGCGACCCACTTGTCGACATCCACGAATGTCTGATAGGCCGCTACCTAGAAGACACGTTCTTTAGCAAGATCCTGGATAACCCCAGTGCGTTCAAGAACTTTGAAGTGAGTAATGGGCGTATCTATCTCAAGGATACTCATAAACGATCCCTCTGCATCCCCGATATCACGATAAACAAGCGACGACTTCGTGAAATCGTCATCTCACACGCTCACTCAATACTGGCACATCTGGGACCAGCCAAGACCCTCCAGTACCTAAGAGAGAATGTGTGGTGGAAGTCTATCGCTGCCGATGTTTGCGACTTTTGTGAGTCGTGTCCCACGTGCCAGACAGCGAAACCTTCTAACCATCAGCCCTATCGTCAACTCGAGACTCTAGACGTACCGTCTAGACCCTGGGAGACCATAGGGATTGATTTCGTAGGTCCTCTGCCAGAGTCGAAGACCTTGAGCGGGACGTTCGACATGATATTGGTGGCCATAGACCACCTTACGTCTATGGTCCACCTGGCCGCCACGAAGCAGACGTACCGCGCCAGAGACGTCGCTGAGGTCATGTTTGACATGGTCTATAAACTCCACGGTATGCCCTCCCACATTGTTAGTGACAGGGATTCCCTCTTCACCAGCACCTTTTGGCAGCGCATCCACCAGCTTACAGGGGTGGAACTTCGCATGTCCACCTCCTTCCATCCTCAGTCTGACGGCGCCACTGAACGGGCGAATCGGACGATCACGCAGATGCTCCGCTCTCTTGTCTCTCCCCACCAGAAGGATTGGGCCTCCAAACTCCCAGCGATCGAGTTCGCTATCAACTCAGCCTGCTCCAGCGCTACTGGATATCCCCCCTTTGTCCTCAACTATGGACTACTTCCCCCGCCACTCATCTGGGACTCCAACTCGGAATACCCTGGAGTTAAGACCTTCCTCCAACGGATGAAAGACGCCACCATGGCTGCCCACGACGCGGTCATCGCTGCTCGCGTCAAGAGCACTACTACAGCCAACCGTAAGCGACGAGAGTCCCCATTCGTCGAAGGCGACCTCGTCTACCTCTCCACGGAAAACCTTTCCCTCCCCAAGGGACGTGCTCGAAAACTTTCCCCGAAGTTTGTCGGCCCGTTCAAAATCCTCAAGGACTACAAGAACAACTCCTTCCTGTTGGACCTTCCCTCCGAGCTCAAGCAGCGGGGAATTCATCCCGCGTTCCACGCTCACCTCCTCCGACTTCACGTCCCAAATGACGACAGGCGTTTCCCTGGTCGCCAGCTCCAACAAATTTCGGATATGGGCACGCCAGAGGAATGGTCAGTCTCCAAAGTCTCCGATCATCACGGAGTTGGAACTGACGCCATTTTTAAAGTGGACTACACGACTGGAGACCATGTATGGCTCCCTTACTACGTGATATCTCGACTAGCGGCACTCGATCAGTATCTCGAGGCCCTGGGCGTTCCTGGGATCCGTCACCTTCCCAAGAAAATATCCCCGACTCAATCCAATATCCCGTTCGCAACCGTTGAGTCATTCGATTCAGCGCGCGATATTGTTGATACACTAACGAGCCGTCTACTCGAGGACCTTCCCCAGTTGGTTAGTCCGACTAGGTCTGCTAGCCCTGGTATAAAAGGGAGCCGTCCACTCCCTGCTTCCATGACTCCATCCCCCCCTCATCACGCCATGTCCTCTCACCCTGACCTCACCACTAGTCCTGACTCCATGGTCATAGACGAGGCCCCACCCCAGGAGCCTGGGGAACTGCCTCCCACCTCTGCTCCCTCTCAATGTTCCCACCGGAACCTCCGCCGGCAGAACTGGAACAGAGGGCGCGCTCCCCCTCATCATCGTGAATCTCCTAACCTTGACGCCATGAGCACATTCACTCGCTTCTTCCGTGCGGAGGCTGAGGCCAAAGAACTGGCCACCCGCAAAGAAGCCTACGCTTTTGAGCAGTCCATTAGGTCTGAGCGCCGAGATCGCCTCCTTGCGTCCGTTCCCCGCAACCTCACACTTGACAACCGCAGAACGACTCAGCGTGGTCGTGGTACTACCACCCGTCCCTTCTCCAGACCTACTCCCCCGTCTGCGGGTTGTTCCGCCCCCAGGGTCACTCCCACTTCACCTCCTGTCCCCACTACCGCCTCCCAGCTTATCGCCTCTATCAACGAGGAAGCGGCATCGTCTCCCACCTCCGTTCCCCCTCCTTCCGCTGTTAATGTCCCTGAACGAGGTCGAGACGTCCTGGACATTATCGCGGCTGCCGAACGCCTTGACCTTGAACGCGAGGAAAGGCTTCGTGCTATCCCTGAGGGCGGATACTTTGGTAAGCTAGTGGTTCTTGGGCTCCTCACCCACAGCTTCCTCACCTTGGTTGTGTCCCTAGCTGCTATCAGTGCCCTTGGCGCTTGACTTTCGAGAAGATCTCACTCCACAAAGAATTGTTGAGGTCCCCCGTGATGGTTGACCTAGAGGGCGTATGTTACGCTCGCTAAGACATATAAAAGACTACTATAGCTAATTTAGCCCCTAGCTACAGTAGTCACTACCTATTCCTTTTCTTCCCTCTTTATCCCTACTCTTCCCGATCCCCTTAGTATAAAAGCCGGTTCTGTTCACTTAGATAGAGTAGTTGATCCTTCCTACCCAAGTAACAAGGGCATAGTTCAGACAGTTCTCTCTGTTGCTATTCCTAAGTCTACCTCAAGAAGTCAGCTTCCCGTGTGAACGTTCCTCGAACGCCACACAAGGAGTCGGGCGACGACAAACTTTTACGGCAACGCCCGGTTTCCACGGAGGATAGAGATGCAACTCACTAATCTCGCCTCTCTTTCAACATACAACCCTTGGTCACAATCCCAGACCAACCAACGCTAATAAAGCCACTGCACCGTACCAGTACGCCCCCTAGTAGGTTACGTAGTGACCTTGCAGCTAACTCACGACACCCTCCACGCATGACTGGATCGATCTGATTTATCATGAAGCAACATTGGAGGGTGGAAGCGTTAGCGAGAACTTAAATTTATCGACGCAAAGAGCACATGCTCTTTCCCTGCTCTATTACATGTCTGCAAATATAGTCCCATTGAATTAGCCTGGGGTTGGTGGCATTTGACTCTGGCCTGTCTTCATATATGGTGGTGTTCCAACTTCAAGTTCTGTTGCAATCGTAGGTTTTTTTTCAGTGGCTGAGCGGCTTTGAGCCGAGTCACATGTGGTCTGTGGTAGTACTTACGACTACTTACACGAGCGCTGCCAAGTACTAGACGAAATAGAACAGGAAAATGATAGCCGGTCCCTCTTTATGACGATTCATAGTTCTACCCAACAATCCAGGAAATCGATACCAGGTGAAATTTGGTAAGCCTACTCCGAACATACTAGTGTCACAGCGCCCATGCCAAGTGACTACTGTCAACATTAGGCTAGCCTACGACGACAATAAAAGGTTGTTTTTTTTTTTAGGAAAAAGCCAAGTGACTCATGTGTAACCGAGGCAGAATCATCCTAGCAGTTTCTTAAGTGAAACATTTGACGTTATATAGCATACACATTTCATACAGAAGTACATGTCTGACTGGGCATGTCTGACTGGGAGACTCATCCGAGTTTCGCGACGTAGCACTTTGACGGATCGATGGCGTATAAGTTATTGAATGGAATAACAGAGGCACAAAATTAATTTAAGTTGAAATAGATCTCAGAGGCTCTGTCCAGAATCTGCTTCGATCCTGCGCTAATAAGTGAATTGTCACAGGATTGTAGAGACATACCTAATGACCGCCCGGGTCCACTGTGCTTATGGCGCAACCTGGCACTACTACCATGTCAATGGACGAAAACGCACACACCTAGACGACACAGGACGCAATGGTTTATTCAGTTCATCTTTATGCACAGAGTTGGATTGGTTTTAGAGAGGTCAGATTGGTTTTGGAGGGGTTGGATTGGATGAGATGGAACGAAATCCAGCAGAAAGCGCAAGACAGGGCTAGCGGGTCGTGGCGGGGAGATGCAACTGTTGCAAATATCATCTACTACGGAAAATTCAGCGTTCTTGAAGTCAGATCTCGTGAAAAGTCAAGCGGTCTCAAAGTGGCGCAGGGCACTGCGCAAAGTGGTCGCTGGGAAGTTGGACATGAGTAACTCTATTTTGCCCTTTATCGTTCAAGGGGTAAGCAATCCCGGTAAGATAAATAAAACAATTCTCGGTCCTCGTCGTTTCTGGCAGATTATTCTGCTATATGTTGGCCAGCGGCTGACTTAGTCTCGCCCAGGCGTTCCAGGAATGGTCCCATCATACGTCAATGCAGGGCCTGGGATCAGTGCGCGAGGAACGGCTAGGTTTAGAGGGATTACAGTTAGCGAATGGGGTACTTTTATCTCTCGCCGAGGTGTTTTAAGAAAGGTTCCATCATCAGGGTCAAACTCGACGCGCAAAAAAACGGCTAAAGTTTAGAGCGATCACAATTAGCGAATAGGGAACTTATTTGAATGGGGAAGATAACAGCCGTACCTCAGGTAAAATGGTCATGCTTTATGCGATGAGCACAGGAAATACGCAAACATCAACTAAAACCGGTTATCATTCATATAGCCAACAATGTGGGTTTTGAAAATCGACGAGATAGAACTACGCACATCATTAGCATAGTGGTGTAGTGTATCAGTTTCTCTGCATATATCCTCTATAGGCCTATTGGAGTTCGTGCCACCATCGAAGGAACAGAAGACGGATACCACGATCGTCCAAAAAGCGTTTTTTAAGACCGGGTCATGATGATCACCGTGAGAAGCAGGGGCAACAACTTGTCGGAACGTCTTCGTCGCTTGTTGGGTATGTTATAAGCGGAGACTTCCTGATTTGGCAAATAATGGCGAATCTCGACCGATGTCGTCGCCATGCAATGGCCAGTTTAAACAAGCCGTGAATCCTAAGGCACTATAAAAATTGTTACAGGAGAAAATGACAAAAAACACTTGTGTTAGTAAAATCACTAAGCAGCAAGCCAGACAGTGAAGACCGCCCGAAGAGGGCTGCCATGATCCTCGGTCATGCGAGCGCTGACACCGACCCATGATAGTGTTATGCAAGAAGCAAGGTAGTCTGTTGACTCTCGAGCGCGAGATCAGAAAGCACCGATGTCAAGGCTAGATTATTAGGTGCTGTGGCTCGTTACCTTGAAGTCTAATTGACATGCAAGCACATGCCGCAAGCCCAGGAGCTCCAGAAGCAACCGCTGCCAAGACTACACCGCACAGTGCTGGCGACTGGTGCAGGAAATCACCATGGTGCGAGTGGTGGAGTGTGGTTACTGATCATGAATTCGAGGAGATAGTTCGTTCGTGGCGACGAGCTGACAAAGCTACGGATAGACAACCGTTCACTGATCGACTCTTCTGCAGCTGAGGGGAACTACACTTGGATCGCTGGCAGAGTCTTCAGCAGTCCTAACCATTGCCACTCCATTAAGAGCGCTTTATCGCTATATGACTTGTGGAGGTAAATGTGACAACCCAAAAATTGCAGGACAATGGGACTTTGATGAAAGAGTGAGTTGCCACCTGCGAATAGCAATAGCGATCGGTCAATGTACATACTGTTTCCCAGCATGCCATCACACTTTAATGTGAGGATTGCCCCCGTGCTGGTCTCCAGTAAACACCCGCGGTGACCCGCCTGCACGGGGCCTTTCAAAGCAAAGCCTTCGTGTTTGGCGTCAGCTTTGTATATGGACCAACAGGACAGAGGCCTTACCAGATGACGTGGAGCTGATCTTTCAGAGCTGGCTGAGATCGACAAGGATCAATGAAATCCTAAACTATTGTGAGTTTGCCTTATTCCAAACCTTTGCTGTCATGGATGACAAATCCATCATTCTGTTGTGAGATGAACTCGGTGTTGATGTTAGCCTCGCCTGACTTATCATGCGAAGTGAGCTAGGGGCATAGGCGTTAGCAACTCATTTTAATGCCATGCCAGGCAGCCCACTCCAAATGCATGATTGATTGATGTGCCAACGCTGGTCTGTTGAATTTAAATGCACGTTGCGCAGACGTGAGACCAAAGAAAAGATACCTTTCTTATTATCAGAATTCTGAGCCTTGGCAGTCTCTTGTTTCAACCTGAAGCATGGTGCTTCATGGTTGTCCTAACTCACCATGGACAAATCTGAATGATCTCATCAGTGGTGGGCTGAAGCTCCGGGTTTTCACTGGAACAGACAGGTTGGGCAGCTTGCTATCTATGATTGAGACGAGTTTGGATGTGACAAGAGGTGGATCCTTACTTCAGTTGTCATATTCCCGAAAATCTTGATGTATTCTGTTCACGTCGCAATGGGTCTGTCAGTGGTCAAGGCGAGAGCGCAACAATGACTGCTTGAGTTTTACCTTGTGTCTCAGGTCCTCCTCTTGATTCCAAACCTCTTGTGCCGTACACTGTAAGGAAAACAAAAGCTTTCTGTGACAAAAACACATCATCTGAATCGAGCGCTCACATGAGTGGAGACAAATGTATGTCGCAAAGTCATTCCTGCTGCACGCTCAACCGGCGCGTACTACTATTTATGCTTAGTGGCGAATCAGCGCAAGCTAAGATTCAATCAAGGGACATGGGCAAATCGACCGACGAAAAAGTCGCACGGTTGAACAGCCGATGTCCATGAGAGCATGCGACTCACCGAAGTAACCGGAACTTTACCAACATGGTTGGGTAGAACCTTGACGCCGTGCAAGTTGGTGCTACTAGTAGCGCTGTCCTTGGTTCCTCTATCAGTTTGTCTCTTATAAGGCGTGCAAGTTGTCCTCTTCTAACCAAGACGGTCCCACAGGTTGATTTTAATCGAACCTGAGTGTCTGAAATGTCCCAGCTTCCGGTGCCTGAACGGCGCGTCCTCTCATTACACACAACTCTAGGCTCAGACCCAGTCGAACTCAAGTGTTCCACACTGTACTACCCCGTATCCTGCGCTAAAGACGGTCTCACCCTCGTGTTCACCCATGGAATCGCTAGTCGTGAGAGCTTCCGATGTTCAGACCACATCTTGGACGCTGACCCAGAATTTGTTTCAGACAAGGAACAGTACGACCCTACTATCGTTCGCCTGCTCTCACATGCTCAAACTCGCGCTATAATCCGAGATATATGGGTACTCGACTTCCCCAATCATGGTCAAACAGCACTTCTCAACCGTCCCGTGCTTGATGCGCGCAAGGCAGCTGGGAAGGCGATGTGCAGTACGTTTTTGCTCCTCCTTCCCACCGTGCATTACTACAGTAAGACTAACATCACCTCAAGCAACGGCAGATATCGCACTCTACCTCCAAGCCTTCCTCTCCACTCCCTCGCTCAAATCCAGCACAGTAGTAGGAGTCGCACATTCAGGGAGTTGTACGCTCTGGGTATTTGCGCTCACATCCATGCCCCCTTCTCTTACGCCCTTTGCTCTCATAATGGTCGAACCCACATTGATGTTTCCTTCTCTCACTCCCACCGACCCTCGTGCCATCCACGGAGCCGCAAACGTCCGTGGCTGCCTGGCTAAACGCGACCGCTGGACGGAAAGAGAAGCGTTGAAGAGATGGTTGGTAGGTGGGAAAGGTGTTTGGAGGAAGTGGGATGAGAGGGTTTTGAGTGGTTATGTGAAGTATGGATTTGAAGAGGTGATTGAGTCGGAACTTGATGCAGGGAAGAGGAAGAGTCACGTTACGCCTACATTGAGGAAAGACGAGGAGAGCCCGTTGTATGCTTGTTTGTCGCATACGGTTGAGCCTGAGTCTCTTGGGCGGGCGTGTAGGGCGGTGGAGGAGGCTGGGAGGGGGGTTCATGTTGTTTGGGCTGAGTTTGAGGAATTTATGTGCGTTCATTTTTTCCTTTTTCTTTTCGTTCGTGGTCGAGGAGTGACGTGACGGGATGTGTGTAGATCTAAGACGGCGAGGAAAGAGATCTTGGACGCTGCAGAGCACAGGGTGGTGTCTCAGCGCACTATCAAGGGGGCAGGTCACTTGGTACGTGGGCCTCGTCTCAATTTACCTTGTCAAGTTAGTTTATGAAATATTGCTTCCCCAAATCTATCAGGTCCCTCAAGAGAAGCCCGATGCACTCGGAGAGGCACTTGTCGAGATCCTGGATGAGATCGTGCATGGTTCGGGAGACACAAAGGCGAAGATGTAGAATTGCAAGTAAGTCTTTTTCGCTACCGTTACTAGCTGGTTGAGGACGTTTTGTTGATTATACATCTATAGATAGGATCTCATCAATGTCGCTTGCATGTAAAAATTGTAAATTTACCGAAACGAAAACCGTACGCGTTGAGAGATCAATATTTCAAGAGCGCTTCGTCACTATGTATGCGATTTACAAACTTGAGGCTCTTGGTGTAATAAATGACAGCTTAAACAAGCTATTATCTATTACACGAACGATCTCTAAGGTGACTTCTTTCATAACGAAGGTCGCTTTCCGTCGGTTCGTACGCTCACAAGGTCTCATAGCTAATCGTTAAAACGGCCAGGAAGCGCACCTACCCGCGAAGAAACAAGCTGCGGTTGGTTTCAAATCTCATCATGTGGAACCAAGATACGTTGCAGCTGATGGCTTGCTTGCTTATGGTTCATGAGCTATGCGTACAGTAACAAAGGTTTGACCTTCACAAATAATCAGCTACGGATCAATCCTCATGAAGAAGTCGAGCATACCTCCGCCATATTTTCCGCCGCGGTCTACCTTCAAAGCCATGTAGCCTCAGAACATTAAAGCAAGCTCCCGTGATGTCGAGAAGTCACCAGGACGTGGTGAGGTTCGGACACACATGACGGTCAAGAACGGTGCCTCCGAACCATGGGTAGACACATATGTCGAAGGCCTGAGCTGGCGGAGGGTGCTATATGGCGACCTCGGGTGCAGTTTTTCCCAATTTGCTCATAATACGACATGAAAGACACGTTCTTGACTTCCCGTTATTGACGGGACACCAAATGAGTTTGCTCTTCACAATACTAAATGCGATGATGAGGATGATGAGGAGCTGGATACTATGAAATTCGAAGGTGTGCTCTCACTTACGTCGCTTTGTGTGCATGGATGACAACCTCTGTCGCGCAAGGAGAAAGCGTAGTTCGAGGAACGGGTGAGGGACTTTCCGTGTGACTTTGGATGGGGGGAGGTGGGTATGCGTGGATCGGTCGGGGGAAAAAAACGTAGGTGTTGAGGTTATTGGCGTTCGAGCCGGCGGCCACCAAGGCTGCGTTACTGAGTGTTTGATTTTCAGATTGCTCAAGGACAGTGGAATTTGCCCAGGAACACATCAACTCAGTAATGGATCATGTGATGTGGTGATTGTGGCCTGGCCGGTGGCCCTTGTTTACGCTCCGACCGGTCCACAATTCATGAGGCAAGTATTAAAGGCAGGGTTCCTTCAAACCAGCTTCGCATCTTACTCGCACGTCATGAAGCCTATTACCACATTTCCATTTAGTTACCTCCCAGTTGAGCTTGTCCTCATCATCCTCAGATATTACATGCAACCCACCTTTGATCAGACTGCTCCATATTGCTCTAACAGTCCATATTCTAATGCACGCGCCCTCTGTCATTTCTCCAGAGCTGTCAGGCGGGCGGTACTTCCACAACTCCTCCATACCATACTGCTTGGGGACAATGACACAGTGAGAGTGTTCGTGCATGCTCTACATATGCAAAAAATGTACGCGGAGAAAGCAAACCACCTCCGTTTCGACTACATTCCCCATGTGCACAAGATCTGGATCGGACCCCAGTGCCAAGTCCCATGGGCCTATACACTGATTGAGCGTCCGCTTTCCATCAGCCTCCTCTCTCCGGTGCTACTCGCTGCACCATCCATTGCCCTTGACTGGACAAGTATGGACCTTCTTGAAGGATGTCTGGAACATGCATGGAAGTCCCGTGCAGCCACACATGCCAACAACGAACATTCCCCACCTCCCTGGAACACCCAAACCCTGATCCTGTCGCATGAGCCCCCCACCAGCGGCGCACGGTGGGGGTGCCTCACGGACACTCCCCAGGGATCTGCATTTTTGGCATCAATCTCTCACCTCTCAACCACCACATCCATGCTCTGGTCGAGCGCATCATCCTACCGCATGCCTCGGTGGATGGAGGTCACTCCATGGGCTTCTTTCAAAAGCCTTCAAATTGTCTCCCTGCCGTACTTGCTTGCTTACGTCGAGCTGTTGACATTGCCTGCATCCCTGCTAAGGGACCACCGCGACTGTATTCCCAGTTTCATGAAGAAAATAAAGGCGTTGGATCACGGAGAGGAGATTATTCAATCAGATGGTGTTCATTTAAAGGCGCTCCCTTCTGGCATTGTGCTCCCTTCTGATATCTACTGGCTTACTCTTGATTGGCAGCAGAAAGTTTGGGCAAGCATGTTGTAAAGTGGACTTGGGGCGTTATGATATGATTGGTATTATGAATCTGTACATATATCCACTTCTCGGCACCCTATGGACATTCTTTATGTACATACATAGTAAACGCAACCTTCCTAAAATTACCGCTACTTTGTACTACTAGCGAGTCTCATCGTCCGACTTCTACGATGAAGTTCTGGCTTCAGTGTACATACTAAAATTTATTGATCCCGCATGGAATCGAACCGGTGTTCAATTGTTTGCTTTGTTCACCGTCTATCAGTGTTGCTCGCGCACCTGAAAAGGCACACGGTTGTTCATCAAACCCACCCCCGATAGTTCAGATATGAGCTTGTATGAGCTGTGTTCGAATTGGCTTCCTCGAAGGCGGAGGTTCGGGAGACGAAACTCAATGATGTTAAAGTAGGTTCCTCTCTGTCGGTTGGCGCCGGTAGTGATGTGCCAGGCCTGGCCTGGCCTAAAAGCCCTGGCTTGGGCCTGGCTTCAGAGGGCTCGGGCCTGGCTAAAACTCAGGCCAGGCCCACCCAGAGGGCTTGGGCCTGGCTCGGGCTTGGCTCAGGCCTGGGCCAGGGCTTCTGATATAAAAATGTGAAAAAGCTATATTTTTCTATTCTAATACCTAGACTTCAAAATCAGACTCCTCTGACAGCAAGACATCACCACCCTCTCCAACCAGTTCCATCTCTAACTCAGCCTCCAGAACAGAAGTAGGAGCAGGCTCACGAAAAATCAAGTCTTGCTGAAACATAAAGCGAAGAACTTGAAGGGCCTCCACCACATCAGGCTTTAAGCGATTACGACGCTTCGTAATTGTCATTCCAGCTGCTGAAAAGGCTCGTTCACTGGAAACTGAGGAGGCCATAATGCAGAGATAGTCACGAGCCAATGAGGCCCAGACAGGATAGCGCTGAGAATTGATCTGTTGAACTCACTTAGTAAGGCATCATATATGAAATCAAGCACATACCCCCCACCACTGGACAATAGACATGTCTTTCGGGACAGTCTCAGTGGTGTTAAGATACAAGTTGAACTCTCGCATCCAAGGTGCCTTGGGATCAACAGGATCCTCGGTCTCGAACTCACTATCACTGTCCCCCTCGTCACTTGACAGCTCCCGAAGGATATTGGCCAACTTCCCTGACCCTATCTTCTTGGGTGACACGAGAACCTCTGTCTCCCCAAACATCTGGATATGGCACTCCTTGAACTACCAATAATTATGTCAGACTAGACTTAAAAATTACAAGTGGAAATCTCGACTCACAATTTTTTCGGCATGCTGGAGAGCCTCCTGGTGTAAAGCCTTACCCCAGAATCGCTTGAAATGACCATCCTTGTGGTTCGAGTCAAGTACTTAACATGTATGAGCAGAAGATTAGACAGTAGAAAATATCGACGTACACATTCCAATGATATAGGCATCAGATTCTGCAGATTTCTCGTAGTATTCCTGGATCTTGTCAGTAGCAGCTGTGAGTCCAGCATGAAAAGGAGCATATTTGGGGTTGTTCGAACGAGACACCCAAGCCTTGTGAAGACCTTCGAGAGCTGGGAGGGCAAGATGAAGGGAGGGTCCAGTGTCAGAAGAGAAGGCTTGTTGTGCATTGTCTGCATGCTGTTTGACTTGATCACTGAGTGATGAAGAGAAAATATAACCAAGGGACAGACCGCGAGCAAGTTCACGAATAATTTGACACGTTCCCATTCATCAGGCTCGAGCTTGAGTGCGTCAATCTTCGCCCGTTTCGTGAGGTTCGTCTCCTTCTTCCCAAGTTCGTAAACAAAGGTATCAACAAACTAAATGACATTATTTTAATACTGGTTCAAAACACAAACTCAATAAACTTACATGCTTCTTCTTCTCGGCTCGGTCCAGCATCACATATGTGGATGACCAACGAACAGGCATGTCGAGAAGAAGCTGGACCGAGGTAACACCCTCATTTGGTGGACGGGCCTGAATATCTTTGAAAAGCTGCTTTTGGGATGCAGAGGAACGTTCCTAGTAAATTGTCAGTCATTACATAGTAGTAGGCAACTGTTAGTACACCACCTTGACAGAAATAGCACGAATGAGACCTATCTCGTCCCGTCGGCCATCCTCGATGTGAATAGCAAGTTCACCTTGTGCAGGATCATAATATGCGGCCTTGCTGTATGTTGATATCAGGGCACGAGTGGCGAGATGGATAACATGGGCAAGACACCTGTCACAACGTGAATATCTGAATAGTATACATAGCGAAAACCAAACCTGATGCGGTGTTTCTTTGGTATGAAAGTCTTGCCATCACGAGCCTTGAGTCGAAGTCGAAGGGCAAACTCGTTGAGCATTGTATTGTTATTCGAGGCATTGTCACATGTGACATAGCCAATCTGTTAAAAATGTAAACACGAACAATTCTGCTTCAAAAAAACAAACCTTGTGGGCAATTCCTACTCGATCAACAACCTTGAACAGTGCCTGTCCCAGTCGTGCACCATTATGAGCATTATTGAGAGGGGTGAACCTGATCACGGCACTTTGAACTTCCCAGACACCAACTGACGGCTCCTCGATCCAATGCCCAGTAACGGCAAAATAGGCCTCGACGTTCTCGGCCTGCCATGCATCACACGTCAGATTGACAGCGCCCGTCACGAGTTTTCTCTATAAAACATCAGCAGACACTTAATTTAATCAGTCAACAAAACCTACATTCAACCGTTCCCTCAATTTCGTCAACTGCTGCTTGAACATGTTAATAATCTCACATCGAGTCGTCTTTCGGTTGGGCACGATAACACCCATTGTTGCACGTGAAGCGATGTCGACCATTTTCTTGAAGCTCGGATGTTCGACTGCTTGAATGGGCTGAGAATTATGTCAGTAATATGACATTGTCGTGTCGAGGAACAAACATACCTGGTTGGTAGACGCAAGCCACTCGATTGCAGCCTCACGAAAGAGTTTGTCGGAGTATGGAAGAACCCGTTCGGTGGGATTGAGCTCACGGAGATGGTTGTCGAGACTCCCCTGCACTGCATTAGCAACGGCAGCAGCATTCTTTCGATCCTTAACATCTTTTGGCAGCATTGAGGTAAATGTGTTCTTCGTGCACCATGTATGATATGCAGGCTAGCATGTATTGAAATTAGCACATTGAATAAGTTAGAACAGATTCACGTACCGCATGTAAGTAGGCCAGATGACGACGACATGTTGAGGTGTCATTAATGAACTGGTGTGGTCGTCCGCTTTTTCTGCAACATATAAGTGAAATAAAATTACAATGTGCGAGAGCGAGTACTCACTTGCATAGATCACAATCTCGCACGTTGCGAGTCTTGCCATCCTTGGACTTGTGAGTTTCGGATTTACCAAAAAACGCGCCAACGTCACGGCTCTTGTCCTCTCGACGAACTGTGGTGGCTTCAGAAATATCCTGGACATTGACATCTTGCAAAAGATCGTCGTCGTCAACAGGCGTGATGTTACCTGCGCTCGAACTCGTCAGTAGTCAGTAGGTACCAGAGAATACTAAAAATATGTACCGTCAATTGTGTCTGTAGCATCGAGGCCATCAGACGTGTCATTAAGACCTTCTAGATATGGTCACATCAGTGAACCCGTGAGGAAAGTAGAAGGCCATACATTACAATATATAGTACATAATCACGAGAATTAGCATAATTCTGCTATGGACAATTACATTGTTATGTTTGGCCTTATAGAGGTAAGATGCTTGCCTGATTTTCCTATAAATTTTTATGATCGAGAGAAGCGCGTGATTTTGCTCAAACTCCAAAGGCATCAAATAATTGACCCGAAATTATAAAGGTTTACAAAGCTTTGTCTAACCGTCAAATTTATATGGTATCTGTCAAAATGATACTACCCGGAGTAAGTTAGACAGAACTACCAAAAGCGCCAGCATGACAGATTGCTTGCAACTACCTGCCATTTTATCACCAGCACCAGATAATTCTCAACCTCAAACACTCATTTTGTGAAGAAAATCAATTTTATTTATATTGAAATACATATGTAATTACAGGACACAAAAAGAAACAGGGAAATATAGTGGAGAGGGAATATCACAAGAGGGAGAGACTAAGGCCAGCAAGGAACCACGAGAAAAAGCCAACGAGGAACCACGAGAAAAGGCCGGCAAGGAACCATGAGGAAAGGCCAGGGAAGGACCACCACGAACGGCCAGGAAAGGCCAGGGAGGGACCACCATGAACGGCCAGGAAGGAACCACCAGGAAAGGCCAGGGAGAAACCACGAACGGCCAGGAAGGAATCACGAGGAAAGGTCAGGGAGGGACCACCACGAACAGGAGGAACCACAAGCAAACAGCAGATGCTGAGCTCGAGTCTCGAGAGGTGGTGGTTGTAGGACCACCACAAACAGGAGGAACCACAAGCAAACAGCAGATGCTGAGCTCGAGTCTCAAGAGGTGGTGGTTGTAGCTATAGCGGTGAAACAAGATTGAAAGGAACTTAGCGTGAAAATTTCTGTCTTGCACAAACAACGACAAACCAATTTCAACCACTTGCGCTGGTCACATGATTTGAGGTTATCCGATAATACTATAGTAAAATTTGAGGCTGAGGTGATGGAGGGTGATGGTCACGTGTATGATCTTATATGACATTGTAATTCACGCAATATTTGAATCGACTTGTAAGTCAAATATAAATGAAGGAATATGATGTTACTCACCAAACGTTACCTAATTACACGAATTCATGACCTTGTCGGAAATTCTCATAAGAATATATTTTAGGTTACAAGTGCTAAAGGTGCTTTCCACCATAAAGTCTTATATCACCTTATATCACTTTGTAGTTTAAAACATAAATGAAGGGATATGGTATGAGTCAACAAGTATGACTTAACGATGCTATTGTACATTAATCGCTGCGACGGCGCCATGTCGTTATCTTGTCGCGAACTCCTCATGGTAAAATGAATTTTCAGACATCTATTGCTATGTACTGATCACTAATATTTCTTGCCGTATACATAGGTTTATTCAGCGGTAGCAAAATTATTTTACACTATATTTCTCACAGCTACCATATCACGGACTCCTCAATTCTCTGATGCAGTAGTAGCAAATAGAAAGAATGATTAAAACATACCTATGCGGGAATCTAATGACACGATAGAATGTGTGTCATCTGTGAATGATGACTCGCCTGATCGTCGAAGGCGTTTACCTGTGATACGAGCAAAAATACATGTGAGCAAAAACCAAAAACGTGCATTTACACACCTTTCGTTTGCTTGCTGTTGCCATCTAAATCTTCGACATCTGAAGAACTCAGACTCCAGTCAGCATCCATTGCACTGCGCTTGGGACATGTCTTTGCTGGCTGGACTGTTTGTTGAATATGTTTGTGACTGGTGAGTTCCGGAGTCGCGCTGTTGTTTGAATCAACGAGGCGAGAAGAAGGTATGATCGTGCGTCTGGAACGGGTGGTGATAAGCGCTATGTCGTCGTCGTCGGACATGACTGTGGGAGGCATCGGAATCAAAGCGGTCCGTTCTTGCAGGTGGTTCTTACTCAAAACGTCCAGATGTGCAGTGGTCATTAACTGTACAGTACTGGGAAAAAAATACTTGCCGCCAGCATTCCTTATTTGGAAGCCAGGGCCTGGAGGCCTGAAGCCAGGCCTGGCACATCACTATTGGCGCGGTACTGAAACCACGGGGATGCTTGCAATCATGTCGCTAGCAAGTAAAGCACTTGCTGATACTACTGAAGCAGTACAAGCAGCGCAAGCGCCTCCGATGGTTGCAAACATCTCCGTCGTGCGAGAGAACGCGGTCAGTGTGGTAGGGCCTTACCGTTCATTATCTGAACCGACACACATTAATGGGTTGGCATACAATATCGGTGATTACACGCGTGAAAATGAGTGTCAGATCAGCTTCAGCGCAAGCAAGGAATCGCTGTCTCGTAAGTACGACGTTGGGCCGAGCCGTGCCAACTGGTACCGTGACTCCCGGGCGTTGCCGGAAGTTCAAGTTGACTTTGTTTGAAAATTAGACAAAGCCATGCATGGACGTCGCGATGATGATAGAAAGAAGACAGGCCTTCATTCTATATATCGGTCTGCCTACGTATACGGGAGACAATCGAGGTGGCTAATTTGGAAGGGATAGGAATCTTACTCAGCATCATGTCCATCATACAGGACGTCGGTGCTGCAGACTGAAGTGTATATCCTGCTCCTAACTTTTTCAAGGTCGGCTTAGTTCCCAAGTGTTGGGTGAGTGTCTTGTCGCCAAAGCCCGTGGACTCAGGCAAACATCATGGTTTTCACCTGCCTCAAGGACGTACATTCTCTTGTGCTATTGACTTGTGTAAAACACATTGCACATATCTAGTAGAACCAGTGGCCAACCATTGGCTATGAATTAGGTTGGTGTAAACGTTCTATGTCTTCCCTCGACAGCGATAGACAACTTGAATGTATAATGTGCTTGATTATGGAATGAGAAATTAGGAACCCTCGTGACACACTTCATGAACAGGCTAACTGCTTACATACTAATAAATGTATGACGACCTGAATGATTCAACACCTAAAGCATATGAACTTTTCCATCTGCGACTTATGTTCTCGAAAAGATTATAGTATTTGGAGGGGAATCCGAAAGAAGCATCCAGCCGTCTTCCAACAGATTGACGATGTGTGGGGAATATGATTAGATCCAAGTAGCAGATGATTTACAATGTCTAGGTAGGAGGTTGTTAGACTTCTTGGGAGGAATCGGACACAGCTTGAAACTAAGCCATTCACCTTACATCTTTGGACACTCTGCGTGAACACGCGCAGGCACGACTGCAATGCTAACTTGTCCTCCATCCAATAGCAATAGGGATATCATTACGTAGTGGCAGATAATTCTTGGGTACTTCAACTGCACAGCCGATGCTGCATATAAGCTGTGAAGTGAACACGAGGATACAGCATGACAAACGTACCAGGAAGCGGTGAACTCAACTCTAGCTTGACCGAAACACCCATTAGCATCAGCAAATGTGCACCCCACTGGAATAATGATGGATACTCTGGATAACGCTGGGCCTCTGGGTAGAACGCCCCAGCGCCGCCCAGCGGATCACACAGACCTATGCCAGACCACCAGATGATAGTTAACATTTTCACGGAGCCCAGTGAATCACACAGACCCTACCAGCCCCTATGCCAGTGAACCAGAGGATACTTGAAAATTTCACCAGTGGTGCGAGACTCGGAGTTGGAAGTCAGTCATTAAGTTAGTACAAGTACACACAATTACTAGACTAGTTTCCGTATGCTGTGTGCCGCCAGTTGTACTTCCAAAAGCTGTGCCTTTCTCGCCTCCTCACACCTTTTGACTTCGGCATCCCAACGATCAGCAACGAGTCTATGCAAATAATTCTGCGAGACTGTCACAGGGGGCGGAGTTTGACGGTAAGGTGGGACAGGTGTTTGAGGGACCTCCGGGTCCACAGGCAAGGGAGAGTTTTGATTGACGTTGAAGCCATACTCGGACAAAGCAATCCTCCGGATCAATGGTTTTCTACGACACGATTAGCAAAGATCACGGGAAATGGTTGTCTCGGCGTACTTACTTTTTGACTGGTGACAAGCCCCGTACTGGCTTTTCGCCATCCTCCAGGGATGGTGAGCGCAGGCTAAAAATCAGATCAGCATCGAGCAAGTTGACTGCTGTATGTACGACCGCCCGTCGCTGTTGTCCTCGGTAAGTGATGAAATTTGAATTTGATGGGTGGAAGCTGAGACGGCGCTGCACTCGGTAGTTGAAATTCTGGAATGTCTTCGCCCACCACTAAAAAGAAAGAAATATCAGCAATAACGCCTTGCCAGAAATTTGAAAAGCACACCAATCAGGTCTGGGGCATCATACACCTACTTGACGGACAGCAGATTATTACTTGTTCAAATGATGGCTCGCTGTGGGTATGGAACTTGGACAGCGGGAAACAGATAGGAGAAGACTGGCGGGACGGAGACGGTGCAGTGTACAGTATAGCGTTGTCTCCGGATGGGAAGAAAGTGATTAGTGGGAGTGACGACGGTGGCATGAGGTTATGGAGCATCGAGACAGGCAATGTCGTCGCAAAATGGACAGGGCACACACAGCCAGTGTGGTCTGTCTGTTGGAGTCGAGATGGTCAGTGAGTAGTGAGCAGATGTCTTGATGGGATTGTGAGGCAGTGGGATGTGCAGAGCGGAGAGACAATCCTGGAACCCGGGTCAATCAAGACAGGGCATTTAGTGGTGAACACAGCCATCTATTCTCCAAACACGACCATGATTGCGACTGCTGGACGTGATTGGCACTGGACTGAAGATAACCGCGAGTCCTCGATCAAAATTTGGGATGCGAAGACAGGCGAGCTTGTCGCAACTCTCAAAGGACACACAGATTCAGTGCCGTGCCTGGCTTGGACCGCAAATGGAAAAACACTCATCTCCGGGTCAAACGATCGCTCGATTCGGACATGGAATACAAAAACTTGGAAGCAGAAGATCGCAGTTCTCAATGCGCACACTTCCTATGTCTATGGCATTGTAATATCTCCGAATAGCCGCATCCTTGCAAGCACATCATCCGATGAGACAGCGCGATTGTGGGACCTCAACAACGGCCAGCCCATCAGTTCTCCACTCCAGCATACAGACACAGTTGGATGCGTATCGTTTTCCGCGGATGGAAAACTACTAGCAACTAGCTGCGATGACAAGGACACGTACACATGGGATGTTGCTACCATTGTTAGTGATGCTGGCTTCAACGAACTTCTGTTGGATCCAAAGGTGAGTCGACAGGCATTCATGACATCCTCATCACTGAACGCACTCTGTCAGGCCAACAAGTCGGCACTCCGTGTATGTGACATTTTCATAAAAGATTTCATTGCATTCAAATCTATACAACCTAGGAAAATGTTACACGACATCATGCCCAACGACGTCAACTTGCCCATCGGGTACCCCCAGGCTTTTTTGATGTCCCACCAGATCATTCTCGTGTACGTTGTCACTGTCTCTTCGAGTTTTATCCTGACCTCCGTGGTCGCAGTTCTCTGTACGAAGTCGACTCCACTCCTCATCACTGCAAGGAAGCACATTTCTTGGCCATTTATTCCACCGCAGCCCCTCCAATCCCCATAAAACATCACCGTCTTCTCCTATCGATTGGGCTATAAACCTTTTGAAACGGTGTACCAAACATTCTGGCGCCAGCCTCACAATCACCTGTTATGCACGATCCGGAGCTCACCTGGTCAGGTATTCATGTCCATGTTCATCCGGCCTATTCCGTCGACTCCCGCCCTCCCGGACACCTAACGGATACGCAACCCGCAACGGATTCCCTCAATTGCCCCTCGTTCCTGTCCATCCATGTCCATCCATCCCCATTGGTGCGTCATTTCTCTCCTTTCATCACTCTGATCAAACAGCAGACTGTTTTACATGTACATTCCCATACATGAGGCCGCTTGCCGTCCCTTACATATTATTGCGCTACGGACTCGCCTATACTACCGTCGCTTAAGTGGATCCCGAGTTTTCACGGGTTAAGATAAATAGTTGCATCGTACTCTGCCAATATTACTTCCTTTTACTCCCTTGGATTTACTGTCTAAGTTGGTGTGATCAACAAGTCCCCTTAGTCTTCCGTACCACAACGGACCTCTTCCCGTTCCTCGGATCACTTCCGGTAGCTCGTTACATCGAGACCTCGACACCTAGACACCTTGCCACCTCGATACCTTGCTACCTCGACACCTTGACAAAATCCGCACCGCTAGGCACCCGTCCCATCAGAATCGTTCCCGTCCGGACATCTTCCTCTCACATCGGATCCCCCACCGCTCACCGGCCGCTCAGATCTTAAGCCCGTCGGATTGAATCCTTTGCATTTATTGCGAAGACATCCCTCAGTAGCAATCCCCTTGGGACGAGCTATAATACTCGCACTCAAACGGATCGGTAGTCTACACTAACAGGCTACACGGAATTACTTTCGCTCAACGGCGCGGACAGAGTGGTGAAGGTATAGAGTTGCATGGGTGCAGCCCAGGAGTTGTTGAGGTTCCGTATGCACGGGGAAAATGCGTAGGTTTTCTCTCCTTCCCAGATGTTCCACTCGACCTGACTAATATTGTGCAGAGGAATGCTTCAGCAAGAGAGAAACGGAAAATGGGCTCATGGCCTCCAAAGCCCAATGTCACGCTGTAGGAGACGATCTGGCTGCAGCCCCGTACAGCACCATTTCCCCTTACTGGACGAAGTCACGCATACCTTCCACAGGCCGTTGCGGACCATCACACGAGGTTGCGGAATCCATGCACTCATCGCATCGCATCGCAACGCACTATCCGTCCATGTCCTGTCTGCATCCGTCCGTCCTCACTGGACCAGTTACATATCAGTTCCCATGCACGAGGTCGCATAGTGCTACTTACATATTATCTCCCTCCGACTTCGCGTACATATGCGCCCGCTTATACGGTTCCGGTTTCTTACGGACTCTGTTATATACTACGTTGCGGACTCGTATCCAGCACTTTCCTACATTCCCTCTCTGGTTGTGTGTTGCGGAGTCACTAGCTTAGTCTTACCTTGTCCTTCCTTGCTTGAGCAATCACTTGTTTGCCTTCTCATCCCGTGCGAACGCTCGCATCGCCATTGACAGTTGACTATTGCTAGTCCTAGTTGAGTTCCTTTGCAAGGCGGTTTCTGCACGTCTTCGCATATACCTGGTACCTAGTTCGCTCTACCCGATTACCTGTTCCGATACCTGGTACCCTACCCGTTTCGCATACCTGGTACCCTCTAGACATTCACTCGTTTCTCCGCATCTGCATACCTCGCATCTCCGCATCTGCATACCTCGCATCTCCACATACCTTGCATCTCCGCGCATTCTCGCATCTCCGCATCTCCTTGCATACACAGCCGTTCTGTCATCAGCGCATCACTTCCTTCTTCACTGTTCCCCTCGCTCATACTTGAGGAACTGCTCTCAGAGCTATCCCCTTGGGTCGACTACTATTCTCGCACCCAGCAGGATCGGTATGCTATCACTATAGCGGACTTCTACGATTTCTCCCACAACGCAATCCAATGGTGTGACTCAGACCCACCCGTCTTCGCAACCACAGCCAGCTGTCTCTGACTCGTCTACCACACCTGCTGTTGGTGGTACAACCACAGCTTCAACATCAAATCCCTCACGCCCTGATATAATGCTCAGACAGGCTGGACTCTGGACTCGCTTCTGGCTCTTCATTGGTTGCATCAGTAACATACCACGGTTCTTAAATTAGCTTATTTCGAACTTAATTTACTTGGTTTGGCGCCCAAGTGCGTCAAGACGTTCAAGGCTTCGATTTGACTTGGATGGCAACTTGAGTGTCTTACCATCAAGCCGACAAAGACGCTCAGACAATTAAAGTATTTTTAAGACACATTTTGAACTTAAGCATTGCAAGAAAAACTGAGTATATTAAGATGCCAGCTCGAAAGCATGGTGATCAATGAAGTGATTTACGTAGAATCCTCGATATACATCCAGAGAATCATAGAATCGAAGGCCGCGTGGTATGAGCTGAGTACCGAATATTGGGAGTAAGTGAGCGCCGTGAATGATGCTGTCGATATGGATGACGGACAAATCGCGAGAGCCATCTTCATTGAAAGACGGTGCCACCATCCACATTCCTGTGAGCTCATCTCGTTCCTCAGCGATGCGATGGAACCATTGAACGAGGGCACATGGGTATGTGTGACTGTTAGTGAAAGTAAAAGCAAAAAACAGAAAATTCGAACGACGTCCATGCTCAACATTCCGTCATGCCTATCGTCCGTGTTGACGAAGGCGCAGTCAAAGCGAGCTGGTCCCTTGCGCCACGAAGGCACGACACGAATGTGCTCACGGCGCATACCAGTGATTCCACTTGGATCACTGGGTGCGATAAATGTTGCAGCGGCTGAATGAAATATCTTGATTGGTCCCGTGTAGGATGGACAGTCGCGAAGTGGGACATCGGCAGAAGAATGGTGGTCGTCCGTGTGTATTTGGTCATATAGGAAGAGGCGAATGAGGGTTGGGAATGATGGGATGTCGAGTTTGTCTGCGAGATCAGTAACGGTACGGGCGCGTTTTCGTTCTGAATGATGTGTTAAGAACAAAGGTCACGGTAAGTAGAGGGTTGGATATGCACGAAAAGTCCGTGCTAATTGCACATCAGCAATGACATCCACGTCATCTACAACACCCTGATCCTCGACATCGTCAAAGTCGTCACTCTCAATAGCAAAGGGATTGCTTCCTGCATGCGCTGGGTTCTGTCGGACCTCTGGGTCTCCATCGTCGTTCTCGATATATGAGGGATTCTCAACTAGAAATTCAGTGAGTAAAATTCAATTAAAATAAAACAGACCACGTACCAAATGAATTGTAGTAGCTGAAGGCACAAGACCCTTTGAGCATGCCGCACATTGTGAAATCAACTCTTGCTGCGGCTGACTTTGTCCAGGCGCTGATTGGTAAGGAGCATCTGGCTGAGCGCGTTGTACTTGCTTGAACGTCGCCATGGTTGCTTTACCACCTTGATATGTTTTGATTCCGTGATTGACGAGCAGAGGCTGTTCGGAGCACCGAACATTCGGATGAGAAGCTCGTAGTGGATGAGAGAGTGTTGTCGGGGTAGGGAAATGTCGAAGCGGACACCGGTAGTCTCGAAAATAGTCCGGTAAGTATGAAAATGCACCCAAGGGCATCTTTCAGCGCTGCGAGAGTGTTGTCTGTCACTACGTCCACGCGCACAGATGTAGCAGAACTCTAGCAAGGCTCGAAATGCCCGAACCATATCATCTGGTACGTGGCCCTCGATTGCTGGTAGATAGACCTAGATAACAGCTGTGTAAATTTGATAAACGCGAGATAGTGAATGAAAATGTACCTTCATCAAAGCTTTGGAGTCGTCACCTGTCCATTGCGAGAATCCACGGCCTTGTGGAAAGTGTCGTAGGCCAGGGAAGGGCAGTGCGGAAGCAATTCTAGTGTACTGTCAGTAATCACAACAGGCAGCGGTAGATTGAAAATACCTTCGGTCAATATCATCTAAAATCGCCTTGGCGCGTGTTTTGCTGTGTGTGAGTTCGAGGTATTGACCCACCCATTCAACAAGGTGGTCCTTGAAGGTTCCTTTGATGAGCTGGTGCAGTATGTCGGGGGCAAGGAGCTCGTGAATGTCGGCACGAGGAAAGTCGTTGGTGAAGGGCTATGGAGTGCAACTGTTAGTTCAAAAACATACCACTAACTCGCCAATGATACCATACTCGTCCCAAAGTATACCAAAATCTATAGAATCCACAAGTGCATCAGTATGTTCGCGTGACCGAGAAACACCTCCTTCATCAAGACTTGAGGGAAATGCAAGGCATCTGTAAATACAAATGAGACTTTGCATAAAACCAGAGAGAACTAAAAGGGGGGAGGGGGGGGGGGGAACACAGCAGATACATCAAGGACACCGCGTGAAACTTCGAGGAGGATCCCTCTGGGGGTCATGAATGCGGATACGAACAGGCGATGTCCTGATATGAATGCGGATATGAACAGGCGGTGTCCTGAGGTGAATGCGGATACGAACAGGCGGTGTCCTGATGATCCCTGGGGGTCATGAATGCGGATATGAACTGGCGGTGTCCTGATGATCCCTCTGGGGGTCATGAATGCGGATACGAACAGGTGGTGTCCTGAGGATCTCTGGTAGCCACTTACCTTCCACACCAATCTTTGACCATGCACGCCAATACTACCTGCTCTTCGTAGTCTGCAATGTAGGGTCCAAGGCCATATATAATGCGCCAGTAGTGTCCGTCGCCACACCGTGTGACCTCTGGAGTCGTCATTCCAGGTTTGAGATTGGCGAAGATCCTCGACAACGAGGAGTGAAACAACTGCTTCTTGAATTTGCGGTATCCAAGTTCATCTGTATTTCTTTTTTCTGCTGCATAGAACGGTGTAAGCTTCAAAGTAGATTAGGAGAGAATCAGGTACATACTCTTAGGGATCGCCAAAAATCCAACCAGAGCCAATGCGTTGCGATGCGCCCGCCGGACATTATTGTGAACATTCCTGATCGAGAGGTATAGAGGGTAGTAGTCGTTTTGACCAGTAGCAACAGACACCGTCGTCTTGTCACTGCCTACAATGATGGGAATGAAAGCCGCACCATGTGTTTGTGGGTCCTGTGCGATTTCGTCCTGTACCTGACATCAATATGAGAATATACTAACAGACACAAAATATGTACTGCTTGCTGCCAGGCCCAGTCTCCTGACATGAAATCCTTATAGCGGCGCTGCTCATCCTTCTCCTGAAATTCACGGTAGGGCGTATAATCAATTCCACCTTTGAAATCTGGATTTGCGAGCATGTTCTTGATGACGGTATGAGGGTCCCGGAACCAAACCTCGTGTGACTGTTCCATCCAAAGCGGACACTCTCCAGCAGGTTTATCACCATTGTACTTCAGGGAGAAGCTTTCCCATGCGACATCGCCTAGCGGTGTTGCGTCGATAGTATTGTATAGGTCCTTGTAGTCGGCAAATGGTGGATTGTCGCAATGAACAGCGAGAGTGATTCCCCACAGGTAGAGAATCTTGTTGATATCACCAGCGGACATCTGGTTTTCAGTGTACATAAAATCCGCGCACTCGAATTCCAGTCGGTTGCGATACGGAGTCCAGTCGTCAGGACTTTTTGCTGTGTATGGTGGAGGAGGAGTGCCATGATCAACAAAGTTGCCATTCTCGTCACAAATACGACCTGTGGGTATAGGTATTAATCAGATACAAGCCGGCACCGCAGCACAACTATTGACTTACCAGTCAGCGTCTCGTGATAATCACGAATAAGTCCATGCTTCGACTCCCAGAGCTCATTGTTGGTGCGTCTGGGAGCTTCTTCATCTTCTATTTCTTCAACAGAGGCGTGTTGTGTGCGTTGCGATCCAGGATGGGTAAATGAGTGGCTATGGGCCGAGCTTTGATGAAGTTTCAGCCCAGAGGAATTTTTCAACCAGCGTTTGCAGCCTGGGTAGGGACACTGGATGCGGTGGGCACTAAACGCCCATCGTTTGAGCTGCGCATGAGGGATCTCGTCTGGCATGATGGATGGGAGGCTAACTGAAAAGCGCAAACCATTAGCAAACACACTAGGGAGAATGTAATGTAATACATACAAAACAGGGTGCGCGACACGTAACTTAGAGTTTCAAAGTCCATAGTGACTGCTCAACCTTACACCAAATTTTCTCCTCCACAAGCCCGACCGTTCAAACAATGGTGCGCCCAAACACTCGTCCTAAAAATGCGAACCAGCATCCTGGTGAGATCCTCCTCCAAAACAAGAGGAAAAGGTGCACCGCTCGTCAAATCCAGGAAGACAATGACCAAGCCTGAGCATGAGCGGCAGGAGAAAGAAGCCGCTGATCAACGCACCACCGAGAAGATTGCGTCTATTGAAGACAAGAAGGCGTTGAAGGACTTGAAGATCCTTTTGCATGCGCCAAAGCCTCGGCCTCGGGCGCGTCCTGTGTCGAAGTCGAAGGTGAGCCAGCCGAACATTGAGGATGACGAGGAGATTGTAGAAGCAGCTGAGATGGGGGATGTCGAAATGGAGGACATTGCTGCAGGCGATAACGATGGCGATAAGGACTTTCAACCAAGGTAAGGTTCCAGGAGACTCGCCGTACACAGAGACTGACTATGGTGTATCCAGTGAGGAGGAGAATGAAGAGGTGCAGCCGAGGAATAAGTGTGTCCAGAAGACAGCATATCGTGAGGCTGTCCATGCTGAGCGAAGTGTTAATAATACAGGCATCAATATGACTCACAATCAGAATTCGAAGGTCGATATATCAGATCAGGCTGATCCAACGGCACGTGGTGACCAGAAAGGCAAGAAAGGAGTGTAAGTCGATTATTGTTCCCATCTGCCATGTTGTTACTCACCGAAACGACTCTTTTTCATCTCAATCACCTCAATCGATTCAGTGTGGATGTCTGCGCAGCCAAGGATGACTATGCGGGGATGGGAAAAACAAAGGACTGGGCTGAGAAACTTGCAACAAGCAAGTTGCTCCGCCCTCAACTTGAAAATCTTCGCCCTGAATCACACAGACGCGTGTCCTCAGTCACCACCTCGACTGCCGTTTCAAAGATCTCAAAATTGACTAGCGCCAGCACTAATCCCACTGGCAGCCCGCACCCCACAAACAATGTTCAAGGCAATCTTGAAGAACCTACCACAGCATTTCTGGACAAGGACAATTCACTTGAGCGTGAGGCTGCTTTCAAGGCTACCAAAAAGCCTGGTGCCAGGCATACAACTTCTGCGGTATTTCTTTTATTTTTTGTGCATTTGCAGCACTCACTCCCCACTCAGGATACTGTCGAGATACGCATCTAGGTTCGACCCTATTTGGGTGTGACCAAATGAACATTAGGTACGAAGGTTCACAGGGGGTGTATGACGTGTGACACACTGCGCTTAGGTTCGTGGTGAAACATTGGGTAGACATATTTCCTTGCATAAGTTGTGTATTTGTCTCTAATTTTACTTCCGAGGCTGAGGGGGGTCATGGCAAGTGCAGACATTTTGCGAACACTCACTGGCAGTACAAAGATTTTTGGATGCACTGGGTGTTTTTTTTTGTGTTTTTACCACTTGTCACAATTTAGGTTCGACGGCCTCAAAATTGGTGTGACTGTCACACAAAATAGGTTCGATTCGCCAGGCATGTGACGGTGTGACGAACCTAGGTGCGTATCTCGACAGTATATTGGAAGTCAGTGATAACAGTTTATCACCGCCTCCATCACGACCAAAGAAACGCTCACCAATAATGGCAAGGACCGAGTCCTTCTCCTCCCCCCCTCCTCGTGCCCCCCCTTCTACGCAACCATCCAGAGCCACCGCCAGGTTCATCCCGACTGAGCCCGTTACTGACTTGTCAACGGACATTGACTTTGGCGAGAGTGAGGACACATCACCGCCTCCTGCCCCTGTGTCAGCAAAAGGCACCAAACACCTGACAACTTCAGTAAGCCGGTACTTATTTTGTGATACCCTTCTCATTTTCTCTCCACTAAACGTAGACCGGCGTCAGCATCAATAGCCAGCCCCCCCCTTCGAAACGAGCAAAGACAGAGCCGCAGAGCAAGAGTGTCACGTCACGCCGCGATGGCAGTGGCGCCAATCACCGGTATCAGAATGATGACCTTCCTGAGGGATGCCAGGATGGTAATACCTGGCGCCGGGTGTTCATACCAACTGTCGCACACTGGGCTGGTGGAGAAGTTGAGCCTTGGGGTCCTGAAGACGAAGATTTAAGGGACGCCATGCAGGAGATCTGGAACTACATATACCGGGGTAAGATTCAGCATGAGATCTCCAGATCTGGTGCCGTTTTAAAAGTGGTAAGTCCATAGTTGTTTTTGGGTCATTCAGAAGTTAACTAACATTTGTAGGCCAAACAACGCCTTATGGAATGGCATGGAGGGTTCAGTATCGCAGCTTGCTCCATCCTCACCGCATTTTTTGCACAGGACGCTGATTTTTTGGATCCTGCGGCTCGCGAGGACTTTTCAAGGGCCATGCTGAAGCATAACCGGTTCATTTTCAGGGATAATTCAGGACTCGTTCCCAAGGTAAGTGGCTATAATAATTACTATGAAACCATCTAATTATTTGTTCAAAGGACTGGACGGGTATGTGGAGATCCCCCTTCGTACTTCAGACATTCGCATCACACCTCAATTTCACCTTCGGCCGTGTTGAAGTCCCCGACCTTGACACCGAGAGCATTAGTGCGCGGGCTGCATTTGCCCTCGCCGTTACTGCTGTAAGTCATTCTATTTCTGCCATTCGTTGTCTAAAAATAATATTTTCAGGTTTATCGTACTCTTCAGCTCATCATTGATGGGAACCTCACCTTCGAAGTTGTTCAAGAATCCTGCAGCAAACGCAAAGGTGCGAAGACCGACGGCGGCGATATCTGGACCCCCATCATCGCGAACATCAGTAAACTACAATGTTCTGTACAGCATGCAAGCTCCACAGCTTGGTCCCTGCTGGACAGCTCACTACAGCTCCACACAGTACTACATATCCTTGTGAATTTTCGTACATATAATTCACAGTCTGACAGACAACCACATTGAAGGCTCTTGTACAGAGTTCACCAATAACATATCCTTGTAGAAAGTTTGCCAATAACACATCCTTGTAGAAAGTTTGCCAATAATATATCAACTGGTCAGCTGTATTTGCGTGCACAGAAAAGGACAACGGTCACGGCATGTATTGGATTACACAACACAGCGGCAGAAAACATGAATGCACGGTATCGTAAAACTACTAGTAAATGATGCTCGATTCACGGTAAAATAAAACCTGTACTATGCGGCGCCAAGAACCTAAGCGCTCAATCGAGCAGGACTTGAAGATGATGATGCTTCGAAAGATCACTGCCGTCGACCTTAAAGGACTCCGCCCTGCGTGAAACAAAGATTAGCGTTGAAAAACTCGAACAAAAAAAAACCTTGCCATCCGGACGCAGACCATAAACGAAGTTGTTTTGCGAGCTTTGGTCCGTGATAAGGGTGCTCCTTGATATCGTTGAGTAGCTTGACCATCTTGGTATAGATAGCCTTATACTCCTTGGAAGAAAAGTTCGGGTATGTCTTTCCGTTACCGTTCTTGACTAAACCATCGAGGACGCAATTGAACTAGAAAAAAAATGGTGTCAGCATATTGTCGAGTGAGTACGAGCACCAAAATATACCGCTGTGCAAACCAAAGCTAAGCATTCCAGTGGTAGCTGCTCACGGAAAATATCTGGTCTCCTGCGGGCGACACGATAGGATCCAGTGTAAAAGAACGAAATAGTGGCTTCGCGGAGCGCAGGGTGAGCAACATTTTGAGTTTTCCCGAGACTATCTACACCATTGCGCAAAAAAAGAGATCCTTCGAGTAAGGTTGCAGCGCATTCTTGGACCCACGAAGCACGTTCTTGGGGGGGGATATGAGATGGTGGGATTATGTCATACATAGAGGGTGCGATACTGATAGCGATTTTCTTGAGGTCCGAGCGCCATGTAGATAGATCTTCAAACAGCTGAAATAAAAATGGCACGTCAGGCGCCAGGCATGCAATCAAAAACACAGACGTACAAGCTTGGCCATGTCGGGCTTGTGATCGGGCCAAATATCTGATAGACGTGTGAGTAAGCTGTCTCGAGGGGGAGGGAAATACTTACCGCCTTCGACTTGTTGGCCGCTTTCAAGCCATTGTACAAGCGAAGCTGTAAGGACCTCGTAAACGCTTCCCGACAAGCCATCAACGAAGGTCGGGAACGGATCCTCTATCGCATGCTCGACACGGCACTCTCCCTTCGTGTCCTCGAGAAACTTCTTCCAACGAGGACCATACCAACTCAGCTGCGTGGCCTTGGGCCCTTCACCTGCTATCTTGGCTGATACCTTACGAGCTTTGATATTTGAATCGAGAGGTTTGGTCTCGGCCTGACGCAAAAGCTCGAGGACGGCAGGATCAGGCAGATGGGGGTGTCCGTTTCGCTTGTGGTGAACCTGCAGAACATCGTCAGTATGCTCCGCGGGCTTCTCATCGTCACTGGACACATCAGTTGCCAAATTATTCTCGGCCATGTTTTCATCCTCATCGCGTGAGTATTGAAACTCGAAATCGGTTGGAAGAGCAGTGGTGACGCGAGGTTGTGATGGTTCGACTTCCTTCGAAAAACCTGTCTTGCGCTCAGTGTGATCAGAATTGTGAGAGTAAAATACTTACCAGGATGCGCAGTAAGGCGCCCATGCGCTGCTCCCCAGCTAACTTCTTGATCTTCGACATCATCTTCCTCCTCCTCTTCATCATCGTCAGCATGGCCTCCATCGTCATCATTGTCGTCAGTGGATGCCTCTGAACTCCGGGATCCCGTATCTCCCGCTCCCGAATGTACATCTCCAGCTGACATCAGAGCAGGGTCGAGGTTCTTGTAGAACGTAGCGTCAGATTGACGCATAACCAACGTGGCTTGTGAAGGTGCTGGTTGCGCCGAATCATTGTTTCCAGAGGTGACGGTAGTGGGTGGAAGACGTGTAGTGGGATCCAGGGAGGCTAACCGAGCACGATGTTCACTGGCGGCCGCTACATATGGATTGTTGAGTACTTGTAGGTCAGGTTCCGTGCCAGGAGGGACGATGGGCTGCGCAAAGCCAAACCGGCTACCAGATTGGCGGTGAGAAAAAGCGGGATGCATATTCGATACATCCAAGTCTTTCTTTGTTGCCTTACTAGTACCTTTCTTTCCCCCTGTTTTAGAAGTTGCAGGATCCTCCACTGTTTCCGAGACGGTATATGGTGGAGGGGGTTTCTGTCGATGTTCAATATTAATATCTAACACCAACATAAACAGACCTGCCTTTGTGCGATTACCACGACCCTTACGAGGTGGTTCAGGTGCCAGAGGATTGGTTGGTACATCGATGTCAAGGGAGGTGGAGCCCTTGGGCTGAGTAGTCCGTGCCGGGGCATCCAAGAGAGCACCGATTTTTTCGAGTTGCTCAACCCTACCTCCTTTTCCTGCGCCAGAACGTCCAGAACGTCGAACTGACGGTTTGTCTGCAGAAATTGGCTCTTGCAACACCACGGATGCCTTGGCCCCAGCACGCGACTTCTTTGCAGAATTTGCTTGACCATCAGAATCTACAGCTTTACGCTTTGATTTCTTCTGGCTCGCACGAGGAGACATGACTGGACCACGCCACTAAGAGTAGAACTAGTGGTACGATCAGCACGAGAAAATCACTGATAGATACACACCGTATTTTAAGGCTCGTAGTTTGACTCGTAATCGGGTCTCCAGTGCCGCATGCAGGTAATGTGGGAGAATCTTGCGAAACTGAATATAGCATCTTTCGGAAATATGAGTCGAGCGCTGCATGCAGGTAGAGATGGTGAGCTTGAACGTTGAGCGGAGGTAATGATGCATGCTTTATTTTACACAAAGTACAAAATGGGGATATCATGTGACTCATATACTTGCGCGCCGGTATCGGTATCGGATATCAAAGTGTAGTACATACTGGTAAATTTGAACTCTACCCAGTTTTGCTCCTCTTCGGCTTGGGTACAACTTCCATCGTCCAACGATGATCGACCACTCGCTTCCGACGTGTGTCATCTACAGATAACTCACTGTCCTCATCACTGCCACTGGCGGTAGTAAACGAACCTGCCGCTGAGAGTATTACCCATTTGGAAACCAGGAGTTCAGGGGAGTCCTCCGAGGGCAGTGCAGCGATGTGCTTATCCAGCAAATTGATTACGTCGTCAAAGACCAACTGCTTGGGGTTTTTAACGAGTTCATACCACGCTAACGCGAGTGGAAGGAGAGATTTGAAGTAGGGGTCGAATTGTTTGGCGAGTTCCATAGTGTAGTGGTCAGATTGATGAAAAAATCGAGTCTTGCTGTCCCCGCACTTTTGGTACGTCGACGCGGACCATTCTCCTGTTATCCATTTCACTTTTTGATTTGAATGTGGGAGAGTCGTAGGGAGAACACGCTTCATGCCGAGAGGGCCCCTGAACTCAATGCAGACCCAGATGAACACATAAAACATCGACTCCAGATCGTCGTTGTAGACATGCGTGATCATGGGGGCTGGGTATGCTTTCGATCCCGAGGCTCGTGTACCCATGCGCTCATCCGACGGATCCGGTGTATTGAGATAAAGCTGGAAGAGAAGGGATCGCGACATGAACGGTATTGTGCCCTGAGGTTATGAGGTATTAATTCATATATAGATCCTGGAAAGAAACCAAAACACTAACGGTGCCCCCGACACTGTATTTATCGCCTCGTACGATATCTACAGCAAACTCCCAATCTATCAACATCCCGCCATCATCATCCCCAATCATCGCGTTGTTCAAACTGCAATCACGATGAAGGATATGCCTCTGCTCTACCGCAAACTTCTGGACTGAAAATATTGTGAGTGGAACGGTTAGGTACATACAATCAAAAATCACTTACCCTTCAAGATGTCCCGTATCGCAGTCAAGAACTCCGAACGTGAACGGAATTGATACAAGGGTCGCGCACGGGGCTTCAAAACCATGCGAACATGCGTACGGGAGGTGCCCTGTAAGCTGCGCGTGATCTTTTGACGATACTTCACCGTCTCGTCAACCTCGCCAGGCTCCATCTCCACAAGCCAATATTCAACAAGGCGAGGAACACCACGGAGCCCATCCATCTTCTTCATCATACGAATTTCGTTGAGGACCTCCGATTCACTGCCAAGAACCCAGTGATCTTTGATTATGTACTCTTCATCGTCCTTCCTGGCCAGATAGCACGTCGTGCCACGACCAACGAGGCCTTGCGTGGAGAATATTAGATCGAGTATATCGTACGTGTTTTCATTTACTCGTATTTTTCCGATTGGCTCTGGGAGGGGTTCACGGAGAGGATCAACAGGGACTTCGTCTACGGGGGGGACCATGCTTGGAGGGATGTTGGCTGCAGGTTTGCGCTCCGCATCCTCTGTGGTGTATGGGGGTTTGTTCACGATCTCTTCAATTGTGGTGGTCTCGCTTTCCACGATCAGTGCATCTGGGATTGCTAAGGTAGCAGTCTGGTGCGGAGCAGGTGAGCGTGAGTGTTTGGCGGGGCGGAAATCAGGGGGTCGATGCGTGCGGTGAAGTGTGTGTTTCAATATACTGATCGTGGGGTCGAACCCGATGCACTCGAGATTGCCGAAGACAATGGACGAAAAAATCTGTAAGAACTTGTCTGGCTCTCGATCGATGTTTATGCAAGGGCTGACAACACCACCCGAGTGGTCATATAGATGGACGCGAAGCTCGCGATACCCATTGCAGATGGAGACCAACAGTGCGAAGCGTCTCCACGGTTGGTGTTTGAGAAGCAGATACGCCTTGGAGTCGAGAGTTTTGGCAAGGGGATTTGAAGGTAAGTAGGCACTCGAAGTCAGCTCGCATACGGCCTTGATTGTGTCCCATCTAGCCTCGATATCATCGAGTAAGGTGAGGTCTGGTTTGCGCGCCATTGCATCGCCGGGTACTGGGCGTGAGGAGTTTGATGCGCTCCAGACACGAGATAAGATGCGCTTCTGAGCGAGTTCAGGCCGTCGCAGGAGGAGGGCGATGGAAAGGACATTGTAAAAGGATGCAAAAATCTGTTCCGTTGTCCATGGCTGGAGTACTGGGGTTCTGCCACCACTGTCACTTTCGTGTTGGACACTGGCAGAGCTGGCATTCATAGACTCGGACATTTCGTCATCCTCAGGCTGGCTAGAGGCAACAGGTGCGCCAGTGTCATCGACGAAAATCCAATCTCCCGACTTCTCATTCGTAGTTCCACTAGTTTCTCCTTCCCTCTCTTCATGGTCCGTTCTTCTCTTCTCTCCTGCCCGCTTACTTTTTTGTCCAGGAAGTTTGTCTAAATGTGACTCTGGGAGTGGCCAGTTCCAACGGCGTGCTTGCGTGTCATAAAGCGGTACGAGGATTGATTCGTTTTGAATTTGCTGAAATGCTTCGACCCTGGTATCGGGGTGGATTTTCTTCAACGAAACTTGAAGATCCTTTGCTTTTGGGACCTTGCGGTTATAGGACTTGAAGATCAACGATAATACATGGCCAAGCTCATCGCTGTTGGCAGGTGGAGATTCCTGCAAGATCAAGCGAATAAGTTCCGAGCTGGTCAGTTTACTCATTGTCGGTACATCGTGAACCTCTGGAGCTGACATCAAGGATGCCAACTTCATCCCGAGGCCCCCAGAACAAAAATGCCTACCAAGTGGCATGAGGGAGTGCTAGTGCTGTGTGTACAGGTACGAAAATATTGTATTTGACGCTTTCTTTACTAGTCTACAAAAATGGCCTTATATTGCATCAAATGATAGCGCAAAGAAGGCGCTTTTATCCAGAAACTCGTTCAACCAAAACTCCGCGGCATGCTCCAAACTGTTGTACGCTGTGAGACGCTTGTCAGCAGTAGCGCCAAAACGAGGTACGAGTTGAACAGGAGCCCTCAATTGAGATAACGGAATAATGTCGCCCATCCGGTTTCCATTTGAGCGTTTCGCTCGCTTGAGTATATGAAGGTGTGTCGTTGGATCGCGATCATTTGAGAGATCAAAACGTTGAACATATGTGAGGAACCGATCCTTCCAAGACCATAGTAAACCACTCTTGCCAATGGGTCGCATAATGAGTCTAATCTGCGCGATTGTGTGACCTGTAACAGTTGAGCTTTAAATGATTTATTGTAACGCAAAACAGAAAGCGCACCTGAAAGACGACTACTGGGCCATGAGAAGCCCGCACTGGTCTCGGCAATGACTGTATCATAGTGGCCCAAGATCCACGGGTCATTTGGTGGTGCACAGTTTAGCGTCTGAGCTGGTTTGATGGCGTGAGTGTCGTGTAAATCCATCTCTTGCAAGCGAATTTTAAACCAGACTTGAACTTTGTCAAATGGGAGGACGGCACCAGGTCCAGCCCTTCTAGGGCCACCTATTGCATGAACATGCCGTTGTCCATAAGTTGCCTCACGTTGAAGGAAATCAGCTATGGCTTGTCGTAGATCTGGTAAGCCGAATGTGATAGCGACTTCATCAACAGTGATGCTCCGAATGGAGGGGTCATATGAAAGATGAAAGGCAGTAGATTTGTCGACAAAGGAGCGAAGTGGTACAGGAACGGAACCCACTTCTCGGTACTGGAGTGCCTTAGCAATCGCGAAATAATTCGTAATTTGGCGTGGGTGTCGGGTTGGGTCAATGGGATTATCTTGTGTGTCGATGTCAACGTCGATCTCTTCAGCATCCAAGTCCAACCCCTCTTCCTCAACCCTCTGCTCGTGATCCAACAGGCCGGTAGCGAGCTCAAAACGACGACACTTTTCGGCGCGATCGAGGTATCGACAAATTTGTGTGTCATAATTGTTGTTATTGCTCGATCTGGCGGGGTCTTTGATCTCTGTAATGTGGGCGTGTTCAGTGATGTCGGCAGACCACTGTCCTATGACGCCAGAGTTACGAATGCTGGGAACGATACTGTGCATTAGCTCCAGCTTGGGGATGTAAAAGTTGTCGATGACTCTATTACCCTTCCCCCGACGAGCCCCGGCAGCAATGATTGCATCCTTGTTTGCGTGGAACTCATTTAGTGCACGTGAGATGCGCCCGAGATCTTCCTCGTCAATGCGCGGCGACTGTACGAGATATCGGAACTGCATGAGCGCCCGTAAAGCAGCGATGACACCAGCAGGTGCTGCATCCGCACTGACAGCGATGATATACCGTTGAATGTCTCGCTGACAGCGACCGGTGACTTGTTTCAGCTTGGAGATGCCACCGTGAAAATGCCGATGACCGGTGATGGGCTGCAACACTGAAAATCGGAAATCGATTTCGGAATCTCCAACAGCGTTAATGAGCCATTGGGCATCGTGGTCAAAGAACGCTTTATGAAGATGGTGGAGTGATTCTGGTGTCAAAAAACGGGAGGGGTCTGCTAGTATGTAGTCCCACCAGAATGGCTTGTCGACGCCATTCAGTCGGAACTTCTGTGCCTCGCGGAAAAACACCTCAATATCATTGGGATCAGCGCGCGAGCGCACAACAGCAAGCTGTGCAAGAGTCGTCGATTTCGTCCGGGGTTCATGACGGAATGCATCCCCGAACTGCTTATACATCGCCATCGTCACTGGCGACAGTTTTTCCACCAACAGTTGCCAGCATCATGGCCTCGGGGGTGTCAGCGATATAGCTCGCGAGAGCGGTGAAGCAATACCGACTGTGTCCGGTAGGATCAGACAGCATGACACCACGTTGAGCGGCCTGCTTGAGTGGTTCGAGAATGATATTGAGGCATTCATGTATCAGTCGATCCTCCAATACGCCCTTCATTCGCTTCTTCTTGTGAATAAACTTGGGGACTGGTAACAGAGCAGCGAGAACAAAAGAGTTGGTTGATGATTTTAGGCGTATGTTCATATGTATATTGGCGAGGCTAATTAGAAGCGGATGAGCCACGCGATCCCCTGTTAATGCACTGATATTCGTCTTGTCGGAGGAGAGAATGGTGCCGAGGAGGGTTGCGCCCTTTGGTATCGCCGACTTCAAGAATATTTGAGTGCCAGACCTCAATAACTGACTATCTACTCACCTGCATGTCCCATGCATCGTTTCCTGACATCCATCCAGCATATATGCGACACAACCTCTCTGCAGTAGAGTAAATCTTGTGAGGTGTGAAGTCGATATGATTTTGAAATAGCGGGTGGTTGAAGATGCTGGCGATACATTCAATAGGGTCGCGCCAGTACAGAATTACAGGCGATTTCGTAGGATGCGATGTACGAATTACTTGAGACTTCCAGCGCGGACCGCTGGGGAGCATCTCAGCTCTACCGCGTAATTCTTTGGCAGAGTGAAACGACAAGGGTAAATCCTTGATCTAAAAAGACGTGAATCATAAGCAATAAAAGTGAGATATACGCACTGACCATTTCAAGCGATAGAAAAGAGTCAATCTTGCCCATGCTCAGGCCTGAACGTAGCAGCCATGCTGCAACTTGCCAATCTCTTCGGCTGCTAAACGGATAGTAGAGATTCGTTTTCCGATATACACTGTTTTCGTCTGCATCAAACAGCCCCAAAAATGTGTAGCCATCCTCATAGGCCAGAGGAGGCTCTGGAAAATAGTCGGTTACTTTGCGCACTTCATGACCCGCAGTTCCCTCAGGTATATCCTCTTCTTCTCCTCCACCATAGAAATCATGAAAACTTTCCTCGCCTCCAAGTCCCGGATCGTTGTTAGAAATATCGATGTCATCTGCTGAGTCCATGTTATGATCTTCACTCAGGCTGGGCGAAATGGAGTTAATCATGTCGTCTAACCACGTGTTGCATCCAGACCGAGGCTGGCTTAGATGACGAGCAACAGAAGTATGGTCTTTAAACGCTTTGCCGCATGAGGGGCAGCTTGAATGCGACATAAGTCATACTAAGAAACAAATCATAATAATATCAGTAAGTATCGGGTGATATCGGCATTTCCCGAAAACTGTACTCAATACACCATGACCATCAATCTGCGCGCATTATCAACAAGGGCGTCGGGCCTAGTGGACAACATTCTCGATCCACATCATCAACACCATGATGACACGAAACCAGGGACGCACGGGATGGACCCTTACGAACTTCTTCAAGCTATTACTTCCTTGGTAAAGTCAATTGTCTATTTCTCGTTTTCATAACGCGCCTTAAATTTTATCAGTCTATACAGAAACCAGCCAATTCTGAAGCAAACCTTGTTATGGACCTTGCACGAGCCAAACGTGAAGTACTTCGGGCACAGAAGGCACTCGCGGAGTGTTTACTACGGGAAAATGAAGTATTGGCAAGCTTGCTCAGGCTTCGAGTGGATACCGCAAAGAACACTCTAGATGATGCAGACATGGGCCTGGGGTGTATGAGACTTGCCTTCAGACAGCATGGCTGGTCTCATTGTCCCTTATCTGCAAAACAATGTGAAGGTGATCAGCGCACCGGTAAGTTTATGATCTGTGAGAGACAACTATCGTCCTTATCAATCCCTCAGCTACTACGAGAGAAGTCCCAAACGATCGCGTTCTCACTATCCAGCTTGATTAATTCGTTTGCCACGGACGGTCGAGAGTTGGTACAATTTTGCATTTATAGATATTCACCTTGTGTCCTACTAGTATTAGCATACATATACTTACTTGTGCGCTCGCTGTCCCTTCCAGTTCTATATACAAATTGTGTTTTGTGCTGTTGTTATTTCAGTGTTGAATTAGATTTTGCCGCATTGTTTGAAGTCCATCCATGGTCCGAAATAAAATAGACTTCACATTTCAATGATATTACTAGGTATATTACTAGTAGCTATTCGGACTTGAACTCCTTGACTTTCAAATGCAAAGTCCTGTGAGCCGTGTAGAACTATGAGTGATTGTAACAAATGTATACCTGGGTGCACTATTTTTCTGTGACTCTTGGCGGAACTGTGAAATCTGTGAGTGATTGTAACAAATGTGTACCTTGTAGCACTGTTTTGCTGTGACTCTTGGCGGAACTGTGAAATCTGTGATTGGCTGTCGTGGGAACACAAATCTTGTGCTTTCTGTGGGAAAAGTTGTAGTTTGCTGATGTGTGTGCTAGGACTGCAATTTGCTCTCGAAGCAATCCAACTATTTCTTCCCCCAACCTGAGATTCCCCGACACTGCAGCTTGATTTGCAGGCTGCAAGGTGACCCGCTGCTTCTTCCGAGGTGGTTTGGCCCGTCGTGGAGAGTTTGTGATAGCATCAGCAAAGTGTCGATTCTGAGTGTGCGTAGATTAATTACATTTTTATGCATACCGACAAAGTGAGGAAGACTCACCTCATCAGACTTTAAATCAGTGTTGGAGTCACTTGACAGTGCACGCTTCAAATTGGGCTCTGGGATGATATCAATGGGATGCTTGGAAACATAGTAAAGTGAGTTGGTTTGTAATTTAGTAAAAGACACTGCACACTGCGCACCTCGTTAGGCACTTCATCTCCTGCTGCAATGCTGCGCCCCTTTGATGACGGTGACCGTGACTTTGCAGACTCATCTAGTGTTTCCTTGAGGCCCGGTGGCTGATACTCTGGGTATATCTTGTCATATATGTAGTTTCCTTCAGAGTCTTCTGGCGCTCCTTGGCCATTTGCTGGGAAGCGCAATATGATGCGATGTGAGTCTCCACCTCCAAGGATTTGCTCCGCGCTGTCATTGTAATCAGGGCTACGCGAGCTGTGATCAGAGCTTTTATCTGGATCGTAAGGCATTGCAAAAATGAGTAGTAGGTGAGTTTGCCGATGCGACTTGACAAAATTCATGTCTTACATGCAATTTCGACAGCACCACAGTGATATCATTTTGTGGAGCTCATCCTTCATAAGTTCACAGGCGGCTCGGATGTCGGTCAAAGTTCCCTTATATGACGCAAACAGGTGCTGCTGTGATGACTGCGCACCTGTTGTTTCCAAACCACCACCACCATAGCAGTGATCTTGTTATTGTGGACTGCACGGTCACACTTCAGCATATCACATTCAGATTCATCATTCACTATCGGAGAATTGGACTCCTCTTTGACAAATGATCCAAGCCAGTTCGTATTCACGCCAGTCTTCGCATCAATACCAGACAAGTATGATTTTCTGAAGATTCTGATCCAAGAAATTACTGTCAACTCTCAGGTCCTTCCGAGTCCTCCAAGTCTCTCTCGTTCGCTGATCTGCGGTGCAGCATCACTAATTGATGTGCTTGAGACCAAGACAACTCTCATTTTAGGTCCACTCCACACCAGGGACGTTAGCTGGGCTGAAGGTGAGACACGAGACAGCTGGTGTACTGGTGGAATACAGGCTAATAACATAGTGAGAGTGATCCCAAACCAAAACTTCGTTATGGTCTGATTTCATCCCATAGGTCAAATCTGGAGACTGGCTTCTCAGGGCTGTGTTCTCAAAGGTGTGCTCGTAATTTTCTTCATTTGTATGTTCCTAATACTTTACAGAACGTCTACGTCATACACCAGGGTATATCGAGCTCCAACTCCCCCACCTTCCACGCAACGTGCTGGTTTTCAGCTATGGAAATGAGGGACACTGTTGCGACTTGTGTGGTATGCGGGGTGTGCGGATTTTTGATTGGAGCCGTTGGAGTTGTGATCTACCGTCTCTCCAGAGGTAGCGAAGGGAGGTTCTGATGCCGGTACATATTTTTTTCAATGCGCAATATCGTTCACCATCACGCTCGTAAATAGGAACATTCAGTACTCAGTAACTATAACCTAACATAGCACTAGTAGTGTAATCAATTGCTTCTCATTTTCATTCAATGAGCCACCAGCGTGATCCAACAACGACTCGGAAAAACTAGTGTAAGGAAGCTGAAGTAAATATCATGGCTGATATGTTCTCGACAGATGTCGTCAGTCCAGTATGGCACAATATTGCACCGTCAGTCTAATACGACAGTTTCACCAAGACAGGCAGTGACAGACAGACCATCAAGGATGATCAGGCAATGTCAGGCCCGCCAGGATGGCTTGCCTGGCCACAATGATGAACCCTTACCAGCCCAGATACTCGACAAAGCAGGCTGATATGCACTTTTTGATAGCTCAGGTGTGATCAGACCTGCCAGGCTGGCAATGCTGACTTTTATGAACAGCCTGCCAAATTTTTTTATAAACGGTCAGATGGTCGGTAGCCTGGCAACCTGATACGTCCATATTTGCCCATGCAAGGTAGTTTGGATTTTTCCGACATGCGAGTACCTGATTTTTTTTGAAGCTGCACAATGACGAGGCGAAGACTTAGTAACTACGTCGTGAGAGACGGAATGTTAGCAGGGGAGGAATAGCTACATTTATGATAGTTCCGAGTCGAAGCAGAGATCCATCATCATATCGAGTATCCGGTACCCTGTTATCACTCGGACTTTACTCGGTTCCCACAACACCTCTTCAACAAAGTCCGAACATGAACCCACGCCCGAGCCTTACGGATATCACAAAAGACCTCGAAAACTGCATTTTATTTCGGCTCTCCGACTTGTAAGGATTACCAATCTTCTACCGCCGGAAACGGCCGATCCACCACTCACCTCAACCGCCACCTCAGCTCACCGCCAACGTCGACCAGCGTGATCCCCATCAACCCTTCACCGTCAATTCCCTTCAGCCTCCGTCGCCACATATTCGTTCGGCTCAATCGTACCCGTATCTTGCTCCATTCCTTATCTTCACGCTCTCGTTATCTATTAACCAACTATATTCTCTTTATATCCTCCAGCGGTCTACACACCCTTCCTACTCGCGCACTCTTGTGCGGTCTTACAGACTCGACGCTGCACTGCCCCAAAGAGCCATAGTCTTGGGCTACACACCAGTACCCTCGTTCACGCTTACTGATGCACTTCGACCAGACATCTGAGGAGTACCTGAGCCCTGTCAGTGGCCGCAGCATCCCGCGCACAATAAATATTCTGGGCTCGTATCAGGGAGCGCAGTGTGGTCGACATTCAGCACACTCGAGGGCGCACTTGACGAGTTCTAGTGGCATCATCATCGCCCGTTATACCAAAACACGATCGCCACTTATACACTCATTTTTGCCCGTCTCGATGACGCTGCTCACATATCCACTTTCATCGTTGTCGGTAGCGGTGGGTTTATTTACCAGGACCATGATTATCTATACCCTACAGTATTATTACTTGGCCCAGTGTCATTCTGGGACCGTGCTTCTTACTGTTGTCAATAGCAAGTTGCCTTGTTTCACGAGAGCATTCCGCTCGGTCTTAGAATCACAAACTTGGGTAGAATGAAACAGCTATCATTGCATCACTTTGGGGAACAAATAGTAATAATAGACAGGACACGATATCAAAGTTCGTATTGAAAATACTGCGCCGAAGTTCGTATTGAAAATACTGCGTCAAAGCACTGGACTGAACCGAAGATAACGTACGAGAAACACCGGTCACCCAGCTTCTTGCTCTGAGGAAGAGACTCGCCCGTAAGAGCAGCCTGGTCAATAGAGACGTTGATGGCCTCCGTCAAACGACAGTCTGCAGGAACAATGTCACCGATCTTGAAAGAGATCATGTCACCGGGAACGAGTTCTGAAGATTCGATTTCCGACCATGTGCCGTTACGCTTGACTTTAGTTTTGGGGGCAAGGGAGTCCATAAGTGCCTTGACGGGGGAGCGGAAAGGAAGCACGCAGGCGGTAAAGGATGTTATATACAACTAGGTGATGCCGTTACAAATAAACCGAACCGAACATCACAGGAAGAGTCTGGGGTCCTTCCCCTGGTGAATTATGTGAGGATGTTCGGACTTTGTTCAAGAGTTGTTGTGGGAACCGAGTAGGGTCCGAGTGATAACAGGGTACCTACAACTCTGATGGCGAAGGGCACGTGCCACACGATCGCGCCGAGACCATTTGAAGGGTCCTCGCTCTACAGCCTTACTGCTTTATATGTACTAGTATGTGGGGCACCATCATATATATAGTCGCCAGTCACGTTGACCAGATCCTCACCGGTGACTTAGTCTCTCATACTCAAATCTTGAAAACCAGGACTCAAAAGACACTTGTTCCTTTTTTCGCAGCCGTCAAACACCCCGCGTCGAAGACGGATAAATTATATTAAGTATGATTGAAGACAGATAAGCCACTCAGAGCCGCTCACGGGCAGTCAAGTCCAGTTTGTGTATGATAACGCTCCAAGCGCTGGCAGCATTTATTGACAACCATGACCTCCTCATTCCCTTACACTCCTACGACGCTCCGGACGTCCGTGAAGCCGCGTCCATGGGTGCCATTGAAGCGCCACGAAGGGCACGTCGAGGTCCCACCTTTGCCCTTCAAGCCTCGGACCGATAACTTACTCGGCATGTACGACATCAGCACCCACATCATACCTGCAGCCAATCCCAGAATCACCCCGGATACTCCAGTTCCAAAGCCGCCTCCTCGTTCGAAAAGAACCCTAGCAGAACTCAAGGAATTGGGACTTGAATTCATCAAACAACAGGTCCGGCAGGGAGAGGACGGCCATTCCGCGGTCACGGACGAAAGGTTGCTGTGGAATTGTGTCAACCGATATGTGAAAAAGGACAAGGAGACCAACGCCAAATCGAAAGGGACCACCTTGTTCCTTGTGCATGCAACGGGCTTTCCGAAGGAAGTGAGTTTCCTGATGCCAGTTCATGCATGCTAGGGATCTGACTGTATTAGATATGGGAAACCACTCTGTGTTATCTACTACCTGCCTGTGGCGTTATAGACGAGATATGGTCATGGGAGTCGGTGCAACATGGGGACTCTGCTCTGCTAAACAGACAGAATCTTAATGGTAGCTGTAAGCAGACGTTTCTCAGACCTCCGACTTGGAATTAATTGAGAGCAGTTGATTGGACTGACAACGCAAGAGACATTGCCAACTTTCTCATTAACTACATGCCTGAAGGAGTAGAAACGTCTGCGCTACCCATCCAACTTCAGCAACTTCCTGCATTCATTGGCGAATCACGTCAAAAGAGTGGCTTCTCTTCCCGGACCCTGGTCGTAGTGGGACACTCGGTCGGGGGTTGCGCGGCGTATGACATTCACGTTTCAACGACCTTGGTTGAATCTCATAACATTGTATAGGGCTTCTGTCGCGTTGAATTTCCCGGCCTTATTGTCCTCGATGATCCTCCTCGATCCGATGATCGATACATTCATCGGGTTTCCATGGGAGCATACACAATACGTGGTCGGCCTTACCTTGGTAAAGCGCGAACAATGGCCATCACGGTGCTCAAATTTTTTGATCATCACTCAGGAGTACTGAATGTGATTATAGGGAAGACGCCTTACGTTCCTTCAAATCTTCGCCCATGTTCTCGGCTTGGCATCCTGACGTACTTCGGCTCTACATCGATTATGGACTATACGAGGACGGAAGCGGAAGCGTCAGATTGAAAACGCCTCCCATCCATGAGGCTATTGACTGCGCCAACCTACGAACTGGCCGTGAAACCTGGGAGTTAATGGAAACCCTCGACGAGAACATCGAGTTGCTATGGATCGTCCCCGGAAAACCAAGCCCGGTAGTGTAAGCCAGGGAGCCAAAATGAAATTCACTAACTAATAGGCACTAATATGCGACAGATCAATGATGGAGCAAGTATCGAAGGAGCGAGTTTGGCGCAGACCAGCTAATTCATCCAACATTATCATCAAGTCGTCTGATCATCTTGTTTGTATCTCATCTGCGATCATTTTTATAATTGACAAAATTGTGTCATAGATTCCTCACGAATCTCCAGAAGCACTTGGTACGCTACTTTCAAAGGAATCAATTGATTGATAACTGATATTCCATACAGCGCAAATTATGGCCGACTTTCTGCACAGGAAATATGGTGTTTCCTCATCAAGGCAGTCGAAGCTCTGAAATCGTGGATTAGTATCAATCTATAGCAACATAAATTGTGTTTTACTCACTCGAGAGCATTGATTCCAACACCTATGTACATGGCAGACACTGTGGGTAGTAGAATCAGTTAATTTCAACGTAAGCGCTTGCGCAAATACTTTCTAGAGAGATTGTCCAAGCCTCCCGCCAAACGCCATTGAACCTTGCCTTCTGTTGTGCACACGTCCGAGTTATCTGGCACTCATCCGCCGCTGCTCACAGCATAATTAAACCTCTACTATATGTCTGCCCCCACTCTTTGCTTTTCCTCGATCTCGTCCCCCGTTCGCTTGCTCGTGCCTAGCAGTCGTGATTGTGTTCAACTTGGTTCTTGCCAGAGGAACTCAGGGTCGGCGCACAAGGTTCAAGAGCGTAAGAAAAGGGAGGGAAAGATAACATCATGGTGTAATTTCATCTGCAAAAGCAAACTGACCGGAGATAACGTATTATATATCTGCCTAAAATTTAAATGCGAAAGAGGCACATATGATATCGGGGCGTACCGTCGAGTTGGTGGGTTGGCCGGCGTATGGTAGGAACGACTATCTTCATTCTATCAAGGTCTGACTATGGGAGACTAGGCGTATGGAGCATGGCCGAGTCCCACCCAGTGGCAAATCTCGAGTTCGGCCCGACTCGTTTTTCCAAGCAAAGAAGAAAATTTGTACCGCTCACAAGTTCGCTCTTAGTGGAAAATTTCATCCATGATAAGTAGCAACTGGGCGCTCGACTCGACTCCAGCGAACAAAGTATGAATGATGCATTGATGAAGCGCTGCTGATCGACCAGCAGTGAGAATGTGTTGAGAGTCGTTTACGTCACGAACGGCTGACTTACTTAGTTACGTAATTACTTAGTGTTACAGTAATCGAAGTTGAACAGTACTTAGTCCGCAACGAATTGTGAATGACATAACATCTCGTGCCATGGTAGAAGAGCTGCGGGGTCCAGACTGAAGTTGACAACCCACGGACGGAAAGAAATAGCAGCTGGGCCAAGTCGCAGTGCATACCATTCTCGGCGCACATATTTTCAAGGTGGAGTATGACTCGCACCAGCTACACCCACCGCGTTCTGGTTCAACGGTTAAATTTTGTATAAGTACAACCTAGTAATTAAGCAGGCTGTGGGCGATATCAAAAACAGATTACAGACAAAAATTACGCAGCAGAACACCATCCCTTATTTACACGGCTCACAACTTTGCTCTCGGTAAGGGAATTTCATCCATGATAGCATGCGGAAGCTCGTATGGAATCCAGTGACCAATACCAGGGAGAACTCTGGATTTTAATCCCTCCACTGCACGAGCGACGTCTTCTATGATGTTGCTGAACTTCGGATCTGATATCAGCACGGTGACCTTGACGTTAGGGGGAATGTTTTTGGTCAGCCCACTGAAAGACCATGGCGTGTTTTGCTGTCCAAAATAAGGGCAATACCTGTCAGCAATGCTTGCCATTTCGACAACTGGAATAATACCCGGAACACCTCGATAGTCGCGCGATCGCACATGGTCATTCCCAGCACTCTTGATATGCAGTCACGTCGTGACCAAGCAGGATTTTCAGCCATATGCTCTTCGACAGTTTTGTTAATCGCCATCTCATCCATCACAAATTGTTTCATCACTTTGGCTTTCTCCTCTGTAAGCTCGAGGGCAGGATCGAGGAGTATGAGAGTGGTTTCTTTTGTCTTGGGCAAGAATGGCAAGAGCGATAAGGCCACTGGGCCTCCAAGAGAATGACCGATGATGACGTCGTAGAACGTGCCCATGACGAAATATGGTTTAAGGTCCTCTGCAAGGGTGGACACACGATAGTCGGTGCCCTGTCTCCATGCATGCCCAAGGAGATTCGGAGCAACGACAAAAAATCCTGATCAATCCGTTAAGAATGGTCCTCGCCATAGTATAAAAAACCTGACCATCTGCTACCAACAGCTCAGCGATGCCCTCCCATGAATGCGAGGACATGGTCATGCCATGAATGAGAAGAGCCCGCCTGGAAGCGGTAGGCGAGCCCCACTGTGATGCTGAAATGGTCATGTGTACACTCAGATGGCTCGGGTATGTTTAAAACTTGGCAGCGGAGAAGATCGAAGAGTTTCAACGCTGCATTTACTCTGCACTTAAAAGGCCCAGAAAGGGCACGGTGGAGGGGAAAACACATTAGCAAAGCAGTGGAACAAACCAACGATGATGACGTGTCTTCCTACTAATGTGAGAGTAGCATATCAAGGCATATCGTTGAACTGGTGAGTTCACGCATGTAGTAAATCCGGCCCATCGGTGAGTTTCTAGTTTGTTATTTTGGGCGGAGAGAACTCACCTTGTGGGCGCGACTAGGTGAATGGCATTGTCCTTTGTGTGATGTGAATTGAGCAACATAGTCTGGGCCGTATCATTAAACGTGATGACTGGAGACGAAACCATCTCTTCTCAACTGCTTGGTTCAGATTTTTGCTCTGGGTAGTGGAATTTCATCCCTGATAGCATCCGGACGCTCGTATTGGATCCAGTGACCAATTCCGATAAAAACTTTGGCAATTAATCTTGCCACGTCCCAAGGGACGTGCTCCAAATGGCAAGCACCACCGAGCTCCGGATCTGACGCCAACACGGCGATCTCCACGTGAGGTGGGATGTTTTTGAACAGGCCACTGAAAGACCATGTCCTGTTATGCTGTTCACAGCAACGGCAAATTGTCAGCAATGCTTACCATTTGGACACGATAAATATTACCTTTATTATCCTCTGGACAACAGTACAATCACACATGGAATCCCAGCGCTTTCAACACGCTGTCACCTCGAGACCAAGCAGGATTCGCAGCCATGTACTGGTCGGCGGTTCTGCCATTCGCAACCCCCTCCAGAAACCGGTGTTTATATATCTCAGCTGTTTCTCTGTAGGCTCAAGGACAGGCAGGATCGAGACGGCGGTTTCTCTCGGTTTGGACAAGAACGGCAAGAGAGATAAGGTCACCGTGCCCCCAAGAGAATGACCTATAATCACGTCGTAGGATGTGCCCATGATGAAATATGGTCGGAGATCCTCTGCAAGGGTAGACACACGATAGTCAGTGCTCCGTCTTCATGCATGTCCAAGGAGAATTGGAGCAACGACGAAGAATCCTGATCAACCTGTAAAAATTAGACCTTACTAACCGAGTGGTTTGACTTGCAGCTCCAGATACAACACTATCTTGTTGGACAGTGGATGGATGTAGTCTCCCCTAAACAAACCATGCATAGCTAGACGAATGAATATAACCGTTCTCTGGTGTTCTGAAAAGAATTATTGTGTGACTCAATCGCAAAGTCAGCGGAAAAGTTGTTTGGATGAGAGTTAATGTTGACAATTGGAAAGAGTATCAACAAGAGTGAAGGAGCAGCACATAGAAAGTATAGCCTCTTAACGCTACATGCAGCCAATTAGAGAAATAGAAATTCAACAAGCTTTCGGTTGGATACAGCCTGAGAGCAAAAGCTGAGAGTTACGTAAATAGTACTAGCGTGACACTTTCAGTCGCAGAGCACCGTGACGATTGTGCACAACCTTCGCTTCAAGTTGCAGCTCGTCGAACAGAAGCCCAGATGGGCCACTTTTTCGCTTACTGTCTCCCGCTAGAAGACAAGTACTTGCCGCCTGCCATCATAGCTGGCCCCCATGTTATAGACCAGAATACGTTGACGATGGAGTGAGGTTGCTGTAAGCGTGCTCAGTTTTAGATGCAGACTACCTGTGACCAAAGACTAGACCAAAGACTAGCAGCAAGCAACCTTCTGCTGTGACTCATGGCACAAGTGATCATCATGGAGAACGTCCGCTCTCGTTGGCACTCGTTTGTCACAACATTAATCATTGGAACGAGCTACGAACTTCCCTTCTTCAGCCGCACATCAATGAAGTCTTATCTCTCTTGATTTTCCCTCCGTTTCCAGCCCTAAAGCTATGAAAGCAGACTCCCTCGCATTCGAGGAGCTGATCATATCCACGGACGGCTCAACGCGAATTATGTCGCCAGAGCAGTCAAAGTCTTGTACGCTCGGGTAGCATCTGGAACCCCTACAGTTCGGCTGGCCGTTGACAAGCTCACTAGAATGCACCGCCATTTACATAGAGGGTTTAATGGTGATATTTGTGCGTCATAGGTAATAACATCTATGTTCTAAGCAATGCAGAGCGATAGTCATCTACGAAACCTACAGGGTATAAATACTATCGGCACACGGTTTAACGTTAACTCTGCTCAAAGTTCGTAATTTACATATAAAGGGAGATCAAGAAATACCAAGAAAATGAAAGAGGGAGAAAACGCCTACGGGACATCTAAGAAAAGTTCTGTCCCGTTGGTCTTTCCGTCGTACTGCCCTTTATTTGACGGACCGGGCGTCCGCAAGGGGGCGGATGGACGGAGAGCACACGCCACGGCGGGTGATCTTTCCTGTGATATGCAGTGTTATTCGGCATGCTTCTAGCTTGTGTTCAGGTAGGTATTGATCGCGTTGGTAATGCAGTTGGTAAAAATCAATGGTTCGGTGACACTTCACCGCCACGAGCCCACGACGTACAGAGACATCGTTTGTGACTGAAAAAAGAACGTCAAAAACGGGACACGCGCGATCAAATGTGACCTACCCTTGACGCTATGCTCCGTCGACTTGAGGCGCGTGGTCTTCAAGTTGCCTTGCTGACTCGGAGCTGGACGACAAAATTGCAAGTCATCCCGAGTAGAATCAGAATTTGGCGAGAGGTCGGAAACCTCTTGCCAACCACAGCTCATCGGCCGGGATCGACAGGTTGGAATTGTTGTAATATGTTTAGGTGTTAAATCGAACCCTGTGGAGTAACCTGAGCCTGACGGAATGATTGCAAGCATAGCACAAAGGACTAACGTAGGGCATACGGGTTGCCTTGCCATCGCAGAGCTGGGCTACAACTATCCCCAATAGCCATCGGCACACCATGATGGCATCTGAGATGATTATGCAAATCAATAGTCGTGAATGAGAATGGAAGACCAGCTGGTCGATGAAACAGTTCAGTCATCCTGCTCCATAAACCCTGCTCCATAAACTGCAGGCCCGCAGTGTGCTGCAATGAATATATTGAGCACACTATTATGAAGTCAAGTTTTTGATCCTTACCTAGAAGACAACGAAAATTCGGCAGTGTGGAGACGCAACAGTGTCCCCCAGCTTATAACACCTGCTGCAGCTAGCTGTGCAGATACTAAACCCAGATCAATATCTGGAATCTCAGTAACAGTAAGTTACCGTACGTGTGGAGCTGTGCACTGCTGTGCGAGTGACAATCCCCTGTTACTCTTCCGAACCTTCTCTTTGGAAATTGGGTCATCTTTGAGGCCTGAGTATAATGCCAATGGACGTCCATTAGAATCTTCTGTGAGGCGATTGCAGCGGCCTCGTCAAATTTGCCGTTCAAGCACTTTTGCATCCAGACTTGATTCTGATTCTGATTCTGATTTATTCTGATTTTGGAATTTGAAGCTTGAGTGCGGCGCCTCAGAATGCAGCTGAGCGGTGAGCGACAGAAGCCTCAGTGGTTCGACTGATTACATTGAACCCGACATTCTGATCACGAAGAGTTTCTGGAGATCTGTCCTGCGAGGCATCCGAGTCGTTGTACAAATTTCTCCTGGCCAAAGGTTGTTGCAAACTTTGTGTGCGGCCACTGCGGTGCCCCGCCGTGGACTTGAATAGTTGTACATCAATCCGTTCCGACTCTTCACTGGGCCGGTGAGGCTATTCTGAATCCTTTGAAGCCGTTAATTCGGTCAGTTTGTCAGCTTCATTTCGTTTCGTTTCGTTTCTTACTTGATCACCATCATCACCATATACTGTCCGGTACTTTTGGGCTTCGGCGCCTTATGGCACTTCCGCTCGACAATCCTTCGGTGTAATCAAAGTGGATTACAGCACACATTGGCCGACAGTCACCTACTAGTAAGCATTCTCGTCGGTACTTACATCGTCGGACCTCGATAGCGAATATAATTTCACTGTACTGCCTTCTTGCAGGGTGAATTTCGATTGGCAGCTACCGCTGGCACCAGCTGCCATCACGACCAGGAAGTCCGTTGGAATCTTCTGTGAGCGAGCTGCGGCGAACAGTACTTACCAGATTTTGAAATGGTCGGATCAGATCGGTAGGAGTTACATCATCTCCTGGATTAGTGACCAGAAGTTGGAACTTGAAGCTTGAATACAGCATGCATATGGACATCTCCGAATCCAGCCGCAGCGTTGTACAACATTCTCTTGGCCAAAGGCTGCTGAGGAACCTGCAAGGGGTGCACCCCTGCAAATGGTATGCTTAAACAATTGTATTTGTGATTTTCTCATATGTACAGTGTTATTAGTAGCGACATCGATCTAGATACTGAGCTTCGCAGAGCGACATCCTCTTTACGAAGATATCATTAAGTTAGATTATTTGACGAAATTTACACTTGGCAGGTAAAAACCGTAAATGGGAATCTGTCGCGCCCGCCCTTCGGACTAAGTGTATACTATTCACAGACGCATCTATGAGCTGTCTTCAGAGTCCAGACGAAAAGAGACAAATAGATAGAGAAATGAAACTTATGCGATAGACTATGAAAAGTTCTGCCCTGTTGGTTTTTCCGCTGTACTGCCCTTTATTGGACGAGTCGGGCGTCCGCAAGGTTGTGGACGTACGGAGAGGACATGCGGCGGCGGCGTTTTGCTGCAACATATGGTGATTGACATCTTTCTAGCTTGTGTGCGGGTCGGCGGTGTCTGCGGTTTAGGCGGTATTCAATTTGATAACTCTCCACTCTCAGATCGATGGGGTTATTCTGTGAAAAGGACGTCAAAAACGGCAAGCAGGCGTGATTGAATGTGACACACTCTCACTACTATTTCACATTGTATCGGCTCGGGGCGCGGCGCGGTCTTTAACGACCACCCTCCTGGCCGACTCGTGGCTGGACTGTGACGTTGCGAGTCGTCCACGCAGCACGGAGTTCGGCACTGAGAGGGACCTGGTGAGAGGCCCGACATCTTTTGCCAGTTGAGGAACCTTGTGAAAATTGGTGGGGAAAAAGGGACTGCCTGGATGTCTCTTGTCCAACTCATCATGGGCATAAACACCCCCAGACATGGAACTTGAGACAACAACTGAATGTCAACCGCCTCATCCGTAACGCAGAACAACCATCGAGTTCCTGAAAAAAGCCATCTACAGAGCCTTCCATGAACTGTAGTATAATATGATTCGACGACTGCGCGGCCGCATGAGCATGACGGAATGATTAGGCATAGGAAAATGACGTACGTTCGAGTACTAGACTATCTATTACACGGAGAGACAGGCTAATGCAGATTGCCATCCACATCATGAACGACGCGGTCCGTAGACGGGCAGTTGCAGCCAATCCAAGATGGCTGTGAGTGGTCGTGTGTCGATATACATCCAGAATCTTGAAAGAGTATACCTCGCTGATGACGAAAAGTTGTACCATGATCGGGCAAAATATCAGCACAAGCTTGTCAATCGGTATCATCCTGCTCTATATGCAGGACCACAACGTGCTGCAATGAATGCTCTCGTGAGTGCATGATACATGAAGTCAAGGATTGGTGCTTACTGTGGGTAGAACACGACCGAGATCCAGCGCTGTATGGAAATGCAACAATGGCTACCGCGAGCGGTTTTATATCTGAGACTGACAAACTGTGGCTGGACAAGCGAACCTGATCATGAGGTCCAAAATCAGTTAACAAATTGATTCCGCATCATTAATTGTGGATCTATGCAGCCCTTGTTCGTATCACAGCAAGTACTCTTCTTGTGCCGTCATATTGTGAGGCTCGAGTCGCGAGGTACACATGCGCAGTCGATATTTTTCCATAGGGTCGTCCTGGGACGGGACGATAGGCTGACATTCAGTTGGGCGGTGACTTGGCAAGATCTAGCTCGCAGAAGGCCAGGCCCGTCACAGCCCACGCGGCCCTCCACTCAGTCTCTGACAGTCTCTATATCGGCCGTACTTACCGTCTCCGCCTGCGTAATGATTGGGAAACGTGTCCTCGCAGCAACATGCCCTAAAAGTCTGATAGGCTGTGCAAGTCCCTCAGGCCTCAAGTCTATCAAAGATCAAGCCATGATTTGGTTGGAATTGGGAAATTATTGGTACCTACTGTAATACTTCAAGGGCTGCGACCCGACACTCGGCAGCAGTTCTTTGTTGTTTGGTGTATCTCGCTAATAGCCATAAGTATGCACCGGCCGGCCAAGATCTGTACACATGGAACTTCGGAAGAAACTCTCGTATAATTTCGTTATTGGCATCCATTTGCTCTCCGAGGCTGTACGACCCTGTACTCTCTATTACTTACTTCGAACTTCCGGTTGCAGCGGCATAATCTTGAACGTACCAATTCTGCCGCAATTTTGGCGCTTATACCACTGGCAAGCACTGCCGCTATGTATCAAGACTGCCACCAAACGTGAGATTAGATTGCCAAAACATAGATTTCGAAGCTTGAGATACACAGCATGGGCACCACGAAGATAACGATGCCAAGCGCTGAGGCCTGAGGGGCAGTGGTTTATACCCAGACCTGCCGGCGCCTTTAGGCATAACGACTCCCCGAGATTCTTTTCAATCTTGCAATGCATGTGTCCTTGCATCTTCCAACTGTCTACCAGCCAAGTGAACCTGTCCCGGTTAACGGATCCCACGTTAGCAATGTCATAATGTCTTCCGATCTACATCTTAAACTCTGTCCCATATCTGCTGAAGGAGTTCAACAAGAGAGATATGACAAAAAGAATATCATGTAAGTCGGTGTTGGAGATAGTAGACCATGTCTGACCACTGAAATGCAGCCCGAGAAACACCAAGGATTTCAATATCCCATTTATGACGACGGATCCTATCGAGTAACACATTTTCACATTGCCGCTGTAGTATCTCATGCGCATGTTTTAGGAGACCACTTCCTCTTGGATGGGAAGTTTTCATTCATCCTGAAGGCTGCCTCTACTACTGTTATGAAAGCGAGGCCGTCATTGACGAGTGTTCAAGGAAAATTCGCGTTGTAACTCAGGCGGATCTCGCTCATCATGGAGTTCCTGGGCTGATTGAAAACCTTGCAAAGCTCGCCTATAGTCATGCTTATCATTATCCTTCTTTCCCGGTGGACGTGGACCTCGTATTGGAACTTAAGGATGTGAGAGGAACTATTGTGGGAGGGTACTACTTCGTGCACCACAAGAACAAGTGCCTGTTCTGGTTGCAGGACTTCGATGCCACCGTCATCTTGCGGGAATGCGGTGGGGTCACTGAACTTTCTCATCAGCGTCAGTTGTTGTAAACTCGCGCTCTACCGTGTCTGATGAACACATGCAGAAATCGAGCTGGAGGCTCAATACTGGTACGCACCACAGCAGCTTGTGAGTACATTCAAACGTGTACTTCACTGCCATAATGTATTGTGCTGATTACATCAGTCGAGGCATGGTGACTGCTCACGCAAGTAGGAAGCACATCGACCTGTTTCCGCACGCAACTGCTCTCCACTCTCAGGTCCGTCAGCAATTGCAGCAAATCATCCGTTTTGCGATAAGCGGTAAGCTCTTTACCGTTGTATCATCGGACGAAAGTTTCATTGTACATTTCAGATTGCATGACTTCGGAGGTGTCGGCGGTCTGCGCTTTCAGCATGGATGTCCTGAAGAACACTTTGGACCTAATCAAGGATGTGGATGGTAGGTCACACCGACTCCCGAGATTATGGAACTCATTGTATGTCAAGTGGAGAACGATTGCATCCAGTCGGCACATGACAAATGTTTCATCGGTGAGTAGTCATATTTCGTGCGCAGTAGATTGGCGCTCACGACTGTGTAATCCTTAGCGAGGATGATGAACCATTTTAGTGCGTGAACCTGATTCTCGTTGAGCATGTTTTCCAATCTCCTTCACAAGAACACTGCCAATACCTCAATTATCATGGGCAACGAGGCGCGCGGCTCTCTCGAGACCAGACTGTACACGGAGACACCTACGAGGAACGTTCCACGATGATGAGATGTCTTGCACTCTTGCTCTTCAATGCCCCTTATGAGCACGTCCGCTCTCTTCACAAACTCTACGTCGACTCCATCGTCAATCACCTCGACTGGCGCACCTTTGTTCAGAAGCTGAACGCCGAGATGCAGGACTTCAATCTGCTGGTAAGCTTCCCTCTTGTCAATGCGGATCATTCTGACACACCGATAATCAGGCGACAGTGCTCTTGAATGTCAATGTTGGGTTTTTGGCGATCCAGAGCGTAGATAATGGTGGCGGACATTCCTTGTCGCAAGTTGCGAGCTACGTGTCTGTGATATCAAGCTTTGGGAGTATGCTGCTTGGCGTGAACCTTGCTCGACAAAGCTACACGCAAGGTCCAGACATGGTTGATAACGCGGTGCGTCTTCCGAGCGAGTCACTTCAGTTGCCGTCTTCAATAACGAATCCATTCAGCAAGCACACCTGCAGCACTTAATGCACCCAAAGCACGGCCTCGAGACACTTGCAATCATATACAGCTTGCCGTACGCATTGCTTATGTGGGGGTACGTTCGACCACCCTCTTCAAATTCCACTTACTCACTATAGCTAGTATGATCTTTTTCGTTCTCGCATTCTTTACTGAGTGTTTTCATCACTCGAGTGCGGTACCCTCAGTCCCTATCAGCGTGGCGGCACTCATCGTGTTGGTGCTTATTGGGTGGTCATGTCACACCTTGGGAGATTCAACTCTAAGCGCAGAATGTGTGCACGTGTCTGAAAGCGTTCTTACGGCAGCGAGGTGGATCAGATCGATCAAGGATCTACCCAGATGGATTTCGGCGGCGGTGCGCTCTGTTTCAGCCCATGCACGAGAACTTGATTGTCTGCACCTTGCACCCGCATAGCTTTCCATGTTACTTATGGTTGGTTGTCATTCAATATTTAATGGGCAGACTATATATTACTATCTTGGACGCACATGATATCCAACTCATGCTACCTAGTCTTGCATATACGCGGTCTAGCTGTCTCATACGAAGCTTACTCTGAAATCTCAATCACTTCGAAAAGCTGATGCATTCTATTCTAAACAACTCTGCTTTGGACTTCATTTCCTTCTCAGCTTGATCCACCGTCTGATAACTTGAGACTCGGTTCGAACAAACAAAGACATCGCGGACAATGACGGCGCCAATATTGTGGTCTGTGACTGATCAAAGGTGTGTGATTATAAAGAGTAGTGTGGTCAGGCTTTAGCCAATCAACTTGGTTCATCGTTCATCGTCATTAGCATTTGACTAGCCTACATCGACATGGCCAATCCACTTGAAGTGCCGCCGTACCTCCTCCAACCGCTCATCCCTAGCATTACTGCAGGGACTGTCACTTGTGCGCAGGCCTTTGGTGCGTGAACCACCACAGACGACCATTTTCCTCCTTGGTCTCCCAATCATTAATCAAGATTCAAGAACCAGTGCTAACGCCGAGTGCAGGGTCCGAGATATACGTTGGCTGCTCGAATGGTGAGCTCCTACGTTATGCCCTCCATCCAGACGCGGATCCCACCAAGGTCAGTACCAACGTCTGCAACATCCTTCTCATGTGATCATTTTTCTATATACCACTTTCACTTTGCCTTCGGCTTATCTCCTTTTCCTCTCCTCTTTCCCTATTAAAGTCTGCAACACTACGCTAACCTAGCCCAGCTAGACGCTTACGCTCTGCTCTCGCAACAGAGCCACCCTTCGGGCAAGCAGATCGACGAGCTTATCCTCGTACCTTGCATTGCGAGGGCGCTAATATTATGTGGTGCGTGATCCTCATATTTGTGAGTGCTTGATTTAGGGTGTGCAGCTTACTGTGTTGTGAAAATTGATGCTGTTTGCACTACACCATACTTTCCCTTGACTCATCTGCATATTCAATCGCCGAGCATACACTAATGTACATCCACAGATCGCCAATTCCACATATACACCCTCCCTTCACTTGATCTTGTCCCGAACATTAAACCCATCCGCAATGTTGAGGCTCTCGCGGTCGACCATAATCACCTTCAGCGCCCTGCCGCGACATCCCTTACCACCAGAGCCACTTCTACATCAACAAATTTTCCTGCTGAGCGAGGGAAAAATGATCCCGTTGACCTCTGCGTGATAAAGCGTAGTACTATCGCAATGTATACCTTGGGTGATGAGAAGTTGACGTATACGAGGGTTAGTTGCTTCCAGTATTCTTTTTATACTCCCATCTGTTCTTGCTCAGCTGATGTCCAAATATTCTTCCGTAGGAAATCCCCTTCCGATCAGGAGCTCTCCGTGCTCAGCGTTCAGGGCACCACCTGTGCATTGCAACTGCAGACATGTACAGTGTAATCGATCTTGCGACCGCGCATATGTTTGAGCTGCTTCCGGTGACACAGGCCGAGGGCACATCGGGGTAAGCGGATTAGTACATAACCTGTTGTTTCCTTACTGACTCTCACTGGCCCTGACCGTGCACTCTCGGTTAAAAAGTGCGATCAAACCACATATCCTGGTCATATCTCCATCTGAGTTCCTTTTACTGAGCTGGACGGGCGGGAGTACACTTGGCCTGTTCATTACGGGTGAGGGTGATCCCGTGCGCGGGACGCTTGAGTGGCCAGCGCATCCAGTGTCTGTGTGTAAGTGACATCTCTTACGTGGACTTCTTTCACCTTGCTGCTTCGGTTTTTCTGATTCTCCACCACTTGTTGGCTTTCTCAGTGGCATATAAGTCACGCTCATTTCATTCATCAGTTTGTGGTTTGCGTCTCCGAAGTTATAAAGACTAATTGCTACGAATGAATCTGCCTAGGCCTCGATTATCCCTACCTAACAACACTCCTGCCAAACGGCACAATCGAAGTGCACAGCGTTGAAACGCAGGCGATTAGCCAAGTCATTCCTGCGCCTGATTTTGGCGAAGGAGAGAAACCGGGCTTGGTCTCATGCCTCGCTGGTTATGCGGCGCCCTCCTCCGAGCGTTGGGACAAGATGAGGAAGGTGAAAGTTAGCTTGGTACGCAGTGGGAAAGTGGGGCTGAAGGTGGACGATGAGAAGGTTCATGAAGGCCAGGACGAGAAAATGAAGGAAGTGGAGAAAGAGAAAGATGTGGATGTCCCGAGTGTGTCTATATGACCGACCTGATTAGTACACGTGCTCTTGACTATCATTCCGTTTCTCACACTTTGGGCCCCAGCTTAGTTGACCTATCTCATATGAGATGATCTTGGGCAGAACAAGACATTTAAGTACAGTGCATGGTGTCCTGCAAGGCGCAGATAGAGCAAGACATGGCTGAACTGATTATTGTGACCAACATCTCGGGGCGCCAACATTCTGGTGCAGTCAGTGGTGAATCGTGATGGATTCCACGACGAAGGCAAGCAGAAATTGGAAAGTCCTGGTGATCGGAAAAGAGTTGATGTCATCCAAGTTGTCAAACTATTGGTCGTTATGTACCTTGTGCTCTCGGAATCCAAGTGATTATCCGTACGCGAACCCATCCTCTGCAAGGATTGAAACAAGATCAATATGATTAGGGCGAACGTAAGGCACAGTAAGTATTGAAAGCAGAATGAATGATTTACCATGGATCCAGAACGCGCCGGTCATGTGACCGAATCATCCACAGACATCAATTCACGTGACCACATCACGTCCTCTGTGTATGTTTGTTTACACACAGCGCGACGCGTTACTGTGAATGACATCGCACCCTCCTTCCTAACTGCTAACATCGCGCAACCGAAGGCTATTGTCACATCTGCTATTCTCCGCCATCCTTGCAAGTCTATTGCTATTCTCGTATCCTAATTACTGGTAATGCCGCATTTCACTGGCGTGCGTGAAGCCCCGGATTCTCTAGCGGACGCCATACACGAACCATACGCAGATATTTCCCTATCTTCTGAAGAGCCAGACATTTTGATCTCTCCACCACGCTCTCCTAGCAGACTTGATTTCTTTCATGAAGAAGGCGGCGCTCTGGGTTACTCTGAATCAGACGACGCAGATGCAGAACTACCGATTTCAAGGGTCAAGTGGGCACGTGGCCTCTTCCGTGGCAGCCCAGCACGCGCGAAGTTCACGGAGGATGATGACGATGCGCCTCTCATCTATCTACCAATCATTCACCTCCACACGATTGACCACGGCACCGATTCCCAGACAGGCCTCAAAGACGAGCCCCCATGCGTCACATCCCCACCTCCACTTCAGACAGTCACCGTGGAGCCTTTTTCACCGGAGCCTGTGCGCCATGCTACGCTTCCACAAGCACCAAAGGTGCAAGGTCCGACTCTTGTATCACGTATACACACGCAGCGTCTGAACTACCCTCACCGCGGATTTTCACGGAGTGCTTTGTTGCATCAAAAGTCTTTCTGGACAGCACGCCATGACGAATGGTTGGAATGGCAGGCCGAAGAAGTGAAACGGCGGGCAGACCACGATATATGCGCACAAGACCTCGGAAACGCGTACACTGGCATGACGCCCGCAGACACTCATAACTCGGATGTCTCTGGGCCTCCATCGCACATCCACGTGCCTCCATCTGGCTTGGAGCGTGACTATGAGCGGTATCCATCAAAAGACTTTTCCCAGGACCTGAATGCGCCGATTTACCCTCGTGTGGGCGATATCTCCGCGCTCCGAGATCCGTACTCTGCCAATGTCGACCGGTGTTTCTTCAGGTTTCCGCTGTGGACTATTCACAAGACGCTCTATGTGTTCGACATGCATCAAAGGGCTGTCCCTATTTCCGAACAAATGAAAGGTTCTGCGTCCTCAGGAAGTTTGGAGTCGTCGACTGGTTCAACGACATGCGGTGACGAGGATGTAACCCTTGTTGCTGATGATGAACCATTTCTCGAGAAAAAAGCGCTTGACAACGGGTCCCATCAAGGATGTCTACCGCCTGAAACTCCCGCAAGTTCTCCTGCGTTTACATGGGAGGCTATTCGCGCCTGGGAGCTGGGCTGGTACGCTCGCTGGGAGCTACTCATTGGTCTTGTACAGCGCGACCAAGCCCTCCGGCAGACAGCGCCGCTTTCACCGTCGACAACTCCTTCCGGATCTGCAGATGATGATGTTTCGCCGCCAAAAGAACTCCTGGAACCGTTCACCCTGGAAGCTCCCTCACCAATTTTCCACTTTGCTGGCGAAGATGGAGAGGGGGATAGTGGAGACGAAGAAGACGATTATGGCACCTTGGTTGCGAACCCGATTTACAACGTCGACGAGACGTTCAAGGAGGGGTATGCCCGTGCGGTAAACTTTTTCACCAAAGATCGAGAGTTGGAAAGAAAGCGTCGCTTGCGAACAGTGTCTGGGTAGAAAGTCAAGGATGGTCGTCCGCGTCGAAGTCAACGCGGATGGAAACATTTCACTTTATATACAGTTCCCTAGTTTTGTCGTCGTGAGTCATGCTATATACCCTGGTATCTTGATGAGTCCCTAGTAGGACAACCTGAATGATACATTTATGCAAAAGGCGTCTCAGTGATAGCCATTGATGATGCGTTCTGCCAGTAGTGCTTCCGTCCTACTACGGAGCAAGGTTACCAGACACCGTTTTGTACGAAACTCCTCAAAGCTCACATCCTTGCCAATGTAAGCTTGAGGTAACGTTAAACTATTTCTGCAGTGTCATGAAAGTCTTTGTTAAATACACACTACCGTAGGACTCTTTGGGCATTGGACATATGGGCTCACACCTAAGGATGATGCTAACTTGAGACCTTTATTAACTACTAATACTCGGACCTATCGTTAACTGCGCAGCGCACATGAAAAGAAAGAGTGAGTTAGCATTAATCAATCAAGGTATTGTCAAAGTGATGACAATGGATGAATCTGCACGCTGTGGACTGACTGATACCAAGGTGAAGGAAGCATGCAGTTCGTGTGTTCATTCATTCAAATGAGTATTAACTTGAAGGGTGTGATGGATTATCATTAATCCTGGGGTATCCTTGATTTGATCACGAGCGATGAAGTTGGTCGACTCGGACGGGTATATGTGTTCCTATGTATTACTTCCTCCAACTCTGTTCCTCTCCCTCTGATTCAGAAGAGTTTGGATAAGACCGCGAGGGAAACTGAGGGCGTCTCGTGCGCCATTCGTGTGATTTGTGCTGCCTGTGGCTCTGCACGATCTCTGGTGCCACAGCTCGCAAGGCGATCAATTCCTCATGGGATAACTTTGACAGAGGGGATGATTCGAGCAGTAGCAAGTCTGCAGGCGTGTAGATAGGCACTGTATGACGCGATAAACATTAAGTATTTGCAACTCAAGAGACAAAAGCTAGGGGTGATACTCACGACCATCATGAGGCAACGAAGTCGCCGATGAGCTGGGTAACCCTGTTGAAGATGCCCGTAGGTGCACGGGGATGTAGAGTCCGGAAGATGACGACATCACTGATGTGGTGAAGGAGGTGGGTTACTAGAGAAGACTTGGTAGTTGAAGATGCGGGGGATGATGTTGATCATGTCCTGGCTTAAATGGGGTCTTATATACACACACAGGAGTATCCTGCGGACCTGCACATGCATGGGCCCCTCGGCAGATGGTTATTGTGAGGTTGTCGTGGCGTGAAGCGGCAGTGGCGACTACAGTGGGCCACTTCGAGTTGGACCGCCGGGTCAGAGATTTGTGACGGTCAAATCGGAGGTCTGGAACGTTGTGGAAGGTCATACAAATTGCGAGAAACATACTTGAATTGCTTCAAATGGTCTCAGCGCTCCGAGCCCACTGGTCAGCGCTTCAGTGACCATAGACGTGTTCCTGTGATCTGATTCCGGCATTGCTTCAGCCTGAGGCAATCAACTTGGACCCTCGAATGGTCGAGAGGCTCCACCCGTATTTGTAAATCACAGGATCTCCATTAGAAATACCGACAGCTCAGGATGTCAGTACTTCAGTGGCCAGGCAGCTTGACATGTGGAGATTAATCTTGCTGTGGCATAAAGGCAACACGTTGGCTTGCCACAGCCAGCCACCTGTTTCATGAAACGCTGTTGGCGTGGGTGTCACGTGCACTGAGTCACCGATGTAAAATTTCTCACACCCGCCCGCAGGAAGGAACGATTGTCCTTGACCCCCTTAAGTAGCAGACCTTATAGGACTCAAGAGTCAAGACACTTATTCCTTCCTGATAGTTATAATATCGATAGCAAATTCCTGATCAGATGAGTCCAGAATATCGGCGGAATTTTTCGTCAGCCTTGCTTTGGCGTCACTTCGATGGAACATGGGCCTCGCTTGAATACATACCTGTGATTTCGTATGTCCTGAATTGCGAGTGGGTGTATACGCGGCATTCTTGTTCGCTTCATGGATAATTTAATACAACTTTGACTTGTTACAATCACCAGTCAATCTTCTTGGGAGTGCTGCCCACACATCCGAAGCCCAACCCGATCTGGTTGGCAACCTTGATCGCGACGCCAAGGTCTGACGCAAATCTGCCAATAAATCGTAAGATCAGGCATCAACTTATCTCGCGAGGAATATACACTCACGACCAAACAGTCCCGGGGTTCTTTTGGAACAGCCGCCCAACCAGAACGACATCGGCTTGACCTTTGTCGAGGACCTCTTGGGCGATCTTGCCATCGGTGATTGCGCCAACAGCACCGACAACAAGCTTATCCCCAACAGCTTCTTTGACTGCCTGCGCAAACGGCGCTTGGTATGCTGGGCCGACTTTGATGATGGCTTTTGTGTGGCTAGCACCGCTGGAGACATCGAGGAAGTCAACGCCATGATCGACCAGAATGGCAGCAAGTTTGACGGTATCTTCGACACGCCAGGATGGTTCGTTGGGGAACACTTCTTCGAGCCATTCAGTCGCAGAAACCCTACGAAGGCATCAGGGTCAAGCAAGAACATCTTATAGACTCGAAAATACCTCAGGAAGAGTGGCATGTCTTCAGGGATGACTTCACGGACAGCATCCACGACCTCGAGAGTTAAACGAATGCGATTCTCGAAGCTTCCGCCATATTCGTCTGTGCGCCTGTTGCTGATAGGGCTCAAGAAAGAGAACAGCAGATAACCGTGTGCGTTGTGAATTTCAATGACGTCAATGCCAGCTTTCAATGCTCTCCTCGCAGCATCCACAAATGCGACAACGACCGCTTTGATCTGCGCCTTCGATAGCTCCTTAGGTACCGGGAAGTCGTCAGCGAAAGGAACCGTGGAAGGCCCCCACACATTGTCTGGCCATCCACCTGTGCTCTCAGTTGCTGCAAGACCAACATGTAACCACGACGAAACGGTAGACGCTTTCCGGCCGGCGTGGGCAAGCTGAATGCTAATTTTTTGGTTTTGCGAATGGGCAAACTCAACTATCTTGCGGAGGGGCTCGATTTGGCTGTCTTTCCAGAGTCCTGCATCTTCAGGAGATATGCGACCCTCTGGGAGGACCGCGGTGGCTTCAATTATAGAAAGACCAGGACCCCGCGTAAAGATGCCGCCCACTGAATACCGTGAGTACTCTTATAATGGTCGAGATTCATAAACTTACGGTGCGCCATGTGCCAGGACGTGAGATGACCGTCGTCTGCAGAATATTGACACAGTGGAGCTAACTGCATGAAATTGGGATGCGACGTCAGGAGAGCTCATCATCACGTTGACGATCAATATGACGACTCACGAAGATGCGGTTGTGGAATGTTGTTCCTCTAATCTTGATGGGCTGGAACAATTTTGGTATAGGTGTTCCATCAGGCTGGGGGTCGAATGCTGTGCCTGCAGCAGGGACCTGCGCAGGGGTGAAGTATGGGATGGCGGGTGCGGGCCTGTTTACTGTAGGTTCCATATCGATGGGCTAAATAATACAGTGTGCACAAAGCGCCTTGCATATTATATACACCAACTGGTGTCCAGCCGACGAGTTTTGTCTCAGGCTAATGTTGATAATTCAGGCTCCTTAATGAGATGTGATAGCATTGTGATAGCAAGAAGTTTGCTGGCGATAGCGAAAATGTTCGGAGCAACTTGCATATAAACAGATGATGACGTGTGGCTACGACTACAAACAAACTACCTGTACTTGCCACGTAAACTCAGGAAATCAAACTAGGATTGAACACTGCATACCAGATACACCAAGTACTCCCCATCCAGCGACTACGTTCCTTTGGACCAGTTCAGAGGCAAGCAGAGGCCATGGTCGCCGGGGAGACGGCACTCCACAAAGGAGTTCAAGAAGCAAAAAATTTGTAAGAACCAGCCCAAGAGTAGTCTGAATCGAGTTTCGCGATCCACGAAGGATACGCGAGCCACGAAGTGAACTCAAGGACAAGCCAGTACCATCGCGTATATCCCTCATACGCAAGGAGAGCTACAACATGGTAGTGTCGCCTCCAGCCGTAAGCGGTTATTCATGAAGCTCAGCGGCTAGGCTGGCAACGGGCAAGCGGAAGCTCGCCGGAAGAGGTAGGCACCATGGCAGGATACCTAGACTGCAGTCTGCATGTGCACCAACTTGGGAATACATCCCAAGGGCACGAAAGCACATATAGCGGATTAGATGGGAAGAATGTACCGCGGCAAGAGCTCGGAGACTGAGGGTCTCCTCAGGAGATTAGACCTCTCGATGTCCCTGAGCGCCATATTAGCAAGGCGCACGCGCGATAGGACTGCTACACGATGGATACAAGTTTGCCCGATTCCCGCAACGCTTTCAAAGCTTTCATTCTCGCCCTCCTCTGCTGCAACAGGATCTTGGGGATATGAAAATGAAGCTGCTTTTCTGGTACGTTGCGCAGCTGATTACAGCCGGGCTCTGCTAGAGCCGATCGAGGGGGATTGAAATACTCAGACCTTAGCCCGCTCAGAAATGTGGATGCACGAAGCAACCTGTACGTGATGAGCATTCGTGGCCTTCGAGCTGGTTCAGGAAAAGATTCGTTTTCCAAGTCCGCCTGGCTTATAACGTTGCAACACATTTATTTGAAACTCAGCGCCTAATGTACGACTGCATTTTGAAGAGTCAAAATTAATGAAGGTAGGTCCTGGTACAGGGGGGTACAAGTCACTTATCGCAGCAAGGGAGAACCTTTGGATACGGCTAGCTGGTGGGAAGCAACGTATGCTGGAATACTCAGTCCGTCCGATTATCGCACTTATTAAAGCCCGAGGTCGTACGTGGCCGCTCTTGGGACATCGCGGTTGTTGTATACCTTCGAAATCAAATATTTGGTAGACAACTTTGTGCACGAAGCATGCCAACACCGTGGTATTAACACATTGGATATGCTGTTCACCTTTACTATCGCAACATGCAGTCACATCGGGATGATCATAATCAATGAGGGTGCGTCACCTGGTGTAAATTGATGCAACCCTGACGGGTATCACGGTTTTGCATTGCTTTTGTGGATCGAAACAGTTGGTGACCAACCTTATCATACTTATGTCTTCGCATGCTTATGACATGTAGCCTACACAATTATCGAGGAAGAGCGCGCAACCAGTAGGCAATGCGAGGGCTTCTGGATGAGACAAGGGGTGCATTTTTACGCCTCAGGTTGTTTTAGCGAGATCACAATAGCGGTTAGTATATCTAGCACGAACGCCATCATTCATCATACTTGCATCTGATCACTCACTGATACCAATCCCTTCAGCATGACGCTGGTCTCAAATGATCCCAGTTGGTGGCCGATATTAAATTGGTATCATAATTACAGCTATTTCTTAGGTTCGTGGAGAGCCAATGTCGATCTGCCTCAATCTTATTCTGTTTGTGGTTACACAGTTATATCCTCTACTGTGCTGGCATACGATTGGGGTGAGCAAAGTAGTATTTACAGACAGAATTATTGATGTCCCTATGGTATTCTTCAGCACTGTCATTCGGACAAGAGGTAGGAGGGTTTATATATTTGCCAGAGCAGTGCCAGACTCTCACTACCAATGATTTTATAGTTGGACCTAGTCTGGGTGCGCAAAGTCCCATATCAGAAGTACAGCATGATAACACAGTTGATTTGTGGCAGAGGCAACGCTGGTCCTTCATGACCGTTCTGTATCTCGGCGTAAGTGGCTAATATTATGGGTGCAGTTGACAAGTTTTACTCAACTTCAAAATATTTAGGTGCGCTACGTCGGGATACTATCCTCTGTGTATGTTTTCAAGGCTAACAGGTTGGCACTGTGCTGATAACTCGTCTCCCATGATCAGCATCAGCATGCTGTGTAAGTCCCCCCGCATACTCCTCACTTATTTCTGACCGGCGCCACGCAGTAAGTTTCCCGGGAGTCTCACTGACAGACCTGGTGAGCATTCTGCAACATTGCCTGTCATTCCCATCCAATTAATTGCACCATTCCGGAGGGGTGAGTGATATTATTGACTAGCTTGTTGGTTCAATATAACGACTAAAACAGCTGTAAGTTTTCTTGTAAAACTTATATGTGGTTCATCAATAATTGTGTCTCAGGCAATATCCTTTATGTCGCACAATTGTGGATGCCTTTCGTCGCGTTTGGCATGCTGGGTGGTGAGCTACTCAGCTGCGATGCATATTGACTTTGACTAACATGGTAGTAGTTATAATGACCGCTCGGCTATATGCCATGTATCAGCGATCCAGAAAAATTCGCATCTTTCTTGCTGTAATCTTTCTGGCTATCATGACTGCCTGTGGAGTTCTCGTGGTAATGATAAATAAACACGTTTCAGTGGGTAAGCTTTAATTCTGATGAAAGACTTGAGCGCATGAGGCTCACGGGACGAATACTAGAGGAATTTGTCCTCTCCGGCATCCATCAGTGTAATTATCACTTTGAGGGAGACCTGCAACTTCTGATGGTCAACTTTTGGATACTCACCATTGTTTGGGAGGTCCTCACCTTATGTCTTGCAGTTCGGATTGTTATCAAACACTTCCGGGAACTGCAACAACCATCAACAGGATGGACCGTCGAGGACGGTTTCACGGTGCTAGTAAAATCTCACGTGTTTTACTTTGCAGTGTGAGTTCGTAACGTGAATGTGATTCTCTTTTCCCCTGAACTTCTGCACGCGCTAGTTGTGTTGTTCTTTTTTGCTTACACCTCGGCTATCTCGTTCCAAATCTATCGGTACGCCGATCCGTGACTGGCATCTGTATCCAAGCACTCATCAATTATATAGCATTCGTTTTCCTCTGGATCGGAGATTTACAAGGGCATTCTTCAAGTCTCGCTCGCGCAGATATTTGTGCTGCGACCACGCCTCATTCTCAGTGTTCGGGGACACTACGCTGAGCGTATGGCTAACTCCAACCTAGAGACTGCCATGATTACGAGTTTTCCAGGAACGGATACACGTTTCAACTAATGGAGGCGTGTAGCACGGAAAAGGCTGCGATCTGTAGGGAACATGATCATGTGTTTCGAGTGTCATCGTGGAATCGGTTTGATCTTACGACATAGATTTGAAAGATAGAAATAACGCAGTTGCTTCATGCCTCCAGCAAATGCTTGTTGGTTTTTTCCTCGATGATAAAGTGCTATTTGTTGGCTTGCACGTCAAAGGAGGGACGCACGAATCATCGTCAACGATTAGATTGTGTGAAAGCATGGTCGATGAGGCGTCCGCGACCACTCACGAAACAATCCTCGAAGGACAAACGGGGTTCAAACTGTACATCACGAACATCGCGCCTTTATTCACGAACGCGGTACGAAAGTCCGCTTGAAGCTCGGGCGAGATCTTGGCCCAAAAGCATGTCGGGCTATGCCACATGGGCAGAGCCGTCTAGATACTGCCAGGGAGGTGAGACGTATTAAGGGCAAATATCGGGTTACTCGGCACACAGACGAACATAGACTGAATCAAATATTACGGCTAGCCAGGGCTAACAATGTCAGGCGAGTGGATCAACCATTCTCGCTAGTGCGAGGAACTCACCTGACGGATTGTGATCATCTATGAAATTAAAAATCAAGATATGCCGAGAATAGGGAAGCTAGCCAGCTTCCCTATATAAACGCAGCGTCTCTTTGAAACAGCGAGAGCGTGAGCATCGGCGGAGACTGGATCGGTTCCCTATTTCAAGTGAGGCAGCTACGCCTGCCGCGCTCAAAGAATACTCGGTGCATGTGAATACTGAGTCACTACGGACGTCCATCGATTCGGCCAATAATTCTCTGGGGCCGGGTCGCCGTTCCAACAAAATCTGACCCTCTGAGGCATAGTCGAAGGGCTGAAGATCTCGAAGACCAATGTGTAATGACCAGACCTAAACTGCTCACGAAGATGGAAATGACATCCTGCGCCGTGGCCCCTTTGTGTCGGCTAGAAGGGCAAATTTGCAAGTCCGCATGAAGTCTATGATAGAAGTCCGAATGCCGAACTTAGATCATGATAAGTTTCACAACGTGTGGCACTGGGAGCATCTGATTCGAACTATCGCACGTACAGGGTTTGATAGTAATCACGAATCAGGAACATTGAATAGAAAGCCTCCCATTGTCTGGGTGATATATGTATTCTTGGCCAATTATGTCCTGCGGAAGATAATAATGAGGAGGAAGAAGGCGAGCAGAACATCATGCGTAGGAAAATCAACGCGCTCGTTGTTATTGTCGTGCGGCAGATGACAAGGTTTGGATAGACGGTGGGAGCATGAAGTCGTGGGGCACCGAAGAGGATAATTTTTCATTCACCGAGGTAGGTCGGGACAATAGATTATTACCCGTTTATTTTGTAGCAATATTAAGTCCTGTCTGTTATTCGACGTCAAAGGTTAGGTAATACTGCATACCAGCAGCAATGGAAAAAAAAGGGAGGCAAACAACAGAGAAGAAAGAAAGCAGCGCAATGATATTTTGATAGTTACTGTTCAACTCCTTTTGGGATGAATATAAGGCGATACATTTGGAACCAAAAAGGCGATCAATGCGAGAAAGGGCTAGAAAGACTTACCTAGAGTAAATCTTAAGACAATAAAGGTAGAAACCGAGAAGTTATGATGGGGTTTAGATCACCGGCAGCCTACAGGCATAGGAATTGAGCAGTGTGGGAGGGTTGTACGTTTGTAGCGGAGTCCAGGATGTTTGGGTCGGAGAAAGAGAGAGAATCATGCGTGCGCTGTCAAACTCAACCTTGATTGATAATTATGGCCCACGAATTCGCAGTTATCGCTCTTTTCATTCGAAGGTCTGCTCATCGTAGAGCTCGACATCATGAAGTTTGGACGATGAAGGGAAAAGGCGCGCGGCATCACTTAAAGTCACGTTTTCGACTTTTATTCAAGTCCCACGTTGCAATTTCTCCCAGTTGCGCCTTCACTCAGTCTCCATCATTTCCTACTCAAAAGCTTTTCCTCGTCAACCTTCTTCAAAACCCTTTAAGATATCCAATTTGCTATCAAACAATATCCTCAGATCGAATAATTTAAAGCACCGGAGCGGAGGAGACGAGTTCTGAGCGGCGACGATCGGAAAACTAAGCAATTTCGAGCGGAGAGTGAGCAACCACTTCATTCCTTTTCCTTCCATCTGTTATGTTTCCTCTACTGGAGCCTATTCGTCTCCTTCCCACTCGATTAATCGCTCAACATGGTTTCCGTTCTGCAGGTCCGTGCCTATACGCCCACCCATAGAGAACAAATTTCTGTGAGGAGCGCTGGGCAAATTTCTTGTCCCCAATGGCGAGCGATCAAGCTAAGAATGCTGGTGCTGTGGCCCAGGATCATCACATGCCACCATATCAAGCATACGGAGCTTACTCGCCACCTTTCCCAGTCTACTATGATCCGAGTCATCCTGAACCAAATGGTGCGCCACACCCAGCACCCCCGTATATCTACCATTATCCGCCTCCTGGGATGATGTACCCTTATCCTCCTCCTGGTAGGTTTAACTTCCCGGCGCGCTTCTCTGTTGTCCTCTCTTACGTTAGAGACTCATAGGATTTCCGCCTTACGCACCCCCTCCCCAAACCAACTTTCAGCGCGTGAAGCGTAAGCAGGTCAAGATGGCGGTATGTTGACGTACTTTTTACGCTCACTTTCTCTAAATTAATCAATATTATGTCAGTGTACTAACTGCGCGAATGCCTGCAAGCGTTGCGACGAGCAACGTCCATGTGAACGATGTGTCAAATATGGTATCCCAGAAACGTGTGTTGATGGTGTGCGTAAGGAGCGACAGAAAGGAATCAAGCGGGGACCCTACAAGCGTAAAAATAAGTCCGGCGGCAGCGACGAGGCTACATCACCTGCTCCTAATGCCACTTTCGAGAGTTCGTCATGATCCCATCAATCTTTGTCTGTTTTACTCATAAGCAGGATTAACAGCTTTCTCGTCCACCCCAAATGAAGCAAACGGAGATTCAGCTTGGCATCCGCCGAATGGGGTGGCACAAGGTTCTGCGAGCGCAACTCCTGCACCCCCGCCAATGCCATCCTTTCCACCACCACCACCAGAGGGGGGATATTATCCGCCTCCATATTTCTATCCTCCCCCTCCTGGTTTTGTGCCGCCTTCTGAGGGTCAGGCGCCCCCGGAAGGATCCCCAAATTCTGGCGCACCTCCTCCGATGGTGTCTTACTACATGCCTCCTCCTGGATACTATGGACCGCCGTATTACGGTCCTCCTGGCGTGCCGCCGCCCACCATGGATCCAGCTCAGGCCGAGCTTCAAAGGACATCTGGCCAGCCTACAGATCATGATCCTGACGTTGAGGAAATTCCGCCGCCTGCTCCAAAGACAAATTCGAAGAAGAGATCAAGAGCGGGAAAAGAGGGGCAGCCGAAAGCAAAGAAGGCTAAGGTTGCCGTCGTCCTGCAAGAGTCTTCAACTTCCAGTGGCACGACGGGAGGGAGCGACCAGGCTTCAGAACCTGGACATGGCAGCCCAGCTGAGAATGGTGATGCATGAACATCACTAGTTCTTCTCTTGCTGCACACTGGTCCCTGCTTTCGCGCTGCTATTGTTTTTTTGTCATCTCTGCTTTTTCGTTAATCAGTTTCAAATGCATGTTCGATGTGATTCTGTTTTGCCTCCTACGTACTTCTGAAACTTTCAGACACTCCGACGCTCTTTGACCACCAACAAGGTCTCGAGGAAAACAGAATGTGGGAGGGGGTGTAGATCGTGTGACGCGATCCTGTTTATGGTCAAAAAGCCGCCGGAGGCAAAGTATGCTGTCATTCTCGAACCCCTGTACGTTGAAGTCGTTATCCCTACAGCCATTTTGAACGCCTCTGTTGTACCGCCTTTTTTCTCTTTCTTTTTGCCTCTTGGATTTTCGGTTTCTGTTCGCTGTACGTCTATGACCTGTCTATCACCCTATGCTTTTACCTTCGTGCTTTCACTTATATATGATACGATTGAGGAGTATTTATTGTTGTAGGATAGGTTGAAGCAACATGGTGGTTCGTGGTTACCCAGATGAATTTGCAAGAACCACCGGCGTAATATTAATATAAGCAGGGGAAGGGGGTCGCAAATTTAAACTACCTTGCAAGCAATATTGTGCCCTCCACACCCAAAAAATTCAATGGTTCATCGCAACCTGACCGTCACGACAACGCACATTCGTCCACATGCGCCAACTGACGTTACTCGGCCCATTAGTCGGTGTGCGTATAGGCTGCAGAATAAGGCTCTCAGACGGCGAAGCGATACAACTTGAAGAACGGAAAAACTCATCAGGAGGCAAAAGAAAAAGTTTAAGCAAAAGGTTTCTGTCCGCAACTTATATAAGTCCGGCTGTGTCCGGGCGTTTGTTTATTTCAGAAGGCGTTGCCAAACAGTCGCTTAAATTTTGAGACCAAAACTCGAAAACCGGTTGTGTCTGTCTAAGCCTCCTCTTCACCATCTTCTGTACTTTGCTCTCCCTCACGCAACATGTCTGCTTTCCGTGCCCTCCGTCAGCTCACTGCATCTTCATCTCGGGCCGTTGCTCGTCCTGTGGCTCGCTCTGGTTCCCTGCGCCTTGCGACCGTGCAGCTTGCTCCTCGGGCTTCTATGACTGCTGCGAGAGCTTTCTCGGCATCTGCGCATCGTTTTTCGGAGGGTTCGAGTGAGCTTGGTCATATTTTAAATGAACCAGTACTGACACTTTTTTACTGCTGATAGCTGACGTCGTCCTCTCACAAAAACTTGCTGAGGAACTCAAGTATGAGAAAGAGGCTCTCGCTGACGCACCAGGAGAACCCGAGTTCTTGAAGACATTTAAGGAGCAGGGTATTTGGGAGGTGAGTGTCATGCAGACTAGATAGTGGTCTTGTTCCTCAGACTTCGCGCACAGATCCAGGACGTCACTGGTAACGATGAGGTCACTCTCGTGCGGAAATTCGGCAATGAGAAGTGGGTGAAGATTTATGCCGCCTGGCATGTACTAATATGTTTGCAGTATCCGTTTGATGTTCTCCATCGCCGACATTCAAAGTGCTGAAGAGGAGCCAGAATACGAGCAGGAAGAAGGTGAAGGTGGAGAGGATCAGCCTCTTCACTCGTACCCTATTCGTGCTTCATTCTCCATCACGAAGGTATGGGTCCACGTAAAACATCCTTGCGTTTGTACTCACAACTGTTTGTAGGGTAACGGCAAGGGGTCCATCAACATTGACACTATGTGCCAGGAGGGCGCGTTCATCATTGACAACATGTCCTACTACCCCGACGCACAGCTCGGCACCGAGCTTACTGCTGAGGCTGACTGGAAACGCAGGGGCTTGTACATTGGCCCTCAGTTTGATACCCTTGATGTTTCTGTCCAGGAGGAGATCGAGAAGTGGGTACAGGAGCGGGGTATCAATGAGAACCTTGCTACATTCGTTCCCGAATATTCGGAGTACAAAGAGCAAAAGGTTAGTGCTCGCTTGCCTGTCTATTTTTTGCAGGCCCTCATCGCTTTCCCTCATAGGAATATGTTAGGTGGTTGGACAACGTGAAGAACTTCGTGGATGCTTAGGCATGTAGTACTCGTTTGCACTGCCTTCATGACCACCCAAAAGCCATCCTTACCATCTGCATGACCTCGCACACATCTATCTCTACACGTACAAACATACATCTATTACATGTTGTGTCTCCCCCCTCAGTCCCTCACTAGCATCTAATGTCACTCAATGTTCACTGTTATTGCTTTTAAAAGTGGAGCTTGAGGGTAGTACCGACACGATTCGACCTTCAAAGAGATTAATCCACGCGTTGCTTTGCTCACTTACATACCAATTCCCTGACTGCTCTGTCACGTCTGACAAATACGGGAGTCGGCTATTTGGTCAATTGTCAAATCAGGTGACCATTATAAATTGCATAGGTATTAGGCCACGTCTCCCTGTGTCACCGAAGCGGTGACCAGTGGGCTCGGAGCGCTGAGACCATTCGAGGCAATTCGGACGTGATTCTCTCGCTATTTGTATGACCTTCCACAACCTTCCAGACCCTCACGAATCGACTCGGCGGTCCTAGTGGATGAGTCACCCTGCCGACAACCTCACAATTACCATCTGCCGATGGGTCCTTGCATAGGCAAGTCCGCAGGATGCTCCTGTGTATATATAAGACCTCGTGTAAGGTCTGAAATGACCAGCATCATCTCCTGCATCTTCATCTACCAAGTCTTCTCTAGTAGCCCGCCTCCTTCACCATATCAGTGATGTCGTCATCTTCCGGACTCTACATCCCAGTGCACCGACGGGTACCTTCAACGGGTTCACCGAGCTCATCAGTGACTTCGTCACCAGCGCATTCATCATGCTCATTATCACCCGTGCCTCATGATAGTCGTGAGTATCACCTAGCTTTTGTCTCTTGAGTCGCAAATACTTAATGTTTACCCCGTCATACAGTGCCTATCTACACGCCTTCAGACTTGCTACTACTAGCATCATCCCCTCTGTCAAAGTTATCCCATGAGGAGCTGAGCGCCTTGCGAGCTATAGCACCAGAAATCGTGCAGAGCCGCAGGCAGCGCAAATCACACGACTGGCACACGAGACGCTCTCAGTTGCCCTCGCGGTCATATCCAAACTCTTCTGAATCAGAGGGAGAGGAACTGGGATGGAGGAAGTAACACAGGAACATATATACCCGTCCGAGTCGACCAACTTCATCGCTCGTGATCAAATCAAGGATACCCCAAGATCAATGATAATCCACAACACCCTTCAATTTATGTATAATTTATGTAACACTTATTTGAATGAACACACGGACTACATGCTTCCTTCACCTTAGTTTCAGTCAGCTCACAATGTGCACATTCATCGATTGTCTTCATTTTGACAATACCTAGGTTGACCAACACAAATTTCGCAATCGAATAACTTGGCCCAAGCATCAGTGCCCAGTGCTTAATCAAGTCAAGAGACTTTCTCATATTAACGAAGCTTTGCAAAAGAAACGAGCAAAGAGTATAAAAGCACATAGCGGTGAGTCAAGCTCCAACCGACAGTTATAAATGAAGAAATAAGGCTACACCCCAATCAACCCCTTCAACCACCCCGCCCACTCACTAACATCTGCAGCACGTCTGTAACCTATGCTGACTATTGCCAGGCTTACCACCAGGAAGAGCCATTTAGTGTTTCTCCTCGGTTCGATTAAACCCTTAGAGGGCCTGGTTCAATAAGCCAAATTCGTAAGTGTTAGTTATTGCGATCACGTACATGGTCATTTGCCCCGGCTACTGAGATGGGACGGGGCGGGAGTGTGACACCAAAGGCTCGTTTGAGGAAAGCCTCTTTCTTGGCCTGGAAATTGTCGTGAGCGGACCGCCGGAGAACAAAGATCATCAAAAGTTACGGTGTAAGGGGGAAACCTTCCTGTGAGAATGTTGTCAATCCTAAAAGACGTCACAAGTGAGCAGGCGGACGAAATCAAAAGAAACTAACGAACCATCCGGGGGAGTCAAGAGAGGCACGTTGATGCGTGAACATCGCGAAAGTATAGTCTCGTGTGTGATACCCAGCTAAAAAGAAAAGATGCGATTAGCAATAACTTACTTGAGAAAAAGATGAACTGACATCCACTGGGGCCAATACCGCCGAATGGCAGTCCATCAGCTAAAGCACTATCAGCGGCCTATCATCATTGGGAACATTGCAAAACGTACTAGCACAGTGTACCATCACATCATTGGCGACGGCTGAGCCACTCTGAGTATTGTCAAACACTTATCAAGAATGTCAATAACGATGGCTTAATAGGCAATCAACAGGAAAACACACCCTTGTTCTTGAAGGCTGCATCCGGCGAGAAACAGTACAAAGCAAGCGGATGATCGCTGACAGAATTCAGTCTGACATCAACATGTAAATAGAGGGACAACTCACTGAGCATTGATGTATGAGATCGCAGCATCGACATCGTCCACAGGCATAATGGGCAAGATCGGTCCGAAAAGCTCACTTTGCAAACGGTTAGAGGTGCTTGAGAATACTCGGACAGGCAGATATACGCACTCGCTCATCAGCGAATCTCCATCTTTGACACCCTTGACCACCGTAGGAGCGATGAACTTTCTCGACTCGTCGGTCTGCCCGCCAAAGGCAATGGTGCCGGAAGTATTGTCGAGCAAACCCTTGAGACGATGGAAGTGTGCCGTACTGATGATGTGGGAGATATCTGCCGAGGAGGTGGCGCCAGAAGGATAGAACTCGTCGTGTCTATGGCAAGATATAGATTGAGCATGCCATACACAGGAGCGTGCTGAGGCACGCACACATCTTTGAGGGCCTTGATGAATGCATCCTCGGAAGAGCGTGGGATGAGGACATAGTCTGGTGCAACGCAGGTCTGACCCGCATTGGCGCACTTGCCCCACATGATACGGCGTGCAGCCATCTTGAAGTCACACTTGGCGTCGACAACAGCGGGGGACTTCCCTCCGAGCTAGAAAGACATTGTACCAGTACATCGCACTGAAAGTATGGATTTACCTCGAGACTGATAGGTGACAGAGTCTTCGCAGCGGCTACACCTATAATCTTTCCTACACGCCCACTCCCGGTGTACAAGACTAGTTATCTCGCATCATAGTTTCGACAATAAAAATAGTACATTGGACGTACCGTGGCCCCATTGGAATTCCATGAGCTGTATTAACATGCTGAGTACCCAGTCGATACATAACAGAAGCGTATAACATACCTTGCTGGTCTCCGGAACAGCACCCAATACGACTCTTATGACATCACTGTCCATATACTTTGGAATAAGTTCTGCGATGAGGCCGCTCACAGCGGGGGCCAGTTCAGACGGTTTTAAAACAACGCAGTTGCCAGCGGCAATTGCTCCAATCTTGGAAGGGAGACAATGAACTGGAAGCGAGTGATAAAAGACGAAAAGAAACATACAAGAGGTCCAAAAGCAAGCCATACAGGGTAGTTGAATGGGCTTATGGACAAGACGACACCCTTTGGCTCCTTGCGAATAACTGGACGAAATGCAGCAAATTTGATATTGAAAGGTGCTTTTTCGGTTCGAGCCCACTTATCGACCCGATCATAAGCGATCTTACAGTCGCGGATAGTTGAGTCAATCTCAAGGCTGGAGTGGAGTTAAGTTAGTGTCATACACGATAACCGAAATAGGGCTTACAATGTCGCTTCTAGGGAAGGTCTCCCAAGGTCAATGGCAAAGGCCTCCTTGAAACGTTCAACGTTGTCCTGCAAAAGGTAAGCGAGCTGCAGGATCTGAACTTTTCTAAATGGAATGGGTTTAGTCTTTCCAGACCGGAAGGTCTTGTTGAGAGTGGAGTAAATCTGGGGCAGGTTCCGTGAGCCATAAAACAATTAAAATGGTATGGAAGCCTCGTACCTCATCGATTTCTTCCAAGGTCGTGAATGTTAATTGGGGTGCCGTGGTTGACATGATGGCTACACAGGCTGGCAGGTGGACACGTTCTATAACTACGTTGTCTTTAGCGGTCCTAGGTTTGCAACGTGTGGTACGAGTTGATCAACGACACGTTGAAATTCTGAACGGAAACCGACGATCAACGTGTGTCTTGCTGACAAGTTGATCAATATATGACCGCATTTCCATGAGCCTCCTGAATCGTGATTATCGAAGGACAGTCTCTCTCACAAGAATATTTAGTCCGCTAGGAGTTATGACTTTTCTGCGACGGGAGGTGACTGCGAGTAAGTGAAACTGGACGAGGCGGGCAAAAGCTGGGAGTGCTTATGACCAGATGTTGAACGGGGCCCGGATAAATTTAGACCCGGCTATAGCTACTGTTGTCAGTCGCATCTGAAATCCGTTTCATAATTCGGGTGCTTTGGCTCAAATAGACGGAGGAGGCAACTTAGTCTAAGGCCTGATCGAATCAGCCAGAAGATCTCGCGGGGTCCTGACCCTACTATGCATGGTGTCATAGGTTTAGATCCCAACCAGCCTGCAATTCTGTGTCTTTCTTTAATAATCTACTATGTAAGTGCTGTCCGTTCAACGATACAACGACCATGTCTTCTCTAGCATTTCCGTGTGTCATAGCATGTATCATAGTATGCATACAAGTTAGTCCATCTCGGTCGTCGTGGTTATCAAAGTTGGGTGTACAATAAAATATTCACAAGACCAAGGAAATTGACGCTGAAGTACACGCCAGGACAAGAGCATCGATCCAGGTAGCCTTCAACAGTGCAGCTTGGGCTGCCTAAAGTTAGTCAACGCACTGTCGTAGGAGTAAAATACGACACGGTCACTGCTGCTCCGACTGTCCCCCATTGTAATGCAAGTGAGGTGAGTGAAGCAACAGCCATTCTTGTGAACACGCCAGGCGCCCAATGGCTGTGTTGTGCACCGGGCTGTGTGCAGTACATGGCGATTTCCTGGGGGGACCCACGTCGATTGCCGCGGCTGGGGTGAATATCTTTGATGTTGTCGCACTCAACCCACTCAGCCTCGAAACGAACGGGAATACGGTTTTGAGCCTTCTCTGATGCTACTTTGAACACCGTGAAGATAGTCTCTGCTATAGAAGCCCGTTGGAACAAACGCGAGTAATTAAACACAGGAGTGCGGAGTTCGTCTGGAGACATTACGTCCCCCTCCGTCGCATTGATTGTTAAAGCTGTCTGGGCGGACGGGGGTGACATTCCCTGCTATCCCTGTGCGTGAATATCAGTCGGCACGATCGTAAGCGATCGAAATCACATTTCGGTGATAGTTGCAGCCATCCGACGACTATTGGAATCAGCCACAGCCACATTGTACCAGTGGCTCCACTGTCGGCTTGAAGGTTTGCATTAGAATCTGATGGGGAGTTGACTACGGCCAGGATATAGGCAACAACGACCCACGCGATGGAGGTCTCGGACTAAATTGACCACCCATAAGTGTAGTCCACCAATTCAGAGAAATATTTATCGCTTCTTGGTCCGTTACCAAGTGGCACCCAGCTAGGACCCCGGAAAACTTCGGCTCCCAGCACTGCGCTCACCAGCGCTCTAGACGTCCCAGACGTCAAAGCTTCTCATTTCAAATACCAGACAGACCAACCTAGAAGGTCTGCATTATAGTTGCTAGCAACGAAATGGCCTCAGGGAGAGCGCGACCAACGCAAACGGGAGGAAACTTAACCAGCCGAGCCCCCACTCCCACCAATAGAACCAGAGCTTCTCATCGAAACACGGTATCCCTTTTAATACCGAAAGATGAAATCTTGCATCAAGAATACGATGTAAAAGATAAAGAAAGCAGTATCATATTCCTAGAGAAGTCCCCATTTTGCCAATCCGGCGAACCCATATCAAACGAGAGTCTAATTCTTACCATTCTGCACATCACTCAATATACAGGTATACCACGCATCGTGATCGAAGGACTACGAGCGGTAGCAATCTTACTAGAAGATGTTCTTCTCAGCGGAGCACCAACAGAATCACCCACCCATCAAATCAGCGAATCGTTCTCAACCTTAATATCGACTCAAATCATCGCAGACCTCACAACATCCTTGTCAACCCACGTCATCGCAGCTATCTCACCTCAAATTGCCACGATCCTCACTGCCTCAGAGTCTCTCAAATCAAACATCGACGATTTAGCGAAACTCAACAACGCCCTTGAAGTAAACTCAAAACATGCCAATGAAAACCCATCGGCAATGGCAGCAGCCACTCGTGCCGAACAGACAGCTGACGCGGTTATGAACAGTATAACCGATGTTAAAAAAGCAATAGAATCACTGACCCCGTCTATCAGCGCCACGCAATCAAGCATCAAACAGATTTCCCAGGATCTCATCAGCAACGCGGACCGGACATCCAGCCCTCAAGCAGAACTCCCGAAAACATACAGCGCAATAGTTCAACAAAGCACTCAGACCCCAGGAACAGTCTCAGCAGCAATCGCTAGAGCAGCAACGAGGGACAAACAAATCCTATTCGACCCGACCCCAGGCAAAGTATTATTCGCACCCGAGATAACATCAGCAGAAATAGCATCCGAAATTAAGAAGGCCATCACAGCAACCGAAACAGAAGACACACCAGACATCCAGATCAAAGCCACGACTCGTCTACGCAACGGAGGACTCATCATCGAACTAACCACCACGGAGGCAGCAAAATGGATCAGAAACCCGGTCAACAGACTCAGAATTATCGATGCCATTGGTATACCAGCGACCATCAAAGAAAGACGCTTCTCAGTTATAGTACCCTTTCTACCCATCACCGCCAACCTGGACGAACCAGACTGGCTACGCACAATCGAAGTGGAAAATAGTATGTCAATGGGCGCAGTAGAGTCCGCAAATTGGATTAAACCACGTCAACGACGAGCACCAACGCAGCGTGTAGCCCATGCCATCTTTCATTTTACTGACCCCCATTCGGCTAATAACGTCTTAAGAGACGGCATTTACATAGGACAGGAGAAACTCCACCCACGTAAAGATAAAAGGGAGCCAGTTCGCTGCGTACGCTGTCAACTATGGGGACACATAGCCAGAGACTGTCAAGCTCCACGGGACACCTGTGGCACCTGCGGAAAAAACCACAGAACCAATGAATGCAACGCATACCGAACATTTTACTGCGTCAGTTGCGACTCACACGAACACGCAAGCTGGAACAGAAACTGCCCCGAATTCGAATCGAAATGCGCAGGGATTGACGCTAAGCACCCTGAAAACTCTATGCCGTTTTTCCCTACTGACAATTTATGGACACAGGTAATGTTGCCTCCGAAGCCTACTCCCTATCACAAACCATCTCCCTCACCCCCGGCGGACCCTCCACGCCCCAACCTACGCCAAACCAACATCCCCTTCGAACCCAGACGACCAGCCAGAGGAACGCACCATATGAGAGGAGCCCCACATCACGTTAATCAAAGAGGAACCCGATCGTTTACTCCCACAGGCCCCAATTCGATAATCATCACTGGAAAAGGGAACGCTAACACAGGACCGCCAACACTAACTGACACGACTCAAACCCCATCAACTCCAACTCACCCTCCCAAGACGACCACAACAACTCCATCCCCATCAAGCCCCGGAACCCAACGCACACCATCCCCTAACAATGAATGAACACCACAGTGAAAACACGACCCGAATAAGAGTCTGGCAACAGAATTTAAACACCTCATTATTGGCGCAACACTCCCTTCTTAACGGCCCAATCGCCAGGGACTGGGATATTATAGCATTACAAGAACCGCATATCAACTCACTAAAAAACACAATATCATCGCCACACTTCCACGCCATTTACCCCACCACACGCTTTTCCGCACCTGAACTCACATCTCGAGCCGTCATCCTCATCTCCAAGACCTTAGACACCAACTCCTGGCAGCAGATAGCCTTTCCCTCACCGGACGTAGTCGTTATTCAACTTCAAGGCCCATTCGGCCGCTGCACGATCTTTAATATTTATAATGATTGTTTACTAACGAAAACTCAAGAAGCGCTAACTACCTTTCTAGAACAAGAGATAAGAAACCTACGTCCAACCACCAACGACCATATGATATGGTTAGGAGATTTCAACCGCCATCACCCCCTCTGGGACGAGGACCGCAACACGCAACTTTTCACCAATCACTACCTCGACGCGGCACAACCTCTCCTTGACCTAATCGCCGACTATGGTATGGTAATGGCCCTGCCGAAAGACTTACCGACACTCCAATCATCCAGTTCGAAGAATTGGACTAGGCCTGATAATGTCTTCTGTACTGACCATACCAGCGACTCCTTCATTAGTTGTAACACCAATCCAGCACTTCGAGGCCCCGCCACGGATCATCTCCCCATCCTAAGTGTTCTGGAATTGGAAGTCCCGCGCGCATCAGTAGAAGAAAAACACAACTTCCGCGAAACAGACTGGGAACAATTCAACGAGTATCTTTCAACCGAACTGGAGAAGATCCCACCTGCTCAACCTATCGCCACTGACGATGAGTTCCAGCGAGCCGCCCACGCTCTAACGAAAGCCATCCAGAACACAATAGAACGCCACGTCCCGAAATCGAAGCCGAATCCGCACTCCAAACGCTGGTGGACGAAGGACTTAACCATACTGAGGAGAGAGGTCGCGAAATTAAGTCATCTTTCTTATAAAACACGCAACAACGCTAACCACCCAAGTCATGAAGAACACCGCATTAAGAGGAACCAATATTCAGAAGCAATCAAGACCACGAAGAAGGACCATTGGATCACATGGCTCGAAGAATTGTCAGGTAACGAAGTATGGACAGCTAACAAGTATTTAACAGCCACAGCGGAAGATGGAGGTCTTTCGAGAATCCCAACACTGAAATGCACCGACGGCACGACCGCCAGCACCAACGAGGAGAAAGGAGAGGCGCTAGCGCGAACATTCTTCCCCCCACCACCAGAGACCTCCTCAGTCCCAATCGACGCCGAGTACCCGGAACCAGTCCCAATGCCAGCACCCATCACCGAGTCCCAGTTAGCGAGAAACATAGCGAAACTAGGTCCTTACAAAGCACCCGGACCGGACGGGATTTGTAACATCGTCTTTATACGCTGTGCTGCGTTACTTAAACCCTTCCTACTTCACCTCTTCAGAGCCGTCTTCTCCCTCAAGACATATCACCCCCCATGGCGCGACTTCACCACGGTCGTTCTGAGAAAACCAGGCAAAGCAAACTACACGATCACCAAAGCTTATCGGCCCATAGCCCTTTTGAACACCACTTGCAAACTCTTAACGGCGGTAGTTGCCGACCAAATGACCTATCTCCTCGAGCACCACGACCTACTCCCCAGCACACATTTCGGCGGTCGTCCCGGAAGATCGACGACGGACTCATTGCATCTCCTCGAGGCAACCATTAAGGACGCGTGGCGTCAAGGTAAAGTAGTATCAGCATTGTTTCTTGATATTGAGGGAGCGTTCCCAAACGCAGTTACTGACCGCTTATTGCACAATATGAGATCTAGACGCCTGCCAGAATCCCTTGTTACCTTCACTGAAAGGCTATTAGTAGGCCGGCGCACACAACTCAAGTTCGATGGGCACACCTCAGATTGGATCGCGATTCAGAACGGAATAGGACAGGGGGACCCTCTTTCAATGATACTCTACGTTATATATGATTCTGACCTCGTTGACATTTCTCTAGATAATAGCAAGAAGGAACGCACTCTAGCATTCGTTGACGACACAGCATTCATCGCAATAGGCAGCTCTTTCCACGACACACACGATACTCTTAAACATATGCTAGAACGTCCAGGGGGCGGTTTCGACTGGGCCAAGGATCACAACTCGAAATTTGAAACATCTAAGTTCGCGCTAGTTGACTTCTCAAGAAACACCATCAAGGAAAGGCCCCCATTGATAACGAGAGGCACCACCATCACCCCAGCGTCCACACAACCGGTTCCTCGGTGTGATACTAGACCAAGCGCTTCGATGGCAATCGCACATAGCATACGCATTAGCAAAGGGAACCGCCTATGTCTTTCAGCTACGCCGCTTATCCTCTACCTCCATTGGAGTTCCGCTCTCACTCATGCGTCAGATGTATTTAGCAGTGGCCTTACCCAAGATGTTATACGCCGTGGACCTTTGGTTCCATCCAATATTCGTAGGATCAAGTGACACGCTACAACGAGGGTCAATTGGAGTCGCGAAGCGTCTGAGAAGGGTCCAACGTATCGCAGCGTTAAGTATTACAGGAGCCATGCGTACCACTGCAACTGACACTCTAGAGGCCCACGCGAAGTTACTCCCGCTCGAACATCGCCTCCAGAACCTCTGCTATCAGGCCGCCTTACGTTTAGCAGCGCATCCACCATCTCACCCCTTGCATAAGCCAGTACGAAGAGCAGCCGGTAGATACGTCAAACGTCACAAATCCTCCCTCCATCACCTATATCACGCAACCCAGCTAGACGTTAGCTCCATTGAGACCATCACTCACAACAGACGTCCCCCGAACTCATCGACCCCATATCACATCGCAATCGCGGAAACAAGGGAACAAGCGATTCTCGATCACGAAAACGTTAAAGATGAGATCAGAATTTATTGCGATGGGTCAGGAATAGAAGGGAATGCGGGAGCGGCGGCAGTGTTATATCGAACGGGTCAACCCCAGCCAAAAGTACTAAGGTACCATTTAGGGTCTCTAGACGAACATACGGTCTACGAAGCGGAGGCAGTGGGACTTACACTCGCGGCACAACTCCTCTCAATGGAAGAGGATATTACCTTCCCAGCTTCAATCTTCGTGGATAACCAAGCGACAATAAAATCCGGTGAAAAGCTCTCGACGAAGCCAGGACATTATTTAATTGATCACTTTCGCAGATTGATCCTAAGTCTGAAGAAATCCAGTCGAGATCGCAGCTTCAAAGTCACAGTCAGGTGGATATCAGGGCACGACGGCGTCGAGGGGAACGAAGCGGTAGACAAAGAGGCCAAGAGAGCTGCAAAGAACAAAAGAGATAACAGTCCTAGAGCGCTTCTCCCACCATACCTTCGCAAAGGTGTCCTACCCTGCAGTATCTCGGCGCTTAAGCAAGCGCAGAAACAAGAATCGTTCGAACGATGGGAAAGGTTCTGGCGAAAGTCACCCCGTTACGAACGCACTGTCAGCCTAGACCCCAACATACTCCGAGGCGCATTCGTATCCCTGGCCAAACAGCTTCCCAAACGACACATCAGCCTACTCTTATGGCTCCGGACCAGACATATCTCTTTGAATCAGCATCTGCATCGAATTGGCAAGCACCCCACCCCTTACTGCCCACACTGCGAAGACGAAGAAGAAACAGTTTTACACTTCCTTTTATCATGCCCCCAGTATGCCCGCGCACGTCACATCCTCACCACAACTCTCCGCCGTCAAGCATCCTCCCTACCATACCTACTCTCCAACCCGAAAGCCTGCGCCCCGCTAATACGCTTCGTGAACAGCACAAACCGCTTAAGTGCGACATTTGGTAACGTACCCCCTCCAGTTGATAAAGATAAACGATAGTCAGTTCCTCCGCAGACCACACATGAACAAAAATTGTATACTACATGTACAACAACGAAACGAAGAGCGCAGGACGCTCTCCCACACCCTCACTCGTCGACGAAGGGAGAATGGGCCGCCTAAACGTCCCAAGTGGCAGGAGCAGCGGAAAGTTCGCTGCAGAGGAGAAGGCCAGAACACAGAGCATCAATCAACGAGTTCATCGCAGCAAGACTACCCTACAAAACAACTATTACTTATCTACTCCCATCCTCCATCATTCCTTTTGTACCCGGTTACTACGGTGACCCGAGTACTTGAATCATCCTCATCATTACGCCGGAGACCAACCCTCACGAAACGCACAGCAACGGTCCCGCAGATTGGAAGACTTGCGCACCTAAAACGGCCGGCGGGAACGGCGGACTGGTGGAGGTCAACCCTCCATCAGGGCATTTGCGAAGTCGGAGACGCGGAGGGGGACACAGGTGTCCCCCGAACCCCTAGATAGTATTGTCTTACATAGGGTACTCTACCCCAAATAGACATAAATTGGATTTAAAAAAAAAAAAAAAAAAAAAAAAAAAGCATGTACAGTACTTGAACGCATGTCCATTAAAAAAACTTCGTACGCAGTTCAATCAATGAAAAAATACGTTCGGTGGTCAGGCTCATTTGCTAGATGGAACAGGAAGTACGTAAGCCGCAATACCCTCCAAGGTATAACCAAGATTGGCAACAGCGTTGTCCGCCTCCGATGCAGATGTAGTGTAAAAGTGATCCGTCCCCCCCGAGCTGTACAGACGGTAGAGGGCAATGCTTCCGCATATGTTAATGTCATAGACATATGCAGCGATCCCCTCGGAGGTGTATCCGCCGTTTGCAGCTGCGCTCTGTACCTCGGAATATGACGTGGTGTAGAAATGGTCAAAAACACTCGGATTGTACATGCGATAGAGCGGGGTAGTGGAGGGCTCCTCGGTGGTAAAGACATATGCGGCGTCTCCCTCCGAGTTGTATCCGAGATTGGTCACTGCGTTTTTCATCTCAGTGACATTGGTGGTATAAAAGTGATCCCTATGTGGTTGCTGGTAAGCTCTCAGAAAAGCGACTGCAAGTCCTGCGTCGCAGCACTCTGTCGGTTTGTCTCTGACCTGTTGCAAATCAGCCAACGTCGAATGGTCCAAAATTGAACATACCTCGAGATCCGCAGAACGAGCTGAGGGAGAGGCTTTTGTTAAAGCGACGAAAAGAGGGAAGAGAAGGATTGCAGCTTTCATTGTGGTTAAGTTGAACAGAAACTGAGGAATTATGCACGCAGCCCACCGTATTTATACCCATATGCATCAGTTGAGACTCGGGGGTCATATCTCATAAAGCTGAAGTTCACCATGTTGCTTACCTTGTGACTACGTACGCGTATTCCCTTCTTGAACTTAGCACTTACATGTAGGCATCTGCAGTGCTTCGTCCCACGTCTAAAAGGTGCTCGCCGATCATTTCCGAGTCGGGAGACCAGGTCCCCGGATTTCTATTGAAACTTAACAGGGAAGTGCAGACCTCAAAAATGTCGGCGCCGTAAACGCTCAGCGCTCACCGCCGATGTGACAGACAAAGTAAGTACCAGAAGCAACATTTACATCGCTCTAGGACATGCAGAGGTAAGTCAGTGACGTCACGTCTGCGCAGCCACGGCCAGACACGTACCCCGAAAACGCCAGGCCAAGCGCCAACGGCATTCGACAACTGTCGAACTTTTCAGCGCGAGGATAATGAGAATAGGGCGGAGAAAGTTGAGTGTTCAACTGTGTCGTTCGAATGCGTGCGCTGAGGCGTCAAACAGCCGTTCCTTTCTGACGCTGTTCAGTGGGCTCTCCCTTCTCTCACTGCAAGAAGGACATGCCGCTGCTCCCGAAGCTTCAAGTTCGTAAGTCTGTTCCGTGCTTATTTCGTTATTGACTTACGTTGTCCTCCAGCTTGCGGTATCACATCTCGGTGCTTTCCGCGTGTCCCATGCTAAGCCCAGCGGTTTGCATTTTTGGGCTGGAGCCTCCCTTTTCTGCGTGTCCCAGGCAAGAGCCGATTTTTTCGCGTTCATGGGACACGCACCTCTCGCTTATGGTACGGACGCTCCGCATGTTGCTTCCTGTCCTCTCACCACTGACGATGTGCACCCCGTGCACCCTCGCCTGCTCTGGCACAGGCAAGCTGCACCACCATCTCAAGCTGTTGCAGCCGTGGAGGTCGACAACGAGTTCCACACATTGTGTTTCACGTCGTCGAGAGGTTCGGATTTTCTGCCAACTCTATCTGCAGCATTGCTGATCAGTCAGTTGCCTTCCTGTGCCCTCCGGCACCTTCTACTTGCTTTCTGGTGCCCTCGAAGCACCTCCACTTTGTGTATCTTTTTGTATTGCTGACCTTAGATTCTTATGATTAGCCTTGAATGTATTTGCAAATAGTGCGAGTCTACATAACCAGAGCAGGCATGTTTTGTGACTTCAATGAATATATGGTTATCTGACGCCGAGGTTCGTGCTGAGGAAACATCAGACGGAACAGCATGAACCGTGGTAGAAAATGATCACGCAGTCGGATGTGAAGCGAGCGTTATAATCACAACCACCATCTTATCCGCAATAATTACAAGTCTATGACGAAAACTTGATTGCGCCAGTCACAGGGTCCGTGAATGTGAACATCGCAGCATGCGACACAATCAACGCAAACGAGGCCGTCCTATAGCATCACAGTCTCAGACCTATACACTCGACAAACAAAAACTGCAGACTCACATCAGAGCCGTCCACGGCGTACTCCCACCTTCCTTTGTTCGAATAGGATGCTGGTTCATGAAGCTGCTGAGCGCGAGTAGGGCTACTGGCCATGCTAGGTACCTGTGCGAATATATGAGAAATGCTCAGGCCAAGAGGTAACAGCAACATAAAAGACTAGCATTACTTGGCACTTACCGATTTCTGGAAACTAACACCAAGCCAGCGAGGAACATGCCCATCGAGCCCATAGCATCTGTACAGTGAGGCGAGTGAGCTCTGGGGAAACAGTGACTTCGTCGCACTCACCAGCTGACTCCGCATGCCATGTTTTTGGCAGAGACAACTTAGTTTCGCGAGCCGAATCTCTAGGAGTGCCTGTGGACATGTTGGAATCAAGTGTTAAAGTAAAGCGTATGGATCGTTACAAGGGTAACATTGACAACACAGCTGAAAGCGCACTCACGTGACGGGCGTGGCTATTTTGACGCGGTCCTGCCGCGCCTGCCGCGGTCGTGACGCGGCTGTGAGGCGGCGTGACGCGCAATTGACGCGACCTGACGCACCATTGACGCGGCACTAATGCAACAAATGACGAACGAACCTTGACGCGGCCGAGTGAAGTTGGTTTTGAACATTCGCTATTTATTCATTGACTGACTCAGGCCATGCATAGAGCTACTAATCAAACAAGAACTATTTTCTTTTACTCCCTCTCTGGACTCTCTGTGGGCCCTTGCGACGTTTCACGGCAACAAGTTCTTCTTCAGCCAGCAGCGAAGGAGCTGCAACTTCAGCTTCTGACGTGGCGTCGGAATTATCGCTGAACAAGCGGCCATGCTATTGATTGCGCGAGTAAGAAAAAGCAGGTAGTGTTCAAGTTTCCTCACCTTCAATTCACTCTCACTGTATTCTCGTCCGCTAACCCATTCACTAGGCACATTCAGATACACGTTCCACCGCCTATGATGTTGACCAGCATCCAAACCCCACTGCTGGTTGCCTGCAGGCCCTGCTTCTTCAGAATCCTCGAACATCCTTGCTTCTAGTGCAGTTAAGCACTCGAGGTCTACGTCTGCGACAAAGCTGTCAGCAGGATAACTGATCAGTAGGTCAGCCCATGCCATCTTCAACAGTGCTCTTTCATTCCATTGCTCGTTCTGAGCTTCCAGACATTTTTTGAAATCACCAGCCTTTCGGTGAGCAACAACAAGAGTGAAGGCGTGCACTAAAGCCATGCCGCCGAGCCATTTTTCGACTTGACTCGAAGCACCGGGAATGTTCTCAGAGAACCAACGTGCGATTTTCGCATACTCGTGAGATGAGATGTCGCCACAATATGGGATGCTGTATGCACCTACACCGTCTAGTAGGTTCTTCTTCGAATGCATGATGTAGTCTATCACAGGATATGCCTCTGCGCCACGCTCGTTCAAGTCAGGACTGTCAAGGAGCTTCTGAAGCGAAGCTATATGAGGTCGTAGAATGTTGTCCAATTCTTTTGATGCTGGTGCTGACATAAAGTTTTGAATCAAGTCTTCTTCGCGAGGGGTATCCCAAGAGTGAACCCATTCTCCGAGCTATGTAATAGTTCATGTTGAGCAGACCGTGAGCATATCAACCAGCAAATCTCACTTACACGGATCTCACGCCTCTTAGCATGGTCCTGCCACAGTTCGTCCACGAGATCTCCTTGCTCAACATCACCAGGAGGTGATCCGAGACTTGATGGAAATTTGCAACCGCGCCACCAAACGACTCGCCAGTGTACTCGGTTACGTGCAGTTCCGTGGAGATTGGCAGCAACATAGGACTGAATCAGCCGCACAGGATACCAGTACTTCCCAAGACGAGCAAGAGCTCCTTTGCCGGCGCTACAAGTTAGTCGTCAGCTATATCTCATTCAGGCCTTGCAAGTCAGAAGACAAACATTAGACGTGTAGGAAGCAGAGCCATTTTCTTCTTGCTTGTGGCTTTTCTGCTGCTCCTGAGCAAAGGAAATCAATTGATGTACGTGGTGCAGCTGTAAAAACTTACTTGCGAGTTGGCGGCACCTCTTTTGACTGCTGTGTCGAGCATCCATCACAATGGAATTTTGCTTTCGGATGGAGATTGCTCGCTCGACCACCTCTCTGACAAGCAATGTGTGACCAATTTTCACACAGATCGCATTGAATTGTCTTCTGGCCACCTGCAACATCGTGACCATTGCCTTGAGCTCCACACCTGCAATGAAATGTATAGTCGGATGCTTCACTCTCGCCGTCATCCAGGTCCAATGATTTTTCTATCTTGGGTACAGCAGCCTCCTCGTCACCGGATGCCTGAAGGTCCAATGAATTTTCTAATGGATCGGGTAAACTCTTCGATTGAATTTGCTCCTTGCTCCCAGATGGCTGATCTTCAATTTCCGTTGCTGGTAACAAGATCCGAAGTTGTTTTCGGCCAGAATGTGTGTTCTTGGAATTACTGCCTGTGCTTACCACCTCCTCGTATTCTACATTCTGTGTAGTTGCCGGGTTTTTGAGCCAAATAAGATTGTCTGGATCAACGGCAGATACTCCAGGCCAAGAAAATGAAATGGTAGGAATTGATTTTGATGACTGCATGTCGCGTTCGACGTGAACGTGGTGCAAACGTTCTGCAGCCGCTATTTGATACTCGGCGAAGAAATCCTGTGCGGTGGAGCCCCCACGTAACCTATACACAACACCGTGAACATTGAAGCCTGCCGGTGCAGGGATGTCGTGCAAATTGCCCACAAGATGGCTTTTGAGAGTTGCATTCTTCATCAGTTGTGCAAATCCACCATGCGAAAGGTCATCATAATGATAGACCCTCTTGCCATCAGGTGAGTAGCGAGCAACAAAGTGTGCGAGGTTTGAGGTGCGATCGCAAAAGGCAAGACCAACGACATCGTAAACGAGCAAATGCTTTTCTTCAGCTTCTTTTGTGAGTGGTCTTATGTGCTTGGGAATGTTCCATTTGTTGCCATGATGGAGGACATCACCGAACTCAACTATGAGCATCACAGGAATCCCAAGATACAGAGTGAGGAAGTTCGGGGAGCCATGACATAAAACTTCCGCATCCAAAGTTCGCCAGCAATAAGTCTTCGAAGTGGGCTCCTTGTTCACACGAACCAGGTCACGGAACCAAGCAGCTAGGTCGCCCTTGTATTGTACGGAGAGTTCGATGTTAAACTGAAAATGACACTTTGGATGGGGTCGACGTGGTATTTGCCAGTGTGTCGGTCCACCTGAAGGACCCGAGCAAAATCGCAGGTCTATGGTCTGTGCCTCGAAGAAAGTGCGAGCAAGATATGTCTCTTCTGGTGGCATGTCGTGCAGGAGAAGTTTGAATACCCTTCCTAGCCAGCCCTTTATATCGAAAACGTGAGGAAAACTCCAAGTTAACAAATTGAACAGCATACTTACAAATACTCCGTCTGGACCTGACGTGTCCTTGACGATGTGCGTGGCCTTGAGATTCTTTCGGAACCCATCACGTTGAGTCGTCAAAATACGAGATGCATTGGATGGCTGGTCAATACTCATACGAACTTTCATAACCTGATTCAGAGCCCATAAGGGATGTGCCTCGCGGATTCCAAGGAAGTGTGGCTGAAAGACAGTATAAAAGTCAGGCTGTATGGTAATGAACATGAGCTCAAGGCAGGTATCGAGCCAGCACGAGTTTTTAGACCAAGCATAACTGGGCCGTGAGCTCAATGGATGGTTCGAGATGTTGGAGTCGAGCGAACTGTCGGAGCATGAGTCCAAGTTTTCCTTCCAGACTTGCTGCTTGCCACGAGACTTTGACCGGGTTCGCAGGAGCTGGCGTGAGGTATCCGGAGGTCGGCCATCATTTTTTCTGGACTTTGACCGCTGAGATAGTGGTGCTCTTTCTGGATGCGTGCGACCATGTATTTGCAGGTTATTTTGCCAGGTCTTGGCTGTTCCATAGCGAATCGGAGCGCCCACTGGTCAAAAAAGGAGTGGTTGATATCAAATTGACACTGGTGATACAGGTGAACATACCACTTCGGCCAGCTGCACGTAGCTGGAAGCTTTCCATGAAAACTTGGAGGCAGAGCAGCCCCTCCATCAAGTGGTAGCGTTTACCAACTGTCGCATATAGCTTGGCGTGCATTGCCTCTTCCGCATTAGTGGAGTTTGGCATCGCCTGGAATAGACCGGTCTTCATCTTCTGAAACGGCGGAAATAGCATCTGAGCATGGCTATCACGGAGCCACCACTCAAGCCATGGCTTTAACTTGGGATAGTCTCGTAAAAGGGAAGTGACCTTTTGCTTGAAAGTGTCCATATCGGAGACTGACAACAGGGCAAGGGCACGACTCTGAAAATTATCTGCCTTGCTGGGGTCAATGACTCCGCTGATTTTTTTGACGCGCGTGACCTGAGAACGGTAATGCTGCTGACAGCCTTTGAGGAGTGCACCTGCTGCATCTTCAAGTTCGGCCAGAGAGCGTGAATCCTCGCGATTGGTCCAGAACGTAATGAATGCTTGAGTAAAGCCGACTCGCTCAGCCTCGCTGAAGTCGACAACCTGGATTAAAGACAATGAATGTTAGAATATATGCTATGTACCAAAAACTCGACTTACATTTCCAAATAATTCATCATTGACTTCGTGGCCATACTTCTCGCATTCGTCTGCCATGGAGTTGAAAAGGATGAGAAAATGTAATCGATAGTGTTCGGCTGAACCTCCATTGGCATAGGTCATGAGTCCAGGTACCCAGCATGCGAGCAAAGGTGAATATGTTGAACTGATTATGAGAAGATCTTTCGGCGAGTGCCAAAATCCATGCGCTGCATCTGAAACAATGCCATTGACGGCCTCGGCCTCGATGAAGTCGGTCACTAGTTGCGACACCATGAATTGAGTTTGAACGACGACAACAGTAACGACTTCGAATTGAGAATACAACACGTAGCCTGGATGATTTCTTTGGAATTCTGCAAAGTCGTCGACAAAGTTTCGAGTGGACTTGCCCCGGAGTGCTTGAAGCTCAGCCTTGACACGGTCCTGGTTGAGAAGCACTGTAGAGATCGTAGCGACTGATTCGCGGGTACCAGAAAGACTATGACGACCAGCAACCAATGCTGCTGGGCCAGTAGTAGGATTTTCGAAGACAATCTGTTCAAATCTCGTCCGCTCGTCACGGGTCAGATGCAAGACGTGAGTTTGCTTTGGGTGGTTATGAACACCCTTGTGGATGTAGTAGACACCTTCTTTGAATGAATGCAGCACCGACGTGACACCACAGTCGTTGTGTGTAAGCTGCCCACCACAAAGGCAGGGTACACTCAGCTGCGCCATAATGCCAGCTCGGCGTGTACGTGGACGTGTGACAACCTCGCACGTCGGTTCGTCGCAGGTAATGACCCCCAAGCAAACACGTCTCGTCTTTTTACCTTGTGGCCACGTCAATGCTGACTCTGATCCCCTCTTGTCTCCTCCTCCTGGCTGGCAGGCCCAATGTTCACTGAGATTGGCAGTTCTTGTGACCTCTACCCATGTGAACAACCGTTCGAAGTCTCCGTCTGGCCATGGATCCCACAAATCATCTGCCAGTGTCTGGTCACCTGGGCCAGATTTGGGACGTTGAGAGTTGGATGGACGATCTGGACCACGACGTTGAATTGCTCGAGGACTAGGACTTCGCACAGGTCGGCGTGGGTTGGATTTTGAGCCTTGGGGGAGATCGAATAGCTCCTGTGAATGGTGTCTCATGGGTCGAGGGAGGGATGAATCATTCGAGGCGGAGAGTGCGGCAGCACCAGTTCTATGTGTGATGGGACCCGTTGGTGGAGAGGCTGGAAGAAAGGCGATTAGATTACCTACTATACTTGTCAACTTCAGGATTTCATAGAGCGTTAGTCGAACAGCGCACCTGTGCGGTCATAGCAGGGAATGAGGTTCCCAATGCCCGGCGCAGAATAATCTTGATTGCCTATGCCCTGGGGGATAGAAAAACTTGAATATATGTTTGATTAAGTCCTGTGTATGGTTAAACGCGAGTGAATATTCTGTATCTTGAAGCACTCACAAAAGGCATAGTAATTGAGAAAAGATAAAGGAGCTGAATATTAATCAGTGCCGCTCGGACCATCGCAACTCTCAAAATGGACTTGATAAATATATATTATTGCCTTTGAAACGAGTACAATTGTACGAGATCTAAATCTGTAAGCACGGAAGGAGGCGTTGTTAGAAAATATATTAGTATGATACATTGATGAATTTACCTAAGATAGATATATGGTGAAGGGTTGACGCGGCATGACAGGTGTTGACGCGGCATGATAGGTGTGACGCGGCATGTATGAGTTTCGACGCGGCGTGACGCGGATGTGACGCGGCATGGATGAGTGTTGACGAGGCATTGACGCGGCACTGCTATGGTTGACGCGGCACTGACGCGGCATGGGCTATGGTTGACGCGGCATGAAATGGGCGTTGACGCGGCACAGGTAAGAGTGAAGGTTGACATGAGTGAAGATGATTGGGAAAACCTGTCGTTGTATGAGCAGTGCTTGACCCAGCCTGAACGAGGCTTGAGATGACATGGTCGGGGCTTAACATGGTAGTACGTGAGTATAGAGACTGTATTAGACTTGACAAGGTGAGGTCGAGGCTTGACACTTACTAGTAGCGAGACTTGACAATGTGAGGTTGAGGCTTGACACTTAGCGAGACAACACTTGATCTCACTGTGTCTGATGTAAACCAACATTAGGTCAATGAATTAGAGACGATACAAGACGAATTATGGTACTAAGATGGCACTGTGTGACACTAGTAGAGAAGCGCTGTAAATATGGTGAGAAGTGAATAACACAGTCTAGGGCCTGTACGCAGACGGACACTCACATGCTGATCATTAAAGAGGATATTCAAAGTGCTTGGAACTTGTTGGAATTCAGTTCGAGCGACATAAGATGTTGTTTGAACATGAGCGTGCCGCGTCACATATGCCGCGTCACAGGCGCGTCACGACCGCGGCAGGCGCGGCAGGACCGCGTCAATTTCACCTGGCCCTCACGTGACTACTTTTGAGACATGCTACACACATTTTATGGACCTCTTCGTAGCACCGTCATAATAATTGACCATGTTCCCCACCCTCCCCGTCCTCGCCTCAGCAGTAGCCAAAATCTCCACTCCCTTCCGCCGCTCCCAACTCGGTCTCTTCCACGGTAAAATCAAACAATACGGCAACAACGTCCCGCACTCGAAACACAAAACCAGGCGGACATGGCTTCCTAACGTCCAAACCAAACGCCTCAAATCCGATGCGCTCGGACACGACGTGAAAGTGAAGCTTACGACGCGTGCACTCAAGACGATCAACAAGGTACGCATCACTCATTTTGTGTGAATGCAGAGGTTCTCATCATACATTTACCTCGGCGGATAGCACGGCGGCGTTGACAACTACCTTTTGCGAACAAAGCCTGATTTATTGGGTATCGAGGGAATGCGCCTTAGGATCTTGGTGCGCGAAAAGCTTGACGTTAAACGCGTGGAAGACGAGGCTGCAGCGGCTGCTCAAGCGGAGGAGGAAGCGAGGATACAGCTTGTGAAGGAGATGAAGGAGGAAAAGCAGAGACGGAGAGCAAAGGTCGCGCATGCGCGGAAATCGAGGGAGGTCAGGCAAAATATCACTAGTGGAATTTTTGGTTCGACGGCATCGAGCACGGCTCGACCTACCGCATCATAGCCAGTGAGTGAGGTCTACTCTTGTATGCTTTCTTAGGTGACAGATTCAGCAGATAGGCTAGCGTAGCCATTCTGTACCATATACTCCTAGATAATGCGTCGATGATTCTGCAATCAAATCACTCGTGGATATTGGTTTGAATACTTCGGCGCCCAGCGCCCTGTGTCGCAAGAATTATCTAGACATGGTTATGTACCATACCAATGCGATGCGATCTATAAGTGGTAGATGAACGTTTGAACGATGGTCGTAATAGGAGTGTGATGAATGCCAATAGCTATAGATTTAAATGAAAACCCAATTATCCTCCCTGAGCAGTAACGAAAACCCGAATAACAAGAAAAGCAATGATAAGATGTAAGAAAACTCTTTATGATGCAGCTTCCGCACGAAGCACCTTCCTCCACCAAGCCCGCTTCTCGACGATAGTCGTATTCGAGATAGCAGTGCTCACTCCGAGCTCGTTGACGCCTGAACGATTCACGGACCGTATGCTCTTCATGGAAGGCGCACGTAATGAGCGGGACCACTTTGAGTGAACGCTCTGATAGTCGCTCTCCGAGTCCTGGCGCACCGGAAGATGGTTGTGGTCCACAGAATGCATATACAGAGACTCTTCTGCGAGTCTCTCCTCATCCTCGCCACAGACGTGACCATCCTCCGTGGTACCTTCTCGAGACTGGTCATGCTCCTGCACTTCCGGCTCAAGTAGGTATGTAAACGGAGTGAGGAGTCCTGGTCGCGTGACTGGCGCTGGATTAAATAATGCTTCGATCAGCTTCTCCGTCCCGTGGACGCCACGAGTATTTGGAAGCTGGTTCGCATCCAATGGGTTCTGCCTTTTCTTCTTTCGACCGCGTTTTCCCGATGAGTTGGTTGAAATAGTGGATAACGAGGAGGATGAGGAGATGTCGTGAGCGTAAAGGTCAATGGTGCGTGGTCGTGTTCGAAAGACGTCCTTGTCTAGCAAACCGGCGATCCCACTCAATATTTCTCCTTTAGGAAGAGGTGGGGCAATATATGACGATTCGCCCCCAATATGTTCCAGTTGGACAGTGAGCTATAGGGGAATTTGTAAATCTGATTAAATGGAGGCAAACATTAGACTTACCTTGAGCGTCGCGTTGGTCTTGCTCTGCCTGAGCAAATATCGGCGGGTGACAACTCCAGCGTCGACATATTGAGCAAGATTTATGCTCACAGCACCGAGCCGGGGATTTCGTGGTGCATCTGGATCGCCTGGAATAACTCGCTAGGAAACATTGTCAGCAAAGTTTGGTAAGAACAGTCGCTATACAAACGCACCTGCATCACGATAAATTTCGCCTCGCAACCGCCAAGCTCGTTGGTTTCCCTACCGATACCCATCTGCACCATAATATCAAGCGTCTGTTCCCATTCGACGCCGTGGTCCCTTAGCTGTTCAAACGCAGTGTGACCTTTGGCTGGAGAATATGCCGTCGGAGGGGATTTAGCCAGAGATGGTGTCGGGTCCGGTGGGGCAGTTTGGGGCAACCAGTCAGCGGAAAGATATTGTGGTGGTACATTGACGTTATGTAGACGGGAATGGGGTGATGCTGATGATGTACCAGGGGATATTAGTGTGTTTGCAGATACGATTACTGAGGGAATGGGTGCATCGTGTGAGTGGGTTGAGTTGGAGTTGGCAACGCTATGGGCGTCTGAGGCATCAACAGCACCGGCTGCGTCCATCTCGCCTTCGTGGGGCTTCTCTTTCTCCTTCCCTTTAGCTGAGTTGGCACCTCCGTTCGGGGTGGTGCTTCCCATAGCCTTGCCCCTGCCCTTCACTTTGCCCAATAGACCGCCGCCAGAAGTTACCCCCTTAAACTTCCATCGCACCTCAAATTCTCCGTGGACAAGAGGAACGTTGCTGAGCTCATGTATGGTGAGCCTCAAGAGAAATACAGCATGTCGAGGCAAGAGATGCGCAAGCTGAGCACGAAAGCCTGACGGATGAACAGTGGGCGTGGGACTAGCTGGGCTGGCGTGCCCATGTGAATGAGCGGGTCGTGTTGGTGATTTTGCCCGCCCATCTGATGTATGAGGTCGCTTGCCATGCTGACTTGCTGTAAAGGGCGACAAGTGTAATTTTGGATAAGGTTTCTTAGCGGGCCGTAAGGTGGTTAAGGTGGATGAACGGTCTCTGCACTGGGAGAGCAATGAAGTGGATGTCGAGGCGCCTTGGGGATGGCTACCGTGTCGCGAATCGTGAAGGAGCATGAAGCGCGTGCTTTACAGCGTTAGAGCTGGAAAGGAGACGTTGTAAATCCTGGCTCGAAAGAAGGTTGGATGAGATGCGCATCAAGAAGCGCTGATGTCACTGACTATTTTGGCAAGTTCACAACAGCACTGATGCGAAGAAGACAATGCAAGTACCAGCACCAAGCGAGCATAGGTAGTGGTTGGAGTTTGAACTAGACTTAGTTCAACAAGCGTTAAATGCTGCAAGCCATATTAGTCGGTGTCGGATGTGGACCGTCACAGCGCCACGTTCATGATGAGACTTTCCTATTTTAGCTTACCCACCACCTTTTCACATTTTCACATGCATTGTTTCATCATGTACTCAATTGATTCTTCTTCCGCGGATAGTGAACACTGAGATCAGGTCGGCCGACTGTACTACCAGCCCAGCCTGTACATGAACATTTTACGGGCACACTGATGAAGAACTTGTGGGCAGACCAAATAGAAGGTAGTCATTAAATTTAGGACCCCCGAGGCTGTCGGCGACTCGGCAAGCGGCAGCCTGAACAAGGTCATGGGTCCCACTGGAAACGATCAAGAGGACGGAATTATTCTTGCACGTGGATATGGATGGTACATAGTTCAGGTATTATTCATGCGGAGTTGCTAGTATATCTTCCTGTAGGAATTCTGTAAACTTTACGTCCCTGACTTGTCCCAGACCACCATGGGCTGGACAGGAGGGTCCCACATTTCCAATAAGTAACGTTTCAGAAACGGGTTCCGGAATATATGGTCCAAGGTGCCGTTGGATGGTTAGCTTGCGGCGGAGGCGGACATGTTGTCGTCTTCTGGAGTTAACTCAATTCAAAACCAAACCGTCCTAGTCGCTCGCTTCTGCCTCCGACAGACCAAATGTCATAGACACGTACAAACATAACAAATGCATGTTGGCGGCGTTGCACTAGGAGGTCCACGGATTAGTACCGGAGCGTGAATCGACGTAAATTTCCCTTGACCATGCAAACAAGGTATACCACGTTTCTGAGTAACCGGTACCACGAAAGGTTAGGGTCTACTCATGTACATGCTGTGCTTGCTTCCAAATGAAAAGGTTTGATCCCAAGGTGGGTGTGGGTGTGATTGTTGTCAATGATGCAGTGGAAGTTCACTAATTGGGGCGCTGATCATATCGACGTAAGAGCACATATCAGGTATGCCGACGGGCCACAAAAGGTTGGTCTGAGGTGGGTGTGAATGCGAGAACAAGGTAGACCCTTGTGTTTGGTGACTACAAAGACTGGCGCTTAAGCGTATGTGACCTAACTTGTGCTGGGAATTACTAAAACGGTCTACAAACGAATGTCCAAAAAGGCGTGAAAGAGAGAAACGAATTTTGAACATATCCTTGTTCTGAAAATGGCGGAGACTAGTGATATAAAGCATTTCACAAAGTCTGCCTTCTCCTACCAACTCACCTGCAGAGCCTCAGTGATTTGACATCACAACCCAAACAACCTTCTTCTTCTTGAATTTCGCGGCCGGCAACCAAGCTTGAACATTTTTATATTTCCCATCTCATTTTTACCAGTCACGATGTACCAAGTCCGTCCTGCACACCCCATCCAAACAAAAGTCATCTGGGATTACGAGGAATCAGCAACACCCACCATGGCTTCTTTCCCTCCACAACAATCTTATCCTTCTAATGTCCAGCTTCCTCGTAGGTTGCAACGTCCATCCTATGCCGAGGTTCCTAGACAAAATATTGCTGCTATCGCTCCTGAACTCTCTGAAATTCCGATGGACTACGTCAGACGTAGTCTCAAGCTCCAGGCAAACCAGTCAGTACAACAATATCTCTCTTCATCAACTCGATCTAACATATCACACAGGATGTTTGCTGGTATCGCAGCACTTTCCCAATCTCATCTGCCTCAGAGCATCTCTCGCTCCCAAGTGCACCATACCCCTAGTCTAACCATTCCAATTCGCCCATCCGCCTCCTCCTCTTCCTACCCCACACACATACTTGCACTTTCCAGATCATCCAGCTCCTCCGATTCGTATGTCACCCTTGTGCCGACCCACGCCCTCATTCTCGCATCAAATTGCGCTTCATTACCCCGCCTCCCCCCCTCAGCTTCTTCTCACGGCGCTACTGTTAGCGTCACTCTTCCAGTACTTCCTCTTACAATACCCGCCCCATCCGCGTTCGGCCCCTTGCACACTTTCCTCTACACTCATTCTACACCTCAACTACTCTCCGCACTCCTCCCAGCTGTCCCAGGCTCTTTCTTATCCACTCTCACGTCCCCACAAGCACTCCGAGGCACACTTGCCTCTGGGCCTGCACTCCATACCCTTTCCGCCCACCTTATGTCATCTGCCCCCGGTATGGGTGCACTTACCAACGTCGCCCAGAACATTGCGGCTGTATGGAGAAACGCAGTTGCCTTGGGTGTGCACGATCCCGAACTCTGGGACTGTCTTGACCTAGCCTGGGAGGTCATCTTGGGTGCTATGAACCTCGGTGCCGGAGCGCGCTAATACGTAAAAACACACTAATAGGAGGAGCCACTCGCGCTGTGCGCACCGGCCATCCAAAAGACGAACCCTTTCTCGTAACCCATCACTGTATTCCTGGATCTCTCCCGCATCTCATTCACCATACATCTATCATCATCAGACCATGCCCCTTGTATCCCTGGCTATTTCCCCTGCTTTTGTCCCCTTATCTCTATGGCTGTTGTGAGATACCAAGTAATTTACGTTTGGTAGTAATGGTTTGGAGACCTTGTATCTACTATGTATCAGAACGATCAGAATACCCATATACCTTTCAATCGTGCCCCTGAGTCTCATTTAAGTTGTCATGTCCTAACTCCTTCCGTAAGTATTACAGGCACGTTCATTCGCAGGAGGCTCGAACAGCCACGGCAGTTCTCGACTTTCCTGGCCTTTTAATTGAATTGCCCATTGACACGATAATACTTTTTTTTTCATTACAGTATCTAGATCTACTCCAGCTGGGATGATCATGATCATGGGCGCTTCGCGAATAAGACTTGGCCTTTTGACAACCGGTCCCCCTCCATGACATCGTGATTCACCACCCTTTCCTTTCCCGACCGCTGGGGTTAGAGGCCTACTTGTGCAACAACCATATGTCGAGGTCCTCTCAGTGAGTCTAATACTTTCGATCGATGCAGTTCAATCGGGATTTACCGGCAGCATTTAGGTAAACCGAAGTTCTGTGTCTTTGTCTCATGATACACCCATGCGGCAATGATCTACATATCATGTCGCGATCCCCACAATTTTTGTCAACTCCGGTTGCCAATTCACTCCGAATTCAACTTGTCTATGGGTGCGTGTATATACACAACACCCCTGTAGCTGTGCAAAATTGAAATGTAATACTCTGACTAATTCACAATAGACATGAACGCGCCTGGAACTCCCATCATATATTAAATAGACGATGACACGAAATTGCCACCGTTATGGCCCGCCATGTTCGTATATCAGTAGCGCCGTTCGCGTCGTCTCACCTCAGCGTTGTCCCAATTCACGCAGCCGATAAACAAACAACACCGACAGATGAGGTGGAAGGTCCAAGGAAGCAGGGAGACTAGGGTCTGTCGATGACGAGTTCGACATTGTGGAGGGAGTGAAGGAGGAAAGGCGATGAGTGCTAGGTCTACATGTCCCAGCTTACAGCTATTTTATTCGCAAGGGAGGCAGTTCCAGCGTAATATTAATGTCTTCTTCATTGTCGCTTCCATCGACGCCTACATTCGCTACCCCAGGTGATCAGCCGACGACGAGTCAAACTTCCGGCGCTGGAGATAACCAACAGCCGCATCTACATCAACCACGCTATATCTGTATGTTGCCTGATCCCACATCGATATTAATACGCGCTGCTTATTCCATCTTGCAATCCCACAACGTTGGTTTTCTTCCTCGTGATCCTCTTTTTTGATCTTCTTATTAATATTGTCATAATTATTCTTGATTCAACGTACGGCTCCAACAAAGAATTCCACAACCATGGCCAGCTTCCAACTCCAAGTGCAAGATATCCTTTTCGTTCTTGTCGTTCTCCTTCTCATATCAGCCTTTATCGCATTACGTTCCTTCATCGTCCGCCGGCGTTGTCGTCGTCGTGTCGAGAATCGTCGCCGTGTCGAAGACGCTCCCGCGCAAGGAGCCATTTTTGACCTACCACCCACAGCCATTTTTGACCTGCCACCCACAGCGCTCGGTCTTACTTCACAGTTCATTGGAGAGAAACCTAGCGTCCATGAAGCCTGGGTTGAACAGGATCTCCTACAGGAGAAAGCCCAGTGGCAGGCCATCATGGTTGGTTTCGAGCCATTTAATTCATTTGCAGGGCTTGACTGATACTTTCATTCAAATAGCCTGTCACTGCTCTTCTAACACACAAGGTCGAACCTGCTGCGGAGTCCCGATTACCTCATGAAGCTCCACAACAACAGCGACCCTCATTCCTTGCGCGCTTCAAGCGACATTCTGTATCCCCCGACTCACATCCAGCCACGATCATCCGAGACTGTACCACCCCAGATGACACCATCTCCGTGTGCGTGCTGATCACAATGCCTCACCCAGATTCCCCGATGCGCTTTAAGCATTCATCGGAATATTCGGCCAAGTCGCAACTAATTGACGGCAAAGATCCGAACCTGGGCGTAACGGCAGGGAGGGCCAGTGATGAGGAAAGCGTCCCAAACGTCGTCTTTGGCGTTGCAGAGCTTCCTGTGGTTGGTGGTTGGGCAGAAGCAAAAATGGCGTAATATTTTCAGATTTACACTTCCCTGATACGACAGACATAGATGGTGCGATAATATCGAATGGTATGGACCTTTTGACGTTTAACTCATTTTGGCTATGCATCATACTGTATTCTTGCTTTGGAACACTTACTACCACTTACCCACACACACCACTCCTAGTATGTATGCATACGAACAACAGGATTATTTTTTTGCGGTTTAGCTACCGTATTGACATGAGGTGAACGACATGAAGCATTCGTGTTTCATTGCCCATTGACACGATAATACTTTTCATTACAGTATCTAGATCTACTCCAGCAGGGCGCTTCGCGAATAAGACTTGGCTTTTCGACAACCGGTCCCCCTCCATGACATCGTGATTCACCACCCTTTCCCTTCCCGACCGCTGGGGTTAGAGGCCCTATACTTGACTTGTGCAACGGCCATACTTATGTCGAGGTCCTCTTGAGTCGAATACTTTAGACAATTTAAAAGTTCAATCGGGATTTACCGGCAGCATTTAGGTAAACCGAAGCTCTGTGTCTTTGTCTCATGATACACTCACGCGGCAATGATCTACATATCATGTCGCGATCCCCACAATTTTATCAACTCCGGTTGCCAACACAATCTATGGGTGCGTGTATACACAACACCCCTGTATCTGTGCAGAATTTAAATGCAACATTATGACTAATTCACAACAGACATGAACGCGCCTGGAACTCTCATCATATATTGAATAGACGGGTTCTGCGATTCTGCAACTCTTTGAACCGTGGCCTGGACCAACGGTTCGGTTCCCCCTGTTGCCCGAACTTTGAACCGGACTTTGGTCAAGGTTCGAGCTCGAACCATGGCTCAGCGCTCAGGACCGGACCTGGCCACCACTGACTGGAATCTATGGCTTAGTATGTCTTAAATATGTAGTGCTCTGTTCACAAGTTCTTCACTACAAGCAAACGTTGTAGCGAGCGCTTGACAGGCACAACTCGAAGCAGAAGCCCCACACACTTGAATAAGGCTATGTCCAACAATAGGGTCTCCGACCCCAAAAGACAATAAAACGGAAAAAAAAAGAAAACTCGAAGCAGACACATCGCTACATCAGTGTCAGCCCCACACATGGCACGGTAAGTGTGTGACTTTTTTAGTCTTTGCAGATCTGAATGTATTCAGCTTTTCTGTGGGGGACGCAGAGACAGATGTGGCATCCTCCAGCCCATTTCCGCACCGAATCTAGTACATAACCTCGCAGTCCATGGTAGTCACTCGCTGCCCTCTATATTTTATGCGCTCCCTCATGTGACAGAAGTGGTGTTTGACCACGACGTCCGGAAGATTGCCGAACAGCTCGCACTGGAATCTTATGACAAGAATCGCTACCGCTATGGCCTTGTCTGCGGCAGCTGACCATCGAGATGCCCCCCATGACGAAATTCCACATCTCCTACAGCCTTCCGGGTGGTTGTATACCCGGCGCACTAGCGGATATACATACGAAACAAAGCCTTTGCCCCTCCATGTACAGCATAAAGCATCATCGAGGATAAACTTGAATTTCAAGGAAGATGGATACATAGTTCGGGCAATCTACACTTACTGTACATACTGTCTAACATGGATCACTTCCCCGACGCATCAAGCATCATAAGGTTTGGAACGTCACAAAGAAAGAGATAAACAACGACGGAAAGAAACTTGCATAATTGAATACGTTGAAGATAAAAGGCAAAACTTTAATGGGACTCTACGGCCCTCACGCGACCTCAGAATCCTGCACCATGCGCCTCAGCGTCTGTTCCGGGACCCTGGTCTCAAACTGAACGGCATATGGTTGGACATCTGGCACCACACCGTTCATATATACCATGTCATGCACCGGCTTCGTACGATCCAGATTTATCTGGAAGGCCCAAAGAATAAAGAGCGTATGTATAAACATGGATCTGTACCGATCGAAATAAGCTCAGAAGATCATGTTGTGCATGGAAGATTTCTTTACCTGGGCACAAGATGTTGGGCAGGGCACACACTAGAAACACGGACAATTTAAGAAAATATATTTTAAGAGAGAGAGGGAGCTTACCGCCGACCGAAGCCGAAGGTATAGAATTTGAGGTCGGTCCTCAGTTCGCCTTGGTCGTTCAGCCAGCGCTCAGGTTTGAATGCCTCAGGGTCAGGGAAGACATCCGGATCCCGAGAGATGGCCCTGCGAGATACCTATTAGATCCATCGTATCTTCGAGGATGAAGCTTACCAGTGGTTGCCGAACACGGTAGTCCCGGCGGGAATGCAATAATTTTCCTGGGGGTGGATATCAGAATATCATTCGGCGGTCAAATATTGTTCAAATATGACTTGCCCAAATCACGTCTTTAGTTGTTCGGTGAGGCATTCCTACAGTGTGAATGTTGTAAAATTCAGGTACAAAACAGACAATGAAGACACTCACCTTCGGGAGCACTCGGTCTCCATCTTTGACACTCCAAGACGAAGGCGCGCAGACGGGGAAGAGAATTTTCGTCCTCGAAAGTGGGTACTTTAGCGGAGACATCATTAACTCGATAAGACTGCGATAGAAATTAAGCTACCTCGGTTCCTTCCGATGACCGCATCAAGCTCGGCTTGGACTTTAGCTTGTTCCTCGGGGTGCAATGCGGCTGACATAAAAATCGTGCATAATGCAACAGAAGTCTGAAACCTGATATCAGTCAGGTGTTCGGAAACAAAATAAAAAGACACCTCACTGAGTGGATCGCCAGCAGTAAGCCCCCGACAAGCCAGGCCATCTCAAGCTCGGTAAATTGATAGCTATGCTCATTTTCTAGCATAAATTTCGCGAACGAAGGGTTGACATCCTCATTCCTTTGCTGTGGAACGCTTTAAATATTGGCAAGGCAGTACTTGAGGCAATACGCACGATTTGTTGTTTTACTTGATTCAGCTGAGCGAGGTAGACCTTCTTGCCGTTCTCAAACTCCCGTCTTAAGGCTTTGCCGTACCAAGGAATGTGTTTGAGCCATGGAAGCGAGTCCACCAGGTAAGCACCTGGACGCTGGGATTTACCCAATGCCTCTAACCGCTGGCGAGCATCTTTGAGTTCGGGATCACCAGAAAACGTACGCTCAGTCTTCCCATAAGCAACTCTCATAACAACCGATGCCATAAAACTTCAAAATCCCCGTAAGTCGTGTACTATTATAACCCTGAGCCTAAGAAAGCGCTTACGTTAACGTATGGTTCTGAAATTTGGATGGGTCATCAAGTATATCGACGACCGCATGCTTTGCGTAGGACAACTGTATGGGCTCATACAGATCAACTACTCTTGGTCCAAGATGCGAATGAAGTGCTCTGCACCACATTGCAAAGGTTAGATAGGGGATGTTTACGCGGTGCTCGGACTACGAACCTACGCATCTGATGCACCCTGTCTCCAGCGTGTGAAAAGGCGATGGACTGTCCGCCGCTAAGCATGTCTCCAGTGGAAATCATGGAAGGACGATCATTTGACACTCCGCCCTGCTTCTCTAGAATATCCACCGCAGCCTGGAAAAAAAAAGTTGAGCCTGGGCATGATGCTTCAGCTAAAGGGACTAACTTTGTGACGGCCAATAATCACGATTCTCCTGGTCCCTGAGCGAAAGCTGATCACAGGACCGAGCTCTTCAATCCATTTCTCTACCGTGAGATATGACCTGATCAACAGTGCGACACAATGAACGTCAAAAAACAACAAGTCAAATGTAAAATCTTACTTATGAGTGGGTAGGACGTAACCCAACAACCCCGCAGAGGGAGGGGAAGGTGGGATGGGAAGTTTACTTCCTGTTGTATGATAAGCGCGAATGACAGCTCCTAGCCCAAGACAAGCCGCGGCCGCGAGGACGAGCTCCCTATGTTCCAAAATGTGCAAGTCAGGTAGCCGTAGCATGACTGATAGGTGGAGGGTAGAGAAGGATTGGGAGAACCCATTGGTTGCGCATTCAAGTTTTTATAAGTGCTGGGGGGATCAGAAGCTAATTAGCTATGCGAAAGATCTGGCCATCATAGTCAAAGGGGTTCAACAGAATTCGAAACTACTGGCCAGATTATCATACCTCAGATGATCATGATTGACGTGGCAGGTGCACCAAGATAATGGCACGAGATAAAGGTAGAAGATAATGACAGGAGAATTGTGCTGCGAGCGTTAGGGTTAAAAGAGCCATAACCCGAAGACGTTGTATAGCGCTAGGGTGTGGAGAGATTGGAGAGGAGATTGGTTAGAAATGTCGGAGAGAATACTACGAGCCTTAACAAGGACTGAGATGGACTCGACTATGAAAGTCGAAAATTAATGTTGCAGGTCGCCGTGAGACTACAGTCATCTCAAAAAGTCATCACAAAAGGTCGAGCTTCGACTTTCGGAGGTTGTAAACCGCCCAACATAAGACCTTAAGGGGTTGAGCTGTGCCTATGAAGTGTGGTTCGGAGGCTCTCAGGCTAGCCGGGACGCGAGTGCAGGAGGCGCATGCGGCAGGATTTTCTGTGCGGACCTGACATTGATGCACGCAGTACGCGTGAGGTCGCTTGAATCAATGAGTCGTGACGGGACCTGGTATCCTGGGGTAGCCAGCCGCATGCCCACAAACACGGTATATACATACCCTACGGAGCAATGATTCAAAGAACATTAATCATCGGAGTGGCCCTTGAGCCCCTTTATTGCAGCATTACGTAAGTTCATAAATCAGGTCACAACTTAGACGTGACGCGTGACAGCTGAACATTTCAAATTTTCAACGTTCTTGAACTTCTCTTCGATGCGGTACTACTACGGATACCCAAGGAAATAGCGGCGAACTAGTTTAGGCTGTATCAAACTATCATCAACGCGACAAAATCACAGAAACAAGAACGATCTCAAATGTCCCAGCCACTCATCGACTTGCGGACCACACTGCACGGGGGACGTTCTCTCTTTGCCATGCAGCCCATCGCCCCGGGGACTATCATCTTTGCATGCGAAGCTCCTTTTGCGCATGTGATTTGCAAAGACTATCGCAGGGAGGTCTGTGCTCAGTGTTTCGCTTACGCAGCAAGTAATTCTCGAAATATTGGCGATCCACGAACTTGGAGTATCAGAAGCCGTAGGGAAACTGCAGAGTCTGCTTGGTTTTGCACAGATGGATGCAAGATCGCATGGGAAAGTGGTGTGACAGGTCCCATGATAGCAGATGTCAATGCTCTTCTTGCCAAGGCAAAGATGGCCACTCGAAGGCAACCCAAGGACGGACATCTTGGTTACGATCCGATATTGCCAAACGGTTCTACTGCACAAATCACGCAACACCAGATCGATAAAGCGTGGGCGGATGCCGAGGAATTTGTCTCCTCTCGAGCTCGTCTTTCTTCGTACTGCTCGACGATGAATTTAGAAGATATGGAACTCGAAATATCACGCTTGGTTGCTTCAGCCATTGTCCAGCGATATGTATTTGATCACGGCCTCGCCAATCTTGCAGTCTCTTCGATAATCTCCACCTCAAATCCCTGGGCAGAATTTCTTGGTCTCCAGAGCAGCGAGCTCTCGAACGTTCGCATGCGGCCTTACATTTTCGCAGCGCATCTACGTTTATACGCTTTTCTGTGTCATTCGCTTCCACAGCATCTCAAACCGTATGCTTCTATGGTACGAGGCGTCCTTGCGCGCGATACGGGGAATGCTTTCGGCATTTGGGATGGAGACAGCAAAGATGAAATGCTCGGATGGGGCCTTTGGGTGGGCGCAAGTTATTTTAATCACAGTAAGAACCCATTTCTCGGTAGACCTTCTTACTCAATCGTCGGCCCATAAAGGCTGTTACCCAAACGTCAAAAAGGCTCGTGTCGGACGTACCATGCACTTCACCACAACTCGCTCAGTCGAAACCGGGGAGGAGCTATGCATTAGCTATATCGATCACGATCAAACTATTACGCAGCGCAGACAGGAGCTAGAAGACAGCTGGTTCTTCGAATGTCGGTGCCAGCGTTGCCAATCAGAAAAATCTGATGGATGTGTACATTGATGTGCTCTTCTCCCGTTTTTCATACGTTACTCGGCTCACCTACATCCCCATTTATAGGGTTGTTTGAGAGGAACCCAGTGTTATAACTTATCCCCCAAAAGTATACATGCAAAACTCGCACCTACTCGGCAATTGAGCGGTCCTTTCAACATTGAAACGGTTCGTAGCCTGGCCCAGGCTCTGAGCTCCCCAATCTACAGTTGTTCAGTGTTAACTTAGTGTTATTTGCCCATGATCAATTGTCACCAATAGATTCATCCAGATATGATCAGAAGAAGTGAAGTTCCGAGTGCTGAAGTCGGTGCGACGGTATTGACTTGATGAACTATGGTATCATCCTGTGTTCTGTTGGATGTGGGTCAATGTTTATGACGTTTGGTCGCCTCACACCAACACATCGTCCAAGGTAAACTCTGATTTTGCAATTTGACCACTGATCATTATGGCGTTCGTTCCATTAAGATTTATTGAAGTGACGTTCACGCACGCACTCGTGTCTCTACAGTCAGCTAGCTAGACATCGATATGAATTGCTTCCGCACAACTTCCGCAGGATCAAACATTAATATCATTGTCATAGTGCCATCCTATATAGCATCCTATCCGTGACACTGGGCTCGGAACTCCGCATCATCACCTCAATGATCAAATTTAAATGGAACATGACTTGATGAACCCGTCTTGAGGGACGAGGAGTTCCAGTAGTACTCAACGCGTGATGAGGTTGGCCAGAAAGCACAGGAATATATGATGCCATTCGAGTCCCAATGTTCTGCTGATCAGATATACTTTGTGTGTCGGAAAAATGCCAAATACCGTATCAGGCCTGGCATAAGCTGGTGCAAGCTGGCGCAATCTGACGATCTGGCCAGAGCTGACCAGGTGCCTATGAAGCTCGTGCGTGGAGAAATCAGGTCGTGCCAGGCGCATATGAAGCTCGTGCCGTGACCGGCATTTGCCAGTCGTGCGCACAATTTCATGTTGATGTGTCACGTGAGTGTTCAATTTCGTATGACCGGCCAAAATTCAACTTCATTTGATTTAGTACTACATCTATGTACAAATGTACGACTTGTTCAGCTCCGGACTGGAGGCAATACATATAGTGCGGCTTGGAAGCCAGCACGGATGCCAATGGTCCGGGTGTAGCAAGTTGTACTAGTACTGTGAGATGTACAAGTTCTCCGGGTTGCCCCCCCAAAAAAAATTCGGACTCGCGAGCCGTCGGAGTACCTGCACTCTGCCAGATGGTACTCTCACATCAAGTCTAATAGCGCGGAGCAGGCAGATTTGCCTGCTCTGAATACTTGCCTTGTTCTTGTTTTGGGCGCCCTCATAATTGTCAATGGCACCTTGCAGGTGTGAACTTCTAACCCTAACCCTAAGCTTGCTCAATAGCTGCAGCCTGTGCTTTCTCTCGTGTTGCTCCTGCTATCGCAAATGCTCGTACACGTCCTTCACTGGCTCATCTGTCCCGGCTTGCAACCCCATGCCATCAAAGAGATATACGCTCTTCATTCTCTCGCGGCAGCCAGGACCTTCCATTACCCCTTCTAAGTGATCCTTGGACAAATGTGCCCCCTCCCCACTTTAAATTGCTCATGAAGCTAGTCCATTACAGTGTCTCGCAGCTCGTCAGGCCACTCCTTCAAGGAGACTGTCAGCTCGACGGTTGGCGGCTTCACCACGTCATGTAAACACCTGTGCTCCTGCACCAGCCTCGTCCAAAAAATTAGGCGGCTAAGTACAGCATGTCAATATTAATTTCCTGCCCTCAGAAACATGTCTCCGTCAATAGTATCATTAAGATATTCACGCCCATCCTTCGTACCAAACGCTTTGACCATGTGGACTCCTCGAACAAGATATCTGATCATTACCAAGTCGTACCTTTGTACCTGCTCAAATACATGCATACCCTCCCACACTGTCTTTGGCTTCCACTGTGTTCGCTTGTAAGAATGAACAAGAGCGATGTCGACTGGGCCGCGGCTTGTCATGCACCTGACAAGCATGCGCAGTCGTACCGGCGATAGCATTTTGGAGTCGGTGTTTATGAGTGCGCAATCATATTGAGCGTGACTGTGAAAGTCAGGATTACATCGTAGAATGTCTCGTCCTTCCTTCCAATCCTCCAGGGATTGATATGTCAAGTAGAGACATTGAAATACTCGAACCTCATAGAATGCGGTCACCGTCAGTTATAGTTCAGACTCAAAGCCACACTTACATACCTCGAGATGGCTGTCCTCCACACAATCTGGTGAGATATTCTTCCTCAGAAAATTAAACAAAGTGTTCTGAAACTCCGTAGCCTCGTTTACAAATCCACGAGCAACAAGCTCATCTGCTAATCCCTTAGCATCTGTGATCCCGGCAGCTGGTGATCCAAGGATCCAGTGTTCGTTGGACCTTGCCAGTGCGCTGTGGGTCTGGGTTGCATTCAAACCGGATTGAACTTCGTCGGATCCAATCATCTTCGCCAGCGTGCTTTCGTGTTGGCTTGCATTGTCTATAAGCATGTGAATACGTGCTACTGCTTCTAGATTTTCATCAATCCTAGCCATCTGATGAACCATAAGCATGTTTTCGGTATTTATGAGGGCAGACTGGGCAGTAAGTGCACCTGAGGTTCGGTGTTCTTACAGTTAGTTTGTTTGTATGCCTCTTGAACCTCTTGATGGAAACCTTCACCAACACGAGTATCGTAGTTATCAAGTGTGCCCTTCTGCCTGATATCCGGGATGATATGAGTGGTCAAGTGTTGTTTGAGGAAATCGAAGTTTTTCTCGTACTGCGTGGAGACGCGCTTTTGAATGCCATAGACTAAGTCAGAAATGGGACCGCAGTCATGAAACAAATAGTCCACATACCGAACAGTAATCCATGTAAGTCTTGATATATCCTTGCAGTCGTTGGATACGATCTTCAGTCATGCACCTCATCTGGATCATCGTGCGAATTTGAGCATATGCACGGAGACAGTTTACGAGCACCGAGTTTTTAGGCAAAAGTTGCACTATGCAAGGTAGAAGGCACTGCAAAGAAATATATAGTAATGTGAGTGAACAACAGTCTCATCATTCATGAAATACGTACTCTCAAAATATCGAAGAATGCTGTGCCATCCGCATACTCAATTGTCGTGACATTCAGGAAATGTTTGAGGTTCGACCACCTGTCAACACCACGCATGCTGAGTAATGAAAGTCAAGTCATGTGTCAGTGAGTCGCCAAATACTACATGTTCACTGTTTGGACTTACTTGATGGTAAGTTGACCCTTGACGTTCAAATCTTCTAGGATGCTGAGCAGCAGCCGCCACAGATGCTTTCCGAACTTGCCAAGATCATCGGCATGTAGTTTGTCATAGGAAATTGCTCGGTATGGGTCCGAATGAGGGAGGGACCAAAAAAAATTCTGCGCAAGCTTATCGTGACTTGATTCAAAATGTTAATCAAAGACACCTACAACATTTTTGTGAAGCCCGTTCTGCTGTAATATTCGCTCAGACCCGGATTTGGTTTGGCACTCCATGGCGTCATGGTAAGCTTGCATCATGCCTTCGACGGTCCGTGGCTCAAACACACTGGCCAAATTATGTTGACTGCAGTTATGGACAAGACACTTCGGACACGGATAATCTGCAAGACCTGCACGAGTCGATGTTAATGCCCAGCTCTCCTCACTATCAACTGATGCAATTGGAATTCCAGGATATATCACCCGTTGTACTTGATCACCGCATTTCATTGCCTCTCCGCAACGTCCACGAGAGCGGAGAGAGCCAAAAACGACAGCGAGAACTTTGTGATACACCTCGCGCTTGAAGCATGCAAATGCAATTTTCCCTGCGCTGTTACGATCTGATGGGTCGCTTGGATCACGTATCTGAGTAATGGCTAGCAAACTTGAGTTACAGCAAGAGCTTATGTTGTCCCTCACCACAGGCATATAACCAACGAGGATTCCTCCTCCATTGCCCGAGCCATTTCGTATTGCTCGGGGAAGAAATGCAGGACGTAAGAGCATCGGGTGCTTGCGGACACGTTTTGTTATCATGCCTTTGTCGAGCCAAAAAATTGCAGGGAGGAAGCAATGGGGTAGCCCATGTACATTCGGCAAGGTGTCCTGATCATAATCATAGGTGCACGATAATTAATTTTATTCAGCGCGATGATCGGGAGGGTGTACCTGAATTTCCCACCAAAGAGTTCCTGTATTAATGTCGTCATAAATAGCAACATCCTTCCCTTCTTCACACAGATACTTTCGAACGGGGTACCAGTTTATCTCTTGAGACAGTGTTGGATCGGTGATCCAGCTTTGATAGACTTCCCAAGGGTCACGATATGGAAACTTGAAGGTGAATGTTTGCTCATCATATTCAGCTGAGACAGTGCCTTCCTGGAACTTTGAAGTGGCGTGAATTGAGAGTTCGACATAGATTAGCATACTGACTTGAACAACATATGCACGAGCAGCCATCAGCACCCGCTCCATGTCTTTATGATTCCTCAAGGTAATCCTGCTTCCTATTGCCCATCCATTATGCATGCCTTGAAGCTGAGCATCAATGTTTGCTTTGCTTAAACGACTCCTCACAGCAATCTCAGTGTACTCGAAATCTTGTAAATTTCGGAACGGAGCCCAGGGTAGCGACTCAGCTGTAGATTTAGGAAGGTGCAGTCCCGAAGATTCTGATGGTGGTTCCTCTGGTAATTGACCATCAGCATCAGACTCGAGAGCGATGATAGTGGGATCAGAAATGTTTGTATGCGGATGGTGTATGATTTTGATATGCAGTGCCTGATTCGACTTAGATGTGGGCATGGGTGTTTGTGGGGGTGATATGTGCATAGGCTGACACTCTGAATTTTCATGAACTACAACAGTAACGGGTTATATTGTCCATCGATGGGCCAATAATATCCGACAGTCTCAACTCACTGTCAGGCTGAGCAGAGGGTGTGTGTCGATGCTCTATTCGAATCTTCTTTTGAGGATGTTGATCCTCACTAGTAGTGTCAATGGCATGTTGCTGTGGCTGCGTGGCAGCATAGAGGCTTATAGCAGCAGATTCGACAACTTCATGCTTGGATTTGCATGCAGAAAAATGGCGTGAAAACCCTCTTGGATCGCGATATTGATGACAATACTCGCAGCAAGGCATGTTGTTTTTGACGTCATGAAGAAATGCGAGGCTAATAATACTGACTAGTACTGACTTGGTATTGCTTACTCAAAAACGTAATAGGTGGATTGGTAGCGAGCTCCGCCCAGAGTGACATGAGTTTGACCATAGCAAACTTGGAGACTGCAACAATGTCACAACACCGAGTGCAAACTGCTACATCCCGCACTGAAGAAGATGAACAACCTCACTCACATTCACCATCTGAGACTACATCTGGTGACTTGACTTCCGAGATTGAAATTGACTTGGGTATGTCACGCGAGGATCTATACAGGGTGAGTGATCAACTCAAAGTACTGCTGGGGGTTCGTTGATCTTGAACTATCCTCTCTGAGTCTAGAATGCCCGAAAGGCACAGTCCAGGGCAATCGCTGCGGTGGCTAAAGTCAAAGCAAGTCGTCGTAAGGCTGATGAGTTAGCCACCACAGCTACAGATGCAGATTCAAGCCCAAGAAAACGGCCCAAGTTCACAAGTTCGGAGGTCCAGGAAACCATCAAGACAGTTGAATATTATGGCCGTAAATTTCTCGTTACTCACATGCTCTGGCTGCATGGAGATACAAAAGCTAGCTTTGAAACGCCCATCGACGACAACTATCACGAATTCGAGCGATTTGAAAATACAGAAACCATGCTTCAGGGCCAGTTACGAGAAATTCAGGAGGTGGTTCCAGAGAAATATCTCGGAGATCTCAGTAGTGACTGGTTTAGACGTGCGGTTCGTGAATTATCCTCAACTGTTAGGCTTGCTATCATGATCAACTAATTTGATGTATAGTTCCAGGCTGGAATGCAATCTCAAAGGTCAAACATATCAACACGAGTGCGCACTCGATGTGGTGCAATGATTTTTGGCTGTACAGAGGCTCAGATTAAGTCGGCAGCATATCGAAAAGAGACGTTTGGTTCACTCATTGGCTGGAAGAAAAATGACAAGGGAGAGTGGTACTATGATGCTTGGGATTCAGAGATTTTGCACGGCAGCTGGCAAGGAAAGCACGATATTCACACTGTTTTTTTGAACAAAAGTCTCATGATGGTGAGCGCTTATAACTCGCCTCCTTCATGTTAAACTTATTGATAAATGATGGCAGGTTATTAGTGGTGTCATACGAGGGCCAGCATCTGTTGTCTCAATGAGCGCAGGAGAGGGTTCGGTTGCATCCCGTAACAGCGAAACTCTTGATGTGAAATGGGGGCTCGATCATACCACACCAGGGATGATCGCTGCCGGTGCTGTCCTGGTGAGTTCACATGAAAATTCAAAATATATACTTCCTGATGATGACAGGTGCGATGGGCCGCTTCTGTTGACACGCTTCTAACAGTTCAAGGGTCTCAGAGTGGAATTAGATGGAAAGAGGACTTCGAAGGCTACTTGCAATATTTGTTCAACGGCCTGAGACTCCGGAAGGCAAGTGTCCTTAACGTCTTTCGGCAATGGGACAAGGTGTTGTTCCCATCCTCATCCAGTGGCTTCGGTGGCCGCCAGGCACGCAGTGATAGATGTGCGAAGATGAAGAGTGTCATGGATGCACTGGAGGGCGATGATGAGGTTGAGGAAGACAGACAGGATGATAACCATGAAGATGGGCAACGTCACTGTGAGGGAGATGGCGGACATCGTGAAGAGTAAGGTCTGTGATGTCCGTCCGAGTCTTTGAGGAGAGCTAAGGGAATCGAGGTGGCGATTCTCACTCAAAGGAGTTTACATGATGGCGATCACAGCGACACGTTGTTGATGCGAAGATTCAGATTGATCAGATCATTTGATGTATTTGATAGAAGTACAATACTATGTGACAATTTGCAATACAGTGTGTTCGCCATCCAAGAGCTCTCTTGATCGAAATTTCATCACTCAGGCTGGTACTACCACAACTTCAAGGATGCATCAGTAAACTACAATGTTCTGTACAGAGCTGTACAGAGCTGTACAGCATGCAAGCTCCACAGCTTGGTCCCTGCTGGACAGCTCACTACAGCTCCACACAGTACTACATATCCT